GAGAAGGAGGAGAAGGAGGAGAAGGAGGAGAAGGAGGAGAAGGAGGAGAAGGAGGAGAAGGAGGAGAAGGCTTCAGACAAGAAGACTAAGGAATATAAGACTAAGGAAGAGAAGACTCAAGGAAATAGGAGTAAGGAGGAGAACACGAAGGAGGGGAAGGCTAAGGAGGCTGAGGCCTTGGCCGACGAGGATGAGGATTGCTATTGCCCACTGATTGGACGTCTTGAATGAAAACAGTCTGGACTGGTCTACACATATTTGAGGAAGAATGCTTCAGCTTTCAAGTGCTAAATGTTGCTCCTGGAGTTACTTAGGCCGGTTGACGTGGTTTCTGATGTTGGTGTATCTTGACGGCCTCAGATTCGGTACACGCATCGTGTAATGGCGCCTTGCATTACTGTTTTTGCGATCCCTTTTCTATTTCATGTAACATGGACTTTTGGTCGCTCATTAATCATATTAGGAAGTTCTATTCCATTCATTCGCGCTAGTCGAGTATTCGCAACGCAACTGCAGGGCTAGACCTGAGCAATGACGTCATGAATACCATGTCAACCTCTACTTTCCCATTGCGCCATAGCATACAATACACAGTTTGGAATGCACACATGTACACTCAATCACTGCAATCACAAGCTTCAGTCACACGGTATCTTGAACGCACCGTACGTTTGTCTCAGTGAGCGGTAATTCACGATCGACTCACAACCTAGTCCATGAGAAGCACATTATCAGAAGACCAACCCTAAGGGAGCTCGAAATCGGATGTGAGATCGTATCGTTTACATTAAACCCCTGTCTGCGTCCACCAAGTCAAAAGCGTTCCTACTTCTTCCGTCGAGAACCGAAGATTCCTCCTACCATGGCCTCAGCACCAAAGCTCCCGTGGCATCCCATTCCCGGTTCACCAAGCGGAACAACGTGCAAAGTCCACCTGATCCAAGCCGGTGGTCTCATGATCCCCTACGACCGCGTCTTCCTCCCCGGCCCGAAGCAAAGCAGTCACACGCTCTCCCCAGACTACGACCCTTCGAAAAGCGAAAAATATTACGTGCCGGACTATTGCTTCCTCGTCGAGCACCTGCCAACAGGCGATCACTACATCTTCGACCTCGGGATGCGCAATGATCTCGAAAACCTGCCGCCCCTCATCAAGAAGGACACCTTGCCTGTGTTTACTCCGTACCCCAAGAGCCCAGCGGATATACTAAAGAAGCATGGGAGTCCGGATCAGCAGCCTGAGAAGGTAAAGGCAGTGCTTTTCTCGCATATACACTTTGACCATGTGGGTGATGGGGCGAAGGCAGGGTTCACGAACGCCGAATTGTGGGTCGGGCCTACGACGTGCACGTATGCCAGGCCTGGGTATCCCGAGTCCGAGGGGGCGCCTGTGTTGTCTGAGAATTTCCCTACCGATGGAAGTAGGAAGATTGTAGAGGCATATGTCAGTGATGAGCGATTGAAAAAGGATAACGACAGCAGGGTGGGCAAGGTAGTGCAAGGGAAGAAAGAGGGAAAGTACGAAGCTGTGGAGTTAAGAGATGTAGGCGACGGTGGATGGATAGGCCTCGGGTCTTTCGATCGCGCGTTCGATGTCTTTGGTGATGGGTCGGCGTATGTGATTGACGCACCAGGGCATTCGCCGGGTCATCAGATGCTGCTTGTCCGCGTTACTGCGTCTGCGCGTTTGGATACATCAGCTTCGTCGTCTGATAAGGACAGTTTTGTTCTCCTGGCAGGCGACTGTTATCATCATCCAGACCTTTTGAAAGATCCTGAACGCACAGCGCGTCCACCTTATTCGAAGGGTTCGATGCATGCTGATCCCGAAGTAGCGGTCGAGACCATACATCGCACGCAAGCCTTTGCGCACAGAGACAATGTATGGGTTATGGCGGCGCATGACTTCAGCGTTGGCGAGGCTCTTAGGAAGGGCGAGAAAGTGATCGAGGGTCTCATCTTGATCAATGACTGGCAAGGCAAGAATTGGAAGCCAGATACGCACTCGTAAATCTATGTTATCGCCGTTGATTAGCAATGTCCACGTAGAATAGAGAAAGCACCCAAGGCGTAAGGTCTGTGGATAACCAAAACACTATCTCCGCATCGCTGTGAGGTCCGGAAACCACCTCAATCATTATGATAGTCCTCCTCACCGTTTCTCCCGAACGAGAATTCATCGATCTGCCGTATATCAAAGCCGGATAGACCTAGCACGGCCCCAACTACCCGCGCAAACGCGGACGCCGAGACATCAAGCCCCCAAGACGTCTCGTCTGCGCGCATCGGGAATTCAGCCGCGCGCGACATGTGGCGTTTTGAGTGGCTGCTCGCATGAACCAGAGTGGCGTGACTCTCCCCTTGCCATATTCTATTCTGACACACCGTCAGATATGCAATCCGTGCGCAGTTCCGCGGGGCGCGGATGGCAAAAGTTAGCGACTTCCAGTGCAGTTGTGTGGATGGCTGATTGAATATTTGGACTGTTTTTATTCAATGTTTACATGTGTTTTGTTGGATCTATGGTATCGTATCGCGTCTTTCGCCTTCGCAGCGCGGCTGCGCTAGACATTGGGGTACTAGGTGCTATGGGGTGGGTGGATATGGTAATAATACGCTGTGCTCGAAGAGACAAGACATGACAATACAAATATAACGCCTCCACCACCACCGCCAAACAGCGGGTTCGAAGAAATATGTACTGGGTGATGAAGATGGGTTGCAATGTGGTAGCGGTGCGAATGCAAGCGTTTAGAAGTTCTCCTTGCCCCACACGAAGTTGAAGCCGGGCTCCGAGTACATGTTGCACTTGATGTGGAGGGTCGAGCCGAGGACTTTGGGCCCGCAGAAGAAAACACCAGCTTCTGCGGGCGCGTGGATCTTGCGGATGGACTTGAAGATCATGTCCCAGTTGGGGCGGCCGAAGTTTGTGGGCGCGCGGAGACCGGTGATGGCGTCTTGTTCGGCGTTGGCATCGTTAATCATGATGTTGGTCGCGTCGTCGGCCTTAATCTTAGCGGTGAGGTAGGTATGAATCTCGATGTGGTCGTCAAGATCCTGAGCTTCGATGGCCAAGAGCAGCGATCTGAACCACTCAAACGAGCCGAAATCTCTGCAAATCCAGAAGAAGTACACTTTCCGTAGACGAGTGCGGCCTTGAGGGTAGTTCATCCGGTACCAGATACTCTTGAGAATAGAAGCGAAAGGTGTCACACCGATACCAGCACCAACAAGTACGGCGACCTCGAACTTGAACACGTCTTCAGATGCAGAACCAAAAGGACCGTCAATGTAGACTCGCGGAAGGATCTGGCGAAGTGCGACCTCTGTGGCTCCGTCTTTTTCACCCTTGGCGCCGCCCTTCTCAAGGTTGCAGCCAAGTGCCTTTCCGAGCGCTTTCGTAAAGTCACCAACCATACGGACATGGACGGAGATGTAGTCCTCCTCGGGTGCGCTAGTGAGCGTGAATGGATGGTATTGCCAGATCGAAACCTCTGGGCAGCACAGGAAGATGTACTACAATTGTCAGCAAAGTATCAGGGACAAGCATTCGTAAACTTACCTGACCAGCCTGCGTCTTTGTGTTCTCCTTTTTGATCTGAATCTCACAGACGTTGCTGGGGTGCTGAATCACCTTGGAGACGTACGTCTTGTGACGTCCACGGATTTCGCGCGATGTTCGCTCGGCGAGGTACGCAAATCCACCATACATCCAATACTCCCAGAAGACACCGATACCGTCGCAGAAGGGCGCAAAGTCGGGCTTAATCATACAGAACGCACCGTGGATGGACCAGAAAACGAAGAAGATGATGAAGAGATGGTGAGTGTACCAGAAGCGTTCGAACTGTGCTCGTCGTGGTTTCTCGGCAGCGGTCCAGGCCATAGCAGACAACGCAATCAACATGACATAACCACTCCATCCAGGTCCGGTAGCCAGGTTGGCAATGAGGAAACCAATGAATCCGAGTTTGTTGACCTGAGCGAAAAGCCATAAGTTCCTCCAATGCGCAATGGTGTGTAGCCAGGAAAAAAAGACAATGGACCATCCGACGAGTTTGTGGAAGGTAATGTTTTTGTCAAAAGGAATGATGCCGTTGAGGGGAGTTCGACGCGCCATTGAAATCAGGTTCCTGCATACGGGGAATAGGATGAAAGCTACGTCGACGTGTAGCGTCAAAGCTGCTGAGCGAGCGACTGGGAACGTGAAGCCAAACGTGTTCCGCGCGCCAATCGAGTTGTCCTTGAAGCCATAATGTGCCATGCCGAAACCGAAAACCATCATGTGCAAGATCAGGAAAGTAAAGACGAAGCTGAGGTGGTCAGTACTTATTTGCGACCAGGAGCAACAAGACGTACAATCTTCGGTAACCCTCATTGACCATCCATCTGTCGAACTTTTCCTTCAGATAGAGTTCTCGAGGTTTCTCGTCCGACATCTCTCCAGACATGAGCATTCGCGTGAGAGGCGGCCATCTTGATCGCTCTCGGCCTGAGAGGCTGTAGCCTGCGTAGCCAGTCTTGTCCATGATGATGGATGTGTGAGTGCTGCAGCCACGGAAGGCTGGAATTAGAAGTGCCTGCGTTCAGATCCTGCTGAAGATGGGCAAATGGTTAGAAAGTTCAAAGGGCCAAAACCTGGAGCATAGTGAGCATGTGCGGTGACACAACGCGGCGCGAGGGCGTAGACTTACAAGCAGGTGTGCCCGCACTGAAGAAGAGAAGGGTAGGGAGAGATCACTTGGCCGGTTAAAGAGGCACCGGCATGAAAACGGAAGCTCTCCAAAGGGGAAACAACGACTATAAGCACATGCACGGTTGGAAGGACTTTGGAGGGGGTGGGGGGTTGGTTCAGGATATGATTGCGGCGCCATGTGGGTACGAACCAGCGACGCGTGGAGAAGGAATAAAGCTTAGCTTAACGGTAGCAAAAATCGAACCATTTTCACCATCCGAAGCCCAGAGCTGTGACAGGAGCTAGTAGGCGGGCTACGACAGCGTATCGCAAGGGCAAGGTGCGGCGCCCAGAGCCGCACAAGACCGGGCAGGGGCCAATGAACGCCTGGAAGGGTGTACAAGCAGACTAGCGCCGTGCCCAGATGGGAGGCTGAAACCCGTCTGGACATGGCATTTTCGTTTGGGTGACGAATGGAGAACGCTGCCCAGTGCGGCCGTGTCTGAGAGGTGTGTCAGGAGGCGATGTGAGACGAAGCGAGTCTGGCGTCGGCGCTTGGGCACCTCCACCTCTCCGACGTCTCGACTCTGCACAACGGCGGCGACTCGCGCCACCTGCAGACCAGCGTCCGCTATTGCCGGACGAGGCTCGGAGAGCTGCTGTACGCAGCCAAACAGCGTACGAACGCAGAAGTGACCGCTACCTCTACGGCAAGCGTACGTAACACTACTTATCATAGGTATATTCGATGGAAACCGCAGCGCCTTTAGTATGGACAAAGCCGATGGGAAAACACGTGTTGGATGTCGGCAAAGGCATCAATCATGAAAGGAAATCTGACATGTCTAGCAGGCCACATGTTTCTTATAATACACCTCCATTATTCCCGTTGCGGCACGTCTGCACGGGTACCTTCCGCAGCGTCAAACATCTCTAGTCTGGAACCTGGCAGACCCGAGCAAGGGAACCGATCTTCCGATGTTTGGAAGATCGAAGAAACGCCGTAAAACCATACTGCTACTTGACACTCAGTACATTGTATAGCCACCCGACGCCGAGATCGTTTGACCCGACACCCATCGCGCACTGTCGTCTGACAGCCAGGCGACAATCTGGGCAATATCATCGCTTTGGAAAGTCAGCACATCCAACCCATACCGAATACAGCAACAGCTTTTAGGGCCATCTTTGCAAAACTCACACTGTGCCATGCCGATGTTCGACCGGAGTTGTTTTTAGCTGCATTTCAACGATATCTTGGGGCACGTCGTCGAGCATTTCCGACACTACAGGTCCAGGCGCGACCGCATTCACAGTATGGCCCACATGCCCAAGCTCGGCCGCCAGTGCTCTCGTCAGACCCTCGATAGCAGATTTCGAGGCGGAATACATGGCCAGCGAGTCGAACCCTTGTCGTGCGCCGACTGAGGAGAGGTTGATGATCCTTCCGGGAGCACGAAGATGTGGTTCGACGGCCTTGATCATGAGCAAAGGCGCCCGAACGTTGACATCGAAGATGGCTGCGAAGTCATCCGCAGTTGTTTCGTATAGAGATTTGCTGAACAAAACCCCAGCGTTGTTGACAAGGATGTCAATCGTGGGACCGAAGGCTTCCAGTGTGGCTTGGACAACGCGTTCGGGCGCATCAACCTCTCGCAAATTCGCCTGCACGACTATCGCTCGGCTGTCGTTCTCAAGTCGATTGATCTGGGAAGCCACCTGATTCGCTCCTGCCTCGCTCTTGGATGAGTTGAATACAATGGTAACCTGTTCGTGTGAACGGCTGATTACAGCTTCTGAGGGTCGGATGTCAGACGAACACTGGCGCCTTTCTTGGCCAGCTCGAGGGCAATGCCAGCTCCAATACCGCGCGAGGAGCCGGTCACAATTGCAACCTTGCCCGAAAGGTGTGCTTCTTTGATCATAGTGGTGTGGTTGGTGGCGTCAGGCAGTGTGGTGTTTTGGACAATGTGACTAAAGTAGCGCACTAGTATTCGCAAGTTGGAGAAGTGAGACTCCAGACGTCCATTGAAGCTTCTATATAAGCAGGTCTCAGGTCATCCCTACTCCTGCAGACGAACAAGCATGACTGTGCGAACTGGGTGTAGACGAAGCTATTCGGAACGACCGATATCCATCGCGAGCATATAGTGATGTTCCAGAAATGCAAAAGATGATCATTGCCCGTCAGGCAAGCAAACTATAGGTCCGTGTGCTATTGTGTCCCGGGGATGGACGAGTGGCGCCGACAGCCCAGCAAATACCCGAGAACTGTCGGTAGTACAACACGCGCCAGCAACAAGGCTGGTGTTGCAGCTTGTTGGGCCCGGAACGAAATCACACCCAGACAAACAAGACGCTTTCGTTGCGAAAGGCCTTTGTGAGGGCATGAGGCGGGCGGCAATGCGATTGGTGGAAGCGGTGAGGGGAGCTCGCCAAGCCAACGGCGCGGGTCACGGGCGGGCGAATAATCTTCTCACCAACACGCACCATTCGCACTCACGCTCAATTTTCTGACTCCAACCCGTCTAACACGCGCGACTGCCTTCGGACTCCGGTCATCCTCCTGCGGTTGTATAAAGAACATTTGAAGTGCTAATTGTACAGGCACACCACCCAACGCGCCTTCTCCGAGCTCCCCGTTCCCACTGCAGTGGTAAGGACAAACTGAGCGTCTATATCACGCAGTGCATATCGAAAAGCATCATCGACCTCCACCATGGGCGGACTTCCTCTTCGAAACGACAGCCCGAGCGACCGCGAACGCAAGGCTGTCCGCGACTCTCCCGAGCGGGGCACCAAGAGGATAAGTCAGTCGCCCACCGTCACAACCGGACGCAGCCGTTGGTCTGCAGCCGCACCATGCTTCTTCCACTACCGCCCTGCACCCCACCGCGCCGTCCGGCATTCAACCTGCTGAGCATTCAACCTGCTAACTTGGCGCTTCAACCAGGGACGCAGTCGCTGCCCCCGCCCGACCTGCCCAAGCTTGTTGCCGAGCAGCACCAGCCCATCCCGAGCAGCGACAAAGACACGCAGCGCCTGATTGTCGTATTGTGCAGTGCCACCCTTGAGACATACAAGGCCTCGCACGGCGTCGGCCGCGGCGGCGCCGGCCGCGAAGACAAGTTCAACTTGCTCAACAGTGATGATCACATCGGCGTTATGCGCAAGATGGGCCGCGACATCAGCGAGGCCCGCCCCGACATCACCCACCAGGTAAATCGCCGACGCGAATACATTTCCACCTTCGCCACCATCGCGACGCCAGTGCTAACAGCCTGTGTAGTGTCTGCTCACTTTGCTCGATTCGCCCATCAACAAGGCGGGCAAGCTGCAGATCTACATCCAGACCGCTCGCGGCGTGCTCATCGAGGTGAATCCCACCGTGCGCATCCCGCGTACCTTCAAGCGCTTCGCTGGTCTCATGGTCCAGCTGCTGCATCGCCATCAGATCCGCTCTACCACTTCCAACGAGAAGCTCATCCAGGTCATCAAGAACCCCATTACCGACCACCTCCCGCCCAATTGCCGCAAGGTCACCCTCAGCTTTGACTCAGAAGTCGTGCGCGTGCGCGACTATATCCAGGGTCTGCATACCGACGAAAGCATTGCCGTCTTCATCGGGGCTATGGCCAAGGGAAGTGACGACTTTGCCGACCAGATTAAGGACGACAGCATTGCCATCAGCCAGTTCAACCTCAGTGCCAGCGTTGCCTGCAGCAAATTCTGCCACGCTGCTGAGGACGTATGGGGCATCATCTAACTGGACCAGCGCCTCACCGTGCCGCAGCATAGCGTAGTGGACACGCCGCTACCATCAATCGCCGATTCGAGGAAGGAAGGAGACATCAAAAGCATCGAAACCCAGGAGTGATTCAGGTTGCGGGACGCGCTCACGCCGAGATCACAACATCGACGCGTGGGCGCCGTCACCGCTGTGTTTTTGAGCGTCGTCTGAGTTTTCTTTTACAACAAAACAATACTCCGACTCAACGTCCAAAAAATACTCATAACGAGTCCCGCGGAGCACTCAACGTGCTCTGCCTCTCCTGTGTTTCTTTTGTTGCTTTGCGCAGAGGAAGATGCGCCAAAAGTAGGTACAAGTACCTGGGGTACGCGTGTAATGTCTTGTATGGTCAAAAGCTGCAAATAGTTGTTGGATAGATACCCGGAGCGATGTGCGGCAATAAGTGGGCTGTACCGACGTCAGTCTCCATATGCCGCGCGAATGCAAAATGTCGCATCTCATCTCGTCACGTTTATGACAGCGCACTTTCGGTCATTATTTAGTTTGACAAGTTTGATGCTTACGAGACACAGGGACATGGTGGGGGCGGCAGCGCGTGCGGCGGGAGAGCAACATGTGCGTCAGGGATGCCACCTGTTCGTCGTCTTCTAGCGGCATCTAGGGAGATCGAAGAAGCGTTCTGGCATCACACCCGTCGACAGCCCTGCCTCAGCAACCGGTAGCTGGCATTCACGCCGTCGATTGCATCGTTGGGGCTGTCCTTAGTCTTGCTCTGGTGCTTGGGTGGTACTTTCCCCATGTCGTTTTGCGGCACCTGCACTGTTGAGTCGTCATACCACTATATATATTGCTCCTGCAGCGCGGGGACATGTGGCCCGGTGGTGCATACGTATTGCTGGCTCTCAACGGCAACCTGCGAGATGGTCCAGATCCATTTAGCGTCCGGTTTTGCTCGAGTCACGATATGAGGCGGGAGAGGCAGCGGATGCGGGCCGAGAGAGCACCCAATCGCTTTGCTCGCTTGTGCCGCAAAATTAGCTGCAGGCGGTGGACATGTGGCAGCACGAGGGCACGACTTGACCACGGAGTCCTTGAAAGCCAACGACATCAGTGGGGCGGACTAAGACCGGCCTTCCCGCAAGGGTATGGACGCCTCGCCAATTCCTTCACGATGGATCGAAAGGCTCATGCCGCTCGTGGGTTGGATATAAACCTGTGGTGTCACCGCATGTACACTCTCTACACTCTGTCACACGTCCCGTACCCGCCCTAGCATTTTGCGACTTTGCTGTGCCTCAAACACAGCAGCCTATTTATTATTCTTTCACTGTATACCTAATTACTTTCGTCCGTCGTTCACCGCCTACCTGGAACATGCCTGTCTCCCACATTGGCCTTACTGTTTCGCACCTACCAACTTCATGTTCGTTCTTTCTATCAGCTCTACAACCTCTCGGATACCGCTATATCGGACAGCAAGGCAACCAGATTGGTCTCGGCATCTACGACGCCGATTTCTTCCTGTGCCAAGAAACGCCTGGGTAAGGAACCCTTAATGATCATCAGCAGTACTTACACTAACAAGACCACAGCGTAAAAGCTGGCGCAGCGCATATTGCCTTCACCGCTCATAGCAGGGCTGCTGTTCGAGACTTTTACGCCGCTGCTCTGACCGCTGGCGGTCGGCCTAACGGCGCACCAGCTTCCCGTAGTGACGAGGACGGCCACTTCAACGCTGCGATCCTGGACCTCGACGGCAACAGCATTGAAGTCGTTTTCAGGAATGGGCCCGACTTCAGGGATGACGGCACTGTGATCGAGCATAGTAGAGTCATTACGTGGCGAAGAACTGTGACTGAAAGCTTCCGCGACGACAGAAGTGTCGTCAGTAGTCGATCTACTCAGTCGTTATCAAAACAGGCATCTGCACCTGCTGCTCCCTCAGTTGCACCTTCGGCAGCATCGAAAGCACCCAGTGTCGCGCGCAGCGTCTCCGAACCTGCCATACCCCAAGCGCCTGCGGCTCCGGAAAGCGGCAATGGTGGTGGAGCCGCGAAACAGATCATCGGCACCCTCCTCGGAGCTGCCGCTGGCGCAGCAGTCGCTTACGCAATGGTAGCTAGCGAACGAGACAGCGCAAAGAAAGAGAAAGATTTCGAGGCATTCAAAACGGCCAAAGCGGCTATGGCATCGGTAGCGCAATTCGCTCAGGGCAGCGGACAGCCAAAGCTACCCCAGCAGGACCCACAACCCGCCTACGAGACCAAGCAACTACCACCACCTGTACACCGCAACATCAGTGACAGCGACTCCCAGTACTCGTCGCCGCGGGCCCGCAGCATACGAGCCATCGAAGCCGCTCCGAGCGATCATGGCCCACTGTATACGAAGGCGCCCACCCAGATCAGCGTGTCTAGACAGCTTGAGTATGCTCCAGCGCAGTCGATCGCACCTTCTAGGGTGTCCGAGTATGTTCCGGCTGCTTCGGTAGCACCATCCAAGGCAGCCTCCAGGTCGCCCGAGCCTAGAGCTATCGAATACGTCCAAGCTGCCTCGATCGCGCCTTCCAAAGCACCCTCAAGAGCGGCCGAGCTCCGGGCTATCGAGTATGCCCCAGCTGCTTCGGTGGCGCCGTCCAGACTGAGCCATCGATCGAAGACGAGCCCTGAGCTGGCAACTGCCGAGAAGGCTAGGAGCACCGTTTCCCGAGCTCAGAGTGCAGCACCCAGCTCTTTCATCTCGACCTTTGTCCCCGATGAATTCGAGCGTCGCAACACTGACGGTGGCAGCGTGGCTTCGCACCGCTCTAGCAAGTCGAAAAAGTCTAGTCATTCGAAACATCGTAGTAGTAGTAGAAGTAGAGCGCATTCACCTTCGCCATCCAAAGCACCATCGGACGCTCCATCGAAGGCTCACTCGAAGGTAGGATCTGTCTTGGGCAGCATTCTCGGTCGCGGCGGCGACGACAAATCCATCGTCAGCAACCCTTTCCGCGACGAATACGAGATCGACGACTACACCGATGACGATGACGACTACACGATCGCCCCGTCGGACAGCATCTCTCAGGTGTCGTCTTCGCACTCGCGCCGCAAGCACCGTTCGCATCGCTCCTCCAGGGACAAGGACGAGCACTCCGTGGCCGGCTCGTCAGCCAGCAAGCACAGCCGTTCTTCCAAGCACTCGTCCAAGTCGCATAAATCTCGCTCGTCTCACAGCTCGCACTACCATACTGCGGACGAGGAGTTCCGGAATAGTGTGATCAGCGAGCCCAGTGACGCAAGCACAATCAAGCCGAAGAAGTCGAGACACCCAGAACGGAAAGATAGCGCTACTGACTACGACGAAATGTTTGACCGCGTGCAGTATGGAAGCGGCAATGTGCCTGTTAGGGGCATCACACCGAGTATGGTCCAGGGGGGTAGCCCTGAGGAGGGTAAGAGCAAGAGTGTGATGGGGTATAAGATGGCGCAGAGGTTGAGGGCTTTTGAGGGGAGGTAGAGTGTGATGGCCTCATGGTTTTGTGCGGCATTGGTCGGATATGTTTTGCATTTGGCGTTCGGGTAACGGCTGACCACTTTACGAAGCATGATGATGTATAATGAGAGCATAAGATATAGAAGCGATAGACGGAGATGGCGTTAATCTTTGAGGGTCTTGATTTACCTTATTCCCTTTCGTGTGGACCTTGTGATGAGGTTGTGGCTTGATCAAAGCGTCGACATTGAGTGATAGAGCGAGCTCACACCTCCGCACTTCTCGCAAGGAATAGATACCCTGTACCGAAATTTTCTGCTTTTCTTACGATGCGACATCCTTTCGCATTCGCCACAAACCCAGCAGTGACTTGTATTCCCACTGTTGACCCAGCCCTCGTAGTCGCCGCATAGCGAGAACCGATACATCGAGCCGCTGCTTTCCCATCACCAAGTAAATCACGGTCCTCAATGAAAGCGAAGCGGACCAGACGCGAAGCCTGCATGGGCGTGAGAAACTCGTCAAGGGCGGCCCGGAACGCGTCCAGCGTTCTGTCGTATTTCGTAACTGCGTAACTGAACCGTGGGAAAAAGAGGGGGGGGGGGGGGGGGGGGGGGGGGGGGGGGGGGGGGGGGGGGGGGGGGGGGGTTGAGGATCGTGTCCAGGTCAATAAAGCTCAACTCTGCATTCGGTTCGTCTGTGAGGTCAGGCACATGATCACGGCGAGCGAGCTTTTTCCAATAGCGCCTCTCTTGCGCCCTCTCCTCGCGGTCGCGCACGAGATATCCTCCAACCTTTCCACCTCTTCACGCCTGTAAGCGGCCGCGTGAGGCGTCCCAGAGTGCACAGTCCGAAGCGACATTTGCTGTGAACGGGCGGACAGGGAGTGTCGCATCGATTGATCGCCTGCACTAACCATGGCCGACTTACCCCCAAGTCAGCGTATGTCTGAGTCCACCACAGAGAACTCCCCAGCTCCAATTTGTACCTCGACCTGGGCAATCCCCGAGCATAATGCGAAATTCCCGAAAAAGCCGGAGGATTTCGCTGCTGCTTACCCATCCGCAAACCGAGGATCAGCAGCTACTGCTCGACGACCTGAATGATGATGTCCTTGCTATCATTGTCGACTACCTGTTCGATATGGACGAGCTGAATGGTCAGCGCATCCACCTGTACATTAATACAGGCCCTTACGTTCGCACTCATCGAAGTACTTTCAACCTTGGCGTCGCCAACAAGCGACTCCGTTCTGCGTGCATTCGAAAGCTGTTTAGAGACATCCACAGGTGCTCATCGACGATGGGACAACTCAATAGGCAGCTGAAGGACACCGAGCCAAACTCCCAAAACCTTTCGAGTATCCGGTGAGCGCATCGCTAATCACAACACTTCTTCCACAGGACCTGCACAGACAAACGAATATGGCACGCGAGTTCCTGGTCAAGGGTGATAACGTAGTCAGGACATGTGATATTGCCACATCCTCCAGACATGATTCCATTCTCTACAAGACTCGTTTGCAGAAAGTCCTCCCAACGATGCCGTTTCTCAAGGAGCTAACTGTAACACGCAAGTGTTCGACAGCCAGGATGTTCAGCGGAACGCCGATCGATGCCGTCAAACCATATCCACGGCCACTAACCGATACTCTAGATCGCAAACATGTCGACTTGTCCATTCTGGAAAGGATGTTCTCGAAGGCCTATCACTTTTCCTACCGTCGTTGGACTGCGCATTCAGTGTCCTAGTGACTGGTGGTTCCTCGTCGAAGCCTGCCCAATACAGAACATCTGATCCTGCGAGATAATCTTCACCACGACGAGCCGATGGCGGGGGTTAAGAATCTTAGAAGATTGCGGCACCTCGAATTGTATGACAAGTGCTGGATTAGAGAGGACATCGAGCATCTCCAAGAACAGCTTCCTAACCTTGAGAGCCTAGCTCTCAAGGGTGGTATTGGTGACCAAGATGTCTTTGTCGGTGGATTCACTTCACTTACATTGGGGTCTTGATCCTGATCCCCTTTAGCAACGGGCAACTAAGTCGAGCAGATTCTCTTCGTGTGAGTGAATTCAAATCAAAGTGCCTAGAGCATATGAGCTAATCACACACTCACACGTAGTGTGGACTCTGGCCGTGACCGTCGACGATCGTGAAGAGCGTCGTTATGAGAGTGCATTCTCTGACGACAGCGAAGTTGCGATAAGCATTGTCAGGGCAAGGTTGTGTGATGGATCGGACGTCGATCAACGGCTTGTGGCTAAGACTTAATTCGACAGTTGTCCTGCTCTGGAGAATCTTTGGCTGGTACAATAATGGGAGTCACTCTGCCCCTGAACTGCGCCAAGGCAGTCTGACGGCAAGGTATCATCTGTGCACAACAAGTACTACGATGATGACAACCTTCCAAGGAATTGGGGGATCATTGGCAATCACTTTGGCCGTGACGGCTTTCCCCTGGTGTTGAGCTTCCCGGGCGATATCACTTCGTACGACGAGAAGCATGATCCCCCCAACTATGGAAGGGAAACTCCTGCTGAATGGGAAGCAGACAAAACACGGGAAAGACCACCTAAGATTGAAATCTTCGATCGCGGATCATCGATTCAGGATGCTGAGAAAGAATGGTACGCAAAACGGTAGATGCAATGGGAACACGATGATCGGTGTTGATTCGACTCCCTCGAGGATATAAACACTCATGAGCTGCAATGCAAATTGTCACCGATGCTGTTGTGCACAGCAAAGCGGAACATAAAGTTACGATCAGTCACAACGGACTCGTCGAATCAAGGGTACTTCGGAGATGAGATGGTAACACTGTATCAAGTCTAGGGCTGCGTGTACGAAGGCGCACGACGCCATACTTTAAGGCACCATCGGCTATGGAGCAGCAAATGAGCAACATCACTCATGTCTCCGTAAAGCAAGTTTCTCGAATGGCTGAATTTCCGTTTTGTCGTTATCAAGAACTTCCATAGCATCGTAGAGTACAGGGATATCTCGAACCCAAGAAAAAATCGCTCAGTCCGGAACGCCTCGCAAACTTTTACCAATCCAGACTCTACCTTCCGCCGATCTGCCCCTTAGGGACTGGCCTAATCCAGCTCACCGCCAGATTAATCCCAATCGTCATAACCCCAATAATCCAAAACACCTTCCCATACGCCTTCCCATTGTACCTGAAAATAATCGCAAACACAATCCCACCAAAATTCCCCGCCGCCCCCGTAAACCCGCTCACAACTCCATTCGCATGGGGATGCACGTGCGGCACAAGCCCAAAGTCGGCGCCGTTCCCGCCCTCGAGGAAAAACGCCATCGCCGCCACAAGCCCAAACATAGTCGCCTGGCTCTTACTATCGAGCACTCCAATGACAATGAGGAAGACGCCCGTTAGCACGCCATACGCGTGCAGCACGACTTTCTTCGCCCACACACTGCCTGCGCGACGGTACGCGAGGTCCGACACGAAGCCGCCGAGCGGGCGCGTGACGCCGTTGAGGAGGCCGAACATGGCGGCCCAATTGCCCGTCTGCTGGAGCCCTAGTGCGGGGAAGTTCTTCATGTAGTAGTTGCCCAGGATGCTGTTGATGGCGAGTTCAGCACCAAAAGTGCAAAAGTAGCAGGCTGCCGGGACGAGGGTCTGCAGGCTGAACATGACGCGCAGGATATTGGAGGCGGATGGGGTCTGGACAATTTCGCCGCGGGCGGTATCGACCTTCGCCAGGGGCGCGCCCTGTGATTCAGTGTCGTGCATCTTCTTCTTCTCCGATGTGGGTGTGCCCGGGGTGGTATCTTTGTCAAGGTGCGGCGCGTCGGTGAGGCGGCCCTGGATATCGACCGTGGTGACGGAGTGCGTATCTTCTACGGCTGCGGCGCGAGTGCTCCAGTGGCCGGTGGGCGTGTCATCGCAGAGGAGGAGGAGGCAAGTAGCGACGAAGACTATGAGGATGCCCGGGACGACGAAGGAGATGCGCCATGCTTTGTGAGGGGCGATATGTTGTTTGTGGACGAGCGAATTGTACACTGCGGGCATCACAAAGTATGTTATGCCGCCGCCAAGGTTACCTAGGCCGCCGGTGAGGGCGTTGGCAGTGCCTGAATTGAGTGTCAGTGTGCTGGTCTTTGGGGCAGGGAGGAGATAGGTGATGACATACCGACTACGTTCTTGTCGAAGAAGCCAGTAGTCCATACTTGACAGGGGACAAAGCTACCACCCAGGATGCCGATGAAGAAACGTAGTGCATAGAGACCGCTAGCGTTAGTGACACATCCAGCAAGGAAGGTGGGCACGGCGCCTGCAAGAAGACATCCCGCGAAGGTGAGTCGAGGTCCGAATTTGTCGCAGCAAGGCCCGGCAATGAGTCTGACAATCAATCTAACACTTTGTAAGTTGATGAAGGGCTAGATGTAGAGTATGGCACTTACGTAGCAGTTAAAGCAATGATATTGGAATTCGCGACTTGGTAGCTCTTCATGCCAATGTCGCCGGCAATGACATCAGCGAGAAGAGGAGGAAAGGCTGTATGTCTAAGTCAGTCTTGTCCCCTCTTGTCATGCAAAATAGGCAAGGGTCGATGGCTAAGGCTGGAGAGACAAGGCACATGCAGGCTGATGTCAACTTACCATACCACGACCAGAAGGCAATCATGAAGCCGAACCTACATGCTGGGTGAGCAAAGGGAAAATATTTGTTTTCTGACTACTTACCATGAGAAGAAGAAAACGCGTCCATATCGGTCTGTAACAGGGTTCAAGAAAGGGATTGAGCGCGCTTTCTTGTTCAGAGGGTTGATCTCCGGATGGGCCCAAAGAAGCGAGAATCGGGCCATTGCGACTGGGAGCCTATGTCTCTGTCCAGGTCACTACGGATATCCAGCTCGAAAACAGAGAATCTCGAGAGGCCTCTCGTTCTCGTTCTTGTTGTCGTTTGGAAGAGAAATGTCGTGAGATATGCCATTTCAACGCATGCGAGCTCGGACGATATTAATACCCTGCGAAATGCGCCATGATGCCTGGCGCCGAACCCAGCATCTCCGTCAAACACTCAGACATGCTCTAAAGATTTCCGCGGCGTAGATCCTCCCCATATATTATCCCTGGTCCCGCAGCCATGCCCTGCCACGCCCACGTCTGGATCCACAAAATGACTGCTGGCGACAGCCGGGCAGCGTTCAGACACCGACTGTTCTCTGCCATTCGTCATTCTTCGACCCGCCAGAACGGTGGCTGCGACCTAGATGAGGCGGGTGGCTGCCGTGATAAGCCTTCACCCCAGATCTGTCACCATGGCGGACGCTGGGATCTCGCATACTGTACACCATCTGCCCTTCAGAAGCATACATCGACCGAAGAAGTAAGCAAGAGCTAGGGACAGAACTTCCATTGGCTGGAGACGTGCATGTTGGTGTTGATCCTCTTATCTGCCACCGTCGATAGTCCCGAGGCGGCTCGTACTTTCTGTGGGCCTTATCAACCTCTCAGCCCTAGCAGCGCACACCTACCTATCTATAAGACAAGTCTGCTTTTCCGCGGCATTGCAATTTCCAGATTTCATTGAGGTAGTGAAGCTTGAGCCTAAATTAAGTGAGTATTTTGTAAGGGTGGTGTCGCTGAGAGGCCTCGGAACGCATCGCGCACTTTATCCTTATCATCATCCAACCAGACCTGACGATAGCCAAGAATTGAACAGTGACTTGTCATTGGCAGTTTCGAATCCCTCAACAGGCTTGTGCAGAACAAGCTTTTTGTCGTCTTATCATGCAATGCTTGGTTCGTATATAGGACCAACAGACTCATCCTTTGGTGTTGGACAACCGATCGTCTTCATTCTGTACCTAACGTCGTTGTTATCAGGGTGAGATTTAGTTCCCGTCAGGGCGCGGGATGATCAATCGTTTTGGCCTTATCTCCGGTAAACCTGCGTCCAATCAGACCCACCTCCCTGCTCCGAGGAGAAGCACACCCGTCACATGATAAGGCTAATGCCGCGCTGCGAAGAACGTCGTGTCTGCGTGGCATACAGGCAGTTTCGACCGAATGTAAAGCTGCGTCTCCGAGGGGTTGGGATGCATGGGAGATAATTTCCGATGGACCTTGCGGAACGGACCGATGCAAGGAAGAGCGGTAGAACACGAACAGCGAAGAGGCTGCGGGACGAATCAGAGCAATAGAGGTAACAAAATAGCATTGGCAGTGCTCCGAAATGGATAATTTTGTCCTGGGTTCGCGACACCGCAGTTGTACTCAAACTCTAGAGCAGCCCATTACGCAACAGTACCTAAGTGTTCTTCTAGCCCGAAAAGGCCTTTGTGACAGAAGCCCGCCCAATGTGTTGTGCATGCCGCGCTGTATAAAAAGGTTCGATGGACGCCCAACTTCGCCGATAGAAAATACATATTTGACGAAGTGGCGAATCGCTGCAGTTGCTTCATTTTTGCATCACTCGCTGAAATGCTCGAAATAAGGAAATTCGTGACGCGTATCGAGAGAGAAGTAAGGAGAAGGATTTGTTACGAGGCGGATTGAGGTGGTGGATTTGCGGATGAAGAACTCGGCACATCGAGCTCGTCGTATGGTTTCCGGCCCCAAACCACATAGCTAGCTGGTCAGTGAACGCAACGCATGCTGGGAGGTTCCGCTTACATCTTATGATAACCGTGAACACTGTGATTCGAGATGGATTTGCGGACGTTGACTAGATAGACCTCAATCTCGTCCTTGGTCCAATTTAGTCCTCTTGTGAACAGGAATAAACTCCATGCTTGGATGCCCTCGATGTAGTTCTGCTCGTTGAATTTTCCAAGCATTTTGAACTGGGGGTCTTTGGGCCAACCATTAATGGGCAGCTTGAAGACTTCTTCATGGACATCAACAAATCCAGCTTGCTCGTACCATCGCTTCAACTTGTTGCCAATGCGCATGGGCTTGCCTACATTCATGGCGGCTTTGTCTTGAGTCTTCGCCCACAAGGCAAAAGGATAATCTGGCGGCATGGTTCCATCGTCGCAGTAGACGGTTGGCATGATGTCCTGCGATTCCATCCATCCGCCGGGTTTCAGCGCGTGGAAACCTTTGGCGACAATCTCTCGAAAGTCCTCGAAACAGCCGAGGAGAAGACGAGTGTGGACGTAATCCTGAGGCTCCACCATCCAATCGTCTTCGTTGGCGTCGTCAATGACAAACTTGACATTGCTCGGGACCCTACAACATCAGAAACAGTGGGCCAAGAGCTGCGGCAAATCACTCACCATTCGGGCTGGATGGGTGACAGGTCAGTGCCGATTATCTAGTGGGCGTCAGCAAAGGCCCAGGGAAGGGATCTGAGGGCGACGCACCGATGCGTTGGGATACTGCATGCCTGCCACTGTTAACACGTCTCTCGGTGGAAATTGCAAGTCCAACATACCCATCTCGATGGCCCAAACTCCCGTGCCACAGCCGATGTCGAGGATCTTGCGTGGATCGTCGAGGGGTGCAAAGTGGTTCCTGAACCTGAACATGACCTTCCAGATCTCGTGTTGGACGTCCATGCGGTCGTTCTCGGGCTGCACACAAACGGTCAGCACAGCTGCGCTCCGTGTGCCTGCAGCGGGGTCGGTCGAAGCGCACCTTGTCATTGGGGAACGGATATGCTGTTGCGCAGTTAGTCGCGGCTTCCCTGGGACTGTGAGGGGGAGGGAGCTTACAGCCCGAGTGATAGCTGTGGTAAGTGCGGCCGTGCTCGCGGACGTAGTCGAAGATGCTCTGGTTGACCGACTTTGTGCTCCTGGACAGCGTCAGCTCGGGCAATTGCGCACCATGATCGAGGGACGACGCACGTGTCACAGCTCTGGATTCCATCCGAGGCGCCGCCCGAGGCTCCATCTGTGTCGGACTGCGCAGGCACAGGCAGATTAGCTAGAGTCGCCTTGGAGGCTTTGGGCGTGCTTCACGTACGTCGGCCTCGATGAAGTCGCGCGGGCTCTGGGGCTCGGACGACGGGGGGCTCGTGTCGCGCGAGGACAGCGGGATGGTCAGCGACATGTCTGCGGCCTCGTCGCGCGCACTGCGTGTTGCTGCGTCGGGCAGAGGAAGAGAGGCAAACCCAAGGCACTGGGAACCTTGTGGGTGGAGCCAGAACCACGGAAGGCGCCTGGGGCGCTCCTTCCCGAAGGAGCGACCACGGAACCATTCCCCCTCAGGTGCTCGCTAAAGTGCTTGCGAACCGCCAGAGAACACACCGCACCACCCAGCCCGCCCGGCGCCCTCGCCCGCCCGTGCCTGTGCCAGGCGGCGCAGGCTCCCTCTCTGCTGCCCAACCAAGGCGCTGAGTCTTGGACGAGCGCGCTTCTGTGCGAGGGTTGTCGTTGTCGTTGCGGCGCGATCTGGCCTTCGGTGGCGCTCCTTCGACCTGTCTCTGACGGCCTCTTGGGACAGCCGGTGCGAGAGCCTGCATGCGCCGCCGTCAATGGCTCCCGCTGTCTGGTCCTCCGTCGCTCCGCCGAAGCTTAGTCTGACGTGGCAGCTTTTTGGGGAGTCCCGGCTGCATGCTCGCTGCCAGTAGCGGCACCGCTGCGATGCGACGAGCATAAAGGCTAATAAAGCGCCGCCTCTCGGCATGCAGCGCGTCAATGACTCGAGCGCGAGACAGGATGCGGCCACCTCGTAAGCTTATTGGTGAGTTGTAACCCTCACAACTGTTTGGAGAGAGGACGCTTCGATATGCTTTCATGGGCATAGGAAATTGCTCAGTATCCGGGGCAGACCATAGCTCCTGGCTCTGTGCCTGGCCCACGTGGGAACAGTCGTACTCGGGAGAAGATCCATGTGCTTGATGATCTAGCCGTCCCAGGTGGTCTGTCGAGTGTGAGGACTACCTCGCTGCGTTCCACTCCTTTCGCTTACTCTTGATAAACAGCCACCTTCTTGAAGACTAAACAACTCACTCTTTCTGATGAGCTGCTCAGTCGAATTACAAGCCAGATTGACGGCAGGAAGTCCCCGGAAAAGCCGAAGAACAAGACTCAGGATTGGAGACGTACAACCATGAGACGGAATCGCTCCCAGGACCTGCGCAGCCTTGCTCCAAAGGTTGGCACCTATCGCCTGTCACAATCTGATTGATAGCATCGAGATCTTATGTCCCGATAATATCCAAGCTCGTCGCGTTTTTGTTACAATTTCCCGACCTCATCGACAAAGTGACTCACATCACTCTGATCCTGACAGAGCGATGGGCTATCGACTATGTGGAGATTCAGCTTGATTGGATCAAGATGGCACAACCCACTCGGATTCACGGGGAGATTAATCTCATTACGACTGTGTCTCTACGCTCGAGATGACACACCCTTGCGCATATGAACTTCAACTGCTGACAAATGTTACTTGCTCTCTGCCAAGGACTTCGGAGCATTGCCTTCGATGGGGGAACAATTGTATACGATGATCACCGTCGTCGTCCCATTCAAGGCACCGCTTTCGTACCTTCCATGACTCGTCGCTTCTCCTGGTTTTAGCCCACAGCTTCGATGCCAGGTCTACAGGTTACTCTCACAGTTCTCAACATATCCATGGGAGATGCTTCAGGGCCCGACTTTTTTCTCGAGATACTCGAGATGTCATCAATACAGATACTATGAAGAGCTTACGGGTAATATCATTGCCTTTCCAAAATTTCAGCGGGCATTACGAATTGGGATAGTGGAACACTCAAAACCGGCAAGTGGCTTCCCTGAAGCCTGCGACACTTGACTCTGTATGTCAACTATATCAATCAAGGCTTCTTGTACGGTTGGCTACACTGGATCATCCGTCACGCTCAGATGTTCAGGGAGTTGAAGTCAGTTCAATTCTACAGCATGCAGACAATCGATTACGAGGTGCGCTTGCTCGAATACAAAGACGAAGACGACGTCGCAAGTGTTTTGCACACTCTAAACGCGTTCGCTGCATTACCCGTGAACATGCGAGCGTTGTTCCTTCCAGTGAAGGTGTGCGATTCTGCAGTACTTGAGAACTACAGGGAGGACTGTTGGTTTTCGCGTGTAGTCACCTTGCCGCAAGAGTGAAAAAAAAAAGCTCAGGTCTGATCATCATGGCAGCCAACTAGTGAGCGGACGTGCGTGACTGCTTCACCAAAATTTCGAGCGATTTGGTACGTGCCTTACGATGTGTCAGAGTGCGTCTCATACACTCGACATTTGAGGAACAAGAGCTTGCTGTGTTCGGAAGAGCATGTTTTACAGATGCGAGTGGGGAAATTGCTGCAAGAACTGCCGTCGTTCGGCATTGACACCACCCGCTGGTGCATGCCTGTTTGCTGCTCGAGGTAACATCCTTTCGATCCTTAGAAGCAATCTAGAGCGCCACAAAAGAAAATCTGAATGCAGTGAGATATCCTACATATGTAGGTCAGACCATACGTCTACACGGACGTTCGTCTTGGTACTACACGTCTCACCGATGATTTCCGGTGCAGACTCTCATAGCAGAAGTCATAGAAGCGCATTTTAAATCATATCATCCCATTCATTCACATGCCATGAAGTCGTGATTGTTAGCTACGCCAGAGCGCCGTGCTCAATATGTCCCACGTCGTGTGCACCAGTAGTGCTTTACTTCTCGTGGGCAGCATGTCCACCCTTCTCGCCCAGCTCCTGTGCCAGCTTGCTACCCGCCTTGAACGTGCCGTCGGGGTTGCGCTATACCAACCAGTCAGCAAATCTCGTGATAGATCGAGAGGACCAAAACTTACGCCATCCTGCTCAACAGCTTCCTTCTCAACAGCGTGCTCGTGGGCTACATGGCCGCCCTTGGCGCCGAGCTCCTTTGCAAGCTCGGAGCCCTTGGTGAAGGTGCCATCAGGGTTGCGATCGGGGTGGTCCTACAGGTGGGATCAGTAGTGCAACGCCGGATTTACTATGAAAGACTGACCTCGGCCTGGCTGTTGGAGCCGTGAGAGGCGTGGCCACCCTTGGCTGCGATCTCGCGGAGCTCGTCCTTGGGGAGGTTCGCGAAGTTTGCGGGGTTGGAGTCAGCCATTGCGTTGGTGGTTTGTGGTAGAGTTGAACTGTTGTGAGTTGTGACTGAAGTCGCTGTGTGTATAAGGTTCGTCAAATGCGAGGAAGCACTCCTTTATATTCTCACTTGCTTGCTCTGCTGCCCTCTGACGTTATGTTGCCTACAGAAACAGCAGGCACGCCCGCGTTTCAAAGCAACAAGCAAACAACTGAACGAGCCATCTACATGCCGATCCCACCATCTCTGGCATTCTATTTGCTGCTTATCTACGCATTCTAGACCATGCCCCCTCAATGCTGCCTTGTCTGCTTCCCTGTAATGTGGAAAGCCGATACATATGACATCATCCGGGGTGACGCGAAGTCACGTTCTCACGTGGGACGCGTCTCGCTCGCGTCGGATCATCATGACTCGCGTTCACCGGCGGGATCGACTCCGCCTGACCCCAGCCTTCGCAACATTTAGACGCGTCTGCCTGTTCATTCTGCACATCCTACTCCACCCAAATTACTGCCCACGCACCTCTTCGCTCAATTGAACGTCTCGCCACCATCGCCACCGCAAGAATGAGTCTCAAGCGTAAGGCCGCCAGCGCCGCTACCGATGCAGCGAAGAAACCAAAGGTCAATGGCAGCATCACATCATTCTTCGGCGCGCCCAAGCCCAAGGAGGGTGCAACGGCTGCCGCGAAATTCGACAAGGACGCGTGGGTCGCGAAGCTTACGGACGAGCAGAAAGAGCTCCTGAAGCTGGAGATCGACACGCTGCATGAGAGCTGGCTGCCACACGTCAAGGATGTGCTGCTTAGCCCGACGTTCCTCGACCTCAAGCGCTTCCTGAAGAAGGAGCTGGCGAGCGGGAAGGCGGTGTATCCGCCCATGAAGGATGTCTATTCCTGGTATGACCTCCTGCAAAGCATCTATGACTCTTTCCCACCGTATGTATGTAGGAATTGCGTGGCAACGACTAATTGGACACTCGCAGGTCGCGTCACACGCCGCTCAACACCGTCAAGGCAGTCATCACGGGTCAAGACCCCTACCACAACCCGAACCAAGCCCACGGCCTGTGCTTCTCTGTGCGGCCACCTACGCCGGCCCCGCCCTCGCTCAAAAACATATACATCGCGCTCAAGAAGGACTACCCAGACTTCAAGGAGCCGCCGAACCGGGGCGGTCTGCTGACGCCTTGGGCGGATCACGGTGTCTTGATGCTGAACACGTGTCTCACGGTGGAGAAGAACAAGGCCAACTCGCACTCTGGCAAGGGGTGGGAGCTGCTTACGCAGAAGGTGATTGATACTGTGGCCAAGGTGCGGACGAATGGCGTAGTATTTTTGGCGTGGGGCTCGCCGGCGCAACAGAGGGTCAAAGACATAGAGAAAGCGTACAAGGAGCGGCATCTCATTCTGCGTAGTGTGCATCCTAGCCCGCTAGCCGCGCACAAAGGATTTGTAAGTGCTAGGCTGTTAGTGTGTTGGGTGGGGCTAACGGTGTGTAGTTCGATTGCGGACACTTCAAGAAGGCGAACGACTGGCTGGAGGTGAAGTACGGGAAGGGTGAAGGCATCGATTGGAACCTAGACGTCGACCCGAAGGAGGCGGGCGTTTAGGCTAAAGCGAGCTGCCTTTCAGCTGCTCTTCGAAGCCGTTGTGTGGTTTCGTCGAATTAGCATCTTGTGTTGTATGGCACTGGTTTGATGCATCAGCGCTATAATCGGGTTCTGGGCGTTGGACAGGCGTTTGGAAAAAGATATCACGGTACTCGCAAAAATTTGAGCTCAAACTTCAGGCTTCAGGCTTTTCCCCTAAAGGCAGTACCATACTCGAGGGTGAACTAGAGACACCGTACGCCCGCGCAAACCTGTACCAGGACCTACCATACCAACGATGTGATTTTGACGAGTGAGGAAGACTGTTCTTCCCCTCTGTTTGAAAGCAGGTTCCAGTGAGGCGTATTTCGAACACTCGAGCATCTACCGATCGTTGGTCCGAGGTATGATGTACGATGAAATCTCACATGCGTGCAGCTGCACAGTGTTGCCTCTTAAGTGCAAGAAGTTGAGTTAATTCATGTCGAAAAGGAACGTAATGCTATCAAAACCAACGCCAACGCTATGCTCGAGAGAATGTCGCTAAACATGCCAGTCAAACGAAGAGAATCCATTGTCCATTACCACGACCATCAATCATCCTATTCCCCATCACTGATCCATCGCCTGCTTACAAAGGCACATTCTTCACAATGCTCCCACCCTGAAACGCCAGCTTATCCTCACTCGGCTGCTTCGTCACCGCCGTCTTGGCCTTCTCCTTATACGCAGCGAGCGTCTTATCCCCATCGAAGTTCTGATTAATCACCCCGCTCATGCCCTTCTGGCAGTGGTCCCCGTTCGTCTGCGAGCAGTAGTACCACAACGGCTTGTCATTCTTAACCAAGAAGGTGAAGACGTTGGGTGCCTCGCCGCTAGGCGTAGCAAAGTTGAAGCCGGAGAAGATGCCGGTGCCGTCGGCGAGGGGCTCGCACGGCGCGTCGAAGGAGGACTGCACGACAGTGTGGTTCTTGGGGAGGAAGTGGAATTCGATGAGGTCGCCGATGGCGGCGACGACATTCTGTGGCTCGAAGTGGAGGCCGTTGTTTTCGACGGTGGAGCCGGCGGTGATGCGGTGGATGACGCCAGTCGGGGGGATGGAGTTGGGTGCTGCGGTGGTGAGGCCGAGGAGGGAGGTGGCAGCGAAGGCGAGGGTGGTGAAGGCGACCATTTTGAAAGGTGTAGCGGATCAAGTTGGAATTAGAAGCTAAATGTTGCGGAAAGTAGATTGTAGGATGTGTAGATGGAGTAGCTTGTGATGCTGGAGTGCGTTGATGCTGTGATGAAGATTCTAACGTCCTGGGGTTCATGATTTATAGAGAGAAACGAACATGGTCGCTGAGCCCAGCATCGTAAGATTACTTCTTCATCTCTAGAGACATGCGCGCGGAAGAGATTGCTGCCGGATGGCTGCGCGCACTAATTTGGCGTTCAGCCTCCACAGCGTCCTCGAATTCCTAAATTCAAAATGTAAGAAATCTTGGTAACGATGGGCGCCGTATTCTTACACATCCGGTCTATTCTAGCTCCGCTCGTTAGCCAATCATAGAAGCAGTCTTGCGTCTATTTGGGGTCGAATTAGAGCCAAAACTCAGCCCCCTGCTCAGCCCCAGAGCTTCCCAGAGGCTGACGAGATTACAAACATTCGAACGAGCTACCACTATTTCCGATGCACGAAATAACCTTATTTTTCTCCGGTACGATGGCATTCCACGTGTGGCCGGTCTAGAATATCTCGTGTAGATCGTGTTGCGCGATTGAACTCGTTCCACAGCTGCCGGTCTTGCATCATCCGGAGGGATGTCTTCTGCGCGCAGCAGTCTTATTCGTGATGACGACGACAAGTGTCAAAAGTAACACAGAATCACTCGTTGAACGAGTCTTCAACGCGCAGGGGTCAGATTGGCAGGGGAGGTTGGAGTCTTCGTTTCTCATCGCAGGCTAAAATTAGAAGCTGGCATCGTAGGACTAGAAACCGCGTAGAAGCCCTTGTCTGAATCTCAGTGAGTTTGTATTTTTTCAGCGTGAACAGTGCTACGGAGATGCATTCCGCCTCAATTCCGCAAGAGTCAGATGCGATACTCTGTGGAGACTGGAGATCCGGCCGTTAAGCTGCACGAAGGGAGACAGCAGAGGTCTGTGTGCAGGTTTTGAGCGTTTCTCCTTCCACTCTCCTTCATAGCACAGATCAGTATCACGAAGACAACCGAGATAATCTCACAGGAATCGTAGTCCCACGGTTTGGCTCAACCATGTTCAGGTGCTCATGGGCTCCTATGACATGAAACGACGCATCATTGTCTCGATTAATTTCTCGAAGCATGTCTTAGACTCGATTGACATACATTTTGTTCGTGTGGTCTCAGCTTGTGCTCGCTTGTTTGCTCGTTCGTTCAGCTTTGCTGACGATATGTTTGCCTAAAGATGCTGATGAGGTCTCGGTGATTGACCAATCACAGAGAACGACAATGTTGAACAAAGAAGATACTGCGATTAAAGTAACTGAGTCGTCTCAGGATGAAACTTGATCGTATCTTTTGGCTTTGCTGCGCGTCTACAGCGTGGCTATGGGAGTTGTATGCGGCACGGTTGTCAATGTGAGCCTAAACGAGATCGAACAACAAGTGAATTGAATAGAGACAACGAGGGTCTGAAAGGGTGATACGGAATTTCGTCGCGATCCACGCACGAGACTACTTCTTGCATCGTCTTCTGTGCTAGCACAAGACCTCGGATGTTTGTACGAAAAGTAATCAGTCGTTTATGTATCGCAAGGATTACGTCCAGAACCCGGCGCCGCGGCCGCCACATACTCGTTCAGATTGGTACACACGCAGGTTAGCATCGGCACCGTGGGCCTTAACAATGGATAACGTTTTATCCCAGGGCCCAGTGCCGTGCTAAGAGCGGGATGGCTTCCCTGTCTCGCTCAAGATAGTTAGCCTCGCCGCAACGGGCCCAAAACTAGGCTAGCGCGCCCGCTCCGGATTGCCCTTCTGAGTCGCCCAGGAAAGACGCGCCGCGAATTGGAAACGGCTCAACAACGAACGATTTAACGCAATAAATTAGACAAGTAGGGGCGCCGCGGGAGGGAGGAACGGGCTGCGCCCCGCGACGAGAGTGGATTGAAAGCTGGGGAAGTCCTGGGGAAGCCTGCAGAGTTCAAAGACCGCGGTCTTTGCTCTGGCGTGACGTCATCTTGTACATGTTGCGAATGAAGCATTGCTGATGTATATGTCGAGAAGAGCAATGAACCAGTGAATCTAGGGTTCTTTGAAGATCTATTGATGCGCATACATAGTAACTAGATGCTGCTAGTGACTCGGTGACGGGACTGGTCCCCCGTTGATCCAAGGCAAGCCAAAGATCAAGGCCCAAATTCTGTGAGGCCCACCTGCGATACACAGCTCCGAATTGCACGGCAACAGCCAGAACCTTCGTCGTCCATCGGCAAGTGGACCCCTCGCACGTTGCGGCCTCGTGAACACCCTAAGTCCCACTCCAGCCCCAAGGCCAACAACCCACGCGGACCGATTACCACGCCATGCACGCGATCTAGCACCCTCACCCTTGGCAGACCTGACCTCAATCTCTAGGATTTGGCAATTTCTTCCTGGCGGAGATTGTTTTGCGGCTGCAATTCGTTGTTCTGCTGGCGGCGGGTTGCAAAACTTGCGCTAAGGACGTCTCCACCTCCAGAATTAATGGCCGAAGATTTTTGCATATAAGGCTCACTCACTACCCAGACACAATGCACACTTCGGCGACGAAGGGTGCGTGTGTCTAAGACAATTCGACTCCGCTCGTGCACTTGCAACAATGGAGAAGTTCGACACAGTTAATATCATCCCTGGGGAGCAACACCAAGAAATCACCGGCATGGTTTCGGCGGAGCGAGCGTGGACGACGCGTGAGCCATATGGGCCGTCTGGTATTTTGTCTTCAAGAACGTGAGAGGAGCAGTTCGTTTACTTGTTGTAGGCTTCAAGGGGCTTTTCAGCAACTACTATGTCGCTCTATGTGCACTTTTCGCCACCATTGGCGGCCTGTTGTTTGGCTATGAGTATGTCTTCAAATCGGAACCGAGAATCACAATCGCTAACGTCCGTGTAGCCAAGGTGTCATATCTGTCACACTTGTCATGGATCAATTCTTAAACCGCTTCCCGCGGGTCTCCGAGACTGCTTCCGGCGCTGGCTTCTGGAAAGGTCTTATGACCGCTATGCTGGAACTCGGTGCTCTGCTCGGAGCCTTGTTCGCCGGATATCTTGCGGACAGACTGTCAAGGAAGCGATCGATTGTGGTCGCAGTCATCATATTCACTGTAGGGAGCATACTCCAAACCGCAGCACAAGAGTATGCCATGCTCACCGTTGGACGCTTGATCGGAGGTGTGGGAATCGGCATGCTTGCCACCATCTCTCCCTTGTACATCTCCGAGATTGCGCCTCCGGAGATCCGTGGCGCCCTTCTCGTTCTTCAAGAGTTCAGCATTGTTTTCGGCATTGTAGTCGCGTTCTGGACTACGTATGGCACACGCTACATGCCCAGCGAATGGTCGTGGCGCCTACCTTTCCTCATCCAGATGATTCCGGGCATCACCCTAGGCGTCGGCATCATGTTCCTGCCGTACTCTCCTCGCTGGCTATCCTCCAAGGGTCGCGATCAGGAAGCACTGCAAGTCCTTTCGCAGCTAAGACGTCTACCGGAGAGCGATTCCCGCGTCTTCCAAGAGTGGTGCGAGATCAGAGCTGAGGTCGCCTTCACGCGGGAGGTCAACGCGGAGAAGCATCCGCTGCTACAAGAAAACACTAGAGCAAACCGCATCAAGCTCGAGATCGCTGCGTGGGGTGACTGCTTCAGACATGGTTGCTGGCGAAGGACGGTCGTGGGTGTCGGCATCATGTTCTTCCAGCAATTTGTAAGTACTTTCTATCGAGCAACTAATAAGAAAAGCACTAACGTCCTTCCAGGTCGGCATCAACGCGCTCATCTACTACTCCCCGTCCCTCTTCAAGACTCTTGGCCAGGACTACGAAATGCAGCTCCTCCTCTCCGGCATCATAAATTGCACACAACTCGTCGGCGTCGTGACGTCTCTCTGGACCATGGACCGTTTCGGCAGGCGACTGCTGCTCCTTGTAGGCGCTGCTCTGATGTTCATCGCGCACCTGATCATCGCTGTGCTAGTCGGCAGGTTCGGCCACGCATGGACTGACTATAAGACCGAGGGCTGGGTCGCCGTGGCCTTCCTCTTCTTTTACATGTTCAGCTTCGGCGCGACGTGGGGACCCGTTCCCTGGGCTATGCCGTCAGAGATCTTCCCGAGCTCGTTGAGGGCCAAGGGTGTTGCTCTGTCCACGTGCTCGAATTGGCTTAACAATTTCATCATTGTGAGTTCAGACTTGGGCTCTGTATGCTGAAAATGCAAGACTAATGAAATATAGGGTCTCATCACCCCACCTCTTGTACAAAATACCGGATACGGCGCGTACACCTTCTTCGCAGTCTTCTGTGCGCTCGCGTTCATGTTCACATTCTTCTGTGTTCCCGAGACCATGGGAAGAACGCTGGAGCAGATGGACGCCGTTTTCGGAGACGTCAGCAGTGAGGAAGAAGAGGCGAGGAAGGTGCGCATCGAACGGCAGATCATCGCTGAGCAAAGAAACGATGCTGTGGCGAAGCCTTGAGCAAATTATACAGGAGAGTTCGTTATAAATACGGCAAGACATGGAAGCGTTGTAGCTTCCTTTCGTATCACGGCGATACTCAAAACCCGTGCTAGAAATTCAATTATGGTTAACCCAACAAGTCAATTGGGTGGTTGCCTATGTGTTCATATGGACATTGAGCCTGCTGGCCAATGACATTTATAGATGTGCTTCTCTACGGCTATAATGATGCCCACAAGGCAATAACGCCAAGATGCCTTCATGATATCGTCTATGCGCTTCATGATGATATACAACACAAATGCTGTCCGCTCTTAGCAGAACGATCGCATCTTTATGCGGTCGGCATCGCCATGATGCCGCTCCATCCTCCTCCTCCACCACCACCTCCACCACCAGATCTTCGATTTCCAGCGCCACTCGAAGGCGCCCTTCTTGAGCCGCCGGCTCCGCCAGGTCTCTTAGCACTAGGCGCTTTACTCGATCCTCTCTTCTTCACGCCAGCATACGCATCCCCAGAAGCAGAAGTTCGCTTGCGGTAATTTTTCTTCCTGAAGGGTTGTTTTGCGGAGCCAACTCTAGCGGCATTGGGTGCCCTCGGCCGGGGAGCTGGTCTTGCTGGCTCGGCTTGTGAGAAACGTCTGTTGAACGCCTCGACGTCTGGGTTGACGGGGTGGCTGAAGAAATGGCTCGTGTGCACAGTTTCATCCTCGTCATCATCTTCAAAGTCACCCATTGACACAACACTCTCATTCTCAACTTGTACTTGCGGTTGTCCTTCGCAATCGCCGTCGCTTTCACCGAGAAGATCGATCTCAATCCGATGGTTGGGATCTGCAGGTCTTTCCTCGTAGTCCTCGTCTTCAGATCCTTCGTCCTCGGACTGAGCTCTCTGAAGTAGATTCTTAGGTACAGGCAAACATCCCGATGCCGTGAATATTTCCCTCGTATTCTTGATGAGGACTAAGAATCTCTTGCCGTAAAGCCTTACCATTTCGGGATCGATGCCGGGGATCGCAAGCATTTCCTCTGTAGTGGTGGGAAGATCAAGCCCCATTTCGCGGAGAATGGTATCAGAGAATGGCGCGAATTTGAGACCTTTTTTAAACTTAAGATCCTTGATCGCATTCTTGGCGCCGGTCATGTAATCGCGTAGGATGTCTTGCTGGAGCTCATCAATACCATTCAATCTTTCATCTACGGTGATAGGCGCACTGTGCGTCTTTTGCTTTAGTCGTGGAGGAGGAGGTCTTGCATCGCGTACGGGCGCGAAATCGCTGTAGTCCTCATCGTCATCGTTGTCAGGTATGACGAAATCGTTGTCGTATCGCACTCGACTCTTTCCGCGTGATGTTTGAAGAGCTGCACTACGATGATCCTCGTCATCATCTTGGTTGTATGTGTATGACTTGGTACTTCGTTTAGGCGGACCTCGAATTGGTGAGGATACATTGGTGGAAGGGTACTCGGGTCGATTCTTGGGCGCTTTCTTCTTGGATTCTTTCTGGGCGACCATCTTCTTGCGAGGGGTCACACGAACCTGCATACTAAAAGGTCTTGTGCCGCTTGCGTACTCGCGACTTCTCGGGCCAAGCTGTCATTGTTAGTTGATGTTGCGAAGCGGCACCGTCACACTTACATGGATGTAGTTGGTCGCGAACCCCATCTTATTCGACACAGAAGTCTCTTCCAAGGCACGAGACTCTAGTAGATGGTTGAAGACGCGTTCGACATCGCCCCTTTCCAGATCGGCCCCGAATCCAAAGATATCGCCAATGTCCGACTTCTTTATTTTGGCATTCTTTGCTCCACGGAATGCATCAACGCATTGCAACACAGTGACCTTGGACTCATGTACTTTCCTGACAAGTTCAATGGCCTTCTGTGCGTATTGAGAGAGGTCCTTCTCCTCGAAAGTGGCACCTGACGTGCAATTGTCGCAGGATTCTCCGCAGTCCTCCTTCTTGAACGATTCGCTGAAGTAATTAAGAACTTGTACCCTGCGGCAATCACTCTTATTCTCGCAGAACTGAATGACGTTCCTGAGCATGTCGTGCTGCCGTTGTTTTTGCTCTCTGCTGCCCTCGCCCTCATCAATCATCTTTTTCAAGATTTTGCAGTCGCCATAATTGTAATAAAGATAGCATGAGGACTTCTTGCCATCCCTTCCAGCGCGACCAGTCTCTTGATAATAACCCTCCAAGCTCTTCGGTAACGAATGGTGCACCACGAAACGCACGTCAGCTTTGTCGATACCCATCCCGAATGCAATCGTAGCAACGATAACGTGGTACTTGTTGGCCTGCCATTTCCGCTGGACGTCTGATCTCTCGGGTGGATCCATTCCCGCATGATAGTGGTAGGCCGAGATGCCGAGATCGGTAAGCTTTTTGGCAACAGTCTCGCAGCTTTTGCGTGAGAGGCAATAAACAATACCGCATTTGCCAGGAAACTGGGATTTGATCAAATCTGCAATGTTAAGCACGATATTCTTTGCTTTGGGTAGGACGGAGTAGGACAAGTTTGGACGATTGAAACTCTGCGCTATCAAACGAGAGCCACCAATACCCAAGTTCGCCATGACATCGGTCCGTACTAATTGAGTCGCTGTAGCAGTGAGAGCAATTATCGGTACACCTGAGAATTGACGCACAACATCGCCTAGTGCCTTATAGTCAGGCCTGAAGTCATGACCCCATTGACTGACGCAATGAGCTTCGTCGATAACTACTCGGGCTAAACGGTTGCGGCGATGGAGTTGCTGAAATGCGTTGATCATCCGTTGATTCTTACTAAGCATCTCTGGAGTCACATAGAGCACATTTATGAAGTCTTGGGGGTCGCGTTCTTGGAGACCGTCCATGATCCCTTCCTTGTGCTCCGCTGTAGATTCTCCGTTGATGAGGAATGCTTGCATGCCGAAACGGTTCCGGCAAGCGTCGACCTGGTCCTCCATCAGGCTTAGAAGAGGCGAAACCACGATAGTCACGCCCCGAGTCTTTCCTGACTTGATGACCGATGGTAGTTGGTAGCATAAAGACTTGCCACCTCCAGTGGGCATGAGAACAAAGCAGTGTTCGCCTCTCAGTGTCGTGTTGACGGCGTCTAGTTGGCCTGGACGAAAACCTCGAAGCCTGAATCGGTAAAGCAATGCATCCCGAACTTCTCTCGACCATTCGTGGTTCATGCCAGGCGCATTGAGCTGTGGTTTTTGGGGAGATGGCGGACTCTTGCGTTGTATCTTGTTCGCGGAGGCTTCCTTGAGAACTCCTCTGGTCGGTTGGACGCTTCGTGTATCCACCCTGTCACCCTTCCAATCGTATCCACTACGGGGTCTGTTCTCATCAATATTGCTGATCTCATGAAATAGATTGTCATCGTCTTCGTCGCAGAAATCTTCCTCGTTGATTTCGAATGCTTCGGGCGCTGCACCCATCGTAGCGCCAATTGAATTGACATCATCGTCATCGAAGTCGTCTCCAAAGTCATCGTCAGATATAACGAACGGCTCTACTGTGTTGTTTAACCCTTGGTGGGGCGAACCGCCTTGACGACGGGAGTCTAATCCCGAAGCAAACGCAACCTGACTACTGGGCACAGGACGCGTGTGCGATTCTGCTTTCCAATCGAGACGTGGAGGGGTTGACTCGATAATGTGAGTTTCAGCGAACCTGATACGTCGTGACGGTGTCCAGACCTCGTGTCTGGAGATCTGCGTCTGCTTAATATATTGCGTTTGAGGTACATGATCCGGACCTTGTGCAGGAGCCATTCTGTTGGTATTCGATGTTGGGGTCGCCTGCGTAGACTTCACAACGACTTTACCCATATTCTGGTTGGCGGTGTCGCTGGCCATTTTTGTGTATTTCACCAGACCAGCATCTTTGAACAGATAGTACATCTGCACCTGGAGATCGTCGAGATCTTTGGCATAGCTATTCAATGCTTGAGTGTCTTCAAAATTGAACTCTTCGTTGTCAAGATCCTCAGCAATCTTTTCCCTCAGCTCCTGTCGCTTGGAATTCAGATCTTCGTGCTTGGACTTCATAAGTAGAAGCTGCTCTAGAGCTCTCTTATGTGTGTTGGCGCGCTTGATAGCTTCTTGATGCGCTGGCGTTGAGGTGCCGGCTTCCGCGTGTTTTAGGTACGCATCTTTAGCTTTCGCCCAAGTACCGACAGCAGATTCAACCTGCCGCTTCAGACGACGTCCCTCCGAGTCTAAAAACATCTCAACTGCCTGACGGATGTTGGCCTTCTCCTCGCTTGGCAATTGCGAAGCGGCGGGAGCGGGAGCAGACTGTGTGGATGCCGGGATAGGCTGCACTTTCGTGGGAGATTGAAGCGTCGTCTTCGAAGATTGAGATGTCTCTGGAGTAACTAGAGGGCCGTGCTTTGTTGTCTGTGAACGGCTGGGTGCCTCTCGGAGTTTGGAAGGCGACCGAATAGGTAGCTCGATCTGTGACGAATGACTGGCGGTATCAAAGTGGTTCGACGCTTTCTTTTCCGGACTGGCCATAGGGACGATATCAAGTTCAAACCCGTCCAAAGATTCGAAATCGTCCTCTTCGGAATCTAAGACTGTGTTTTGGCCTCTTCGCTTGGACGTGGTGTCACGTGCGAATTGGATGCCCTTCATGGGCGAAGGACTGCGAGTAGGTCTTCCTAGTTTCTTTGCAGGGGCCAGTGTTTCTGACGGAAGACGGCTCAATGGCTTGCGCTTCCGACTGCTCTGAGCGGGCTCTTCGCCGACCTGCATCAACCGTCCATTGGACACAGTGGTCGAGTAGGGCGGCGGTGGGCTTTCCGGAACAAAAGTCATCATGTCATCAATGTTCGCAAAGCCGTCATAGTCGGTGCTGGGACTCGATGCAGGTATTGTATTATCTGGGCGCGGAGATTTGCGCAGCACAAGGTCTGCCGCATACTCATCGCTCTTCCTCTTCTTTCCGCGGCTTTTGCTTGGGGACTGTTGCTTTCCAACGGCACCGGTCAAATCGATCGCCTCAATAAATGTTTCCGGACCGCGGTGTTTGCGGGTGGCTGACGGCTCAGCTGTCGGCGTAGTGGAGGCTGCCAAGCTTCTTGCTGTAACACTGCTACCCAAGGTCGGACGCGCGCTCTTCAAGCCGAGCCCAGCGAGCACCAGTCTAGCTGTGTTCTCCTTGGGAGTAGCCCTCAGCCGTGCCATTTCTTCCGGCGATGCCTGTTCCGAGAGCAATGTGTGTATGTCGACGGTGCGGGCGCGAGCGAGGGGCGGTATTGTTGGAGTGATTCCGCGTGAGGGTGCCGGGGCTTGTTCATCGTTCGGCGGAGGAGCTATCGGGAAAGAGGAAGGCTGCGAAATCGTCGCTGAGCTTGCCGGGGCGTCGGGGTCGTATGCAATGAGTGAAACTGCGGGCGGAACGAAAGGCTTCGCGGATAACAGCCACTTGAGTTCAGCGCTAAAGTTATTCTTGGTAGGCATTAGGGTGTCGCCTGGTCCGCGAGAAGGTCTGCATCGGCAGGCGGCGCGTAGTCATGCATGCGGTGGGAGGCTCAAAAGGCGTCGTTGTGGCGATGTGGGGGCTCAGACGGGAACATGTTGTGCAGTCGCGTTACTCAGTCGCGCCTGCCTCGCGCTAGCCTACTTTCGTCTTGACTAACGCACGCCTGTCCACGTGACCAGAGCCGGAATATCTCACCTGCAATACTTTGCGATGGCTCCTTCTTCATTCTCTCATTTCTTCTTTGGAGATATCTCTCGAAATGCATTCCGATCCAGATACGTTCTCTCAGCTCGCTTCGGCGATTTCTGGCCTTCACCTTCAACCACCACCTGAAAACGTTCTTCCGTCGGAAAACATCGTGACTCAGGCACGCGGAAAATTGCAGACAACCCTTTCATCGTCCGGCGTGGGCTTCGAAGAAACAATCAGACATATCCGCGAAGATCTTGCACCAGGCTTCAATGGTTCCAGCCGCTCACCCAATTACTATGGCTTTGTGACTGGCGGCAGCACGCCTGCCGCGGCACTTGCCGACAATCTGGTCACTATTTACGACCAAAATGCCGCAGTTCACTTGCCCCAAGAGTCAATAGCCACAAACGTGGAGGATTCCGCTACTTCGCTATTGGCTCAGCTCCTAAAGCTCGAACCATCACAGTGGCCGCACCGCCTCTTCACCACCGGAGCAACAGCAAGTAACGTCTTAGGTCTCGCATGTGGCAGGGAGTACGCCATTTCAGAGGCCTCTGCACACCGCAGCGACCCTGTGTGCAGCGTCGGCGAGCTGGGCATTGTTGAGGCCATGCGCAGTGCTGGCATCGACAAGCTTCAAATCTTGACCACCGTTCCGCACTCTTCACTTGTCAAAGCCGCCGGGATCTTGGGCCTTGGACGTGCGTCAGTGGTCGATGTCGGCCTACCAACCGTTTCGCACAAGTTCGACCTTGCTCGGTTGAAGAATCTGCTAGAGCAGCCTCGAACTGCTTCCATCATCGCCGTCTCCGCATCCGAAGTGAATACTGGACTGTTCGCTACCTCAGGATTAGAAGAGATGCAGGAGATCCGTAAGCTAGCTGACACGTATGGTGCCTGGATCCATGTCGATGGTGCTTTTGGCATCTTCGGGAGGATTCTCACATCGCCAGCTCATTCCGACATCATCTCTTTCTGCGCAGGTCTCGATCTCGCGGACTCAATCACTGGTGATGGACACAAGCTTCTGAATGTGCCCTACGACTGCGGCTTCTTCTTCTCACGCCATCGCGACATTGCGAAATGCGTCTTCCAGAACCCCAATGCCCCGTATCTCAGCACTGGAGCAGCCACTGATTTGCTCGTATCACCTTCTAATGTCGGGCTTGAGAACTCGCGTCGACTGCGTGCGCTACCCGTGTATGCAAACCTGACAGCCTACGGTGCGGACGGCTATCGAGCTATGCTTGAACGACAGATTGAGCTGTCCAGGGGCATAGCCGAGTATCTCATAGACAGCCCCGACTTTGAGCTACTCCCGGAATCAGACCGATCCAAGGAAGAGGTACTGAACGGCGTCTACATCATCGTTTTGTTCCGAGCCAAGGATGAAGGTCTGAACAAGGAGGTCACCAGTAGAATCAAAGCGGGTCGCAAGATCTATGTATCAGGCACTGCATGGGACGGCAAGCCAGCTTGCAGATTCGCTGTGTCGAACTGGATGACGGACGCACAGAGGGATTTGCCGATTATCAAGCAAGTATTAAGTGAGGTTGTCGAAGCGTGGAAGAAGACTTGATAGAACCGTTGCTATATAACGTCATAGATCCATAATCGCAGCGTTCAACACGCCCATAACATGACTGTTTTCAGCATGAGGGCCACACTTACAGATCTTCCATCTTGTACACCTCGTACGCAGGCTCCTCGTATGGATGCGCCCTGCCATGGTCAGCTGTCGTTCCTTACCATATCTTTCTCATAATTACTTCTTCAACGCGTCCACCGCCTTCACAGCGACATCCCTATCCAAACAAATACTCTCGACCCTCACCTCCTCGACCTCCTCCAGCTCGCCCTTGGTCCCAATCTACGCACCCACCGTCAGCCGTGCTTCAAGATGAGTGATAAACATAGTATTCAAAAACACACATGCGGGTTCGCCCCATCCCCGGGCCTGAACTGCCCTATACCCTTGCTTGTGAACGCGCACTCGGTATAGCCCCCTTTGCCGGGGAAGCTGCCTGCACCGGCGGCGAAGATGGCCGATTTGCAGGCTGAGAGAGCGGCAGGCGGCACGAAGAAGACGAGCTTGAAGCGCGTGGGGGACATCGGGATATCCGCGGAAGACCACGGCGGTGAGAAGGTTATCGCGCGAGACTGTGGTTAGAGAGGGCTGTAGTGTCAAAGTTGTAGTGTGATTAGGCTGAGGTAGGTGTAGCGGAGGTGAGGTCGTCGGATGGACCTGCCGAATTGGGCGGACAGTGGGGTTTGTGCGACAACGAGCATCAGTCATTAGACCCCACTGCAGCAGTTAGCGCATTCAAGTCTTCTTCATCAGAATGTTATCAGATGCCGATATCTTTCGCAACGGCATGAAGCATTGAGGACTGCATATACAGCGTTCAATGCAAAAAGTTGAAATCTTGTCAGGTCCTGTAATAATTCAGTGTACAACACGTCAATGAAAGCGTTACCTTACACTCTATCCTGAGAGTTCACACGTAGGAGTCGGCAAGCTGCACCGGGCTAGCACCTACGGGGGAGATTGAATTGACGCAGTCCATCTTCTGGGTGCAGCGGAGGTCCGCCGGTGCTCCAGGTCGATAGAGTAGACTACGTCGATTGCTTGAAGCAACTCAAGTAGCCAATTACGGTCATGTCTGGTGGCGGGGTGTCGAAGTGCCTCACAGCTTGCCACTAATGTGAAAGCTTCGGTGGTGCGCTGGACCTCAAGGGTAGTTGATGCGTCGCTCTCCTAGATTTCACCATTACGGCGAAGTGCTAAGGCTCTGGAGGGTCTTCAGTAATAGATCCAATGACATCTGTCCAGCAACCGGATAAATGGTTCTTCGAGCTCTTTGATTGTCACTACTTCGTCGTAGATCATTGCGCGAATCTCTCGAGGGAATCCTCCATGCACTGATCCGGGGAAAAGGTGGAGCGGCAGAGGATGTGGGCAGTGTGTACCCGATGCCTGTTTGAGCGAAGTCGTAGGCGAATTCGACTCCATTGAATGGTCTTCGGATAGTGAGCTGTTCATCGCGGCCTTTCTTGTCGGGATCGCTAAGCAGTGTCGACGATTGGGGGCCTGTAGCGTGGAAGTGGAGCTAACGAATGGGGCTTTCGTGCCTGACAACAGTGTACACCTGGATTTTCTTGCTTTGTATCTGCCATCCAGTTCTCCTGTATCGGTTCCAGAGGTACTATTCGGCAACGTGTGTGGAATAGAAATGAGTTAACGAGAGGTAGTACTGAGTAGTAGTGCGCGCGCCAGGCCTATCGTACAGCCAACAAGTCGGGATCCAGAAAGTGTCTGCGAAGGACGAAGATGTTGCGAGGCTTTATGTCCTAATGTATCGGCCTGCTACCTGAAATAGGATTGCCGAGTGTATAAGCTATTTGCACTATATCATGATTCTGTCCAAGGCTGAAACCTGCCTTCTCAAACCATACCAATGAGGCTAGAAAATCCGACTCTCACTAGGTTTCAAGTCAAGCCAGGTTTTTATGATCCTAGACTTGCGTTTGCTAAAGTAGGACAGGCGCATTTGAACCGGAATACGTGCGGACCTTACGCTTCAACCATAAGCCACTGACCCGCCCGGGCCAATCGACAACTCAAACCGAAACTCCACCTGAAAGTTAATCCATCAAAAAAGGGTATTGCCCACGCCCCGTCTCGAACATACGCCCTTTTCTGCCCCACCTGGTATCACCCAGGCCAATTGCAATGGTACTGGCAGCCCGTTACGATCGTTGATATCGCATTCTAACCATTGTGCCATCCAGACCACTGAGCCATTACGCCGGGGGGTTTGAGTCCCCGCGGTAAGATGCACATACGTGATCCAGCCCTTGAGGGCGTGTGTTCGATGAAAAGATTCTCAATTTTGGGGTATATATAATGGCGGGATATTGAGGGGTCGGTGAAGACTGTGCGGCGTGGAGGCGAGGTGAATGATGGAGTGCCGTTGTGGTGGGTTGATAGTCGAGCGAATGGCGGAACCTGCAGGAACGATTTGGGAGCGACGTAAGAGCGTTGCGCGTGCCTGCGGAAAGAGTCAGTCGGGAACACCATATTACAGACAAGACATGTATGTTTGATGAGCAACCTGGGGTTACGCGCGTCTGAACACATCCACCTACCCGCGAAGAAAAGGAAGCTGCCGATGTATTGACGCGGCAGGAGACCTGAGTGAGGTTGGCAGGAGCCGTAAGATAACCAACAGGCGAGACAGCCGTGGTTTTGCTAACCTGGTCGCGTTTGGCATGGCAAGAGCAATAGGCAATCGGTCGCACTGGTAGTGACGGAAAGACGACGTGGAGAGCGACAAAGAGAAAAGAATCTTACGTCGTTTAGATCAGGTAGCAAACCTTTCTCCCCATTACCTGGCCCATAATCTATCTACTCCATGAATGTGACTCTACCAGACGCCTTACACCACTCATCAAGCTTCCATAGACTTGGCCTAAGTCGACGCCTGAACGACATCCTCGTAAGCAGGTGGCGGAGAATTTGGTATTGGCTGAACGTTCTCTCCCGCCACTTCTTCCGCCGCCTCTTCCTCCCCGTCTGGTGCACCCTCGTCACCATCCTCTTCCTCCGTCTTCAAAACACCGCCCTTCCGTTTCGGCAGCACCTCAATGAATGCCTTGCCCCAGTCGTCGTGCTCCAGCCACTTCAGCATAATGTCTAATACATGGTTCGTGACAAGCACCTTCCGACTGTCCATCTGCAAGAATTCGCCGATCGGGAGTTTTGCAGTCTTGATGCCGCGGTCTAGCGCTCGCTTGTAGCACAAGCCCTTGTGCCTGTTCTTGTCGACCAGACCACCGATGATGTATGTGCTGTTAGGCTTGAGGCGCTCGAGTGTGTTGTCACTCTCTGCTGAGAGATATACGACCTCGCCCTCTTCATCTGCATCTGCGTCTGCAAGCGCCTTCTCTGCCTCCACACCCTCGCCCTCCGCCTGCGCCTGTTCCACCTGGTATTTGGCCAGCGCACCCGCAATCTTTCCGCCTCTGGGGCCCTTCATCCATTCCTTGCTCATCTCGCTCGTCTTCACGAAATCCTCCTCGCAAAATTGAAATCCCTTCCAGCTCGTATACTGCTTTGCGAGAACGCCATCGAATCTCTCCTTCATCTTGCCGCCCCAGCTACTGATACCTAGATGACACCTGAATGGCGCCTTTCGGTTGTCGGAGTAGCTGCGTGTGATTTGCAAGCCAAGACTCTTTAGCTCGTGGTCGTGCATGTATTCCTCAAAGTCGCAGTCAAATAGTATCGTGATTGGGACCTGGACACCCGGCGGCTCGCCTCGACGTGGCGCACGGAAGGGTGGAGGCTGCTCAGCTGACCCTGCGGGCTGCTGCTCTTCCCATTCCGTTCTGCGGCGCTCTTTGCGGGCTTTAATCTTCTCCTTGCGCTTGACTTTGCGGTCTTCACGGCCAGCCTCCCAACGCTCCCACCGGCGTTGCTTTTTCAGCTGGTTCTTGGAGAGCTTGGGCGCAGCCTCACCGGCGGCATCATCGCCCTCTTGCGGCACACTCACTTCACCATTTTCCGAGTCGCCAGATAGTTTGGTCACGGGTGCGCTGTCTGTTTGCGTTTCCGCTTGGCCAGTAGTGAGCGTGGAATCGTCCATGGTAGCGTCCTCTGTCTCTTGAGCATGCTCTAGCTTTCTGATTTTCGCTGGCCGACCCTCAGCTTCCATGGTTGTGCGCAATAAGGAAACAGCGAATCGTGGAACTTGGATGGGAAGCGGTCCAACACCGACAGTGCCAATTGTCCACAATTGTCGGTGGAGATAGCTCTGGCTCCTTACGCGCTGAAGCCGCAAATACCAGTTTCTGGTTAGTGCCGGCGTGAATCTCACCATGCAAGTCTGGGGCGGATGTTGAAGTTGCCCAAGTTTTTCGTGGTCCAGGAGTTACATAAGCGCCAAGACCCGGGTCGCGATTGGAAGCTGCGAAGCTCCGCAACCTCACGTCTAGCATTCCCCCTCCGATCGACCCATTGCCGCCGCAACACACGTCTTCACCATGCCGCAGGATATGCCGCCGAGCGGCGGCTATGGCCCCGTCCAATACAAGCGAAACCTGCCCGCCCGTGGCTTCCGCCCTGCCATGTACCTCGTCGGAACCGCCGCGCTAATGACATATGGATTCTGGAGGGTTGGCCAGGGCATCCGGGAGCACAAGTGCGTATGCCCACATTTTACGTAGAACTTTATGAGGGGGAGCATTGGGGTGGCAATCATGCCGTGAGCGCAAGCTAACGCGAGCACAGCGAACTCGCACGCGAGAAGATGTGGGCGCGCATATACCTCATCCCCGCCCTGCAAGCCGAGGAGGACCGCGACCAGGTGCGACGATACCTGGCAGACAAGGCGAGGGAGAAGGAGCTTTTGGGCACAGAGACCAAGGTCTACAACAGCGACAGGCACGGCCCCGCGGCTCCGCTACCCCGTTCCACGTTGCTAACCCGACGGCAGATTCGTGCGGCCGACGTTCGCTGTGACCCCCGAAAAGCAGCTGAAGTAGGGTATGACAGAGGAAATTTGCAGCAGCGAGGACCGGATTGTACATATACAGCAGTATTACGAATGTTTCAGTCGGAAGATGGCGCCTGCCGTGCGCAACACCAGGAAATGCATACCCTTTCTTTGCCTCGAACCCAAGTCTCTACCTGTTTTCATGTGCATCCAATCAAAATATTTAGCGCTCAAGTCACGGTGAGTATAATTGTGAAATCAACTATAGTGAGGGTTGAAGTCGGTGTTTGCTTTACCCGTCAAGCATGTCCCGTGATACACTTCCCCGGGGCTTTCTTTCACCTTCGACGAAGAGATTAAGAGAAGCGTTATTCGGCAGGAATTAGCGCACACTGCGCAGCTCCACCAAGTCCTCATAAACCCCGGAACCTCACTCAAGGTCACCCATACCTTTCCGCTTGCCTCTGTCAATTGGCTTCGAACCTGACTTCGACACACTTGAACCCTAGCGAGTACAGATTTTTTGCTCTCCAAAAGAAACCCCAGCCAGAACGGTAAGCCATCACTAATGACCCGGCATCAAACAACCTGCTATGCAATCTACATACGATTTTGTCCATATATCCACGCTTAAGTTAGGTCTAGGTATACCATAACCCGCTCGATACTCAGATCAATGTCACTCGACCTCGTGTATTGGATCCGATACCAACTCGCAACTCTTCCCAGTTCCTACTTCGACTTCACCTTCAGCAGAGTAGTCTTCCACATTGCTCCCCATGAATCTCTTCGGCGAAATTGTACGCGAAGGTCTCCAGTTGTTCACAAAGGTATGTTTATCCCTTTCTCTGATCGAAAAAGCGAAAGCTCACGAGATACAGTCAGCCGATCTGCAGCTGCAGAATGGTGACCACATCTTGGTTGAGTTCGGACGCGAGAAGACTCAAGTATACATCTTCTACCAGAAGATCCCAGTGACTGCGAAGCTTCTCATCGATCTGAACAAACTTCCACCGCTAAAGCGTCAAATTGCCCTCCCTACTGTCGCCAAATTCATGTGGGACAAGTACCTGGACTGGATGGAGAACGATTACGACATCGTGAAGGCAGCCTCTACTTACACTTGGGGCCAAATCTTCCTTCTGGCTCACACCACCAAGATCTTGCAAGACGATCGCAGACACTCCATGTCCTTGTGTGCGTTGCTGGAAAAAGGCGAGAGCGTAAGCTACCAGATTGAGGGTATGTTTACCATGGGCGACTGGCAGTTGGTGCGTAACACTGTCAAGGCAGGCGAGGCCCAGGACGATCATACGCGGGCTGCCATCCGTCGCCTTTTCCACGAGTGCCCTCTGCTGTTCGATCACATGATCAACGAACATGGTGCCGCGTCCCAAGAACTCCTTGAGATCGGCCTGGTGTACGCCGATACCTACGATGCAAAGTACTTCCTGAATGAAGACGGCCTTGAGCAATTGGATCCTGTCAGCATCTACGGTCGTCCTCCTCGTCTTGCAATTACTGACCCTTCTTCGATCGTTGAGTCAACCGCCGAAATCCCTCAGATTAGCGGCATCAATGGTCTAGGAATTACGCAGTCAGGCAACGGCGCAAATGAGGCTGTCGATGTTTCTGGTTCGGAGCTTCGAGACATTGAAGACAACGATGAAAACGACGGCTGGGGGTTTGCCTCGATTTCCAGCCTGGGGTCCTCCAACAGCGACACTGATGAGGAAAATTCTATGGACAACGAGCCGACAACGGCCATTGTACACAGCCAACCTGCCGAGGTTCTGGCCGATCAGCTGGCGGATCTGGCGGTTCAGGAGGTTACCGCTGTCGAGAATACGGAGAGGCACACGGTCTCGCAGGTGATGGAATCCTTCAGTGACGAGGGCGGTGTTGCGTTGCAAGAAGTTCCTGTCCATTCTCAATCGGATGATGCTGTTGTTTGCCCCTCAGGGGAGGACATTGCCAGCGACGAAGATGATGTTACCTTGCACCAGGAAGATTCGCCGGTCAACCAAGAGGCGGGTGGAAATTCCGTTGGTTCTCCAGAGGTTACCGACGTTCCTCAACAGACTGCATCGTCGCAAGGCCCATCTGCCAAGGCTGTCATGATGGCTGCCTTTACCACGATTCCTGGACTGCAGGCCTCAATGTGGGCTTTGGACATGCATCAGAAGTTCCCAGTCCCTCTGGATGCAGATAAGGAGGCTGCTTTGGCCGATTGCGTCAACGGTTCCATCAACTCAGAGCAAGGCGACAATGGCTATGTTGAGGCTGATGAGGAGGATGACGTCATTGGCTCGGTTGATACCCAATCAGAGAAAGAGACTATGTCAATGCCAGAGGAACAGCAACAGCTTTCTTACGATCTTCGATCGCCTATCGATCTGCCGCAGGCTGCCTCTGAGGTGCAACCGGACGCAGAGGACGCTGAAGAACCCCAGAACGCTGAAGAATCAGGAGAAGCTTCGGATGTGGAAAACGTACTGGGTGTAGAAGACGCGCCAGGTGCAGATAACGTGCAAGAAGCAGAGGACGGGTCGGGCGCAGAGAACGCTCAAGACGCAGAAGACGTGTCAGGCGCAGAGGACCAGAAAGAGAAGGAAGACGCAGAGCGTGGTCCGAACATAGAGTACATCGCCGGGTTCGTGCCAATGCACAATCTGCCGCGCACTGCGCCCGGTACGCCCGCAGAGGATGAGATGGGTACCACAAAGAACGAGGAACCCTCGTACGAAGAGCGCCGTAAGAACGCAGGTGGTCGTCTTCTTGGTAAGAAGCGACATAACCACGCTGGGGGCGACGTCTGGGACCGCGAGGCGAAGCGCCACGAGCACAAGTTCACTTATCAGCCGCGTCGCGTGATCAAGGTGCCGACAAAGAAGTACGGCAACTCGGCTTTGCACGCTATGCGAGCGAAGCAGGCTGCATCGATTATGGCCCCCAAGGAGACTGCTCAGCGTGAGGAACCGACCCGACAGCCTAAGGGCCCGCCTGCTTCGGGCAAGGAGATGGCGGACGAGAAAGCCAAGGATCCGAAAGCGTGGCCAAACAATTTTGCTGTCGGCGCACCATCTCGGCTGAGGGAACGTCCCAAGGAGGGCATAGCCTTCTCCTCTGAGAAAGGTATTCACTCGGCGGTTAGGGACGATGGCGAAGGAAAAGACTAGAAGGGTGAGCAACTATACACTCTGTGTGATGGGGCTACCAGTAAGGCAGCATGACGACAAAGGCTACTACAACACCAGATCTATACAAGCGGTGGTGATGCAGGGAGATGGTAGGGTGTAAGGGTACAAGATGGCCGGGCATTATACACTGCAGGCTGGCTTGATCAACATTGTATTTGACGGATTCGGGAGGAAAGTCTCTGTATTTTGCTGTGCATACGCACATGCACTTCACGGGTTGCGAGTTTGCGATACACGGAATGGATGGCGGCATGTCAAGGGCGTATTTTGTTTCTGATTTTATTTGTACTGCATAGTGGGTATAGATGTACGATGTGGAGAGAAAACATGTGTGCGAACTCGTAGCTGTGTCAGCACCGGATCGGGCGATGTCACGTGATGAATGTGCTCTACTATTTTCGCCTCAGTGCATCCCACTGACACGCTTGCATGATCCTGTTCAACTCTTAACTCTTTGCTATAGACAGTGGTCGTTCGAGAAAGTTACATTGTCACATAGGCCTTCTGCGTAGGGTGTGAAAGACTTTGCGGTTCTCCTTTTCCGACACCGCGCGGAGGTGCTGCGGGGGACCTTTTCCCCATATCTGGGGTTCATTTGGACCATGGCCAACAACAGGCTAACGAACGTGCGATGTGCCTATTTCTACTTCTTCTTAGCCGTATGCGACCAGTTCACCTGTCTGGGGAGTTTTGCAGCTGGACAAGAAATTTCTAGAGTTCGGACTCGTAACAGAAATAGGACCTACGTTTCGTCAATCAGAGTTAAATCGTCAAACATCAGTGCGACTAGTGCAAGATGTCGAAGAAGGTGGCCTTGATCACTGGTGGAGGTTCGCAACCAGAGCAAGCCGGTAGACAACTTCTATACTAACACACACTCAGCCTCAGGCATGGGCCTCGAAGTAGCAACCCGCCTCTCCAAACTCTCTGCCTGGGAAATCCACATCCTCGACCTCCCCGGCTCTCCCGGCTCCTCAGTCGCTTCTTCCCTGGGCGCCACGTTCCACCCCTCCGACGTAACCGACGAACCCGGTCTCAACCAAATCTTCAAGACTGTTTACTCCAGGAACGAAAGACTGGATTTTGTATTCGCGAATGCTGGGATCGCTGAGCATGCGAACTTCTTCGAAGAGCAGGATATCGACGGCGATGTGAAGCTACCCGTAAAAGGGCTACACGCGCTCGTCGACATCAACTTAAAGAGCGTTATTACCACGAGCTACCTCGCGCTGCAGTACATGCGCCACAGTCGCGGAACCGACAAGTCGCTCGTGATAACGGCGAGTTGCGGCGGCCTCTACCCATCGTACTACTCTCCCATGTAAGCCACCTCTTCTCAACCAACACAGGCGTCTGCAACAGAGACCTCAAGCTCACGCACACCAGCTACACCGCAACCAAACACGCCGTCGTCGGCCTCACGCGCTCCATCGCGCCCTACTTCCACACCCGCGCTGGCATCCGCGTAAACTGCATCTGCCCCGGCACCGTCAAAACTAACCTCCTCACCTCCGCCGAATGGGCCAACTTCCCGGAGGAGTACTTCACGCCGGTCCACAAGATCGGGGAGGTCGTCCTCATGCTTATCGATGGCAAGGACAACGGGAAGGGCGAGGTGGGGCGCGAAGTCGAGGAGGGTAGTGTAGAGAAGTTGCTGGAGAAGGGGATGTATGGGCGGGCGGTGGAAGTTAGTGGGCGGAGGCATTATTACAGGGAGATGGTGGGGTACGCGGATGAGGCGATGAGTGCAGTTATGGGGGCGACGAATATTGAGGTGCTGGAGGACGCCGTGGAGAGGACGCCGTGAGGGTGTAGGAAAAGGCGGGCGGGTGGGTAGCGTAGCGTTGGAGTCTTGGTGTGGATATGTAAGTTGGCACATCGATGGCCATCATCAACGGCTCTCTAAGGGGGTTGACTTCTTTCAAGTCGAGAAGCCTGTGTATGGAGTGTTTCCTCAGAGCATACCATGAACAGCGCAAGTGTACTGTTCATCGAAAGGACTGTGTGGTGGATTGAAGCTGAAGAGATCGGGCGGGTCGTTTCGTTTCGTGTGGGTATCACGGGCTGAGGTTGTTGGCTAGAATGGTGCCATTCTATGACTGCACTGCATTTCGAAATCATCGTAGCAATTTTCAACAATGGATTTCCTGCTCGAGCAGCTCGAGGCCCGAATTGCACGCCAATTCAGTATGGACTCAGTATGCCTCCCTGTCGTTCCATAAATAGAATAGTGGCGAAAATCCGGTATTCCGGCTATCGCCAAGTGAGCTTCGAAAAGCGAGTCAAGTATCCTGCTGCCAACTATGTTACTGTTATTGCTGGGGAAACCTTGACGAGCCAGTAGTATCAGGTGGCAAGAATGCAAGGCAAATCAATTGGGAAGTGTGTTCGCTGTATATGACCTGTTAGAGGTAGGCGGAATGTGTCAGCCACTAGGTCACGATCGTTGTAGTATTGACTGACGAAAACGTAGCAGCGGCTCGCACCCCGGTCATTATATTGTTTTCTCGAAAGGGTATACTCAACCCAAGCTTCGGTTGTTCCATCGCAAGATCTTTGTCTTTTGACACGGGCCGATGTTATTCACAATTGCTGCATAGTCCAAGGCACTCCTTCGCTCGTTTGACCGTGGTATTGAAGTTTACTTAGTTCAGTGATGAGTTGCAAAACACCATATTGATAATCGCGTCAGCGAGCCAAGTTATTGCGGGTCTACCCAGTGGAGAGAATATGTGGAACTTGTTTTCCAGCGGTGCTCTAGAGAAGGAAGAGGCAGTGCTCTTCAAACCGAAACCGCTGTCTCGAAAACACCGCAGTTGGGCTTCATTGTCTAAAATTGAAACAAAGGCCGGTTTTGCATCATTGTGTACGCAGACTTCGCAGTGCTGCCGAAGATCACACAAGACACCGTATAGTGCAAGGGCTCTTGACGGCAAGGCTGAAGTTTCGCTAGGGGTCTGAGAGACAAAAGAGGATTCATTAAGCTTCTTAGGATCCGCTTGGGGCCGCTCTTTGGCAGGTGTCAGTGTCGAAGTTTGCCTGCGCCCCCAGATCTCGGACCAGTGCCACTCCTGACCCGAAGGACAAGGGAAAAGACGTTTACTTGCGGAGAATTGTTGAAGTCTTTCCCGTCTCGTCTGACATGAGGCCGAGGGTTACTGGACGATTTGCGGGCGTATAGAGCTTGCACATCCGTGTGAAGCACAAAGCCCCAACAAACGTACGTAAGCAGTCGCGCGTTATAACAAATGTCGCTTGCGTACGAGTTGCTGCTTCAGGTATGCGAGACAGAACAGTGAACAAGGCTCGGAGTCCGCTTTGCCTGAGCATGATGTGTCGTGCGTGAGGCTACAGATGATGCAAGTGGCGACTTCACTGGAGGAGATGCTCAACGCTCAGGACACAGCGACTCTCGGATATTTCGGAAGGAGCGACCGAAAACGCAGAGTGGAGTATTCGAGGTCCGAAAGTGGAGCTGAACGATGCCAGCGCAAATCCTCGTGGAGCATCAGGACGGTATGCTGATTTCTGACTCGTTGGGGTTGGCGTCGTGCGACTCCAAGCGAATAGAGTCTGCCTTGCGCAATGATCTGCTCCAAGAACCGGACTTTTTTATTTTGCTTCGCAGGAGCGACCGCTTGAGGTCCGCATTAGGAGTCGTTCGACCGCGCGCATGGTCCTCATGGCCGGACTGTGTGCTCTCGAACTGCTGGGGGAAATGCTGCCGTCCTTGAAATCTCACTCTGCCGCAGACGGAATGCTATAGCTAGAATAGCAAACGTGACAGACCGAGCAGAGAACCAGTGCATTGCGCAGTTCATCGGTCAATGTTGCCACCAGCTGGGGCGCTGCGCACAGCACTGGAAGTCTCGGCACTCTGCTTGGAGGAAATGCCTTCGCAGGGCGTCTGTAACTGGGCTGCAGCGCATGCAGCAGGAGGCCTTTGCTGTTGATGTGAACAAGTGTAAAGAGCGGAGTGTAATGACATCTGACGGGTGGTGGCCATTGGGGGCAGGCACGACCGGACCCCACCGCTTGCCTGATTTCCTCTTTCGCACCGTAGCTCTTTGACGAAGCGGATGAATGAAGGACTCTCGTCCACTTCACCTTCCACCTTGCTCCGTCTTCTGGAGAGCAGCCCCCAACCCTTCATCGTCGGCTGCGCTCTGCTAACCTCTTCGAGCGTGCCTCCAGGTCTCTCTCGCGAAACGTGCTCGGGCATGAGCATAAAAGACCGCAGCACGACGACGACCAGCCCGGATCCTAAGCCTGGGTGAGGGGCTGGACAAGTATGGAGTCACCGTACGATCAAACAGCGATCCGCTACGACGACATCCGCTTCTGCGCCGAGTAACGATCTTTCAAACCTGTTTGCGATGCTTCTGATGCTTCTCACGATGGGCATCCCCAGAATTCCGCATGCTGCACACATACACACTGCACGGCAAGCAGGCGCCACCGACCTGCATATGGGCCGGCGGGTGGCGTTAGGCTGACCGTATCGACAGCCCGTTGGCCATGTTTCTCGATGCGGCGCATAGTGACCTCGAAGTCGACCTCCTTTCGCGTCGAGTCGCACCCGCGGGTTCAACTAATGCCCATCGTTTCGCGCCGCCAACGCGTGCGGTGCAAGTTAGCTGCTTGGCGCCGCAGTAGCGGCATCCTCTTATGATGTCTGGCAACTCTCTCGACCATTGGGAGATGCCGCAGACCGAACGGCGCTCGCCCATGCCGCCGTCGCCGTCGGCGTGGCGGGGCTCACGTGAAGCGCGAGGCCGGCGCTGCGGTCGAGCGTCGCTGTCCACCGAACGAGGAGCACAGATGAAACGTTCTGACTCAGAAATTAACTGAGCAGATCACAGGGCTTTGCGATCGCTTCTCGGTCCTATCATGTCCTAAATATACCATGCGCTTCTAGCACGTCTTTGCCCGATGCGGCCCCCGCGCCAACAGCGCGGCCACGAACGCCGTCCGGCTGCACTCTGCCGGTGCCCGTGTTACGTGCTTGTGCTTGCCCTCGGCCTTTGCTATTCGACCTGGCACGGGCAGCGCGCTAAACAGCACACCGACACTGCTGTTTTGCGTGTGCGATCATCGACGCTACCACCCTGCTGCTCTGGGGAACCGCTTTTTGCCCCCCCTGCCGGCCCTGCCGTCTCTGATGTCGTCTTACCGCGCAGCAGCGCAGCACAAGACGCTCCGACGTGTCCGTTGTACAGCGCACACGCTCAGCTCGGAGAAAACTTGAGGCGGTCGTTCCAGAAAGCGAGTCCTTCTAGAAACCTTCCATCACCGAGGCGCTGTTGTCCGGCGCACAGGGGCAGGCCTGAGGTGCCGCCCGGCTGCAGATGCGCTCGACGGCCACGGTTTGATTGCACGCGCCCTGGGGTTGACCCTAGTCGGACCCGTCAGAGCACCGGGCTGGAGCCAGAGCTTGTTAACTCCCGTCATGGCGGTACGCACCCCAGTCGCAGGGATCGCCTGGTCACTTTCAAGGCTCACTCGAGCGTCCACCGCATTTGTGAACACTTATGCACTCCTGCTGAAGCGGGAGGAAGCAGCCACGATGCGGTCTCCAAAGAGGAAGCCAGGGCACGGCCGTGGTGAGCGGCCCTGGTCCACTTCTGGGGCCTCTCTTAGTCGCTCTTGTATTTATCGGAATAGCCTCCCTACGTGAGATCGATTCTTATCGTCCCTGACAATACCATAAGCTCGTTTTTCTGTCTGCGCCTTGGATCTGCTTCGACACCATTCTCGCTTGACTTGTTCGAAGACCGATCTGCAATCTTCCAAGTTGGTCAACGTTGAACCGTCCTAGGGGCCAATCATCCTAAGCCAGCAACTGCGAGACATCGCGACTCCGCCACTGTCCGCCACACTGCTCCACGGTACCAGCCTTATGTCACGGAAAAGCACCCATCCCAGACCCTCCTTGAGCTAAACTTACACTCGGACTATTCAGTACAGCCCTACTTGCGCCCTAACTCTCTCCGACCTGGCCCACTTGTTGAAACACACCATACCCGTTGTCACCCTTCACCTAAGCACTTCATTCAAACGCACTGGCCTTCCTGACAGATATACCGCCGCCTCGCCTTCACATCTCATCCGACTTCTAAGCCGGCACACGACACTTTCGCCAACACTCTATCACCTCGATACTTGATATTTCCTGTTGCACGACGCAAGCATGACGAACTTCTTCTCGCATGAGGCCGAGATGGTCCTCCTGGCACAAAATGACGGAATGGGCCACCTCTTCCCTTCAAGCTCATGTCAATCGCCGCCTAGCATCATGTACTCGCCACCTCTGCACCAGATGACGCATCGACCACCAACAACGCAGCCTGCCAACGGACACATTTACCCCTCAGGGCACGAGTATGCGCAGCCTGTAGTTAGCTCACCGTACCCACCACAGAGCTACTGGACATCACAACCCCTCCCGATCCCGCAAACGCATGTAACCTACTCATCCTACCCGCCGCTCACTGCAATGAACACGGCCCAGACACTTGCCCCCGACTCGAGATACATGCCACAATCCATGGCCGCCGTTCGTCCTTCTAGATCACTCTCCGCTTCATCCAGCCTGGGTGTTCCCTCAACTCATGGGGGAGAAAGATCACCACCTTCACTCTCTCGTTCGCTATCACCAAGCTCCCCAGATCTGAGGGCATACGGCTTTCCTAACAAGAATGGCACTTGGAGCTGCGCATATCCTGGATGCACGTCAAGAGCAGTCTTCACCAGGGGCTGCGATCTCAGGAAACACCACAAGAGGCACACCAAGTCATTTTTTTGCCGTCATGAAGGGTGTCCTCAAGCTACCGGTGGCGGCTTCTCCAGCAAAAAGGATCTCGCGCGACATGAAGCAAAACACAACCCGGGCGTTCTGTGCGATTGGGATGGCTGCGATCGCGTATTCAGCCGAGTCGACAACATGGTTAGTCACAGCGCCTCACGAGGAAGAGACAAAGCTTACGATATTTAACAGCGAGACCACGTCAAGCGCATACACCTCAAGGCATCAAGACACGGCTCAGGTCCTAAATCGATGGTGGCATGATCGGCGATCAGCTCCCGCAACTTGATGTTCGTCTCGATGGCAACCTCCGCTTTTGGAGACGGCCTGGAGCCCAGGTCTCCCGGCGCAGACAAAAATCCCACGCAAAGCGGACTCGTTATCCACAACACAACCTCTAGCCACATTCGGACCCGGCTGTCTGGTGCGAGAGGCTTTGAAGTCGACCTTTGGCCGAGCTCGGAAGTGTCACTGTTTCCTCTACGATCATTTACGATACCCGATTGCACGTTTTATTCACCCTATAGAAGCCCACGGAACTGGGTATAGCATGGCTATGGCGTTTTGATGATTTGCAGATGGTTTGAAAAAATCTGGAGACCTTTGGGAACCTCACAGTGGTTCTTCAAGGTATGGGGATTTCCCCCCCGGTATATTCGCGGAAACATTTGCATCATTTTCTAGCTACACAGAATTACTTGTCTCTATTCACTTCCTTTAGCCACTACCCGCAATCTCACGTCTTGTTAGCTATACTGACCGCAGCCATCCCAAGCTCTTCACGACACCGCAGCCCACCCCGCCACCAAGACGACATCCTTCCCAAGTCGACATTGGTGGGCTTGAACATCATGCCAGGTTGTGGTTGGGTAGCCGCTTAGGTCTGAAACCGACCGCAGTTAGTGTGGGGGGCCTGACCATTCCACAAGGCTGATTTGACATGTCCTGCAAATAGCTAGGCATCGTTTCCGCACGAATGACATTCGACAACCACGCTACGGCGATAGCTTGCAGACCTGGGCGTCAACTGTCTCCGCCCTCGCAGCTGTTTCGTTGGCAAGAACGCATACGTGCTGTTGGCCATTCCTTCAACTTCAGAACCCATGGATCAATCAATAAAGCGAAGCCTGATTCAGTGGCTCTACACGCCTGCATTCGATATCAATACATGATTTTCATGGGCTGGGATTGTAGATCAAAGCACGGCCTAGGAGAGTGAAGGCAACTTGTAGGCCATAATACGTTGTCCGTATGCAGATGCTTTTCTTGCACATCGAAAGGACCAGCATGACATGAGCAGATGCACCAGCACAGCGGTTGCCGTATCGCTCGTAGGATCGAGAGGTCGTGAAAGGCGCTCTTTCGCCATAGTGATGGAATGCATGGCACACTCGACGGCGCCTTCGATACTACATCGCATGGAACACTGCAGCTTCACCTTGAAAGTGACAGTGCTCGCCCGTGGCGTTGTATGATAGGCCATACACTACTTGTGGGGCGCTTAAACCGTACAGTGGCAGCACTCCTGTGCTCGGAAACCTTGTTGAGGGTGTATCAGTCGGCCAGGGCAATCTATGTCCCCCCTTTCGAGCTGGAAGTACTGTTGCGGCTTACGTTGGCTGGAGGAACTTCTTGCTTGGGCTCGCCTGCAGCAAATTTACGCTGTGCATAACCCATCTTGTCATACGTGAGAAAGCAGGGCACATACGCGACAACCTCCCGTGCCTTGCTTGCTGATCCTTTACTGACAGCGGTTCGACACCTTAGCAAACGGCCATAGTCAGGCCTCTCGCTAGGAATAGTTTTAAGCATAACGGCATCTCCCACGCAGCGGGTTCTCCTCATCGGACGGCCCAGCACAACGGGGCGGATGCACCCGAATGATGTGTTGTCGGCCTGACCGGCCAACCGCTCACGGCTTGTCACGTTTTGCGTCGCGTGGCTGATCCTTCGTCGCGGCATGAAGTCGATCCTCCAACCAATGAGAAATCCGCATAATGCATCCAACCATATGGTCGGAAGTCTCACAGCCTCACAGCCCCACGTCTGAGGAGGAGCATGCGAGCATCTTCGTCTCCCTGCTCTTTGGCCCCATGCAGCCCCGTTGGGGCGAAAATAACTCGCGATTCGCTGCTCAAGCGAAGCCCTGCATGCGTAAGCTATACCTGTTTTGCTTAACCTGCATTAGTGCCGATCGTTTGGGTTTGCTGCCATCTCACGCTGGAGTCGAAGAGGCCAACCAAAAGGCCTACCAAACGAGCCGCATCGTCATTGCGTGCCTATTGCGATCAGTGATTCTGATATTTGAAATTCACTGGCCCCCACGATGGTTCTGCTACACCGACAAGGCGAGTACGAGCATCGCTGAACCCGAGGAGCGACGAACGCAGAGGGTGAGACTGCGCGCATGAGCGGACAGGGCTGAGTATGACGGGCTCTAGGTCGCGCAGTGACAAGCCAAGACCAGCCCGCTAGTTGAGGCTCAACTGGCTGCCAGTCTGCAAGGCGCGGTTGTGTCGCCTCGCCCGTAGCTCTGCGTGAGAACTCACCATTCTGAGACGTAAGGTCGAGCGATCCTGGATATGGGGCTTCGAACGACGCACTGGCGACATGCCGTCATTTGGATCTATTATTGGCTCGCGAACGCGGAGGGTGGGCTGTAGGATCGGTCGCGTTTCAGAAAGTTAAGCTTTCTCGAGTTGCCGACAAGGCAATTTACTCGAGCAGCTCTCGGACGCCGTCCGTCGTGATCGCCGACCTTTACTGTACAAATCCTTGGCCGTGTGCTACTCGCGGCAGAGGCTTGCTGCGTAGTCTTGCCTGCAAGGGGACCTCTCCATTGCAGACTTGTGGTTCAATAAGAGGGGCGACACCTCTGCGATCAAGGCTGTGTGCTGCCTACTTTGCGACATCGTACACTTTACCACCTGGGGCAACTTTCCAACACCGCGGAATTCTCCAGCGCAACATCAAACGATTGAACACGGACGCGGTAGTGCTACTGGTAGCGCGACTTGTTACACGCCTACGAACCCACAGGGCTGCAGTCTCGGGCCTTTACACCAACGGAGATTCCCATGCTTCGACCACGATGACGCTGGGCTCTTGCACAGTATTCCTACGGTCTCCACAGGTCGCTTTACCTAAGAGTCTGCGGACATTTGCTATGTTCCGACGTCTCAGTAGTCTAACATGCAAAGAGTTAGAGGCGCGTAGAACGAAGATCTGCACTCCGGTCTCCCCAAAGAGCATGTGGAATGTCGCTCGGCGGTTCCGACGGAGTTTCCTCGACCACGCGTAGACATGGATCTTCTGCCCAGCAACTGGGCGCGAGAGTTTCATTGCGCAAATTGTAGCTCTCGCAGAAGCTGGTCCACTGGACTTCCAGTCCCTGAAGTGGGTCCTCTCATCTTAACCGCAACGTGACGATTCGACTTAGTCGAGCACGTGCGCTAGTCCTGGATTCGCTTTCTGCGAATGCATCTCTCACGTTACGACCACTCGACCTTGTAGAAATTTTACATCCATTCTACTCAGATGCAAAAGGTGTCTCGTCGTCGGCGCGTACGCACTCGCAGACGCCCAATGGGCAATATCGATCTTATCGCTCGGCTAAGGCCCATAACGGCTTGGTCTGCCTTCCAACGAGGAGGGGACGCGTAACGTGCGAACCCAAACCAGGCAACGGGACAAGCACGAGTCGAGCTTGCTACGTGATCATCTCCACTGCCTCGTAAGACTTGGAAAACGTCGTAAGGTCCTCGTAAGCCTTGTACAAGACTTTTCCCGTTGCTGTCGTACATGCGACAACTGTAGATTTTGGTAAATACAGGGCTCGCTGCACGCCGATATCGCGCCTGTGCCGCCTCAGCAGGAGCGGCGACGCCAACATGCATGCCCAGTCTCCTTCATTGCAGTCGTTCCTTCTGTTGTCTCTTTTTGTGTTCGATGTAGCCGCTACGCCAATTGTGAGGAGCCAGGATGCAAAAGCTGGGAATGCGAACCACATCTTCAATGCGATACACTCGTCAATGCGCCAGTGGGGGTCGTCGCTCAACCACAATGGCATGTCCTTTTTCATGGCTACTGTGCCTGCGGACACGCAATTGTACCATGGCAGTTCCAGCGAGGATGTGGTGAAGGGCATGGAGTGGCTGGCCTTTGAGCCGGAGCATGCGCTTGTCTTCGCGAGGTCGAGAGGTCCTGGGGGAAGCCGACCGGGCCATGGGCCTGAAAATGGGGAGGAGAAAGAGTGGGAGGAACTGCAACGCCAGGGAGAGCATGGGCACGAGGAGGATTGCGATATGGGGCCTGATCCGTGGTCAAGACAAGGCCACGCGCATATGCCTCCACCGCCTGATATGCATCACCCTCCACATCTGCCGCCTGGACGTTTTCATGGTCCGCCAGATGAAGATACCTTACTGCCACCACATCCACCGCCACCTTCGCATCGCGATTCGCACCCACCGCCACCTCCACCTCCCCATCACAACAGTCCACCAGACGCTCCCCCCCACCGTAACCCTCCACCGGGTCCTTCTCCCTCCCACGACGACGACGAACTCCAGCGGCTCTTCTCCGAAAACCCACCCCAACCACTTCCCAGCACCGGCAAAGGCTACCTCCACACCTACATCCCCACACGTGCCCTCCGCCTCCTCTATGTCGACGGTCTCTCCGCCGGCAAAACCTCCAACGGCACTCTCGACTCGCAGGACATCCTCCTCCTCAATAAGACCGTCCCACAAAACTCCCCCATGGGCGGCGAGCTCCTGCGCGCTGACGGCTTGTGCAACCTCGCATCCACACTGTGGGAGGGCAAGATCGACGGCATTCTGCGCATGGAGGCCGGGTTCGAAATCATCTTGTGCGATTTTGCGAGCACGGTGGTGCGGAAGAGCATCGTGACGTATGATGGGCAGAAGGATGACCGGCCCGATGGGCCGCCCGGCGTGGGGAGGGGGAAGAGAGGAACCTTTGGTGGATGGCGGTACATCCAGGCTGTTAGCGAACGGTACCATGGGATCGGTGGTGGGAGGGTGACGCTGGATTACGACAACTTTGTGAGTGTGTTTGCGTATGATGGGGAGGATGCGGCGGGGCTGGGACTTTGGGATAACGACGTTGTGAGCGATACGCCGCATCCGAGACTAGGTAATGCGTCGCCGGAGCAGTTGGGAGAGATAAGGAACGCGGTCACCGCGATGGTTCTCGGGAGCGGTGAGATAGGAGAGGGAAGAGACTGGCAGGCTGTCGCGGACATGGTTGTCCAGCGCTACGGTGAAGCGATTCATTATCTGCACACCGATACGTCGGTCCGTCGCAGCAAGGAGGCTTTCGCGAAGTACCTCTCTGCGCTCCTTCGGCCCTTCGTCTCGCCCTCCGCGCGCAATGCTACTCTCGAGACCGAGCGTTGCGTCGCGCAGGTCATACCGCCATTCCCACTCCCACCGAGCAGCTCGCCTTCGCTTGCTCACACGACCTTACACGTCGTCACCACCCACATCTGCGGCACGCTTCTCAACGCGCTTGATGCGTCGACCCTGACGCTCTCGCGGTCATTGGCAGCTACATCTAGCCCGCCCTATCACGCACTCGACCTCGTCGACGGCTTGGTGGGTTACCTACAGTGGACAGCGTGGAAAGAGTGTGGGCCGTGTGCTGATCAGGAAGTCTGCTTCGTCCCAATCTGGCCGATGGGTAGCTTGGAGAACCACAAGAAACCGCAATGTGTGACTGAAGACGGCGTGGGTGAGGGCTATTGGGGGCACATGGGACCGCCGCCGGAAGGACACCGCCCTGGAGGAGAGCGTCCGGGACACGCACGAGTGGGACCTGAAGGTCCAAAGTTGGAGAAGCATCAAGGCATGGACGGACGGGGTCGCCCTTCTTCAGCGCATGGCCGCTGGGAGCATGGTAGGGAGGGAAAGAGGCCCCAACACGGTGGTCGAAGGAAGAGTGGACATTGTGCTCCGCCGAGGCATGGTGCTCCTCCCAAACACGTTCACAGCCCTGGACACGGTGGGTGGGACCGGGGAATCTGGAGTCAACTCCGGAGTGGTCTCATGCAGGTTATGGCGTGGTTCGGCCCAAGCCCTGTAGCACACGAGGTTGGAGTGAAGGTGAATTTTGTAGATACCCGGTAAAGGTGACGTTGGTGTGCAGACGGCAGATGCAAGCGGCAGCTATTTCTTTACCAGCTTCTGCCAACTTACAGCCAATGCATATTGTTTAATGTGGGATGCTTAGATAGTCTTTTCATTTGTTCGAATATACCTCGCTTCTGATTTCTGCACACTGGCTGACTGCTTCAACGCATTGATTGATATGGCGCGTACGTACAAATTGCATTAGCAAGATTGCCGATAGAATGACATGCGTCGTCTTGACGAGCCTTTGCTGCTTCTGGTCCGGCATGCGGTAGTGCTGACCTGACTGTAGCGTTCGGATAACTAAACCACGTAGGGCATGGATAGCGGAGATTCCTATCCTAAGCAACCGCCGTGCATGATGATGTAGTAAGATTTCTCTACTGTGCAAGCCGAATATTTGGTCGCAAAAGTCGTCCATCTATCGGTGAGCGATCAATAGCCGAGGCTAACAGTCAGGGTCTAATAAGCGTAAGACGGCGCTGTGAATTCCACCAAAACCGATCTCCAACAAAAGGGGCCAATTGGCTAGGAGATTGCATGAATGGCAGGTGGAGCAGTCGGCTCTCGATGCGAGGCATGATTGGCAAAGTGATCTGATGCTGGAACGGGAAGCAGGATGTCGATCTGCCGCCCAATGATGTTTGGATCAGTATGGTTGGGACCGTGGGGATCATAGCCTTGCCCAGCCCCAACCAACACTGTCGAAATATGACGGAGCGATATCCGTGGAACGAATCGAATGAGCTGGTCTATCAAGGCTCAATGTGTAAGATCCCAAATATGCATCTAGCGGTTGGTCTAGAGAGACCACTCATTGTTCTACGGTTCTCCGGCGTCTTGGATACAAATAGCAGAAACGGAGTTGTCCGAGCCACATGATCGCGCGGCATGCTCGAAACGGAAGCCAGTCGTGCCCAGGCAGTGGTTAGCGTACCAACGTTGGCCATGTCAAACTAAAGGAAAAGGTAACCCTAGCCGTTGTAGAGAGCGAGACCGCACAAGGAGCGGTGAAAGTAGTACGCAATGAATAGCCGGTTAGCAGTCTGATAGGATTCCTAGACGACAAGTGAGGACGTCTAGAACTTGGTGCATGATTGTTGCCTCTCAATATAATGATTTGGATTGCCTGCAGTCCAGCGGTCAACACTCGGATCTGCATCAACTCTATCTGCGTCTGCACCGAAACACAATTCGACTACTGCGCGAGAGCTGACAGAGTCGGTGTAGACGTCTTCGGAAACCTCACTTGTGCTTAATGATGGCTTTTCGGAAACATTGTAACGCCAAGTTGCCCCGCGTTAAACCGTTTGTGCGGGCTCCACGGCATGTGAATGGTTTCTTTCAGCAATGGACAATGTACTGTGGGGCTGATCATGGCTGCAACCTACAAAGGCGGATGCGGTGTCGACATTTGATAATTGAGCTTGCATTCGTGTGATACCGCCAGAGACGCCAGTATTGTCGGTAAGGCGTTTGTTATTGCAAATACCGGTAGGAGCACCGAAACAAAGTTCGTACGAATGCGAAATTTGGACAGATGATTTAATGTTTGCTGGAGGGCCTCACCAACAGGCACAGTGGCTGACAATGCTCCAGAAGTCCAATTTTTTTTTCGTGTCAGCCGCTGTGAGGCATCAACGAGGAAATGTATCGGGCCGGACTCGCGAGTACTTCGCTCCAAGAGACGACCAGCCCAGCAAAGCGATAGAGGAAGCGATAAAGCCAAGGCTGGCGTCTCTCGTGGCAAGACGTTACAGTGCGAGTCAGCCATCTGTCTGAAAAATCGAAAAGGACCGACCAATAACAAGGGCCAACACTGATGATCGTTGACGAACGTACATAAAGCTGGAGGAATGTGCGTATAGAACGCAAGGTCAAGTATACCAGTTTGATGTCCTTGATTGGCCCAACGAAGCTCCTGCCCATGAGCAAGTACATCAAACTGCTGGAAAAAAGGGGTATTCTTCTTCTAGGTCTTCCTTGCAGAAGATCGTCTTGTCCAGTGCGAGTGTTGAGACTTGAGCACGGCGCGATAAACCGCGCATCGCAAACTTGTGCATTGTCTCTTCTTGCCCTTGTCGATGCAGCTTAGTGCATGCTGCGCGCCAGAAGCATTCCGACTCTACCGGCTGCAGAGAACCGACAACTGAGGGCATCTTAACCAGGTAAGGCGTCTCTAGGCAAAGTTCCAGAGACGCATGTCCCACAAATTATTGGGCGACCGTATCATGGACAAGCAACGTAGGAACTTCGCCCGCAGCTCGACGTTTATTCTGGTTTCCGACAACCTTCGACGCCAGTAGGCCTGCAAAAGGCCAGTTGAAAGGGCGTGCCTCAGACAAGATGATGATCAGGGCCATAGCCCGGAAAGTGGTTAAAGCCATCGGGCGGGCTTTCAAAGAGCGACCAAAAGCCATATATTATCGCCACGAATAATATTATGATTACAACACGGCCGACCCATTCGTGCAGCCCGGACTCTGATGTCTCGATATCAGTGCTCGCTGCGGACGAATCGTCGCGCTCTTGCCACGTGCCGTAGTTGTACGTAGGCGCTGCTACCCCGCCTAGCAGGGGATTCGTAGCATCGTCGTAGGATGGGGGCGGCACATCCGGCCCGTCGTGATAGCCCGGCGGGTCATGATGACCGGGCGGTGGATCGTGATGTATGGGGTGGTGATGGTGTGCGGGTGCCTCCCAGGCTGGTGGGGGGCCAGAAGGGGCAGGATCGTGCGAAGGCTTCTGTTGTCAGTACCAGACGCTTTCAGGGATGTGCTCTCATCGTACGGGTGTGTGGTGGTCCATGGGATTGGCGGCTGCAGGTAGCCGGAGAAACTGCGGGAGCCGGAGCGCGTGTGGGGTCAAGCTGCTGTGAGGCGCGACGGCTTGCGGCAGGAGGCTCAAAGCCAAGCCGGACGCCGGAGAAACAGGCTTGCCGAGGCTGCGTGTCAGGAAGGCGCGATGGCCTCTGAAGCTCACCTCGAACAGGCAGACGCGAAAAGCACCAAACAAGTGCCCTAGCCAGCATGTCCAGTGCGCTGCATCCGATCCACAGACACCGCAGATACTGCCTGGCCCAGCATGGCTCATGATTCCTCCGCTAACCTCCAGGTCTTCTCGCCAACGGGCTCCGGACGCTCCTCACCATCACCCCGCGTAACGCGCAACCACGCCGAGGACGGTACGTCACGGGAGACCTAGGGTCCTTTGTCGTGCAAGCGTACTGAAGCTTGACAGCACTACAAAAGAAGGACAAAGGTTTCCGTCGCTATGCAGCTGGTGTCGAGCGCGCTCTCGCACTGTGGGACACTGCGCAGCAGGAATGGGCCGACTACATATCGTTCTTGGGAAGGCTTTTGAAGGTCAAGATGTCCATCTAGCTCATGGCGGAATTGCGCTCATGTGGTTGTGTTCAGGCTCTGCAATCTCATCCTTCTGAGACGACAGTCATTCCCCATAGCGATGCAGTCGCACTCCGATTAGCGCAGTGCTTGAATCCAACATTGCCCTCTGGCGTGCACCAGAAGGCGCTCGAGGTGTATGCATACTTATTCGCGACCATTGGTGTATGCCGACTCAGCTCCTGTAGTCTACATTTGCTGACTCAAGCCCAGAAAGATGCTCTTGCTCGTGATCTTAACCTTTACTTTCCCGGACTTTCTTCAGTGCTCTCCTTTGCCTCACTCTCGGTCCGCCCACTCTTCTTATCCGTATACGAGAACTACATCTTGAAGCTCGATGCGTCCGCCCTTCGTCCGGCCCTCAAAGCAGTCATCCTGTCTCTGCTTCCGGGGCTAGAGGATGAAACTAGCGAGGACTTTGAACGGATGACATCTGCCCTGGACAAGCTACGGAGTGCTGTGAAAAGCCATTCAGACGAGATTTCGGAAGCAAGGACCGAGGCTGGATCCTCACACTTTTGGCAATGTTTCTTTTTAGCGACCATCACCAATGCCTCACGAAGGCAAGGCGCGCTTGCCTACCTTGTGCGGCGCTTACCCAAGTTCAGTCTTCCTCAGCGTCGCGGATCCGTCGCAGGAGAGTCTAGTGCACTTTCTGAGGGTTTGCCAGCCGAAGCCGAAGCCGCCATAACTCCAGAGCCAGGCTTGCTTATTCGATGTTTCGAAGCTGGTCTCTTTGACACTCAGCTGTTGATACAACGAGGCTTTCTCGATTTACTCGTCACTCATCTACCTCTGGACTCGCCTGTATTGCAAGATCGGATCGGCAGAGAGGATCGAGAGCGAATAGTAGCTGCTGCTGCAGGTGTTGTTTCGCGGAGAGACATGAGTCTGAATCGAAGGCTGTGGGCCTGGTTCCTCGGGCCCGAGCCAGCGCCCGACGCCGATGGCAACGACGCTGTTGCATCACCAACGCAAGACAGACATGGCGCAGCGTTGGACCCCTCCTCCTACCACGCCGCCTATTTTTCGCATTTCGGTCTTGAAGCGCTGACTCAGAGTGTGTTGAAGATGATCAACAGATCTACCAAGCATCCTGCCGAGCGTGCAAAACCTTTTCGCGTTTGCCTATCTCTCATGGACCGATGGGAAGTCGGAGGATTGATTGTGCCAGAGATTTTTATCCCTGCACTACAAAGCATCCAGTCATACAGTGAGACGGCCACAAAGGCTCAAGTTGACGAGGTCTTGCGAAGCGCAAGTACATTCTTTGATGGAGTCGACAGTGGCCTGATCTGGGGCAAACTGATCCATCTAATTACGACCTCACTCGGGCCCGCCTTGCCAAACCAGCAAGATGCACTTCGACAGATGCGATTAGCCAAATTTGTTTTGTCTCGCTTTAACCTCAAAGAAGATGACATGCTGTTTCATCACATGCCGCTCATGATCTTCTCCGCACTTGCGGCGCTGAACAGTAAAGCTGGAAATGTTCCAAACCTATCCACACAAGATCGGGAAGTCGTAGATCTCGCACTTGAAATTGTCGAATCCCTTCTGCAGATTGTGCCTGATCGAGCGATAAGGGGGGCCGAAGAGAGCCAAAACAGCGATGACGCAAGCGACGTTAAATGCGTGGCCTTGGAGAAAGTACAAGTCTTCTACGAAGAATCACAGGGAAGCTTGGACATGGTAGATCCCCCTTTCAGTGCCGCTGAAATTGGTCACTTGATCATTGAAGAATCGACCCGGATATTCCTTGCATTCGTCCAGCTCCACCCCGAGGTCTCTGCGGAAATTCCTTCTAGAATACTGGCGAATGCCATCGTGAAGGTCCAACATTTTGACGTTTTGAATGACATGGAGCCGTTCGCAGTCGTCCAACACGTTCTTTCCGAGCCTGTCACCAAGAACCGTCCACCGTTTCCTTTTTCGCGCCTGAGTGCTGTTACAACAGTTCTCGCTAGCTTGCAACTTGCGCGACCCTCGGATCCTTATATTGGCGAATCTCAGATTGGGGAGATCATTCACCCTCTGGTTGCTGCTTTCTGGCAGTATCTTTCCCCATTGACGCCAAAATACCATGTAGAGGCTGTGAGGTGCATATTGCAATTGCATAATATGTCTCCTTCGAATCGCGTTGTAGAGGCAGCTCTGTCCTCTATCTTGACACAAGACATGCCTGGAGGCTCATCAAGTCTTCACTTTGCTGATGCCACGCGACGGTTTGCGGTAATCTGGACGCATACTGTGTACGAGCTCAGCTTGCAATCCGAGAAACGCGGTACATTGTCTCGACGCGCGAGTGCAATGAGCATCTCGAGTCTCGCTGTGCAGGAAGTCAGTTTTCACTCCGTCCTTTCGAGGCCGCTACTTCTCCTTCTTGATCTACTTGGTGACGAAGGAACCGAGGCCGTTGCTGTTGTCAACAATTGGCTTCAGGATCTTCCAACGCTCAACAAGATCTTCGAAGTCCTTGTTACGCGTTTACAATCTCTTCGATGCTTGTCTTCCACCACCAGCCTGGCTCCCGGCACAACCCCGGCTCAGGGGAATTCGCACCTCAAAGGAGATGACAGCAAGGATTGCCTTTACTATCTAAAACATGTCCATAACATACTGAAACGACCTTCACGATACACTTGGGCTACGCTAGCAGAAGAGGCAGGCCCGCGTCTCCATGGTACAGAACCTATCATATCTTTGCAGGAATGGATCGTGAGAACTTGTTTGAAGACTCTCTCTTTGGACTTTAATAAACAGAGTCCAACCAAACCAGCACACTTACATGAGCTTTATCATGTCTCCGTTGACATCATTAACCAGATCTACGGCAGTCCCTTCGCGCCAGCTCTGAGGGATCTGGAACTTGAAATTCCTCTGATGGCTCGCCTGAGATCGGCTGGGCCCTCCCTGCAGAGTCTTTTACTCGGCGCCTCACTACATGCACTCCGACTACGTCTCACTCGACCGAACGAACCCCAAATACCAGACCAGAGAGTTCAAAGCTCAGCATCTCACAAACCAAGGCTATCGCTGGCTATGAATAGGGAGTCTGTCGAAGTGGAGCCCGTGCCAATACCGCCGCCACCTCAATTGGTAGACATTATCAAATATGGGTTCTCATCACCATCAAGCCGGCTTGTTTTGGACGACTGGGTCAATTTCCTTGTCGAGGTGCTCCCTCTATTTGCGGATACTATCTTCCAAAATCTACTTCCTTTGGTGGAATGCTTCTGCAAGGAGATTCGGAAGACCTTCGAGCAGCTGAAGCGCATATTCTGTATCGCAGATGCAGTCGAGCAAATCTCTCCAGAGTCAACCCTCATATCTCTCATCAACGGATTGGAGCAGATTCTTGCTAGGGCCCATGACCGTCTCATGATGCAAGAGACAAAGTCTGTTGCCAACAAATCCCCAGAACAACCTCAGGGTTTCTTCGGCAACATGGTTTCTGGGGTGTTTGCAACCGAGGCACAGCAATCTCGCACGCCGACAGCTAATAGCAGACTAACGGTGCTGCTGTGCTTTCAGGACACAGTGCGCATATGCTTCGCTATTTGGTCATGGGGAGGCTATGCCACCAGCGGCGGACAGCAAGATCCGACATCGGCTTCTTCATTTGGCTATACATCCTTGCGTATGCGTAATCGAGCAAGGCGGATATTGGAGCACTTGTTCGCTGCGGAAGCGCTAGAATGCCTAGAGACGCTTGCTGTGCTGTGGTCGCAATCTCCGAAAGACGACACCCAAGTGGAAGCCATCGTGGGTCTTCTCAACGTGCTCAACGGGTCAAAGCCAAAACACACAATTCCGGCGATCTTCAACGCTGTATATAGCCGCACGAATCCCAACGCCCTAGACCCTAATCGCATGTCTACCTTGACATCTGATCTCACGGATACGGACCTGGTTGCTTTCTTGATTGACTATACCAAATCCCTAGAAGATGATGCCATGGACGAGATATGGCAGGACTGCACTCTCTTCCTACGGGATGTGCTGGCGAATCCACTTCCTCATAGGCAAATACTGCCGCTGCTCCTGGAGTTCACGGCCGTCATCGGACAGAAAGTTGACAACACTAACTTCGGCGAGCAGCGGAAAATGAGGAAGGAGCTAGCAGTAAGTGACTGAGCCGAAAAGCTGTGCTTAAGATGCTAACATGCACGCAGGATATCTTCCAGCGCATCCTCACAGCCGTTTTTACTACTCGTCCAATGGGCCATTTCCAAGAACCGAACTCTGGGCAGAGCAATGCAAAGTTGATAGAGAAGTCACCTTTTATAACGAACGCCGCCCTCTCACAAAAGCGTGCGGCAGACGTAGTCTCCGTGTTGAACGCTATCGTACCACATCTTCCCATCATACTGGTAGAGAACGAGCGCGTAACAACCGTCGTAACAAACATCGCTACTTCGGTCATTGGCCCTACCTTCCGTACCAAAACGTTTCCTGAACACGTGTCGAGGGGCGTATTAGACTTGCTGCAGGAATTAGCCAGGGTCGCGCAAGGGAACAAGTTTTGGAAGAAGGAGCTCTACGATGCGTTCAACGACAGTCGATTTTTTAGCACACCTCTTCCCCTGCTCAGAGAATCCTGGCTCCCCATTCTAGCGCAATGGGCCCACTCTGACAAAGACCGGCTGCCTGAATTGCTGAGCAGGCTGAGTGCACCTACAACAGCGGGCATAATGTTCGGTGTGGGCGCCTCGTCCGCGCGGCAAGAAGCAGACCGCAAGACGCAGCTCACGCTCCGCCGCATTGCACTTCTCGTTCTAGCCAGCGCCGAAGATGCTTTCACGCCGAATCTCCCAGCCATCATGACCTCGATAACGGAACTCCTAACTGCGACTCCAGCGTCGTCACCATCTTCAATCACACGCGCTGACGTGCTCGTCCTACTGCGTGCGCTCATCCTCAAGACATCTTCCATCCACTTGGCTTCTTTGTGGCCGACCATGAATGCCGAACTCACATCCGCGCTGAGCAGCTTGCTCCCCGAGGCGGCTAATAGGGAACATTACAACAACGCGGGCATCATCCAGGCGTGCAAGTTGTTGGACACACTCGTCATACTCAACCCAGATGATTTCCAGCTCATCGAGTGGCTTTACATCTGTGACACCATCGACGCCGCTTACCCGACCGAGTCCACCACCTCCACCTATCCTGCTGGACTCGCGGACGAAATTGCGCAAGTTCTGCAAGCGACGGGATCTTCGACCTCGCGTCCACTGACCCACGCGAACGACGACGGTGTCGAGCCGCAGAGAAGGCTCTTCTTGGATCCTCTGCTGGAGGCCCTGGAGAAAGAAGAGGGCGCGGAAGTGGTGGAGATGGCAAGAGGGGAGTTGATTGACAGGGTCGTGCGGCCTTTCCTGGGAAGCCTGGGAATGCTGACCTTTGAGTCTACGTACGGAGGCGGCGAGGTCGATGTCGAAGGCGTGTGGGCTAGTGTGGTAGCTGACGCTAGGGGTACAGAGTAGACGTGAATGGAGATATAATGGGAATGGTTTCGTCTTGCGGGTGAGCCGAAGCTTGCTGAACATTTTCTTTTGGTTTGTTCGCGGAATTGTGCAAATGTGCCTCCCACTGGAAGCAGGTCGCTCACCTGAAAATATGGTAACACAAGACCCATAGAGACCCTTGGAACAGTCCGCCGAATCTACATGAATGTCCTCTCTCGGGTCACAGCCTTCTCCGCCTACTCACGTCTCACCTCCGACGTCCCTTCCAAATAATCCAACGGCCACGCCGCCACACACGTATACTTAGTCGCCACATTCGACTTCATCCAACACCCCCATCTCCACCATCCTACCATTGAGATCCACCACAAACTCGACCGGCGTTCTGCTAGCCCAAGCTCTCTACTTTTCCGCCGCCGTCTCATCCGCCCAAGTTCATGTGCAATCCACCACAAACTCCCTCGGCAAACATCCAATCCTCGTATTCTGATACACCCACGCAACCTCCGCCCCGCCCGGCCAAATCGCCTCTTCATCCTTTAAAATAACGCTAATGAGATCGTGGAGGAAGGTGGCACCCCTAAGCTCGAGAGCGAGTAGAAAATGCCTCTTAGAGATACAGAGTGAAATCGTAGCTAGGGCGCGGGATTGTCGAGTCGAGGTACATGGAGAGGTGATCTGGCCGGGCGACGGCCCAGAGACAGTTGAGGATGAGGGCGGATGGGGTGGTGTTAAGGCGGACGATGGGGATAGTGGGGGAGATGGTCGTGGAGGGGATCAACTTGTTGGAGGACTGCGCGCTGCTGGGTGGTTCGTCTGCTGCGGGAGGGGTGTCTTTGTTTCCGGGACCTGGCGAGGCGGGGGACCAGGGGGAGCGGTAGAGCGCATACTTGAACAAGTCGGATGTCTTGGCTAGGGTGGCCTCGTTCATCTTGAAGACCTCGTCTGTTTTGCGCGCTTGGAGCTGGAGATATCTGCTTGCAGACACAGTGCAGATGTTTAGTTCTGGAGTTTGAAACATCGAATGCATTCCAAGAGAGCACCCACCTTGTGACAAGCTTCGTGGGCATAGCGTGTGACGTCTGACGCTCAGAAAAAGACGTCGTGGTGAACTAAACTGAGCTCAAGAGGACTTTGGGACTAGACACGTACTTCCGCTTGCGAGAAGATGACCCTGCGGCCAAAGGCAGCATTGCATGGCGGTCCAGCACGGGCTCCTGGCTGAACACCGGGACTTGATTCGAGGACACAAAGTTATACGCTACAGAGCCTTGAATTGACATGCTAGTGAGGTATTGATGATGCACACGCGTGAGTGTCGCGGGTTTCAGGGTTGTTGTTCGTAATGAAGGGGGCTGGTACAGTATGCTGAGTGCGCGTGTGTGCTTGGGCGTTGCGTGCGAACAGAAGCAGGGTACATTGAATTGACGCAGGGAACAGAAGGCGTACTTATAAAGACGCGAGCGCTGCTTTGGCCTGTGCTGAGCAGTGACTTTTGATTGTTTGCTGTAGTTGAAGCTGCTACAGTTGACCATAGCTGTTTTAGATATTGTGTTTTAGACACGGTGCATATTGAACTTATTAATACGCAGACTTGAGATCGACAATGCCAATTAGAAAGAAGGTGTGGTTGTTGTAATGGCGTGGATAGTGTGGATATAAGATTGATGAAGTCGAAGAACTGACTGCCTTTGTTGAAGTTGATTGTGAAAGACCTATATGTGAAAGACCTATATGTGAAAGACCTATATGTGAAAGACCTATATGTGAAAGACCTATATGTGTTGGAACTTCCGATCTATAACCTTCTCGTACTGTAGAGACCGACCGCGTCACGGTTTGCAGAGAGAGAATCGAACCGGTAGAAATTCTTAGTATTGCCGGACGTTAGAATGCACCGATTAGTGTTTACAGAAAGAGACTAGATGCTGCCTGCCGCCTAAGCTAGGCTATATTAACACGCGGGAAACCAATCATAGGCGTTTTATCACATTATGTAATCTAGAGCCTGGACCATCTCATCCCTAATTACTTCCCTCTGAGGGGCTCCTTTTCTGCAACTTCAGAGTTTCCGTCCCTTCGATATGGCTTTCAGTTGCCTACCGCCGGAATTGACGCTCTCAATCGCCGAGCGTCTGGGTCCCTTCTCCAGCTTTGACTTCGCCCTCACGTGTAAACCGCTTTGGGACCTCTGCAACACCCTTATTCAGAAGCACAAGCGACTCTTCGCGGAACACCGCGTAATCAATGCTCAAGACTCGTCCTGGCCACGCACCAATCACATCCTGTGGGATAAGCTGAAAGAGATAGTGAACGATCCAAACATTGGCGAGTATGTCCGGGAGCTGAATCTGCCGAGCTCTCGCGCGATATACCTGGACGGAGATGCATGCCATGATTTCCAGCTCACAGAAGAAAGCGCGAAAGTGCCACAGGAAGATATTGACCGCTTCGCTGATGCTGGGAATCGAATTCATGATCTTCTCCAGTCAGTGGACCTGGGATATGGCGTACCTGGTCCCCGCGAGTGGGACGAATGGCTCCTGCATGGCTCTTCCGAGCCCATCATTGTAATGCTTGTGCAGCACATGCCGCACCTCCGGACCTTCCGCTTCACGGATCTGGAGATGAACAACGTCTTCTTCGGATGCTTGTGTGCTGTTGCAGTGGCATACAAAAACCCCGTACTCGCGCCGCGGTTACCGTTCCAGCACCTTACCACCGTGTCAGTTGCGCACTGGGACACTGAAATGAGCTGTAACGTGGAATGGTGTCAACTTTTCTGTGCGATTCCCAGCGTGCGTAACTTTATCGCCAGTGCCATGGGCGGCGATGGTCTCGATGGCATGGTTCTGCCAGCACAATTACCGAAGTCTAATGTGACCGAGTTGGTATTTCACTATTCGCGTTTCGAGACCTCTGCGATCGAGGCAATCGTCAGCAACACGCCGCGTCTGGAGAAGCTCAGCTATGAACTTGCTGGCGCAACAGTAGCCGAAGATATTTCTCCAATGCCGAAGAAAGATTTAGAGGCGCTTGTGGAGCATGTGGGCCACTCCCTGCAGCATCTGGTATTTGAAACCCCAGAATATGGGGACGACGTACGTATCCCTGTAAACTAATAAACCAGTATGCTGATACGTCCATTCGTGCAGTTTGAGGACGACCTTCCCAAAGTTTCCCTCCGCGGATTCCGAAAGCTGAAAACCCTCCGAATTGACTGGCGCCTCCTTTGGCCAACGGACGAGATGATTCCATTCGATAACGCCGAGAAGTCTGACGGCGGCTTCTACGAAGAAGAGGAAGAGACGGCGGAAAGCGACTTCGACGTACGCAGTGTGCTTCCCGCGTCTCTCGAAAAACTGTACTTCACCGGCTCTTTTACGGAGGAGGAAAAGGAGCTTGTGAAGAAGATCCGAGAGGCGCCCAGCGATTACACCCCCCTGTTGAACAAGATATACATTGAGGATCGCTCGGTGTCGTTCAAGGAAGAAGAAGTCCCGGGTATTTATGCAAACCCGCTGTTCAAGTACCTGGAAGGACATGGGAACTAGGGTTGGAAATGACAGGGCTAGACTATTTTTCAGAAAGGGGATGTGAAATTATTGGAGAACCTTGTAATTCGAGGTTTTCGGAAGAACGCTATTTTCGTAGGCTCCCTATGAGCACTATCCACGGTGGCCATTGACCACAGGTTTCCCTACGACGTATTCCATTCCATGAATCGAGTATCTGTGTAACGGTTGTAGTTGTCACCAGTGTTCATTGACCAAGATCTGCGGAAAACCCAAAACACGTTGTACAGCGTTCATACACCTGGCAATTTTCACGGGGTTGTCTGCGTACAGGACTGGGATCTTTTTGAGTAGGTGTGCGCCGAGTGAATCTACATCTCTGGAGTAATCTGGAGTAATGTCGAGGATTGCCAGCTGGTCGTACCGTACCAAGCCAAGGAGGCCATATCTCTGATCTAGGGGGTCGAGACAGTGCGAGCCCAAAAACTTGCTCATGACGGTGTGAAAATCAAGACCAACGATATCTTCAGGTCCTTGTCTGGCGCTAGCATGCCAGAGATTACGATTGTGTAAAGTCTGCTGGCCCGCTACATCGTTCCTTTCAGAACATGCTGATAATAAGAGGTCTACAATCGCTGTGTCGAAAATTTTGTTTGGATAGCAGAACTCTATCTGCTTTGCGACGATAAACTCTTGTTGGACCCACAGGCGATGCCAGTAAGGATGGAGCAGAAAGTGAACTGCGTAGAAACGGGTAAGCAGTCCAGATATCTGCATATTACCCTGCAGATAGTCCATAACCTCTTCAAAGTCCAATGTACTGGGGCTTAGCCAAACAACAACTTTAGCAGCCCTGCGATAGACCTGACCCATCAACGCCACTTGATGATTACGTTCCTCGATGTTGTCTTGATTGATTGAAATTACGTCGATCCAGAGTAGCTCCGATCTTCCCAATTCTCTTGCCTGCTTCAGAAAACTGCAGAGGTTCTCCCGCACTTGGATTTGTCGTCCATTGAGGGTAATCTCGAAAGTAGGGTCTGGCTTCCCCCATGTGTAAGACAGAGCAGTGAACTCGCCAGGCTTTTCTAGCTCCAATTCGTGCAATGTGCAAGCTATAGGACTTTCCGGGGATCCAGGCAGGAGCTTGATTAGGCGGATGTAGTTGGTTCCCGAATGCCTTGTCGGAGTCTGATAAGGAGAAGACGAGTCTGTGCCTGGGCTGGTGGACATCGTAAGTCAGGTAGTACCACAGAAAGAAAAAGAATTCGATTATGGCACCAGGTAAAAGTCTCAAGGTTAAAGGATTGTCTTCGAAGTTGCATAATAGATTGGCTGATGAGGCGAATAATCGACGAGGCTGCCTAGGCTGTGCCTCGTATTCGCGTTGAGAAGCACGTTAGCCGGCATTGCGATCGGAGGCAGGACAACCTAAGCGATAAGGATCCAATGAAACATGAAGTACGACAGGCAGGAGGAGAAAGCAAGTCTAAACAATGTGTGACTGTGATAGAGTAGCGGCGGCTAACCAGGCTATACCTGATTTTCTCATCACGTGCCGATAAGATAAGGCTCCATTCATGTGGTTCCTAACTTTTTTCCAATTACCAATAAAACATCGCAACATGGCGCCAGGAAGTGGAGCAAAAGGCGCAGAAAAGAGAGGCCGAAAGAAAAAGAGCAAGAGCCGAACGAAGGGTACGTTATGCCCATCTACCGAAAGGATGTGACTGACATTCGTAGTCGAAGTCTCGTCGTCCTCAGAAAGCGACAGCGACACGCCCCAACAGAACATAAAGAAGGCGAAAAAGTCTACCCAAGCGGTAACGATCCCACAAATTCAAAGCTGTGCGACTTAGGCTCACTTCTCTAGCCTGCACCTGCTCCTCAAAATGGCGACATTTCCATGACAGACGCGCATGACGCACCATCGTCACATTCACCTGCGTCGGCGTCAACGTCACCAGCACCACCCTCAGCACCAACTACATTACCAGCAAAATCGAAGGTTCTGCCAAAGGACCCAGAAGAATTTTCCGCGATTTACCTGAAGAAGATCACGTCTGAGCTTGCAGATGACCTCGTCAAAGTTCGCGACGCGCAGGACTTCAAGGACAGCAGTTTGAAGATGCTAATCCATGCGTTGAAGCAGGGTTCGAGCATCTATTCGGCCGAGGAGAAGCGGAGGGTTGTTAACGCGACTAGCTAGCGCAGGAAAGCATGCATGGGTGGCGTTCAGGATTGGGATTTGAATCTTGTAGATGCGAGTTCACGCTATCGATATTCCCCAAATATACGGATCTGAGAAGCCGCTCAAAGCTTCTTGCCTTCCTCCTCTGCTGCATCTCAATACGCCTCCACCGCAAGTCCCGACCTCCATTCGAGTTCTATCTGCCAAGCAAGCTGATATGGGTGCCTGATGATAACCATATCGTGCGCCAGCTTGATCACCTTCTCCCTCTTTGCCTCCTTTTTTCCAGCTGGCAACACAAGCAGCGTGTCGTATGCCCTCTGAAGCAGCTTCTCCTCGTACTCCCTCCTTAGCGTGTCATCGCTCGTCCAATCTACGATGTTCTGGTAGATATCCTCTAATGGACTTGCTCCATATACCTCGTTCTTGACTTCTGTTGTCGTACCCTCGAGTGTCGCGCCGAGTCTTGACCTGCGCTCGTCGATCTGGCGCTTGATGGTGGCCATTTCTTCGCCTTCATAGATCTCCGCGAGACGGGCGTAGACGGCGGCGGGCTGGGGTAGGCGACCCTCGAGATATGAGTAGATGGGCGAGTCGGGCGTCTGTAGGGTAAGGGCGCGGGCATATTGTAGCTTTGTCCCGTGTTTTCTTGCGTGGTCGACGAGGCTGTCGATGGCGGTCTGTGCCTTGTGTGCATCGTCACTGTGCAGGTCAGAAGCCGCTCACGATAACATTGTCTGATGGAGATGACGTACAGCTCTGCGTATATCTGCGCCAACTTCAGCTCGACGTCGATCCTCTCGTCCACCTTTGCCTTTCCCTGCTTCTGGTACAGGCCCCTCAGTCCCAGCCATGCCTGTGGATCCTGGGGCTTGATCTTCGTCGCGTCATTATACGCCTGCGCTGCTGAATCCAGCTTTCCCAGGCCGTCCTGCGCGCGCCCTATAAACAGTTTCGCGAAGTAGTTCTCTGGGTCCTTTGCGAGCACTGCGTTCGCTTGTTCGATGGCTTCATCCCACTTTTTGGCGTCGATGGCCGCCTTGGCGGCTTTGAGCGCTGCTTTGGTGGACATGGCGAACGATCGAAGAGATTGGAGGTAAAAGGAGGGGCGCAATGCGCGCAGCAGGATTATCGGTCTGCCATGGACGCGGGCAGACGCGTGGGGTGGGCGATGCTGGGTGCGATGTATGACGTTCCCCGCGCTATGAAGAGCTTAATTCAGCCCTACGAGCCTCATACTGACACTTCGACACCCCGCTAGCTTGGACGCCCTCTGATCTTTCACTCCACGTGCTCCCAGAGCACGCGTGCATTGTTGTACCCTCACTATCTGCTTGCATTCAGGCCGGCTTCATCCTTTTGTTGTTGTTCTGCTCCGCTTCGCCTACAATGGCGTCACACGCAAACAGCGCACATGACTTCCTAAACCTGGACATCCAGACATTACGCCAATATGTTGAGCTTTTCCCCAACGAGGGCCTTTCCAAGGTGGTCACTGGCTACTTGAGCAGCGGATTGTCCCGATATCCTCTAAAGGTCGAAAGCGCCGATGCACCAGATCTTAGTGAGGGTGGGGTATCGCTCAGCCAGAATGAGCCACTCACGCAAGAGGATTGTTTGATGCTGATGACCGAGGGTATCGAAGATGCGAAGAACTCAGCACTGGCGCATTGTCTTCTCGGAGAGTTCTATTTGTTTCTGGAAGAGTATGAGAGCGCTGTTGAGACTACTCGGAAAGGCCTGCGACTCGCGGCTACTGAGGCGAAGAGAACAGACTTGTCATTCCAGAGGTAGGAATTAATCTACAAGTTCTGAAGCTTGAATTGACCTCTATAGGATGCGAGATGCACTGAACAGCACATTGGGAACAGCACTAGTCTACTACCAGACCCCAAGGAATCATCCTGAGGCAAAAGGAATCTTCGAATCAATACTGAAGCGGAAACCTCAGTTCACTGCAGCTTTGATCGGTATCGGGCTCATTCTAGAAGAGGAGGAAGAATATGCCAATGCTGTAGAGTTCCTTGAGCAAGCACTGAAGCAGGATCCGGCGAACGGCCGCATCGGCGCAGAGGCAGCCTGGTGCCAGGCCCTCAGTGGCAACTATCAGACCGGTCTCTCAAGACTTCAGGACTACCTTGAGTACCCCCAGCTAGACGCATCGAAACCGCGAGGCCGCGAGCTCCGGGCGCAAACACTGTATAGGATAGGTGTTTGCATGTGGGAACTCGATTCGTCCAAAGCAGCGCGTCGTGATCGTTCGGGGCCTTACGCGAAGTTTTTGGCCGCTATCAAAGCGAACCCAAACTTTGCGCCTGCATACACTAAGCTCGGTATCTTCTATGAAGAGTACAACAAAGACAAGAGGCGCGCGAGGCAATGTTTTCAGAAAGCTTTCGAGCTGTCACCTTCAGAGATTGTTGCAGCGGAAAGGCTGGCACGCCTTTTTGCCAATCAAGGTGAATGGGACATTGTCGAGGTGATATCACAGAGAGTGGTCGACTCTGGGAAGGTCAAAACCGCGCCGGGTTCGAAGAGGAAGGGTGTTAGCTGGCCGTTCTCCGCGCTTGGAGTTGTGCAGATGAACAAGCAGGAGTATCAGAAGAGCATTGTTTCGTTTCTATCGGCTCTCCGCATCAGCCCTGACGACTACAATTCGTACATTGGCCTCGGCGAGAGCTACCATAACTCAGGTCGCTACAACTCCGCCGCAAAAGCCTTCAACTATGCTGAAAATCCTTCCGAGGGGGTAACAATCAAAAAGGCGGACAGCCAGGGTTGGTTCGCGAAGTACATGCTGGCGAACGTCAACCGCGAACTCAGCGAGTTCAATGAGGCCATTAAAGGTTATGAAGAGGTCCTCAAAGAGCGATCTCAGGAGTTTGGAGTTTCAATCGCGCTGGTACAGACGCTGGTAGAGAAAGGATGGCGATGCATCGAAACCGGCTTCTTTGGTGAGGCGGCAGACAGCGCCACCCGCGCCATTGATGTGGCTCTTGGTATCACGGAGTACAAACCCGATGCGTTCAACTTGTGGAAAGCTGTCGGCGATGCTTTGAGCATATTCACCTGGGTTCAAGAGAAGCTGCAGCAGTGTCCAGGCAGCCAGGTGGCCAAATTGCTGAACAGCAAGTCGGACATTGAGCTGAATTGGGATGCTCATAAAGATGTTGACGGAATTGGGGGTGGCGATCTGGCTGCTCTCTCATTGGAGAAAGCCTCAACCTTATCGACAGTACTGAAAGCTTCGATACTCGCGCACAAGCGTGCAATTGCAAGCTGTGCCCACGACATCCATGCGCAAGCCGTCGCCTGGTACAATCTGGGCTGGACCGAATACCGCGCCCACGTCTGCCTAGAGCAGGAAGTCGCCCAAGATTCGAGCCTCACCACGTATCTCCGCGCAGCAATGCGGTGCTTCAAGCGAGCCATCGAGCTCGAAGCTGGCAACTCGGAGTTTTGGAACTCCCTTGGTGTCATCACTACCACGCTCAACCCCAAGGTTGCTCAACATGCCTTCGTCCGCTCCCTTCATCTCAACGAGCGAAGTGTTCGCGCTTGGACTAATCTGGGTACGCTGTACCTGCTCCAAAACGACACTGAGTTGGCACACCAAGCCTTCTCTCGAGCACAATCACAGGACCCAGACTACGCCTTGGCATGGGTAGGAGAAGGCATTGTCGCCCTACTCTTTGGCGATACAAACGAAGCGCTCTCGCATTTCACGCACGCATTCGAGCTTTCCGACTCATCGCCCTTGATCACCAAGCGCCAATATGCCATGTCGACTTTCGATTTCCTAATCTCCTCGCCATCCGCATCGAGCAACATCACCAACCTCATACAGCCCTTATTCGCCCTCCACCAACTAGGCTTCCAAGCCCCATACGACATCCCGCACAAGCACCTCGCAGCCCTCTTCCTCGAGCGCATCGGCAACCACGACTCCGCTATCGAAGCCCTCACCACCATCTGCTCAGTCGCGGAGCAAGACTACGAAACCTCCGAGTCGCTCTCTGCTCTCGTCCGCTTCGCCAAGGCAAAGAACGACCTCGCCCGCAACCTCCTCGCAACAGGCTCCCACAGTGCCGCCGTCGAAGAAGCCGAAACAGCACTTGAGCTCCTCTCCGACTTCGACGCGCAAGCCAATGCCGCCGTGCTCTCCCCCGCCGCACTCGACAAAACGACCCTGTCGGCAAGACTAACAGCCGGTCTCGCGCACTACTTCCACGGCGACCTTGACGCCGCGATTCCCTACTTCCGCACGTGCCTCTCCGCCACAAACTCCGACCCGGACATCATTTGCCTCCTCGCGGAGGTGCTCTGGGCCAAGGGCGGAGAGAATGAAAAAGACGTTGCGCGCGAGCAGCTGTTCGCGGCCGTGGAAACGCACGGGCGCCACGTCGGCATCGTGACGCTGCTCGGTGCGATGGCGGTCGCGGATGAAGACGAAGATACCATGGCTGCAGTGAAGGAGGATCTTGATGCGCTGCGCACGGCGGCGGATGTCTCGCCGGAAGATCTTGCGCGTGTGGAGAAGGTGCTCGAAGCTATTTCTGTGGTTCTCGGTAGCGAGGAGAACGAGTTGGATGAGGCTAGGCGGAGCGTTATGCTCGCGCCGTGGAAGCACACTGGGTGGAAGGAATTAGCTGGTGCGGCGGAGGAGGGCCCTTTCGCAGCGGTGATGGCGAGGGAGACGGCGGGGCGTAGTGTGCCGCCTGTCGGGGGGCTGGATGCGCGGGGGTTGGCGGATGCGGTGGTGGGGACAGGGGCTGTGGCAGATGCGCAAAGGAGTGTGGTGCTTGCGCCGTGGCGGATAGAGGGATGGGGTGCGTTGCGGGAGTGTGTGTCGAAGGCTTGATCGCATTGGGAATGTGTGTTGTGTAGGACTTAAGCGCATCGAGTAGATAGGACGAGTCAGGAGGAACGAGACATGGAGCAAGTTTGGGTAGTGCTGCACATCTGGCCTGCTCCGTCAATCCCCACAGCTTCGCGCCATCCGGATATCCACCAAATCTTACACATCTTATTTGGAAAATGTCCATCTGCTTCAGTATGCGCACACTTCGCCCCCAACAAGATAGTATACAAGCGTTGCAGCACGTGCTAAACCTCCCGGGACCCTAGCCTCCTCCTCCTCCTCCTCCTCCTCCTCCTGCTGCTGCTGCTGCTGCTGTTCTTCTTCTTCCACCTCTCTCGTCTTCCCTGCCATCTTGTCCTTTTTCCCCCTCCTCCTTTTTACCAGCTCATCCTCCTCCTCCTGACTTTTCTTCTTTACATTGTTGCCCTCCCAACAAGGTCGGTACATCTAACTTCTGATCGCGGGCAGCAGAGGCCGGGTGGTACAACGTGCCGCCGTCATATCTCTTAAATCTCCCTGCATGATAAAACAAGGCCGGCTCCGGATTTGATCTGGCGTCAAGTTCCTTCACGCTTGCTATGGCGACAACGTGATCTGCCACGGCAGCTTCCTGTTCTAACTGGCACGTCATGGAAGCAACCACGCAGTGAGCTACGAGTTTCGGGGGCTGTCTCTCGTGGTTAGTGGTAGGGTATGCGAACCTGAACGATACGTTGCGGCGGCGCAAGGTATCGAGGGAGTTGCCTTCGGTGAAGTTATGGGCGACCTTCGCAGCAAGAAGCGAGTTGTCGAGGAAGTGAACGCAGAATCGGCCTCCCGCCTCGCGGATTGCGTCGAGCGTCCTCGACGGGGTTTTGACGTTGAATGACACATGCGGCGGATCGAGCGTAACGGTGGTCAGGGAGGATATGGCGCTGCCGAGGGGAAGAGGCCTCATGTCCCCGTCCTGCGCGAAGGCAGTTATGACGATGACGGTGCTCGGAACTTGGCGCATGATGCTGCGCATGGCAGTCTTCATTTGGACCTGGTCTGGGGATGTCGCCTCCTGATCTGCGGAGGTTGAGCCACTCTCCTCGCGACTCGCTTTGGGAGCCGAAGCCGTGGCATTGTTGTTCAGGAGCCGTCTGGTCGTTGAATATGCGTGGTCGGCGCGACGAGCGGTGAAGCAGGGCGGTAAACGGCGTATGGAGCGGCTGCAATGGGGATGTCGCACTACCGAATATGTAAACAGCAGTATCTCTATGCTTGTATAGTATTCCGCCTACCTGCAGAGCAGCTCCAGCGATAGAATGCGGCGTAGAAGCGGCCCGTCGGGCGCAGTGCGGGCGCCATTGGTCGGCAGTTGATCTCACCGCGCCATGGAAAGTCAGAAATTGCGCACAGGCAGAGACGGATCGACCAGAAGGAATGCGCCTGGACAAGACCCGAGTGATGTCGTTGTGGAGGACTGACTTCATGTGCACCTCGCCATCCGAACCCCTGCCAGAAAAAGTTCCGCCGAGGATGTCCCGCCCGCAACCACCGTCCATCCTCACCCACCCATCGCCGCATCCCCAGCACAGCACACCTTGCCATGGCCACACCCATCCCCTCGCCCAGCGCTCTCCGCGCCCTCCGCGCCCTCTCCACGACGCCCGCCCCCGCGCGCACCCAGATTCGCCACGCGACGCTCCTCCGCCGCCCAAAGCGCCCCTACACCTTCACGCAGCTCGTCACCCTCTCCGACGGCAGCACCTTCGTCCAGCGCACGACCTCGCCGCTCCCCGTGTACAAGGCCACCAAAGACACGCGCAACACGCCGCTGTGGAACCCGAGCAGCCAGAAGCTGCTGAACGTCGAGGAGGACGAGGCCGGCAAGCTGGCGGCGTTCAGAGCAAAGTTCGGACGCGGCTGGGATGCTGAGCAGGTATGCTGACCTTGAGCGAAGAGGAGACGAGGTGCTAACGAGACGCAGGGCAAGGGAGCGAACAAGGGAGACTTTCTCATGGACTTGATCAGTGGTGCGGGAAAGACTGAGGCGGCTCAGGCAAAACCCGCTGCTGCGGCGCCCTCGAAAGCAGCTCCTGCAAAGGGTGGGAAGAAATAAGTGCAAGGCGTGAGATGGCGCAATCGGGGGAGGTCGACCATGGGAAGCAGCCGCGCAGGGCAGGGCCGCGCTCAGAGGGCTTCGTTGTGGTCAAAACATGCTACATCCTGCACGCAGTGTATCCGTGCCTCATGTGTTACATTATTTGTACAAACAGGTTTACAAGTGTTTCCACTATAGAATCGCATAGCGTCCACTGTCATGAGCTGACATCACCTGTTACCGCCATCTCTACTTGAGGAGCGACCCTTTTGCTTCAGCGTAAAATATTTCGAATGGTTCGCCGACTCGTCCTTGAATGGCCAGGCGTTGTATGCATGCCACAGACCTTCAATCATCTCGTTCGTCAACATGTTGACCTTCATATGGTCCAGATTCAGTCGCCCACCCCGTGCCGGGTCCCTCAAGCTCGGCACTTCATTGACCAGAGCGGATGCTCCAGACTGCATGGATTCGAGCGCCTTCAGCACCGAGTTATTAGGTGAATTGAACAGCGCGTAGGCAAAGTCCATGAACCAATCCAGCTTGAAGTCCTTGCGCGGATAAGGCTCAATATCGATCAAGCAAGCGCGCTGCCGGGGCCAAAACTCCTCCGGCTGCATGACGAGAGGCTCGTATGGTCGATGGTCCCACTGGAGGCGCGGAATGGGGGACTTGAGCGAGATGCGATCGTTTGCTGACGACACCGCAGCGGTCCGTTTGGGAGCATGTAACTGTTCCACGGCCATTTCCAGTTCTTCGTCCAAGGCTTCCAGCTCCTTCTTCGCCTCCTCTTTCTCTGGGCCGTCCTCCATCTTGAGGACCTCGATTTCCCGATCAAACATGCCTTCGAAGCGATCCGCAATCTCTTCGGCCTGGATTCTAAATTTGCGAAGCGAGGTTAATTGACAGTAGCGGAAATGGTGTTTTACACCGCGTGGGGTGCGCTTGCGACGACCGGATGGGTCTGTGGTCCAGAGGAGTTCGGGATGCTTCTCCAGATACTCGTCTTGCGAGATGATATCGATATCCCGCTGGTAGTCAACCCCAACACTCGACTTCCCCTCCCGTGTCCGCTTTTCAAAGTATTCTATCATTTCAGGCTGAGTGAGTCTCGTGTCGGCGGCCTTGCCCTGCTCTATGTTGCGCTGCATTATCTCTTCGGCCATTTCGTGTATGCAATCTCGACGATGCTGGGGAAGCTCCAAGCCGTTTTCTCGGCCACGTTGCATCGCGCGGATCACGCTTTGGATCTCGTACTGTGGCAGCCGACCAATTGTGGAGTGTCCGGGGCCTTTCGGTAGATGGTCTGGCGTCACCACCTGCACGGTTTTGGCTAAGTAGTTGAACGCCATCGAATACTTGGGGTACATGTAGTGAGAGCGGGGTACAGCGCCCTTGAAGTCTGCCTCAGTCGTCCACAAGAGCGACCGTACCGGGCCATATCTATGGAAGCGCTCGTCTCTCCAAGCGCACTCGTTGAACAAATGCATGAGCTGCTTTCCCAGTGAGTCAAACCCCATGCCTGAGGCTTTCGGGTCCCACATGATCGAGCCCGTGACTAACAGGTCATTGTTCGGTTGCAGCGGCCCAGAGATCTGGGGCTGAACGGGCTGTTGGTGCGACAGAATGGTGTCGAACAGTTCGTCGAACGCAGTTCTGTCTTTCATGTCTTTTCCCTCGTATAGCCTATATTTCGAGCCTGGCTTGTCCAATAGAGGTCGCTGGTAGGTGCTCCACATGGCCGGGGCCGGTTCAAAGAGCACATGCGTCCGCGGTTGAAGGAATTCATGCAGCTTCTGCGACCATAAACAGGCGCCGGGATTCAGGTCGATGATGTCGCATCCTTTGTACTTTTCTAGCGAGGGACCGATGTACTTTAATACGTCATCTGCGCGGTGCAATTAGCAACGGAAGGCTTGACATGTCTGCAGCTATTCGCTAGCCCCAGGACTTAACATACCGCATAGGTCTGGACTTACAATCTGGGTCCGCAAGCGGGCTGTCGTATTTGTGCTTCGGAGCGGGTCAGGTCGAGGGCCGAGATCAGCAAGCTCGCGTGACAGCGGGTACTTGTCGCTGTACGCCAGACGCGGGTGGTCTCTCCAGTAGTCCTCACGCGATTTCCGTCCGGACCCTTTCTTCGTTGCGGCTTTCCTTGACACGTGGCGTGAATGAGGCACTGAAAGGGCGGCCCAGTAGGGCGCCCGGAATACGAACTGCGGTCGCGACCGTGTGAGGGAGCCTAGCATGCGTGCGAAGGAGGGTGGTGTGTACAAAACGAACGGCAAGCCCAACGCGAGCGGACTGAATGTCCCCAGGATGCGGGAGATCTAGCCCCTTGTGGTTAGTTTAGATCCGCGACTTCGACAACGATCATCGGTGGCCGACAACAGATACAGTAATCCTTAAGATGCTATCGTGAGCATCTGCGCTAGCTTGTTATGTTGTAATTCTACAAACGATGATAGATTAGGTCAAGACATGATCAGGTGCGCTAATATTCACATTTCTTGTGTCAGCCACCGTTCAGAACATTGCTCTCATTGTCGTTGAATGCTGATGATCACTCAAACAGGTTACATCATGCTAGCAGCCATATACCGCAATGCCAAAACATTCCCGGACCCGACATCCGACGTCTTTATCCACTCAAACACGGGTTCCATAGCTTCGATATCAGCGCGATGACGGTCGGGCTTGAGCCGTCTTTTCTCAGGATCAACGTCGGTGTCCTACCAATACTCTTTGCTACTCTTGATCACCACCGTCCGTATGCTACTACAGATCAAACGAGTTGCCTATCTAATGGGCAATCCATGTATTGTCGTCTTCGCGTCAACAGACTATCAGGGTGCCAAAGTCGGGAACGGTTCTTGATAATGCTCGTACTTGATATCGAGTGGATATTCTCCAGACGTCCTCGGACGAGCTGAGACCAATGCCTTCATGGTATCAACGAGAAATTCATGGGGGCAGTTTTGAAACTCGTCCGTCCAGCTAGGATCATCGTTGGCATTGCTGGCACAAAAGTCCGTCATGAGGCGTCGAGCTGGTGAGCCTGCTGAAGTGCCTTCGTAGATGATCCTAACCGCCTCGCCGATTGGACAGTATTTCTCTTTAATGGAAATGGCAATAATGGCTTCAATTATCGCATTTTTGAATATCACATCCATTAGATACTCGCCCAAAACATAAAGCTTGGAGAGGAACACGAAGTCCTTGTAGTCGGGCACATTGTCATCAGGTCGAGGGATCGTACCGGAATGCAACCAGTGAACCTGAAACAAGTCAGTTCAAGCCGGAACGCAAACATGAAGCATCCATAGATGTACTCACGTAGGTCTTGAAGAGCACGGGATCGCACCTGGGCGTAACGGTACGCCCGTCGTCGCGTAAATCATCCCACTCTGGCTTCGTTGCCGCCTTGAGGAACTGTGAAGAGGAGCGAAGCAGGTTGAGCGGTACCGAGAGCCCCTTTTCTTGCTGAGCCTTGCTGACGTGTTCCGCGTTGATCAGACCTGCCTCCTTGGGCGCGAAGATGACGCGAATCATAGGGCCACCGAAGCTGTGAAATAATTAGCACTGCATATAATTGCAAAGCGCTTGAGGCCATATGTATCCAGTGGATCGCCTGTTTAATAAACAAAAGGCTCGCGCACTCCTCAGCAGCTCCAGAGTAGACTCAAAGTACCAGAACTCTTCGCTGTGGCTTATGGAATGAACTCACTCTTTGGCCTTGGCTTGAGGAACTAACGCGAAGTAAGCACAATTATTCTTCTGTGTACATTTCCTAGAAGTATACTTACTGCGTGGGTCCGTCGGCTCGGGCACCATCTTATGGGTCGCCAATACTGGGTCGTTCGCTGCAAAGCGCATAAGCAACACTGTTTCAAAAGTCGTCAAAACCTTTGAAAGACCGTTGATGGAGCGATGGCTGTGCTCAACTCACATATATAAACTACCAATATTGCAGGCGACTGCGTGTTCTGAGTCTAACTACCAGTGGACGGTCAGAGAACAGAAGAAGAGATAATCTCAGGTGGCAATATAGCTATGAATTGGAAATAGACTGACTTCACTCAAGGTATCTGTATATGCGAGGTTCGGTAGTTGTGGGGCCTAGAGATGCCGGAGGTGTTAGTAGGGGGTTGATCTGTGGTAACGATGCTTGCTGACCTCAATTTCAGCCGTTTTGTATGACCTTTGATTCAGTCTAATCTTTACTATGCAAGTCATAAAGTGCTATGGCAGCAACTTAGAATCATTCCATCAGAAATCTCTGTGTCTGTTTTTCGCATTCCGACAGACAGATAAACATGGCGACATGACACACATCAATGAAATGTCGCGGATCAGGTGGAATCACAAACACTGTGTGCATTAGTCATCTCCAAAGGCAGATTCACTCCATAAAGCTACTTGATGGAAAGATTCTGTGGTCATTTAGTTTAAAGCGAAGCTCCCACGCGACTTGAATTCGTTCAAGACGCGCTGTCTGCTTTTCATATATCATTCCGATGCCCAAAATCATGTTTCAGACGTCCTTGGAAACCCGAGCATTTGGTCATGACGTCTTCCGTCTTCGTGCAGATTCCATCTTTGCTTCAAGCGTTGGCAGCCACCTTGCCGTAGTTGGTGACGAATGAATCCCTCCATGTGTGAGTAAATCCCTCTTGATTTGAGTACCCTAAAAAAATGCCAGAGCAGCACTAAGTTGGTTGGATGGTCATCTCAGTCATGTTCCTTCTCATGATACTTGCTTCGCGCTGATGGTCTCTGTCCTTGGTCTGCGCCCTCGCATTCGCCATAACCTTCTGAATGTCTTGCATGACTTCTTTCGGGAGTTTCGCGAAACTACAGGAGCCCTCACCCCAGTGTGCCCATACCTCCGATACTAGACGCCGCATTGGGAATCCCTCAATCGTTCCATTCTAGACGGTGCGAATGGGCTGCTTAGACGGAATCATCATTCTGTTATTTTGGTCACGGCACAGGTATACCGCAAACCATGTTATTGCCTGACACTCTCTAAAGCGCCGCCCCTATGTTATCGAAGCTGCATCCGCCGTCGCCACCAACGGTCTCACATTCGTAATGTGATTATTCGCCCGCACAACAATCTGGCCCATCTTATCCTTGACATACGTTTCTCTCTCCTCTTTCCACACCTCAACTTCTTGTCCACCTCTTAACACCCCAACTCTTATCGTGCTCAGTAGATTATGCGCCGCATTGCTGTGCATGTACACGCCTCCGTTAAAGACTGCCGTCGCATCCTTGCCTACCCAACCCTTTATCAAAGCCTTACCGCCGGGATGCTCAGCGATGAAATCCGTCACGTCGTGAATAATGCCTGCGATGGCCACAAGTGCGGCTTCACCGGAGGCACAACGGGCTTGGAATTCTTCCCATGAGAGGACAGGAAGTTGGGAGAGGGGCAGGCCCCAGTCGAGGGTGGAGCGGCGGGCATCGAGGGCTTTCTGCTGCTGTTGGAGACGGCCCTTTTCGATCTCGTTATGCCGAAATCGCTTGAGGTCGTATGCGAGGGTCGTTTTGGAGAGGAGGAAGATGAGCCATTTGGTAGGGTCGTATTGGTACCATGCGATGGCGTTGCCTGTCATGTGTTAGTGGGTGTGCTTCGGTTTGGCGAGTGCCCATGACATGTTTCTCCGAAGGGCCAGGGAGATAGATCAACATACGATAGTCGCTGGGAAACTCGTGGTGGAAGTTGTGGTACCCTTCGCCAAGCGTAACGAGAGCGGTGATGAAATGGTCTCGCGGTGTCCTTCGGTCGTCGAATGGCTGTTCACCCAGCCAGTGAGCAAGAGAATTGACACAAAACGTGGCTTGCTGCACAAAACACGCGCGCATAATGCCTGCATACACGAGTCCTCCCCACCAGTCGCCCCAGCCTAGACCGGCGACACACATCGGGAAGAGCCACGCTGCGACTAGAAGACTCTTTCCATCTGCAAGAAGTCAGCATACCGAACACTGGCATCTTTAGCTCATCAAGTTATACTTACAGTGCTTGTGCTGCCACACCACGACAGGGTCAGCATCCAGGTCCGAGATATCCGTCCTGCCGATCTTCTTGGGATCCTGCTTCAACACCATCCAGCCTACATGAGCGTGGAAGAAGCCTTTGAGCGCGCAGTATGGGTCCTTCTGTGTGTCCGTCCATCGATGATGAGCTCTATGTTTGCTGCTCCAAAACCTGATCGAGCCTTGGATCGCACCAGCACCTACAAAGGCTAGAAATAGACGAAGAGGCAAGCGTGCGTTGTAGCAGCGGTGGGACCATAGCCTGTGATAACCGCCAGTAATACCAAAGCCGGTGAAGAAGTAGTATATAACAGCCCAGATGGCAGTAGCAGCCGTTAAGGGAACGTATCGGCAAGCGTATAGTCCATAAGTTGGAACGAGGACGACGAGAGTGGTCGAGAACCAGTTGATGTGTTTGTACCAGTTCTGGAGAGTGACCGGCTGGTCACTGATGTGGACCCTGTTGAAGTCAGTAAGTGGGAGTTCAATTTCATTGCCAAGGTCATGAAGACGCACTTCGTTTGAGGCCGCTTTACACCCATCCTGACAATGCGTCACTATGAAGATGTTGGATCGCTCGAGGAAATAATGGCATGATGAGCAGCTATATACCAGCCAGGGAGAGAGCATATCTAGTTCGTTGGAATCCTGCCGAAAGCTTACGTAGTGGCATGATGCTAGAGCGACTGAGGTCGACTTTGCGAAACACCCAGCAAAGAGCCCCTGCATATCCTCTCCATGAGTGGTTGGGAAACAGCGGTGGATGCGATGTAGGGCGAGGGCTAAGAAGGAATTAGGCTCTAACCCGCTTTGGGCGCCGCTTGCGAAAGCCCTTGCCTCTGGTGGTCCTACAACCACACGACTCTCACGAGGTGGCCAAGCCCGGACTACTGATGTTGCTAGCGCTGATGCAAGGCGCCTGCTCTATATTCGTAAGATCAAGTAGGCGAGTCATTGCTGCAAATCGTTTTTTTGTTGTTCTCCAAGTCGGCGCATTGCAGGAAGTATGCCTGCGTAGAACATTTCTACCATGGCGTATCACTTCAGGTGCTTTGGCAAGTTAACACAGAGACACAGCATCACAATGACAGGCTTGTTGGCAACATGTTTAGCCCAATGCAAAAGGTTCCATTCAGGCTATTGCAGGACCACGTATCTTTTCCATCCCTTGGCACTCCCAAATTTCCTTCTCATGTCTACGCTTAAGCAGCGATGGTGACCTCGACCTCGACACCGGCCTCGATGTTGATGATGATCTGCTTGACGACCTCGGTGGGGGCGTTCAAGTCGATGAGGCGCTTGTGGATGCGCATCTCGAACATGTCCCAAGTCTTGGAACCCTCACCGTTGGGGGTCTTACGGGTGCTGATCTTGAGGTTCTTGGTGGGCAGGCGGACGGGGCCCTTGACGCGGAGGTCCTTGCCCTTGGCGCGGTCGATGAGCTCGGTGCAGACCTTCTCGAGGTTCTTGACGTTGCGGCTGGTGAGGGTGATGCGGATCTTGTGGATCTTGGGACCCTCGAAGTCACCCTTCTCTGGCTTGTCTGCGCATCTCGTTAGCACTGTGTGCGCGCAGCGGCGGGACGGTGCGTACTGTAAGACATGGCGATTGTCGGTGTAGGTGGAGTTGGAGGCTGGTGGTAGCGGATAGATTCCAGTCACGACTCGGATGCTTGGATCACTGTAACGTGATGACTGGCGTGGTGTTTGTTGCGTGCGTCGGCGAGATTGTCGATGAGTTCCCCACTACCGCCAAAGAATTTCGCAAGTGTGCGCGCCGCCAAGAGTTGCGCCGGCTATGCCGCTTCCAGAGCTAGCGCGATATCATCCCGCCTTCCGCATCGACTCATGATGACTACTCGAAGCGCATCAAAAGGTGCCGCTCGCCCAACCTTGTGCGGAAACACACCCCGATTGAAAGAGAAAGAATTACCGATCCAGCGAGACTTAGCCAGCCGTGCAATGTCTCTCCCGCAGTTCGCCCCATTTCCTGACGTCAAGGTCCGCCAAAACATATTGCCCGCTGAATGGACAGCTTACGTGGATACCTGGGCATCTTTGGCGGAGCTACATCTTCGCCTGAGTGACATACAATTTCGACATGCCGTCACAGATGACGATTCATCTCTGACTACGTTTCTTGTATCCTTCTTCCACGAATTGGCCAACGACGACAGCCTAGTGCCGCAGACTCTGTTGCTACGGAAGAAATGTTTCTTCCTCTTGCATCGAATATACTCGGCAGACGGCGTACCTGCACCACTTCTCGGCTGGTCCGTCTTATCAGATGTATGCCGCATCTTTTCGAGAAGCGCACAGTTTCGGACGCTACTTGATGGACTGTGGAAACGAAAAACTGCGTCTATTGAGAAGAGCCTCCAGCCTGCGAAGAATTCACTAATCCAGAATCTGGACTCAAAACGACCAGAGGAGGCACAGAGTACTTTGGACAAGATTGCACCTCTTCTAAGACTGTCGCCCCAGGCGGGAACATACATGATCACAGGGTCTGATTTCCTGGACTCCTTATGCAACGCATATCCCAAGGTCAACCCTCCTTTGCATGCAAAGCTTGCTACAATTGCATACATGGGGCTTATTTCTCTCCTCGAAGGGCCGAAGCCCAACTTCTCCGTACTATCAGATCACTTGTACAGTCTCAAAGCAAATGGCGAGCAGCAGTTGAAGGCTGGTGCTGTTCAGACCTCGCTTATCGCAGATCTTGTAACAAATACTCCTCTTCTACACAAGATCAGAGATCAGGCGACTACCCCAGAAGCTGCAAGGGTGAGGAACTTCGCTGCATCGTTGATTTCCTTCCAGCAGTCGTCCGCCGCCCGGCCAAAGAAGCTCGTCCGGCGAAAGGTTGACAAAGGGAAGGGTAAGGCGCTTGATTATGAGTATGGGCACGGCGCGTTTGGAGAAATACATGTTCATCGCATGAGTATGATCAGCCAAATACAAGACCTCTTCCCCGATCTGGGCTCCGGTTTCGTAGTGAAGCTGCTTGACGAATACAACGAAAACATCGAAGAAGTCACTGCACACCTGCTGGAAGACTCACTACCTCCGCATCTCGCAAATGCGGATCGGAGCGAGCCACTGTAAGTTCAAACATTGCACATGGTCACCATAGCTTGCTAACCAACAGGTCTTCTCCCTCCGCCACAAAGCCTCATTTCACACCACGCTCAACACCGCCCGCAATCGAGCGGCGCAACGTCTTTGACAACGATGAGTTTGATCGTCTGGCTGTGGACACATCGCGTCTCCATATTGGCCGCAAGAATGCAGATGCTACAGCCGACACCATTCTCTCGGACCGAGGCGCTGCTCCCAGTAAATCCGCAATTCTCTCAGCCCTGGCAGCTTTCGACTCAGATGATGACGAGCGCGACGATACGTATGACGTCGAAGATGTCGGTGGAACCATAGATTCTGCAACGCCCGGGCCCGACGAGGCTGATGCAGACCTGAGGGACAAGAATGAGGAAGCACTGTTCAGAGCGTACAATTCCACTCCAGGCCTATTCGCGCGTGATGCAGAGACGCGGCGAGGGAAAGCCAGAGCAGCGCTAAAGAGTGAAACGGGTATGACCGATGAAACAATCGAGGGCTGGGGGTTGATGATTGGGCGTGATCCTAAACGGCTTCGACGGTTAGAGGCTAAGTTCTCGGCTTTCTCAGGACAGCAGACACAGATTGCGTCGACATCATGGCGGAGCACGCCGGCTGGCTCTGATACTGAGGGAGGAGAGGCAGGCGGGGAAGTCCAGGGATCGCGGGGTGGCAGAGGAGGTGGGCGAGGGCGTGGTCGGGGAAGAGGACGAGGTGGTGGTGGACGCGGCGGCGGCAATGTCGCTGGTCCCACTGACGATAAGGGGACTCGGATTTCGAGGCAGCGGAAGGAGGCAGGCAAGGGATCAAGAGCGAATCACAATCGGCGAGACCAGCGGGCTAGGAAAATGGCGAGGGGTGGGCTGCCGGGATGATGGCGCGGTATGTAGAGCCAGCTTCAGCCCAGGAAGCGCAATTACTCTAGGCTTGGATGTGTAAGATTATCGATCGATACCCCTACAACACGTGGGATCTGAAACACACTGCCATCATTTACAGAGATATAGGATGTAACAAACTCCCACAGCCACTCATGTCTCACAAGCTATGCATATCTTATCGTAACGTAGGTTCCCCTAATCATCATCTAGTGAAAAGAAGTCCCCAATACTACTGAACCCTACATGGCAAACATTTTTTTCTACAATACGCATATTTCTCATAGCAACTGAGGCTTATTATGGTATGCGCGTATAGCATGACAGAAAGATGAACTATCTCTGCGGACGTCACAAGCAGGTCCTCGACGAACACACGCACTTGTAATTGACGTAATAGGGTCTCAAAAGAAAAGGCAAGTAGCTATGTCTTCCAGAAACGTGACTCTTTAAACTCGGCCTCTCACAATGGCTCGACAAACAGCTCTCTCCTTGACGAGCCCGACTTTGGCATGACCAGTGCTAAGGAAGAGAGGGCGGTGAAGATGGTGGATAAATCGGATACGGCTTGAAGTAAAGGTCAAGGATCAATACCCCGGAGAGAGAGGGACATGTCACCGGTAGCTGGTGTAGGAGTCTTTTACTAAAACTATGTACACCCACCCGACCGCTCACCACGCTGCTTCTTCCTCTACCACCTACTTTCGCTCTTTCCAACCAAGCCCCAGCTTCCCTTGAACCTCAACATCCTATATCCGTGACTACCGATTTACACCCGACATGATGAATGAAAATCAACTCATGAACGTTATGGCCCTCAACGGTGGTCACGTCCCTGCCATCGACAGCGCTGTCAAGAACCCATCCACGGTAAGTGGTCTCTTGCATCCATTCCTACACTCGTAGGCAAGCACGTCCGCTAACGCACTCAGGTCACAGCCCTCCTCGAGGTCAAGAATCTCGTCCTCGCCAACGCGCGCATCCTCTATGGCAGCGAGTCGCGCAAATTCTTCGGTTCGTTCCAATATTCCCTCCTGAACATCTCCAACCCAACCTGCATACTGACTCGCACTGTAATGCACAGACTTCGTAACCGCGCGCAACGCCGCCTGAAAGCACGTCTGCGTCCTCGTTTGGTCTCTCGATGGCTACACCCGCATCCTCCGCAAGGAGACGTCCACGTGCCCCCTCGAAACCGCGCGCGCACTCGCAGACGGTCTGATGCGCGATGCCGGCGACTTGTTCGGTACGTCACTGTTCCCTTCCCTCGCTCTCGCCCTTTATTTCATCCTTTGCCACCTGCTGATGTGACCCTTCATAGCCGTCGCGGATGTCGGCGACCAGCTACACGGCCAGCAGGGCTACCGCGGTGGGAGCGGCAAGTTCGAGCTCGACAAGTTCAAGGCCATGCGGCGTTTCCCGGGCCCGGCGGACGACACCGCGATGCTGAGATATGAGAATCGGCAGGACAGGGACGATGTGCCGAGGGGCCCGGCGGCGGACAGGAAGAGGCACCATAGGGAGGCGCCGGTGTTGGACTACTAGACTGGGCAGCTGGAGACAGGTCGGGCGCCGTGCGGGAGGTGTGGGAAGGAGAGTGGTGGAGTAGACTCGGAGGTGGCACTTGGCGATGAGCAAGGAGGATCTTGAGGGGCGAAGGCGCGGGAAGGGTCATCTTCTACGGATCTGTCGAGTATTCTGGCACAATCTTGGAATTGCTCCTTTGCATCTTGCCACTCGGGGAAGATGGGAAGAGCGCTACTTCATGCTACATGGCGCATTTGATCGGAATTGGTCACCAGCGTGCGTATGGAGAAAGGCTGGAGAATTATACTGCTAGATGCCTTCTCTCTGAGCCACTCTGAGAATATACTAGACTCCTCTTTACATGTTTTCAAAATGCATATCTGATTCTGGTGTTTTGGCAAGAAGGAGGATTTGATGATCCACGATGCAGGCGGACGTGGCTGGCAGTGTAAGAGTCAACATGGAGAAAGCGTTCAAAAATTGATGTACCTGCAGTATCAAAAGGTTCCCGGAGTAAAGCTCAAGGTACAAGACATGACTTATTAGTAATCACACATTACAAGTGTGTACGTTACGAATCTCGCTGCTCCCAGAACGAACTGCCAACATTCCATGGACGAGGGTGGTTTGACCCTTCACACGTGAACGTTAAAAGGTCTAGACCACCGACCACACCGGCTCCCCTCCCAACACCCAGCCTTCCCACACACCCACATCCAATCCTAATCCCTCCACGACTCCTCCTGCGTCTTCTTCAACAAATCCTCCATCGCCTGATTCAAATTCAACTTGACCGCACTCTTGGCCAGAACCTTGCTGTCGACATCGCACTTGCCCGTCGCCTTCTGGTTCTCCTCGAACCCCACCAGCAGCACCTTGTACTGCGGCTGCCCGCGCACCCGGCTCGTCGTCACAATGTCGTAGGTGCGCGGGCGCCCGCCGGTGGAGCGGCCGAAGTTGAATTGCGCGTTTGCTAGGATATAGATGTAGTGGTTAGATGATGTTGGGAAGGGTTGCGTAGTGTGACGTCATGACGGTCCTTGAATCACAGAGGGCGTGTAGGGGAGGGGAGGAGAAGGCGGTCTTACATAGGATGAGGGCTTTGAGGTGGAAGAAGATGTCGAGGGTTTCTTTGGGGGATTGGTTTGGTTTTGCGACGGCGGTAGACGACATGGTGATTAGGTAGCTATGGTAGGTAGAAGATGGGTGAGGAAGGACGCAGGTGCGTTGACGGAGAGGTTGAGAGTGACGGCGGACGCTTGCGGAGAGTGCATGACGCAAGCTTCTGCCGATGGCATTATTGCGGTCCTGTTTGGTGGTTGCAAGGTGCCGGGTCGTCGGGTGGTGGTGAGGTTTAGGGAGCCTGGAATGTTTCAGGGTAGGGTCGTATTAGGCCATTGGCACCTTATCTAACAAACTATGATTTCAGTAGGATGCGTGTATACGTAGCATATGTAGGTGTAGTGAAGCAGAGGTAGAATTGTCTCAAACTAGTTCGCATGAGTGCTGAGAATTGCTCTGACAGGTATTAACAAAGCCGGATCTGGGGCTTGACGATTACAGAATGCTCTAAAGTTGCAAACCCAATGTCATACCATTTGCAGATAAAGAGCTTTGTTTTCCGAAGTTTTGTCATGGCTGTCAAAGCATCCAACAAAGCCTCATCTGGATATCCTTGGCGGTGGTGTATTGCTATGCGATATTGCGTTGGTTTCGAGCATAGCTGATCGTGTGGGATCCGCGCTAACGTACTGTTTGGCCTGGTCTTCAAGGACTGTTGAAAGGATGGTCAACGCATATTCGTAATTGAGACCCTGGGCAGCATCGCTCTGGAGAGGCAGTAGCGATTCCAGCTGCCTTGCATATTCTGTAATTCGGCCATACTAACTGCGGATGTCTTTCAATTCACTCATGTTTACAACTCAGCTCCTCGAGCTGGTCGCTCCTTCGGCGCTCGAAAGTCTTGTCTGTGTAGAAGGCGGCGGAGTGAAGATGATGTGTTGTTGAAGTGCAGAAGATGACAAGACGTCTGATTGAAGCTTACCCAATTTCGGCACTAGCACGTATCGGGGCGGCGAGGTGAAGGCAGGAGCGAGGCAAAAATGAAGTGATGGGTTGGTTCACGTGTGTTTCACAGTCGCTCAGCCTCAATGATGCAATTATGAACCAAGGACCAACGCACGATACAGTTGGACAATAGCCATGTCATACACCAATGAATCGGTTCATAGTATATATTCACAGAAAGTAGGACGGCTAGCTAGCCTCAAATCAAGCCCGCTGCCGACAACGCCATGCTCCGTGCTGCAAAGCACAAGATGATCCCCCCCATTATCCCAAAGCAGCCTAACGCCCTTGATACCATATCAGATACACTTCTATGTCCTTGCTCTTGTGGCATAGAATACTTGATCAAACCCCCTTGATAGCCACCGTCCGCTCGCTATTCAGCTTCGTCGCATTCCGCTCGTGGCTCTCCTTCTTGCAGTCCTCCAAGCCTTCGCACTTGTGGTCCTCGAGCAGGCGATGTTTCCCGCAGAAGTGGCCGGAGCAGAAGCCGCAGTCGCCGACGATGCGCTGGGCGGCGTCCTTGCACTCCTTGAACGAGCAGCGTATCTTCTTGGGCGGCATGCCGCCGCGCAGGGGCAGCGCCATGTGCAGCACCGTATTTGGCGGGAGGGCGAGGCTGGACAGCGTTTCCGCGGGCGCGGAGAGGTGCTTGCCGGCGTGGACGAGGCGCAGGTCGGTTGCGGGGAGGTTGTGGCGCAGGGCGAGGAGCGTGGAGAGGGTGGATATTGAGGTGGAGGATGGGAGCGTGAGGGGGATGGCTGGAGACCAGTGTTAGCAGGGCGTGGTGGTGCTGGCAGGCGGGCGGAAAGCGTGGTTCCGACGCTCGGAACCACGCAGGCGCGCTGGAGAGGGACGTACTGGATGTGCCCGAGACGTTCTTGACGAAGATCTGCATCGTCTCGTCGTCCGAGGCCTGCGAGCTGATGCTCGAGATGCTGCTTGTGCGGCGCATCATGGTGTGTGGTGTGTGGTGTGCGGCGGGAGAGGTTGAGGTGATGACGGAGTCGACTGTGGCGCCGGGGGGTCTTGACGCTGGCGGGCTGCAGATAGCGGAGATAGCGCTAGCTCGTTATATCACGTCGACTCTCGTGACCTGGTCCGGCGTGGCTATCAAGGGCAAGCGGGCGCGATTGCGGCGTGCTGGACGGGGAGGGACAGGTGGAAGCTGGTGGTAGACGTGTGGTGAGGCGGTCGTGTATCGGCGGCAGTCGGAAGGCAGTCACGTCAAGGCGACGTAGCAGCGGCGTGCCCGTCTTATAAAGAAGCCTGGCCTGGCGGACGCACGCGCCGCTGGTGCTTGGGACCTGGGCGAGCGCAGGGCTCAACGCCTCGCCTCTTACCGGCTCCGGCGCATGCCTGGATGGCGACGTGCACCAGGCCAGGATGCCAATCACTGGCTCCGGGCAGCGCGCACCCACCCGCCATCCGCTAGAGCCGCTCGCTGCGAACACACATCATCCTCGGCCTACGCTCGGCCTGGTCGTGTGCTCGCCGACATGCCTGCCACGCCCAAATGACTAAGGGTCTCCTGTGCAAACCCTCCGCTTCCATGGCCTTCGACTCGGCCCTGCATGGTCATGCTGCAGCTGCAGGAACACGGTCACAGTCGAACGCCTGCCTCTGGATACTTTCCCCATCCAGCGCCGCTACACCTTCCCTTCCCTCCCCCGCTGCATCGTGATCCAGCGACACTACCTGTGCCACGTAGCTCTCAGCTCCGTCGCGGCACCATGCCATCCCTCTGTCCTGCACTGCACTTCTGCGCCTTTACCGCCATCCCGAAGCTACTGCACGCATTGTAACACGTGGACCACCTGACAGGCGCCGTGTCCATTCCAGAAGTAGCAGCGAGGACGCCGCGCGCGCACCCCCGTTGGCGCGCGCATCGCCCAGAGCATGCATAAATGCTCATTCTGTGAGATACGGGTTGCCCCTTGGAGACGTGCGACCGTCGACTTGTGCGCTGCCTGAGAGACGACGCTCTGATTCGGGACGCGGTACTGCAATGTCCTGGCGCGCTAGCTGTCATTGTCCCAGAGGGCAAGGCTGTTTCATGACATTGACACTTCGCCATCAATGGCCTGTGTCACGCTTGTTTGATACCGCTCCTGAGCCTCGCAGTAGCATCGCCCTGGCGCACTCTGCTCGCCTCTTGCCTGCTGCAAGTACGGTCTCCCGAGTCGTGGCAAGCGTGTGCAGTGCTTTTTGGTGTGGCTTGTAGCAGCACGCGAGCTCTCGCATGGAGCCGTGTTGAGCTCGACGTCCACTGAGCAGTGTGCTCTTGGCGTGTCCGGCCCATGTTCTAGTTCCGATCTGTGCTACGTTTGCTCTACACAGCGCGGTCTAATCCGCATCTCCCCTTGGATACAACATGTACAATGCCCGTAATAGATTGGGGTACACCGTGCACCGTAGTACACGTAGCACAACGATCGACAATACCATAAGTCTCGGTCAATCTTAGACATATGCTACAGTACAACTACAACATCGCCTTCGGGAACCCCTTCATTGCCTGCCGGACACCCAGATCCGCCAGAATCTCCTCCGTCCCACCCAAGATGGCATCAAACTTGTATGTGCGATGGAACATCTCCACCACCCTGCCCATCCCGCTCTGCGTGAGCCCCCTTCCGCCGAAGATGTTCACGGCCTCGTCCGCAATCTCGTGCGCGGACCTCGTAGCATGGCTCTTGAGCAGGCCGATCGGCCCGCCCAGGTGCTTCGACTGCTGCGCATAGCTCATGTGCGACATCTGGTACGCGATGGATTCCAGCCACGACTGGTTGGACTCGACGTGCGAGATCATCTTGGCGAGCTTCTGCCGGATGGCGGGCTGCTCAATGAGCTTCTTGCCGAAGACGATGCGCTGGTTGCACCACTTGAGGCACTCCTCGACGACGCTGCGAGACTGCCGGATCACGGCGCAGGCCATCATGAAGCGCTCGTGGTTGAAGTTGCTCACTGTGCAAGTTAGCATAGTCTCATGCACATGGGTTGGGGAAATTATACTGATGACTACGAAACCCTTGTCCTCTTCGCCGAGCAGGTTCTCCGCTGGAACCACGGCGTCGTTGAACTCGACGAATGCGGTTCCCGCAGCAGTCGAATAACTCGTCTTGATCAACTTCGTCTCCACCGCGTCGCTGCGCTCGATCAACAGGACCGAGAAGCCCTTCTCCGTCTTGCACCCAACCACAAAGTAGTCACACCACATGCCGTTCGTGATCCACTTCTTCGTGCCCCTGACCAAGTAGCTCTTCCCATCCTTGCTCTTCGTCGCCGTCGTCCGCAGCCCCGCAACATCGCTCCCCGCAAACGCCTCCGTAATCGCCAGACAAATCTTCTTCTTTCCCGCGAGCACCTCCTCGACAATCTTCTGCTTGAACGGCGTCTCAGGCATCCACTGCAGCACCGCCGTCAAGCTGATCATCATGCCCGCCATGTTTCCGTCCTGGAACCCTCTCGCGTTGGCCCGCACAAACTCCTGCGCCTGCACAAGGTCGTGCAGGTAGTCGAATTCCTCGCCCTTGACCACGCCGAGCAAGTTCTTTCCCCGCAGGTGTTTTCCAGGACCTAGACGCATCGCGAGCATGTCGCTTGCCGCCATCCGGTCAATAAGCTCCTGGCTGATATAACTTCCGTCCTTTTCCTTTTCCTGCGCCTCAGGCGTGACATACTGGTCGACAAACTCCCTCACCTTCCTCCGCAGCTTGTGGTGGCTCTCCTTGAAGTACGGGCTCTTGAACTGCGGTCGCAGCCATAGTGGCTCGGCGTAGGGCACAGGGGACAAGTCGCCGGGCTGGGGGTCGATGACTTCGGGTTTCTCGCCGTCGAGCGTGCCGATGCAGAGGTCGGCGTACTTGGAGAGGACTTCCTGCCGGTGGAGGTTGTAGAAGGCAGCGGTGGCGTCGGTGCCGGCGACTTGCTCGAGGACGACGGAGCCACCGGGATGTGCGTCGACGAAGTCGCTCAGGTCGTAGACTTTGTGGTCGATGATGCACCACAGGTCATCGGGGGTGTTATGCGAGGCAACCGCCTCGCGGGTTAGTGTGGCATGTGGCATGGTGCTGTGCGGTAGTGACGAAAGAGAGACGTTGTGTTTGACAGACGGAACGGAATGCAAGACCACGGCAGGAGACGAGTAGAAAGAGGGACAGGTATGATGATTCTGCACACACTGGGCATGTACCTCGGTCGATTGGCCGCGGAGCTCTCCGCAGCGTTGTGGAGGCGGGATGGAACTGGGGTGCATGAACCGAGGCATAAGCAAATCCCCAAGGACTCCTATTGGCCCTCGCAATTGCGCTCCGCCTAGTTCAATGATGATCTGAATATCTTTTGGTTTCAAACAACTACAATGGTACGGCATATTTCCATGAGCGCCACGAGCATTGGTGTCCATTCCCACCAGCAAACGCCATGCTGCCAAAACAAGAGATAACGCAGCAACCACTACACAGCTCAGATCTTCTCTTCCAAACGAACAGTCATACCTGTGATGGACTTCTGTGCAGCTGCTTTCTGCTGCTCCAACTTGGCCTCTCTTGCCAGACGCTTCGATACTGCATCGCCCTGCACCGCTACCAGTCGATCCAAACTCTTCGCTAAAGCTCCTGCGTTCTCGTTGCCCAGTAACGCCTGTAGCTCACTCTTGGTAGCCAAAGCAAGCTGATCCCCAAGCGCGTCTATGGCTTTGGTGCGGAGAGCTGCGACATCCCTCTTCAATTTCTCTTCCGCCTCTTCGCGCATCTTCTTCGCCGCTTCCTCACGCTCGGTCGCGCCAGCTTCGTCGGCCTTGCGTTTGGCGGCGCGCTGGGCATCGCGCTTTGCTCTCATGGCGAGGTAGCTGGCAGAATGACCCAGAGCCTGGCCTTCTTCTTTGACGAAACCCGAGTCGTTGGCCGGTGGCGCTGTGAAAAACAATACGCGGCCCTGTTCATCTCGCTGAAATTGCTCCCGAACATCTGCAGGGATGGACAGGTTGGCGTGATCCGGCAAGACGTACACCTCAACTGGCTGTGGCGCTCTATACCCCCCAGGCGGTTGCTGCATGACAGGCTGTTGATACGAAGGGGGAGCCCGTGGTGTTGCATACTGTGGTATGGCCGCGGGCGGCTGAGGCGTCGACAACGGCAAGCTGGGGGTGATGGCCTGGTAGCCGGTCGATTGAGGTGCAGCCTGATAAGAGTGGGGAGCGGGCGACTGTGAGTGATTGTGGTATGTCGGGGCTGCATTACCATACGCACTTGCCATATGGGGCAGCTGCGGCGTCTGTGCAGGCATGGGCGATGGGGAAGGAGCCACGAGCGGATAGTGCTGTCGCGTGTCGCCGTAGCCGTTCATCTGCGGTGTAGGTATCGATGGGGTAGGCATAACTGGGGCTGGCGGGGGCTGCGGTGGCGGAGAAGGTGTTGGTTCAGGCGGTGGAGAGTCCTAACGGTAAGTCAGTATGAAGAACAAAAAAATCGTGAAAGCTTACCCTTGGGTCACGCGGGCGACGGTGAACGGCACCTATCTTTGGCGGCGCATTCTCAGCGCCCCACTCAGGCTTTGGCAAGTCGTCTGTCTCTTTCTGCTCATCTTTGAGCAGATACGCGATTGGACTAGGGATCTTTTTGAGCTTTCGAGGTGCATCAAACAGATCCATTACGTAGTCCTTGTCGCGAACCTCGTCCGGCAGACAACTGGCCCATGTCTTGATCTTGTTCAGCTTGTGATTCTCTTCGTTGTAGCGTGCCTCGCAGACATAGATCTCCTTGTCCGTTGGGAAGTCACGCGGGCGACCCTTGTTGTATCGTGTGACAAACATGACGAAACAGCGGTCTACGACTTCGTCAATGGGGTGATCGCGATATTGGCCAGTCTTGACCACTTCATTTTCCAAGAAGTGCCGGTCGAAACGGTGCACGGTCTGTTCAGGACGATAGTACCAGCATGCGTTCACCCATTTGCTGCCCTCGGCATCCTGCCAGGTCCGGTAGATCTGAGCTACGATGGGCTTCGTCAGGTCATTCGCGTTTTGGATATGCACCCAGTCCCCGACCTTCCATAACTCGCCATTGTGCAGGATACCGTTGGGCATGGGTATCCGACCCTCCTCCATGACGAACTCGGAGTCGTCTTTTGCCTTCTCTTGCTCGGCAACCTTGCGCGACTCCTTTTGCAGGTGCACTGCATCTTTGTATATCTGACTATCCTCCTCGTTGTACTGCTTCGCGTTCTCGAACATGAGCTCGACATCTTGCATGAAGTGGTCCACGGAGTTGTACTTCTTCCGCTTGAGTTTTCTCTTCAGTACGTCCATGGCCATCGGACTCTTGATCTCGGCGTGATACTCGGGCATGACAGCTTTGTCTGGAACACGCTCAAACGCAGATACCATGAGCTTGTTTTGCGAGTTCCTCGGCTTTCGGATTGCCTTCATGATGGCCTTGATTCGGGCCTCCATGGGCGTATCAACCCGCGGTGGTCGTCCACGCTTCTTCCGCGACTCTGGGTCCTCTTTCGCGTCCGCTTTTCCTTCACGCTTCATGATGGCAGCGGTCGAGCGAGGCCCGCGCCTCTTTCTTCGCTTCCCGTCATCTTCGTCGTCATCGTCGACATCGACCTCTTCCAACTCCTCTTCTACATCTTCCTCGTCATCTTCCTCCTCTTCTTCCTCTTCCTCTTCTGGCAGCAATGGGTCTTGTTCTGGAATCTCGCCGAGGTACGGTAGCTTGATAACGTCTGCGGACACAATCTTTGCCTCGGCCAGCTTCTGCAACTCCTGCTCAAGTACCTTCTTGACCTCCAGCGCATCGACATAAGCTTGTGAGTCCTGCCTGTTGTAGACCTGCGCATTGTGTGGAATGAGAGCGAAGTCGCGTACGAATTCGGGGAATGACTTGTATTCTTGCTGCGCAACCTTCTTTTTAATTTCGCTCAGCGCCATGGGTTCCTTGATGACCTCGTAATAATCGGGCAGCGCGCGCTTGTTAACCTTGCGCTGGAAGAGTTTCGTGGGGTCGTAGCCGCTGCGCATTCCGTTAGCATTCACGGCACTCCCGTAGCGCATTGCACTCAAACTCACTCGTCAACGCGGTGCGCATAGACATTTGTGAGGACGTCGGCCATGCCCTTCCACTCCTCGTCGGTGACTGTCGATGTCGCCCCGTCGGGGGCAGTCTCGGTGGTTGGCATGGGCGTGTCGCTTTCAGCGCGTCCGGACGCCATCTTGAAGCGCGTGCCAGTCTGTGTTCGATTGTGCAATGGCGATGCGCGGGCAACGTGGATGTGCGCGACGGCTAGGCGCGTCGCGAACCTTGGGAAACGTGGATGTTGAGAAGGCGCGGCCCGTGCGCTTTGTTCCTGCCTCTCACGTGACCGACCCGGGATGGTGGATCGGCGCAGGGAAGTGGCGTGTGACGTGCCTGCCCGTCTTTGGAACGCCGTTTCCGCAAATTCACCGATACCGTACCTTCGCAACATTGTGATTGTTAAGCACGCGCTTCACGTACAATCCGTCTAGCTTTGACACGTATCCCTATGTTTGCCTTGACCTCTCATACATAGCTGTCACTCCAGTTCTCGAACGTTCCGCCCAACCCAAGTTTCATCTTTCCCTCTGGGCGTATATAGAAAGCTAGTAATTACCCCTCCCTCGAACTCGCAATCTCCCGCGACGGCCTCGCTTGCCCCACTATACAACTGCATAAGGCTGCACGATCCTAGATCCGTAGCATCACCACACCTTCCATCAACTCCTCAACGCAACTTTTGCTGCTACGCCACACGCCATAATGCCGATTAGGATACGCCTGCGCGCGCCCGATGGCCAACACACTATCTCTCTGGACGATAATGCTGCCGTGTCAGACCTTCTCTCCTCGATTGCTACGACTACAAACCTTCCTTTATTCGACCTTAAATGGGGATTTCCTCCACAGCCACTCGATCCGGCACTATATGGCCTGAATACACCACTCAGCGAGACCGATCTCAAGCTCAACGGCGCGCAGATCATGGTTTTGGGGCAAGCGACCGGCGACCCTAGCGAAGCACAAGCAAAGCAGGAGGAACAGAACAAGTCAGCACCGCTGTCCTTGAAAAGCAAGCAGAGCGAGGCATTGAAGGAGACCCCCGAGATCCCGCTTCCTTCACGAGGAGGCACAATGGTGTTGAGGGTGATGCCTGACGACAACAGCTGCATGTTCCGCGCTCTCGGGACTGCAGTGCTTTCATCGTCTCTGGACTCAATGACCGAACTGCGTTCGCTCATTGCGCAAGCTATACAAGCCGACCCCGAAACCTACAACGAGGCCGTTCTCGACCGGAAACCGGACGAGTACTGCCAATGGATCTCATACTCGGATTCTTGGGGTGGCGGGATTGAGCTCAGCATTCTTTCAAAGGAGTTCGATGTGGAGATTGCGAGTATCAACGTGCAGGATCTACGTGTCGACTCGTTCAATGAGGGTCGGCCGAAGCGGTGCATTCTTGTCTACTCGGGGATTCACTACGACACGATAGCTTTTGTACCAAACGGTGCTTCGACCATGGACACTGAAAACGATGTCAAGCTCTTCGATTCTGCAGACAACGAATATTTGGAAGCGGCGAAGCTCTTGTGTGCAGAGCTTCGGAAGAAGCACTACTACACAGATACTAAGAAGTTCAGCATCAAGTGCAATAGCTGCGGATGGAAGGGTGCGGGCGAGAGAGGAGCTACAGAACACGCCACTGAGACAGGCCACTATGACTTTGGTGAGGCCGACTAGGGGAGAAAGCTCGTACAATGTAAATAGAGTGAACGGCTGGAGGCATCTATTTCCCAGGTCTATCCAATGGACGTGTATATAAGTTCAAGCTTGACGGCGTATATACCCAGGAACACGCGGTTGATTCTCCATAGCACATGAAAGCGATCTAACATCAACAAAGACATTCATCGTGTGCATTTCTACGATTTGTATCTCCTAACCCTCATTTACCCATGACTCGCCTCGTTCCCAACAGTCCGCATCAGCTTCTCGAACCCTACCATATCTCTGCCCGCGTGAAAATGCTCCATGATAGCCTCCTGATCCGGCCACCGATCCCCATACTTATCCGTCAACGTCGCATACAGAAATAGCCTTTTCCCCGGCTCCCGCGCTAGCTCTGCCCTCACACTCCTAACCGCCTCCGTCTCGCCCTCGTCCACCTCGTCGTCCTTGGGCTTGCCATCCGCACCCAAGTACTCATCGTCATCCCCATGCTTGCTCCTCTGCCACTCGTTGAACGTCAGCGGCGGCGGGGCATCATTAGTGACGGAGAAAGTCTGGTATTGAAGACCAGACTCGCGCAAGGCAGAGAAGAACGCCGCCCACGTCAAGCGCACATCCCCCTCCCCCATGCGGTGAGGCCGCTCCGCAAAGCATTCGTGCAACGCGACACGCCTCAACGTGTCCCCCCTCGCCACCAGAAAATCCACCAGCTCTGAGCATATGACTGCGTACTCCAGTCTCAGCTCCTCCAGTCTGGGCAAGCAGTCTGGCCGCAGAGCGAAGGTGTCCCTGACGTCCGTCCAGTGCGAGCCCAGCGGGCCGTGCTCGTAGCAGCTCAGCCGCAGCGTCTTCACGTTCGTCATGGGCACGAGGAAATAGCTGTCGAGTTGGGAAACGAAGTACATGTACCCCTCGAGCGTGCCGACCTCCCAACCCGCACCGTTATCCGCGCCGGCGACGCGCACATCCGCGTTCTCGATCTGCGCGAGGAAACGCGCCCACTGCGGGCCGAACCAGGGCGTCACGGCTTTGGCGACAAGCGCGGGCACGACGAGCGACGTGATGTTTGCATTCTGGCTAGCCGCACTCCAAGTCTGGGCCATGAGGCGGCGCCAGGGGAACTCCGCTTCGGATTCCTCGATCATGGCACGCGAGGTTTCGGGGACTGTGAAAACGTACATGGATACGCCGTCGCTGAGGTCGTCGCGTGAGTCCCAGATGCCTTCGCTGCCATGCCCGTTTTCAAAGTCGAAGGCGAAGTTGACGATGAGGTGTGTTGCATTGGGGAGGTGTTCGCCGCTGAGCAATGCGGCTGCTGCTTGCGGTAAGATCTGTTCTTGAGTCTTAGCCTCTGGGGTGTTTGGAGATGCGTCTACAGCGTCTAGATCCTGGTCGTTTCCATCTTGTTCGTCTTCGCTCTCATCCTTGCGTGGATTCGGCCCAGCCGTGCCACGGAACGATATCGCCCGGACGTTCACACCGATTCTCTTCGCGAGCTTCAGGATCTCGCTCGCCTCTTTCTCGTCGCTGGTAACCTTCAATGTCCGGAAAATAATCTGCAAGAGCAAAGAGCGGCAGCTTGAATTTGTGGCGCTCAGGCTGAGGCGGCCGTCGAAGCCTGCATAGTCGGCGATGCTGAGAAATAACTCGCTTGGAAGAGATTCCAGGCGGGAGACTTGTTTGCGCTGCATGATTCTGGATTTAAGACAATTGCTCTGTGCTCAATTGGAGTTGCTGGTGTTATACATGTTGTTCTGAGAGGTCTTGGTGGTCGTTGTCCGCCTTACTCTAGCGAGTGCTGCCTAGCAATGATGTCACTCAGGTCTCGCCTCGAATTTGCGCAAACATGGTTGCTATCACGTAGACCTCGTGCAGACACATCCGCGCCGACCAGAATTGCGACGAGATGACACATCGATATGTGCGTTGCCGTTGTCTGTAGTGAATAAGCGTTATGAGAGCTAACAAATGCATGCTTGCATACCTAGTCACCTAGTACTATTTTATTTCCTTTTAAAGTTCAAATTATCCGATTCATTTTGTCGAAAGAAGTCCATTGCGGCACCCGACTGAAACTACGCCCTCGTTATCGACTCCGTGCAGACTACCAGTATGGGCCAGATCTCTCCTTATGCCTGACGACCCAGCCGACGACGTGGTGAAGCTCAGGTCGCTTTGAGACGTTCGCAAAGGCCATGCGGGAGTCCTCGCCGGTGCCTTCATGCAAGCACTGACTGATTTTCGAGTATAAGGATCTGACGGGCAATAAGTTCAACGCAAAGGAAGTAATTACTCTTTACGTTTCTCTTCCGAAGATGCCTTTCTTGCATACTTTTCTGAGCCATCTTCGGGCCCAATATATCCGATCTGATATGACGATAAATGATAGAACGATAGACTAGGAGAAGAATAGTATGCGTTCATGGAATTCTCTATGCTGCAATTCGTTCACATAAGAGCTGTCAACGGGGGCAGCAAAGGGCCTATCGGGAGCTTGCCACTTCTCAAGGCCCAGCCACGGATGGAAATGGGGCTCGACGAGGTTTTGGTAGTTGAGAATGCGTCTTCGTCTAAAATGGCCTTCCGATTGGTAACGTCAGTCAGAGGGGACCGGCTTTGTCCGGACCAAGAATAAGAGACTCTGGGATGACTCAACTGTACACTTGAATAGAAACAGAATGAACTGCCGTTTCTACTTGATGGAGGTCAAAGCAAAGGGAAGATTCGCTGACTTGCTGTGCAGTACTTTATCATCTATGAGAAAGAGAATGCCCAATTTCATTCGTAGTCGCCTGCTCATAGACCCTATTTCGGAGTTCGGTGCAAAAGACTGTGAGTATTCTTGTGACCTTCATCGTTGGGTTTGAGAAATATTTACCACCAGGGAGATCAAGGGAGCAGAACACGCCGGAGCTATGAGAGGCTCCCATCTTGGAGTGCGAGCACACTGCGCAATTTGTTTGTCGTAGCCTCGGAATGCTCGCGTTTGATCCTGTGAACTGACCAGAGTGTACTACTGCGTAAGAGCGCATACGACTCACGCTTTGCTGACCAGTATGGAGCTGTGGCTGCGGGTGTGTTTGCAGGCTGTGTGTGTATGCGTACGTTGAGGTAACTTCGAGGGCAATTAGAAGGCGGACTAAATATCTTGTGAACGTATACATCAGGAGCGAGTACGTAAGCAAGTTGAAGAGAGTACAGTGGCCTAAGTTTACCTTGGCAGCCTCCCAGGCCAGATTGTTTGTTTGTAACTCCTTCACGTTAGCCCCGAAGCTCGTGAGAAATAGCGACCGCGGAGTCTTCAACGCATAGAAATATTTGTCGGTGATGGGCACTTGCTTGCTATACTTTTACTCAAAACGTTGCTCTTACTAACGGAAAAGCGTTAGTGGGTGTCCCGTAGGAAAATGTACCCCTAGTTCACTTGCTGACAAGGTACTCTGAGTTCAACTTCGACTTCGGATAACCGATGCTCATCAGAAGTCTCGGGACCGTAATAATATCTGAGTAATCGCATCAACCTAAAACAGGCTCACGCCCCTTGTGGAATGGAAAGGATTAAGACGGTAGACCAGCTACATCGCATTCCGCCACACCGACACTATCAGATCAAGTACAAGCTATCATGCCACGGATCCTTCCACATAAGCACGCCCATGGCCAGACGATCCGTCTCGCCAATGCCAGGGCTCTGCAGCACCGTCTGCGCATGCTTGATCCAGCCCCTGTTTTCAACCAGAATCATTATTGCTACCGGGCTGGAAGCAGAGAGCAGTGCCAGAAGCGGGAAGCAAATGACCGAGCGGCCGCTCAAGAACCACTGCTCGAACGAGCGTACCGTCTTTGGGACCGGCTTCCACATCTTCTCGTAAAGCTGGGCAGCTGTGGTGAAGGTCCACTGCACTAAGATTCGACCCACGCCAATGTTGGACAGGATGTTTGATACTTGCAAGGCACGACCGTAGCGCGTATGGTCACGATCCCGTGTCGACAGGGAAAATGTAGTCGCATCCCATATGTCTGTGTGATCTGGGCAAACTCGAGTCCAGTCGAAGGTGGAGGTTGCTTCGGTGAGGAGGTGCAGTATAGGCGGACAACCGCTAGCGAACCGGTATCGTAGAATATATACCGTGATCCCGTAGATCCAGATACGATAGATGATGATGCCAAGCTCCAGATCGGACTGGCGTAAAGCTGGGAAGTGACTGTCTAGAGCCTGGGTGAATAATCTGTTCAAAGCCATACATCGTGCATACCGCGATACGTTGTCATTCGAGCTTGGTCGTGGTTCATTCCGCTCTAACGTCAGCATTTTGATAGGAAGCTTGAGGAGGTCGTCCTGTTCATTGGAGCAGAGAGTAGAGGAAGTGTCGGATCTTTCCAGGGGACGTAAGCTTAGGTCCGGATCATGTGGCACTGCCATCTTCCATTGGCTTCCAATCAAAAGAATCAGCGTACTGTTGAGGGTTGCGGCGAGACCACCAAGAGCAATCCTGAACGTGCGTAGATCAATGAGCCAGAACCAGATGCCTCGGTCCTGGACGTGGAATACTGCTCTGATCCAAATAGAGACGGTTCCGATGTACTGTGCGAGAAAAGCCAGCAACAGCCCGAGTCTGCCAATCCAAAGGATGCCAATCCTGTGAGGCACGCGCTTGACTTGTTCAGGATGGAGCGATACCAAAGGAACCGCTCGTTGTGGAGAGGTTTCCGACGACGCATGCATACCGAGACAAGCCGCAATGAAGAACCGGGCTTGTACGCGTTCCCGTCTCCATAAAACTCTTATGGCGGCGATATTGGTTCGGATTAGGATCTGGGCCAGCGCCATCTCTGGGAATTCAAAAAGGCAGAGCAAAACCAGCAGACTTTCAATAGAGTTGACACTACCCTGCAAGGACATCAAATGTCCACAGGACGCCATGGTCGCTACGAGAACGGCCAGGAACCGGATCCAGACCTCATCGACCCTGGTCACACTGAGCAACTGTTATCAAACCATGGCGGGGTTTGCATCCTACCCTCTGGTGCTATACGAGTCACCCAAGGCATCTGAAAGACATGCTGGAAGCTCCGTGGTATTGCGACCAGCACAAACTAGCGAAACGTGATCGAGGCTGCCAGGCATGGCGACGATGGTGTACACTCCAGGTGCTGACACCTGTGTGCAATCGGCATCTCAGGCGGGATATATATTTTACAGCCCTATCGATCTCCGTACCTGGTTATGCGGGGCCTGTGGCGCAGCGCATGCATGTGCGGCCAGGGTATGGGAGAATGAGGTTCGCGAAAGTGAGATGCCCACTCAGTGTGCTATCGATCCATCGTTCGATGTCTCGGGAACCTTAACAATAGCTCTTGTCAAATCACACAAGTCCCACGAGCGTTGCCTGATTGCACGCGGATGTCAAGCCTGTTGGAGAATCGTCTGGGGCGGAGTTTATGTAGGCAGGGGTAGGCGCCACAAAAAGGCTGCCTGGTCCTTCACGCAGACATCAGCAAGCAGCGTTGCTATTCGTTGACCTGGGACGATCAGCTCGCATGGTCGTGATATTGATTGACTTGTGCGACCGCTCTATCGACATGCGTCTTTTTCGGGATTGTGGGCAGGCTTGCAGACATCATCATCATTGGTTAATCTCTGTGGATCGGGCGTGGTCCCTGGACAGTTGCCGACTTTGATGCCCCAAATAGAGAGTGTGTCAGGGCGCTCTTCGCAATACCAAGGAGGATGGTGTGAGGCGTTTCAGCAAGACGATATACCATGCGAGTCTGTCTAACAATACTGCTCGCAGACCGCTGTCCGGCGATCGTGTAGCTTCCAAGGTTCTAGGGTGATGGTGTGGGAAGGCGCCCAAGATGGCACGAGCTGTGGCTGCGGGTGAACGGCTTGGCAGACGACATCATTGGACGTCAGCTTGCCAGCACTTGAGAGAGCACCACCACCGAGCTTCGCACCTCACAACCGCCAAAGCTTCCACGGCGCCCCTCGACACTTTCCGCAGCTGATGCATTCAGCATGGCTGCGGACTCAATCCAGGACGAGCCCGAAGCGGCCGCGCGCGACGAACAGAAGCCGAGCAATGGGAAGCCCGCCGCGCACGAGTCTGAGAGCGAAGACGACGACGACGACGACGACGACGCGGACGAGGAGCCGAAGCTCAAGTACACGCGCCTGACGAGCAGCTTGGCGCCCGTGTACCGGAATGGCGACGCGACAAGCACCTTCTTGGTCGCCGGCGACAAAATGGTAGGGCGCATGCTCCCGGCTCCACATCCCCAGTCGTCGCAGAGCCTATGCTGAGTTCTAGGTAGATCGTAGGCAGCCATAATGGAAACATCGTGAGTCATGCACATGCACTTGAAGCTTCGTGAGCTGCGGATTGACTGTGGCAGCACGTCCTGACCGTCCCCACCTTCCAACCGCTCCGCAACTACAACGCCCACCCGTCGGCCTCAGTCACCGCGCTGTCCGTCTCGCCGTTCCCGCCCCCGGCTGCTGCCCTCCAGTCAAACTCGCCGAACAGAACCATCGATACCCCAGAAACCCCTCAACGTCCACCCCCCGGGCAGGCCCCGCGCACGCCCCGCCAGCAGCCCCTCGTGCCCGCAATCCCTTCGAATCAGATTTACATCGCATCCGCGTCAATCGACGGCCATGTCTGCGTGTCCTCGTTGGTCGACCCGAAAGACGTCACCTTGAGGAACTTTGCCCGTCCCGTGCAGGCTGTGGCTCTGTCGCCCGAATACAAGTCTGATCGACAGTACCTTTCCGGTGGACTGGCTGGCGAGCTTATTCTTACAACTGGCGGACAGGCGGGTGTCCGCTCCAACGCGAATACAAGCCATGCTTCTCACGCAGCCCAAGGCTGGCTTGGCGCCATCGGCCTGGGAGGCAACAGCGGCAAGGACAACATCCTCCATTCGGGCGAGGGCACAATCAGCACAATCAAGTGGTCGCTGTCCGGGAAGTTTGTGGCGTGGGTCAACGAGCATGGCATTCGGATAATGCGAACGAACCTGCATCTTGAGGGCAATGACTCGGATGCTGCGTGGAAGAGGATAGGTTTCATCGAGAAGCCGAACCGCAAGATATGGGAAGAGATGGCGGGTGTTTGGAAGGCGCGTCTCGAGTGGGTGGATGACCGGCAGCTGGAGTCAGATGACGACGCCATCATGAAGATGAACAATAGCAATGCCACCGAGAAATCAGATGCTCTGCTACCACATCACCGCACTTCGGGAAAGAAGTCACAGTCCAGCAAAAAGATCGGAAAGCTTGAGAAGCTGGTCATTGGTTGGGGAGACGCAGCCTGGGTAGTCCACGTCAATCCTGGAGGTGCAGGCGTCGGCAGAGATGTCGGCGAGAGATCGGTGGGAAGCGCCGAGATTGTCCATTTGTGCGTATAAAGCTTCCGAATCTGTATAAAAGCTAACGGTAAACGACAGCCTTCGGTTCGATGATTGCATTGTTTCTGGCATATCGCTATATACCCCTTCTTTACTTCTTGTTCTTGCCTATCGAACTCGCGACGACGACGACAATCCCATTTCCCAGGATACCACTCCCAAACGCGGCATGTCTAGGCGCCACAACGGTCTCTCGCCTGAACTGAAGTTGATCGACGCGGCTACTTCGGACGAAGTCGAGGTAGATTCATTGACTGTAAGCCGGTATGAGAGTCTGTCCGCAGCCGACTATCATCTCGGCACGCTTTACGTGCCACATCCGAAGGCCCTGACACCCGCGCAAAAAAGCGCAATAGAAGCAATCGGTGGCGGTATTTGGGATGCGACTCTAGGCGCCGCCCGAATTTTCAGCTCAGGTGCAAGCATGGTCAGTATGCCTGGTAGTGCAGATGTGAGAGCACCGTCAGTCTCGTCCTCTGGGAACATATCCGCGTCAGTCGCGGGAAAGAGACTGCCACAGGCACATCCAAATGCGGCTGGCCCTGGCCTCAAGGTCTTCATCCAAAGCCCATACGATTGCGTGCTAGCCATAAAACGAGACTTGTCAGATCACTTCAATTGGGAGGTTGAGCACGAGAACTACAAGGATGCATGGGAACTTCTCGAGGATCATCCCGAGATCGCTGCTGCTGCCACACACACTACCACCGAGTCCTCTCCTGCCAGCACTCCTTCGAAGAAGCCGGGCAGCTTACAGGAGTTCTTTGCCGACGAGGATGCTTCACAGACCACCATATCGGCCACACGCGCAAATCATAATTCTGCAGTCGAGAAGGAAAAGAGGCGGATAGGCGACCTGTGGGTGCAGCAGCTTGTCAAGTCTGGGAATTGGGAGCAGGCTGGTAAAATCGCTGGCCGCGTGCTGGGCACTTCACAGCGATGGGAACACTGGGTCTGGAAGTTTGCCGAAAAAGACCACTTCAACGAGATTGCGCCACACATGCCAAAGAAGCAAATGCAGCCGCCGTTGCCTTCTACTATCTACGAAGTCGTTCTCGGCCATTATATCATCCACGACCGCGTACGCTTCAAGCATTTATTAGAAGACTGGGACACAGGCCTCTTCGACACGGGAATCGTCATTGAAGCCATCAAGAGCAAGCTGGCTGGAGGCGACGTAACTGAAGACTCGGTAGAAGGCAACGAGCAAGGCCGAGACTGGCGGATACTGCAGGACGCGTTGGCGAAGCTTTATTTGGCTGAAGGGCATCAGCGAGATGCTTTACGTTGCTATATTCGCCTGCAGAATGCAGATGCAGCTATGGACTTGATAAGAGACTTCCACCTTGTCGACGCTATACGAGATGACATTCCGGGGTTCATACTACTTCGTGTGTCGAAAGAGCAGATGGAATCAGCTACGCTTGAGGAGCTAGAGGAGTCTTCTTTTGAAGCTGTTGGGGTCTTGGTCGACGAAGCAACCCGTGGCAACGTGCCTGCCCCTGAAGTAGTTGAACAACTACAGCGAAAGGGCGATTCGTTCCAACCATTCCTGTTTTTCTACCTAAGATCGATGTGGAGACCTGAGAGCCAAGAGCGGAAAGGCAGGACGGCAAAGGAGCGCGTGCATGCGGGGAGACTGGCTGTGGATGGCAAGCACATTGCTGAGGAGTTCGCCGATCTGATGGTCGAGTTGTTTGCCGAATACGACCGCGAGTTACTTTTGAGGTACTTGCGTGAGTCGCAGGCGTACGACCTAAGCAAAGCGACCGGCATCTGCGAAAGCCGACAGTACATCCCTGAGCTAGTGTAAGTATCGTGGGTTTCTAGAGAGATTTGAAGGCTGATTTTATTCCAGCTACATCCTTTCCAAAACCGGACAGACAAAGCGCGCTCTGTACTTGATCATCGACAAGCTGTCGGATGTCAGCTTCGCAATCTCATTTGCCAAAGAGCAAGATGACCCAGACCTCTGGAACGACCTCCTCGAGTTCTCCATGGATAAACCACACTTTATTCGCGGCCTCCTCGCAGAGGTTGGAACCGCTATCAACCCCGTCCAGCTCGTTCGGCGCATTCCCGAAGGCCTAGAGATCGAGGGCCTCAGAGATGGTATTCGTCGGATGGTGCGAGAGTACGAGATCCAGTACTCCATCTCAGAGGGCGTAGCCAAGGTGCTAAGAGGAGAAGTGGCAACAGGCATGGGCATCCTTCGCGCAGGCCAAAAGCGCGGCGTCAAATTCGAGGTCGTACCTTGCGACGACGACGACGACGAAGACTCTTTCGACCCTTCGCTGGAGAAGCAGAAAGCAGGCTTATCTGGAAAGCTGAAGTCAGGCAAGAAAGTCGACATTGAAACCAAGGGTGTCGATCCTCATACTGCAGCAAAAGTTACGCATGACGATACCACCACCACTGCACTGTCCTCTCACACTAATGCCCTTGCCGGTATCCAGTCGGATCCTTCTCCACCTACTGGGGATGCTCCTCCCGGGCACTGCACAGGCTGTCACAAGCCGTTCATGCTTCCCACCGCGGAAGAAGAAATGCTTACGGAAGGCCCTGTCCCACCTTCTCGCGACACGCTCGTAGGTTTTGCGTGCGGCCACGTGTTCCACCTGTCCTGCCTCTTACCCAAGACGAGCGCGAGTGCGAGCGTGGCAGCGACACTACAGCAGCAGCTCGCGAGTGATGCAGAGGATGGCGGACGCTGGACGAGGAGCGTCGGCGCCAAGGTGGCGCATGCGCATGTCATAAAAAGAGCGGTGGGGGCGGGGTGTGTGGTCTGTAAGGAAAGGGACGCGGTTGGAGAGGAACGATGAGTTAGGATTTGGATGGCGGTGTACTGGAGGGATGCATGGGACGGGTTGGTGGTGTATATATGTGGGCTTTGGTTACTGTGGGAGGCACTTCTTGAGAAATGTGTTAGTAAATTTGAACGGATACAAAGCCGCATTGAGCTAAGACAGGGTAGTGTATGTCTCTGCGCCTTTGCTTTTGTAATGCACATCCACGTTATACACGCTAGTTTGCTCACAGTAGGTGACAAAAAGAACTGGACCTGTACTACACCTTATCCTGGTGGAACTCGCTGTATAATACGGTTGTAAAGATGTAATCTGAAAGTCTTTCCCGGAATTTCACGTTTGATATCATTAAACTGACATTCTGAAACTTCGAGGGCTCCTCTTGTAAGAACTTACTGCATAATACAGTTGTAAAGGTCTAATTTGATAGTCCATCCCGAAAGTTCATTGCTACAGATAGTCAAGTGTTTGTTGTCACCCACTGTGTATGTAGAATAGAGACAGCGAAGGCCTACTTTTGACAACGTTCTGGATGTAAAAACAAGATTCGAGAATATGTACAATGCCTGATACAAGGGATTCCAGGAAAGGCCGGAGCCGGAGCCGGAGCTATGGAGCGAGTCACTCACCTGGCCAACCTGCTTACATAGTCACTCTTGCCGTTTCCGTTTGCGCAAACGGCCAATCTACCCCACAGATTTTTTGGCTTCGACTTTGATCCCTTGCCCACAATAACTCCTCAACTTCGACACGTCGTTCGCGCTTCTTTCCTACAGTCCCATGCTTACTCTCTGACGCACAGCAATCTAGCCAGAATGAAGCGCCAACGCACCGACAACCCGAGCGACACTCAATATGACCTTGCCAAAAAGGCACCAAGGCGAGAGTCGGAGTTCCCTCCGCAAGGCCAAGGCCGACGCCGCGATGTGTTTCTGTTCCTCGAGCTCTCCGGTGGTGAGTTATAAGGTCAATTTTGGGCTCCGAAATTACAATTACCGACATGTATACAGAATTACGAAACCGAATCTACGAATTCTGCCTCTCAGAAGAGGTTGTCCCACTCGTGCCAAAACGGAAGTTCCTTCATGTTGGAGTCCCGAGCCAACTTCATCTGGGCGTCCTCGCGTTGGCTCACATGAACCGCCAAGTACGAAAAGAGTTCCTGCCGATCTACAAGCGCAACATGAATGTCGGAGTCCCGTTCAGAGATATCCAGGAGTTCGCTGATACCTGGTTGTCGGGTGAAGCACAGCTGGCTGGCAATATTCACATCTTGGATTACCAATGGATCAGTCGGACTAGTGCAGAAGTCCACAGTTTGCTCCGGGCTTGCTCGATAAATCCTGGGCTGACAGTTGCTCCAAGATCAGTTCGTGTGGTTGTTGATCTCTACGGCCACCCTAGTTACAGATACGAACTCCGCGGCCCCTGGAATCTATACAACCTCGTGCAAGGCACCAGGCACGCAGACTACACTGATAATACTTGGCTGAGTGAGTCTGCCATATGCATGCTGTGAACTGCTTCCAGGAGTCTTACTGATAGCTTTTTCAGACTACTTCGAGAGAGCAGTAACGGCGATAACCGTTTCTTCCGGACTTGAGGATGCCGTCATCCAAGTGAAGAAGGAGTATGTCGAGCCGTGGATGACTGAGCATATGATGCCATTCCAGTACGCGCAGCAGTGGCAAGCGTGGCAGCAGCGAGTGCAGTTGCCGGGATCCTGGGATTGCTTGCCGATGGTTGACTGGTCGTACTGCCGGAGTCGCGTGACAACCCAGGCAGATGACGGAAGCGCCGTTGAGATCGTGAGTATCCCGCCATCAGTGTCTGCATTGACTTGTACTAATGAGTTCTACAGAGATGCACATCACAACATGGTCGAAGGATTCGCCAGCTCAGCTACAACCTCGACTGAGCCACCTGAGATGAACAGTCGAGCTTCATGACGGCGTATTACACATGGAGTGCTGGCGAATGACATGCTTGGTCGGGTCGTTGCTTGCTGTCGGACGTAAAAACTCTTGGCAAAATTGTACAGAAGTTGACATATGATTGTGGGATGCGCCGCGAAAAATCGGGCAAAGGTTTCGGAAGGGGGTGTCTATGTATCGTCCGTCCATGCTCGGGCACGCTCATGATCCTTCCTCAAGTGTCCCGTTCTTACCTCTAAATGTAAAGTTTTGTTTCATCCACGCAAGTCACACTGGTCACTGTTCCTCCCACTTGAATGCCTCAGCCCTGCAACAGGCTCCAATCCTTGATATCAAAGCTCTCCAACACCCTCTTCGCAATCTCATCGCCATCCTTCATCAGCGACGTCTTCTCCCCTGGCGCAGCCTTTTCATACTCGCCCGGATAATGCGGGACATTGACCGTAACCATGATATCCGTGCCGTGCTCCTTCACACGCAGCAGCAGCAAATGAATAGCCACAAAATCAGGCGTCTTGCGCGGCCGATCAGGCGGCGGGGGCGTCTGTATGAACGACAGCGTGTAAACGGGTTTGTTCCTAAACTCCATCAGTTACAAGTTGTTCGCCATGATTAGCTCACCGCGCTGCCAAGCTATGAATGTGGCCACACGTGACCCATGCACTCACAAGCACAGCGCACACCACCCGCTAACGCAAACAAGAACCCCAAACTTACGCTACCTTCGCCATAGCCGCGTGCGACTGCTCCAGCATGTTCGTCTCGTCCCCGGTGCCGTCGACCAGGTCGGCGAAGTGGTACTGCAGCGCTTCCGCATCCGTCGGCTTCTCCACGTACTCCAGGATCTCGACTATGACACCCGAGTATCCGTTCTCGTCGAGATAGACCTCCTGGTGGTCTGGCACTTCTCGGATCTGGCTGCGAGGGTAGGTTAGCGATGTGGTAGGAGCGCGGAAAGGGAAGGCGCGGACCTGGCGTCGCCGTATGCGGTAGGCAGATCGACGGTAATGGCGCCGCCGTAAAGGTCGACTTTTTTGTATTGCATTTTTGCAAGTCTAGATGCTGGTGTGCGTGGCACTTGGAGGAATTTATTGAGGGCCTTGGTGTCGGTGATGCATGTTCGAGTGTGGTTGCGACGCTTTATATGCGGCGATGGTCAAAGTTGAAGTTCTGTAGTAGCACGCTCGCGTAGGTAGCAATCAGGCAGACTCAGGCACCAATTTGTATGGTTACCTAATTCACGACAAGACATTGGGAAACTTGCAATTGTATATTATAGCATTTGTGAGCCAGTACGATTGGCCGCGGGGTATCATCGGAACTTTTTGGTGTCCTCTATGTGGTCCATTCTCCAAATTTTGAGCGCCTTGCAATGCAAATCGAAATCTAGGCAGCCAGGCACCAGGCATACACCATCCTGTGTGCACTCAGACTGCCTTTGTACCCGCAGCCTAGCCAAGCTGTTCCGCCTTTCCTTCCTTCCTGTCTTGCTGTCCCAAGCTTCCTCCCTTCTGACCTGCTTCATGTCGCCGCGGCACGAGTGTGTCCAAGACGCTTTCTATGCCGCCACCGCAGTATCATCCACCTCCATCAGCGACGTCGTGCGCTTCCCGTTGTCGGTCGAAAGCCCTGCAGCTGCCTCTGCTTCCTTCTGCGAGTATGGCTCTTCCTTCAGTTGCTTGACTCTGCCCAGTCGTCAGTACTTCCTTCCCCAGCCTCCACAGTGCGTTCCTCACCTCCGCTTGTGCACCTTCCCCTTGTAGTGGGCCTCGAAGTTGGCCTCGCTCTCGAACCATTTGGCGCACTCAGTGCAGTACCATTGGCCCAGGCCGGGCAGATCCTCGGCGGCCTTTACATCCTTGTACTGCGCCAAATGCTTTTCGTCGCGAAGGTCGGCGTGGATCTGGTCGAGGTCGCGCGTGTGGCGGCGCGTCTTCTTCTTCGAGTTTTCTCCTCGTATCGCGGGCATGGTGATTGTCTGATGGTATGTGCAAATTCGGCCGCGGATGTGGGTCGCTCGGAATGTGGACGAGCTGTAGTTCGGCCTGGCGGCTGGGGGACGTGCGGCGGGCGCGCGCTGTCTGCAGGTCGACAGAATTTTTCGGAGCCTGCACTCGGGCTTGGCGCCTCCGCGTGCGTGAAACGGCGTGCAGACGTGCGACGACGCTGGAGCGCAGTCGCATCGCAGAGGTGAGCGCCGCCGCGAGCTGCGGTGCGTTATCTGCTGCCAATCAGCCCGTGCGAGCGGCAAAAGAAAGTGTGAGGCGGCGCGCGCGGGGTCATTCCTCCACGCTGCCAGCTGCTGCCGCGTGACGACATTCCCAACAGCTGCTCCACGACGTGCTCCCCAACCTTCATATACGGTGCAAGCAGCAAGTGCCGCGGCGGCGTTCCGCGCACCAGGGCTCGAGGTGCGAAGAGCGCCTTTTGTCGCGGCTTTCGCACGCGCGCACGTGAAACCCGCACGCGGGCGACGGGAAATCACAGCCGCCTCGCTCTGCTCAGGCGCCGAGGTAGCTCTATCCGTGCGACCCGCGCTGCAGCCAATCAGCCGAGCTCTGATCGCCATTAGTTAGCGGCCAGGTTGCGGGCCAGCTTCTGACGTTCTTTTCTTCCGCTTCTCCATCTCTCCAACTCTCCACTCCATCCTCACTACCCACCATGCAGAAGTTCGCGAGGCTAGGCCGACTCGGCCAGAGCCTTGTCCAACGGAGGCAATTGGCCACCGTCAGCGATGCGCCGCTCTCCAAGAAGGTCGAGATGACCAACTGGGAGAAGGGCCACTACATCAACTACCAGAAGATGAGCGAGAACCTGGGCATCGTGCGCAAGCGTCTCAACCGCCCGCTCGCCCTCGCTGAGAAGATCCTCTACTCGCATTTGGACGACCCTCACAACCAGGAGATCGAGCGAGGCACGAGCTACCTCAAGCTCCGCCCCGACCGCGTAGCTTGCCAGGATGCCACCGCCCAGATGGCCATTCTGCAGTTCATGTCGGCTGGTCTGCCCCAGGTCGCCACGCCCACCACTGTGCACTGCGATCACTTGATTGAGGCCCAGGTCGGAGGCGCAAAGGATCTGGCTCGCGCCAATGACATCAACAAGGAGGTCTACGACTTCCTGTCCACCTCCTGCGCAAAGTACAACATTGGTTTCTGGAAGCCCGGATCTGGTATCATTCACCAGATCGTCCTCGAGAACTACGCTTTCCCCGGTGCTCTTCTTATCGGTACCGACTCGCACACTCCCAACGCTGGTGGCCTGGGTATGGCTGCTATCGGTGTCGGAGGTGCTGACGCCGTCGATGTCATGGCTGGTCTTCCTTGGGAGTTGAAGGCTCCCAAGGTGCTCGGTGTCAAGCTGACCGGAAAGCTGTCTGGCTGGACTTCTCCCAAGGGTAAGTTCTTATCCGAGCGTTTGTCGTGACCGGAGATCTCCGATCTTCAGTGCACGGAGCACCCAAGTCCGCATCGAGCTTCGATGAGCTAACTGGAGCTTTAGACATCATTCTCAAGGTTGCCGGCATCCTCACCGTCAAGGGCGGAACCGGCTACATTGTCGAATACCATGGTCCTGGTACCGAGAGCCTGTCCTGCACGGGCATGGCCACAATCTGCAACATGGGGTAAGTACATCCAGGCTTTTCTAAGATTCAAGGTTGCTAACTTTTGCAACAGTGCTGAAATCGGTGCTACTACCTCTGTGTTCCCCTTCAACGACCGCATGTACGACTACCTCAAGGCCACCAAGCGCCAGCACATCGGTGACTTCTCCCGCGAGTACGCCGCCGAGCTCCGCGAGGATGAGGGTACCAAGTACGATGAGCTCATCGAGATCAACCTTGACGAGCTTGAGCCGCACATCAACGGTCCCTTCACTCCCGATCTTGCCACCCCCATCAGCAAGTTCAAGGAGGCCGTCAAGGCCAACAAATGGCCCGAGGAGCTCAAGGTCGGTCTTATCGGTTCGTGCACCAACTCCTCGTACGAGGACATGTCGCGCGCTGCCTCAATCGCTGAGGACGCCATGTCCCACGGCATCAAGTCCAAGTCCCTGTTCACCGTCACCCCCGGTTCCGAGCAGATCCGCGCCACCATCGAGCGTGACGGTCAGCTCAAGACCTTTGAGGAGTTTGGCGGCATGGTCCTCGCCAACGCTTGCGGCCCTTGCATTGGTAAGTTCTCTAATCTTTTGTCTGGTGATTGTCTGCTAATCCTTTGCAGGCCAATGGGACCGTAAAGACGTGGCCAAGGGAGAGCCCAACTCCATCATCTCGTCGTACAACCGTAACTTCACCGGCCGCAACGACGCCAACCCCGCCACCCACTCTTTCGTTACATCGCCCGACCTTGTCGTCGCGATGTCCATTGCTGGAACTCTCAGCTTCAACCCCTTGGTACGTACTCCCCGAGTTATATCAGGCTGAGCCAAGCGGTACCAAAGTCATTTGAATTTTGAGTACGCTGTGTTGACCCAGGTTGGGGTTTGCAAAGCCGGACGACACTCCTAATTTTCTTTGCATTAGTGACTAACAATGAGTAGACCGATACCCTCAAAGATAAGGACGGCAAGGAGTTCAAGCTGAAGGAACCCACCGGCAACGGTCTCCCCACTCGAGGATATGACCCGGGCCAAGACACTTACCAAGCACCGCCCGAGGACCGTTCCTCTGTCTCCGTCGCTGTGTCGCCGACCTCCGACCGTCTTCAGCTCCTCCAGCCGTTCGAGGCCTGGAACGGCAAGGACATCGAGGAAGTGCCTGTCTTGATCAAGACTGTCGGAAAGACTACAACTGACCACATCTCGATGGCCGGCCCGTGGTTGAAGTACCGTGGACACTTGGACAACATCTCCAACAACATGCTCATCGGTGCCATCAGCGCTGACAGCGGCGAGGCAAACAAGATCAAGAACAACCTCACCGGCGAGTACGACGCTGTCCCGGCTGTCGCCCGTGATTACAAGAAGAACGGCATTCCGTGGGTTGTCGTCGGTGACTGGAACTACGGCGAGGGATCTTCCCGTGAGCACGCCGCCCTTGAGCCCAGGCACTTGGGAGGTATCGCCATCATCACCCGATCCTTCGCTCGTATCGTAAGTTGTTCGTTTTTCCCACAGAAGACTATTTTACTAACCAGCCACAGCACGAGACCAACTTGAAGAAGCAGGGTATGCTTCCCTTGACCTTCAGCGACCCCGCCGACTACGAGAAGATTGGCCCCAACGATAAGGTCACCATCAAGGCCACCGAGCTCGCCACTGGCAAGCCCATCACCCTCGTCGTCCACCCCGTCGATGGCAGCAAGTCCTTCGACATCAAGTTGTCGCACACCTTCAACGACAGCCAGATCGAGTGGTTCAAGAACGGTAGTGCGCTCAACACCATGGCCAAGAAGTCTGCGAACTAAACGCATCACGACGAGGCTATGGAATACGACACGCGAATGGAGATGTACATACTGAGTTGAGGACGGCCGGGATACACCGATGATGGAGACGGATGAAGTCACGACGTCTGGGGAAGAAGAAATTTGGAGTGTGATGGGTGGCCACGAACATGCAATGTGCTGGTGGCAGAGCTTTTGATATCATACCGGCTCGGCAAGGTCGGGTCTGGACTGTACTTTTTATGGTGTTTAGCATGCTATCATGGGAATTCATTTGCGGCATTACTTCACGAATCGTGCAAATCCCTTGTGGTCTGGACTTGATATTGACTAAACACGTCCCAAAAACCATCAGTTTCATGTGATAAGTGGCCTGTGCTAACGGCAATAGTACTTCAACGATTTTTGCGGCGTACTCACATCGTGTATCCTGGGGTACGTTGGCCTACTGTATCTGAATTCCTCGAAGTTGATGGATGTATCAGAGTTCACTTCAATTTGTTACAGCTTCCTAGTATACATGCAATCGTGGCCGTCACTCATCAACAACCTACAATTTGTCGTCTCTACTGCAAAGCCTTGCCAAAGAGCTCGATAAGCTTCAGCGCCGTGTCATTCAGGTCATCGTAAAGCTGGAAATGATTCTTTCCCCGCACAACGGACAACTCCTTCGGCGCTTTTGCATCACCTGCAGCAGTTCTACTGTAGTGCATCGTCTGAGCATTGCTCCCCGCAATCATCAGAAACGGCCTTGGAGAAATCAAATGCTGGAACAGGAACAAGTCGTAGCTGGCCATAAGGTCGTAGCTGTGCAGCGGAACCTTCTGGTCCGAACGTTGAATGTTCGCTAAGACTGCCCCGCCCTTGTCCGTGTACGTCATTCGCTGCAGGGACCCGTAACGCGTCCACTGCGTGCCGGCGACCGAGACCAAGACATAACAGCAGTCAGCGTCGGCCGCAGCTTGTTCTCGCGCAAAGACATGACCCGCCGCCATGGCTCACCTTCTGCGTGGAAAGCAAGCTGGCGTCCACAACGACTTGTCCGTCGGCCTGGGGGCTGATCTCTTTGTGTTGGACCATGTAAGTTGACAGTCGCATCGCTTCACCGCGACCTGCGTGTGTTGGAGAGCTCCAGCCTAACCGTCGCGCATAGATTAAGAAGTTTGGCATCAACAGCCAGATCTCGCAGATCGCATACGACCCTGTACAGAAGCTCCTCGCCGTCGGCACCAACGAAAGCAAGTTTGGGCTCGGGCAAATCTACGTCTTTGGGCAGAAGCGCGTTGAGGTCGTCTTTCCTCTTCCGCATCGTGGGTCTGTCAGGATCTTGCAATTCTGCGCCGAGAAGCTTCTCTGTGTGGACTCGAGAAATGACTTATCGGTGTTCTCTCTGGCAAGTAAGAAGCTCCTGAACGCCCACTCTCCCCCCGCAAAGATCACCGCGCTGCACAGCGACCCCGCGCTCGACTACGCCCTGCTAGGAACGCAAAACGGAGATGTACTCGCCTACGACCTAGATAGAGAGCACCTCACGCAGTTCAGGATACCGAATCTGTGGCGCGAGCAGTTCCCGCAGTCGAGACTTACATCAATTGTGACACTCTCGCTCCACCCGCGCGACATTGGTACCCTGCTCATTGGCTACAACGCCGGCGCTGTCATATACTCGTTCAAGCAGAATAAGGCTATCAAGTACTTCAACTACGTGCTGCCTAAAGGCGCGCCGGGAGGAGATTCAGACCCGGCGTCCATATTCAAAGAGAGGAGTCCACCCTTGACGCAGGCCGTGTGGCATCCTACGGGGACTTTCGTATTGACTGGCCATGAGGATAGCAGTCTCGTGTTCTGGGATCCCAAAGATGGTAGAGTCATTCAGGCGAGAACTCTGACCGACACCGGCGTCGACAAGCCCGGCCCTGGTACTTTTAGTCCTGGCGCTGGTCCCGGTACATTTGCACTCAAGAGCCCAATTTTCAAGATTGCTTGGTGTGCGAATGAAGACCCGGACGATACCGGTATCCTCGTTGCTGGGGGTCAACCATCCAACATCGAAGCTAAGAGCTTGACCTTCTTTGAGCTAGGACGCACACCGATATACAACACTTCGTCATGGCAAATTCTCTCGGATCACTTTGAGAATCCCAAACGACAGAGGATACTGCCTTGTCCACCAGGTACCGAAGTGGTCGATCTGTGCCTAATACCTCGCGACAGCCCTCATTTCGCCGGTTGCCAGGACCCCATTGCTGCCGTCAGCTTGCTGGCATCGGGAGAGCTCATAACGCTCTCCTTCCCAAGCGGGATTCCGATAACGCCCACGAACCAGTTACATTTGTCTCTTACATTCGTTCATCCTTTCGTAACCCACGCAAACTTGGCCCCGGTTGAACGCACAAGATGGCTAGGAATGACCGAGAAACGGCAACATGGGCCGAAGTTCATTACTGGCGGTCACGACGCTGTTTACCCTCTCAAACGATTTGAACATCGAAATATCGTGCAGACCTCACACGCAGACGGTACCATCAGGTTGTGGGACGCCGGCCATGCGGACGAACTCGAGAACGATGCATTACTCCAGCTAGACGTCGCGCGCGCCCTAGGCCGGTTGGATCGCGTTGAAGTGACGAAGATATCCTACGCCGGTGCAGCCTCCGAGTTGTCAGTCGGACTGCGATCTGGCGAGGTGGTCGTCTTTCGTTGGGGGATCAACAAGCATTTCGGTCAAGAGCTGCCCCCGGGCGAGAATTTGCCAGGTGCTCTGACCGATGTGCAGGATCGGACCGAAGCGCTTTTGAAGGAAGGGATGATGCCACTGACCCTCCTCAATGAAGGAAACGGACCAGTATCTACACTGAAGCATTCGGATGTTGGCTTTGTGGCTGCTGGGTTTGAAGGTGGAAGCCTTGCCATCATCGATTTGAGAGGCCCAGCACTAATCTACCACGCGAACGTATCCGATTTCGTAAAGTCTGACAAACGAGGCAGTTTCCGGAGGAGCTCTTCCCAGAGTGCGACGAAGCCGGAGTGGCCAACAAGCATTGAGTTTAGCGTTATGACGCTTGAGCATGATGACTATTCGAGCATTCTATGTCACGTCGGTACCAACTTAGGCCATGTAGCAACCTTCAAGCTACTACCCGAAGCAGGTGGTCGCTATGCTGTCAGTTTTGCAGGCGTCTGCACCTTGGACGACAAAGTCATCAGCATCTGTCCTATGCATGTAGATACAGGGCGGCCTGCATACGCATCGCAAGCTGCTGTCTCTGGTTTGCGGAATGGTGCGAAGGTCAACGGCGTTTTGCTTGCTGTCACCTCAAACGGAGCTAGGATATTCCAACCAGCTACCCATAAAGGTGCGAGCAAGACCTGGAACGAGTTCCTATGTGACTCAGCATCCATTGTTCGATATGAAGATCTGGGCCATTGCTTGCTCGGTTTATACGGCGATGGCTTCGCAAGGGGCTACTCAATACCTGCCATGAAGGAGATTGGGGCCGTGAAGGTGGCAGATGTTCTGGATCCGCGGCGCTTCCCTGAGGCCGTGATTACGAGCACGGGAGATGTACTAGGCTGGACTGGACCGTCTGAGCTTGCCCTTATCAACGTCTTCGGAACGAATTTGAAACTGTAAGTCATCCGCGCATAGTCTTCGTTACTTGTGAACTGACGTGCTACAGTGACCAAACGAGAGATACACTTATCAATCCAGAGCTTCTCATTCCACCACGCCCAACAATCTCAAACCTGCAGTGGATCTCAGGCACCCAGTATGTTACCATGGAAGACATGGACCTTCTCATTGGCGGCCCCGACCGCCCGCCGTCGAAACGCATGCTCGCTCAAGCCCAAGCAGACGAGGCACAACGCCGTAGAGACGCGCGCCGACCCGGCCAGCCTAGCGCTTCTTCTTCTGCTGCGCCTCCGCCTGCAGACGAAAGTTGGGGGGCGTGGGCGTCAAGAACGTTGAATGAGAGGACCGAGAAGCTGAGTATTGTGGGCGACAGCATGGACAATCTAAGCAACAACAGCAAGGGCTGGGCAGATGATGTGAACAAGTATGTGGCCAAGCAGAAGAGAGGCATGGTCATGGGGGCTGTGAAGAGCAAGTTTGGGTTCTAGGGGAGGGTATCTGTGGTTTTGGGGGATCAGTGTGTGCGTCAAAAGGCGTTGTCGGCAGCGATATCCACTAATCATTCATATTATAGCTTGAACCATTTGTTGCCGATTAAATGCTCGCATGGATAGGTCCGAAATTGGACGTATCCGTAGGACCGTATCCTACCGCGGTCTTCCACACAGCTTCTATGTCATTCTGATATATCCAATCCAGCCCTCCACCTCCGTCCGAGATGACCTTACCCCTCACTCTCTCATCAAATGTCGGATCCCCAATATCAGCCAGCTTCTTCGCCCGCCGCGCCGCCTCAGATGCCAAATACTCGTACATCCTCGCATAGTACGGGAGTCGTATCTCATTGAACAGCGACAAAGCTCTACCAGTATCGTTAGCGTAGTAGGCCAACGCCCTCGCAAGAATCCACCCATCCTCCATCGCGAACCCCGCGCCAGACCCAAACGCCCCGGACAATGCGTGCGAAGAGTCGCCCACAAGCACCACGCGGTTCGACCACGCGGTCAGCGTGGGAATCTCGGGGCCGGCGAAGGCGGCGAACTCGCGCCAGCCTCCCGCGGACACCCTCGCGAGCGCTTCACGGATCTGCGGGAGATACTCCTATATTTGGACAAGGATCAGTTACACCCACCCTATATCAGCGTTGTGGTCAAATATTGGACTTACTGTGAAATGCGACTCTACATGCTCGTTCGTCACAGGCACGCCCCAGCTCACTTTGCTCGCGCTGTGCACCGCGGGATCGTGCCAGGCTCTGGCGGCAATCTCCCAGAGTCCTTCGCCCACTGGGGAGAAGTACACGTGCGTCGTAGGCGTGTGCCACCACGCTGTAGTTCCGAATCGGGGGTCGAGATCCGAGACTGCGGACCAGGGGAGGAGAGTGCGCCAGATGGTTGTGCCGGTGAACTTGAGGGTGTCTGGGTACGCCGGGAACGCGGTATCGCGGACGACCTTTAGGGTATTAGTAATGTGTCTTTAAATCAATGCAGCGTAGGGGAATGAGGGACGCATACAGAGCGTATGCCATCTGCGCCGACGACAAGATCAACGACGCTGGAAGTGCCGTCTTTGAAGGTGAGCGATATTCCCTTTGCGCCCTGGTCCTCCATCTTCACGAGTTTCTTAGACAGCTTGATCGTACCAGGTCTGACGGCCGAGAGCAGCGCAGACTGTAGTTTTGTTCTCTGCGTGCGGATTGGTGGTCTTCCGGTCGCGCTATGGGGCTTTTCTCTTCGGTGCACTTCTTCGCCTGACCTCCCGTTTCTATCATTGAATCTGTCAGCCACTTCATAATAAGAGCACTTAGATCTCATAGATGCAGTACACGCACAGGTTTAGAACCGTATATGTCTCGTGTCCGGTGTTCACCTGATCAGCTACTCCCAGCAACTCCAACACCTTCCACGAATTCGCCCCAATGCTGATTCCTGCACCAACCTCGCGCAGCACGCTCGCCTGCTCGTAGATAGTGACTTCAACGCTTGGTATCTTCTGGAGAGCGATGGCGGTTGCCAGGCCTCCAGGGCCGCCTCCTACTATGGCGACTTTCAGGGGTGCTGCGGTGATGTCGACTGTCATTTTGTATGTATGATTTTTTGTTTCAAATTCTCGAGATCTCCGAGGAGGAGAGTGGAGTGGAGGTATACATATCGGGAATGTATACCGGGTTCGCGAAGCTCCAGGTTCCGCGTGGTAGTGACAAAGCGGCTTGTCGTCAAATGTCACGCGAATGGTGTGCGAGCTACATGAGGGTGGGGTTCGAGCGCCGGGGATAGGACGGCGCCCCCACGAACTTCTGGACGGCTTGCGTGCTGAACTAGACGGTATCCAGAGGTGCAGCATGGTACTGGGGAAGTCGCGCTTCGCAAACCAAACAGCATAGGAAAGTCCGGTCCAAGCATCTCATTCTTGCTGAAGTTATTGGATGCGGCATACCTTACCAAGAATTAATAGAGAAGACGTGTACAAAGGAACCAGTCTGCACTCTGTCAGCTTCATGAATGCAGCAAATTGACGAAATTGGGAGGCAAGGCACGTCGTGGAAATCTCCTCAGAAGTGGCTCGCTAATGCGAGCAATAAGCCGCCGCAGTTATAGGTTCAGCTAATCCAGCCTTCGACTTACTCGAAGACTGTTATCGCGCTGCCTTCCAAACAACCTTCGTGCAACGACCAGCAATCTTTCCCGTTCCCCTTGACTGAATCACAGCAACAGCAAACCTCAGGATATATGCAAGTATGCCAGTTGACGATACCGATGCCTTCATGCTTGCTACACGCGTAGTAGTGTCGGGTCAGCTGAACGTAGGTGCAACTCGCACGAGAGCTGCCGCTGAGCCGTGAGTTTTCCTCAAGCGCGCAGGGAGATGTGATGAGGTACTAACATACAGGTATTCCAGGGACCGATACCGCCTCTCGACAATGCTGGCGTCAGCACTTCTCAGAGCCCAGGGCCAGAACAACCAAGTATTTCTTCTCTAAACACCAAAATGAAGGGTTGAGGCTCGTCTCAATTAGAAAGAGCAATAAATGCCACACTACTAATCTATGCTGCGACCTTACGATCGTAAAGTGACTCGCAAAGAGCCTGAACAAATTTCGTCGTGGCATATGTTATGAATGTACGCAGCCGACAATAGGTTTGATGATCAGCTAAAATCCATCAAGCATATGCTAAGCTCAGCATCCAGGGGATTCATGAGCTTATTGATGCTGTTCTCAGCTGCTTTCTTGTCCTGGTAGACCCGTCTTTATGGCGCCGCTTACAAGGCAACGTCGACATCACCCACAACATAGTTTTGCGACCGTTCCTCTCGTTTCGTGCTACATATTTGGAATAATACAGGGTGAATGGTGTTGGCTTATGACATTCTCTGTAGCTTCCTTTACCATTATCGATCAAGATCCTATCAGAGGTGGTAGGGCAACCATCAAGACTTCCCGCTCTCGCTGTGGCGGCAGACAGCATGGTCTAAACCTCACGGCAGCTTTCAGACCTTACAATGACCCATGTTACGGGCTTCGGAGCTAAAATTGCCACCAAAAGTCTCTACATGCCGTTTACACAACTGCATTTGCATTTGCAGCTTCACACGGACCCTTGCAGCCTACTTCCAATCAAGTGCCTGACTCGCAGATCGTAAGCAACCTACATCTTCTGAAAGTGAGCATATATGGATGAGTACGATTCCCTAGTTGATCGTATGCATGCGGATCTTGGATTTAGCATGTGTTCGAATGTGTAGTGGGTAGTGTCGGTTGGCATCATTATCACCACCACCATCATTCGCGATATGCCCTTTCCGGACGGCAAAGATGAGCTTTTTATGTAAAACTGTTATTGCAACTACCTATTAATAAGGCAAAATCTCGACGTACTGAATACTCCTGCCAAATAGGCCTGAGGGAGAGTGCTGATGAGAGAGATATGAAAAGGCGAATGATGAGCTTACTTTCAATAAAAACCAGTGTAGTCACGAGCTACCCATGGTCTATTAAGCCGCAAAAGCTAGGTGATGTCAGCCATGTGCGAAATCCGATCGTTGCCCACCGGGGCGTATCCTGATGCGTCCCTAAACAAGCAACGTCAGCGCCGGAGCAAAAGTGATGCCGAGTTAGAGGATCTAATGGTATAAAGACGGTCCTCCCAACTGCCCTCAGTATCATCGCCATCACTCCCAAAGCTCATACCTCGCTTCCACATTCAAGTAACCAGCACTCTCAACAAGCCTACCTATTCATCATCAGACAATCCCAAACAATGGCCCCCCAAAACTACTCCGGCCCATGGCAAAACTTCCCATCCATCGATAATTGGATCGGCTTCGAAGATATGTTCAACCGCAACAAGCCATCCATGTTCGCCACGGGCGACACGGGCGAAGACGTCGGCCGCATCTGGAATGCCATCAAAGAGTGTGCTAAGATCGGCGTCGACGAGCGCGTCATCCTCGCCATCATCATGCAGGAGAGCCATGGCGACGTCGGTGTCCAGACGACATACAGCCCCGGCGACAACATTCCCACCGGCGGCTTGATGCAGTGCGGAGGCTGCGCGGGTTGCCCCGGCCAGCATGGCGTGAGCCAGGTATGGTGATGCAAGGACACGTGAGAAGCCATGCTGATGAATGCAGGAAGCAATTACCGACATGGTTCGCAAGGGCACTGAGCACTTCAAGGGTAACCTGACAGCCCATGGTGACAAGTGGAGCGGCGAGTCCATCTATCCTGCTCTTCGTGAGTACAACTCAGGCAACGTCAATCTCGGCGACCTTAGCGATGGACGCGGTGCCACGGCTTCCTACGTCAGCGATATTGCGAACCGCCTCACCGGCTGGGTCAACTGAGCAGATGCCATGTTCTAGTGGGTGAAGGCGGGGTGGTATCGATGGAGAAGCATCAGGTTGGATTGATCTTGATTGCTACCTAGACAGTCGCTCTTTACAGGAGGATGAGTCGATAGAATACATGTATCCGGCAGCTTGACATGGTTCCTCATGACAGGTCGGTGTACCGTCGTAGCCCATACCTTCTCATGCCATCATCCAAGCGAATGTTGTCCCAGATCTCGTCGACACCTCAGACAACGTCAATACATGCAGCGAAGAGGCATTTCCACCACACTTTGTCCCTCGACTGAAGTGGTTGATTAACCTTGGCCAGAAATGATACATGACTAGATGACTGGTCTTTCGCACCTTTCGAGATACAGGTGTACGATATCAAAGACCGTTCTCGAGACAATTCATAAATATGCCAAGACAAAGATAGGATGGACGAGTGGCTCGATTATGTTCTCCCTGAAGGAAGATAAGGGGTCTCTCATGTGAAAGGGTAGGTGTGGGTCGGAGTTTGTCGCAGGCCTCGCAGGTGCTAGTACCAGGGTCAGGTCTGGAAACAATACGCAGCGGTGGTTCTATCTCGCTTGGATGTATATCATGCGGTCAGGATGCTGTGGGCGAAGCCGCAACGCGCTGCGAACGTGAGATTTGCGATGCTATCTGGGAGCGGGAAAGAAGCCATTTTGTTTGTCCTAACAGTGGGAAATGTGGGTTAAAGGTGAACGTGAACGTGATAGTTGGAGGTGCCTACTCTGTTTATACATCAGGCCGATGATACTAAAAGTCCAAATGTTGGGACGACGAACCACATGTGGCAGTCGCCTAGCGATACGTATAGGAAACACCTAGATCTCCAAGGGCGACTAAATCATTGAACTAAGTGCGGGGAAATGCTTTCAAAGCCTCGACCGGGTATCATTCGAAAAGTATTGCTAGAGTACGCGCATGGTTCTGCTCTCAGTTGTTCTTAGCAACCTCCTCCCACTGCACACCCACCCATTCCTCCACATATCCCACCTCGCCCTCGGGCACGTCGCTCGGCTTGCAGTCCTTGCTGCAAGTCGCAAAAATGATGGTGCCCCATTCCATCCCATCGATACTCATCTCATCCGCCTCCAGCTCAGTGATCGTATGTGGCGTTAGCTGTACCTCAAAAACGCGGTCGGCGCCGCAGTTCTGACATCTCGGCACGCCCGAGCCTCCTCCGGAGCCCATGGTGGTGACTTTCACGTTCGAAGACGAGCCGTGCTCTGAGTGTGCGGCAAGCAGCTTGCCGACAGCATCGGCGTCACTGTAGAGCAAAGGTTTACCCTGGAACTCGTACCGGAGGACCTGCTCGGGGTTCTCGCCAACGCGGTCTGCAAACTTCTGGAAAGCCTTGTCGAGTGTACTCTCAAAGATCTCCTTGTCTTCTTTTCCGCCTCCGCTGCCGCCGCCCTCGGTGTCTACGTCCATGCGTGCGTTCGCGGGGATCTGGGGTGTGGAGGGCGCATCGAGCGTCTCGTACTCGGCATCGAGGTAGTAGTGCGGGTATGCGGGAGGGAAGTCTGATTCTGCGGGCCAGGGTTCGTGCGGTCGCGCGGGCTGTGTTGCAGGCGGCGGCGATGAGACGCGCACCTTTGATGCAAATGTTTCGGGTAATGTCGTGGAGGCCTCGTCCTTGCTCACCTCAGGCGCAGGCTTTGCTGGCGGCTGTGCGCTTCCGAAAGGATTCGCGCTGGCACCGCCTGGAGCAAATGGGTTGGCTGGCGGTGTTCCATTTGAAGCTGACGAGAATGGGTTCGCGAAAGGGTTTGCTGGTGCTCCCGCGCTGCCGCCGCTCTTGACTCCGAACAGCGATTCTCCCAGCTGCGGCTGCGGCTGCGGCTGCGGCTCCTCCTGTTGCTTGACTTCCGGCTTCTGCGCCTTCTTCTCTGCGAGCTTGCCGGACCCTTTCGCAACGCGGATTCCGCGTAGTCCCCTCACGCTGCCTTCCTTCCGCCTGCAAGTCTTCCTGCGACAGCCCCATATGTACAGTCGTCGTTCGTGTCCGGGGAAATGTTCGGGAAGGTCGCCGTTCAGTTCGAGCAGAAGCGTAAGAAGCCCGTTGCATACTTTGCACTTTGCCAATGCACCCGAGGGTGCCGTTTTATCGTCTATCCATGCCTATGAACTGTTAATTTATGGGCTGACTAGAGGAAAGGTGGAGGGGCATACTGGAGAACCGCCCAGGTGCGATATGGCGTCTCCGGATGCGCCTTGGGACGCGTATCCCAGAAGAGTATTTGTTTCAGTATATTCCTCTCCCTCGTCGGAAGAGTCACTGTCGTAAGGAGGCATGGCGGGGAAATTGTGTGTTGTTGGAGGAGCAAACCCCGCCATCTCCCCAAACTTTTTATTGTGCTATCGATAAGGGAAGCAACCCACTGCTGTTCTTAGCGCTGACGAGCTGCATGACAGTGGACGACATAAACACTGGGTATAGGCGTCCTGTGTTACTTTGCTCTATCTTACGCTTATAACTCACTATATGACAGGTCATCGTGGATGTTCATTGGAAGGGATCCTCGTCATTACAGTCGGCCACTGTGGATACACGTCAAGCTTCCGGCCAGCAGGCGGTGAAACATTTCCTTCAAATACACCTGCTCACCCTCCCATACGAAACATTGTTGTGCTATTGTGCCAAGCAGCCTCAGCGACTTCATCCACACTCAGTCCTTTCACGCCTGCTACTACGAATGCGACCTGACTTATGGCACAGCTCTCGTTCCTCTCCTTGACCATCATGCCCATCTGGAATTTGTCCCTCTTCTTGCTCGATGGCAGCGGTGGTGCATGGACAAGGTATCTCTTTGCAACTTCCGAACTCGGTTGTATCGCCCCCCATGGCGCATCCGTCTCAAGCTGCAGTCTCTCCAACGGCAGCGCTGCCACCATCTCTAGTGATTCGCGATCCTTGAAGCTGAATCCATTCACACTCACATCAAACCCCATGTCTGTAAGCTTCGCCATCTGCGCTGAGCTGCCCACGAAAGAGTGCACCAGTCCCCTCCGCGGAAGCCGCGCAAGATATGGCTCGATGACCGCCACGAAGTCGTCGAAGGCCGCGCGACAGTGCAGGAACAGCGGGAGGTCGTAGTTGCCTCTCACGAACAAGTCTAGCTGGTCCTTGAAGCATTGAATCTGGACATCTTTGCTCGCCCACTCAAGATGATCATAATCCAGCCCCAGCTCCCCAAACGAAGACACTAATGTCGCACTCCCTTCCCGCAGCTCGGCAATCGTTGAAGCCATGCACGCAAAGTACGCGCTCCCGTCGCTGCCGTCAGCGTACGGCTCGGCAGCGTGGTACGGATGCACGCCGACGGTGATGCTGCATTGGTCTGGTCTCGACCGTGCGATATCGGCATTGAACTGTGCGTCTGAGGGTGACATGCCCGTGAGCACGACTTTCTTCACATTGGCTGCTAGGGAGCGGTCCAGTACAGCGGGGAAATCGGGCGCATGGTATTGCTTGTTGCGATAAACGCCTGCAAAGTCCTTTGCTGTGGCTGTTACGGCGACCTGAATGGACGTTAGTGTCGTGGGTTGCGAAATGATGCCAATATTGAATTTGATGCGGGACTTACATCTGCGTATTGCAGTTCTGTCTGCGGCTTTAGAGGCGCATTTTTTGGTAGGCTTTCCAAAAGGCTATCGGACATGGCAAGAAGTTTGGTCTATGAGATGAAACGGTGCGATGCTCAATGGTACAGTTCTAGATCGGCAACTGCCCTGACTCGCATCTCGGGTCGGGCCGCTTCAAAAGCATGTCCTTAACCACGCCCTCGCGTGAGCGCCGACACCAGCGATGCAGGATTGGATTTGATTCATAAACATGTATGATATCCTGAGTCACCCAATGGTAAACTTGCACAGAATCAAACAAGCCTTGCGTTGTATACATTCTTTCATCGCGAGTATCCGAAATAGTTTGCCCTTTAATTGTCAATACATTGCCGGTATCCAATCGACATGATCGACGGTGCCTCGGCTCTCTTGACCTTGAACCGCTCTCCAATAACGACCCACTGCGCAACAGTAAATGCGAACCGCATCGCACTTGCGTCCTTGTTCTTGAAAGCTCTCTCGACCAAGCCCTCAGCCTTGTCCCAGGCAACAAATCCAAGCCCCTCTACTCTCTCCCTGACCAGCAACCCAGAAAGTAGTTTGTGTAATGGGCCATCTTCTGGATACGTAGTTGGCGCAGAGTATGGCTGTAGTACGAGTTAGTACACACTACATCTCTGGTCATGCACAGAATGACTTGCGTGTTTCTTCCTCTTGTACAGCTCATCCGTAATGAACGGCCTACTCGCCTCCCTCAAGATCCACTTTTCGATAAATCGCTGCTCCTCACCATCCCATCTTATCTTCACACTCGGCGGCAGCCCGTTTACATACTCGGTCAGATGGTGGTCTAGGAACGGCGTCCGAGCCTCGATCGAATGGGCCATTTCCGTCCTATCGCCCAAGCATGACAGAAAAATGTTGCACAGATGGCCTTTCTGCCAAACATACAACGCAGAATGCAGTGGATGCCATTCTGACATGATCTTGTCCCTCGCCCGGCCGTCTACAGAGTTCGCGATCGTAAGCTGTGGGTCGCAGGTACCGTAAGCCTTGGTCCAGTCCGCGAAGAGCGTATCTGGTGAGAACGCTGCCATCGAGGACACAGTCGTAATGTCGTTTAGCATGTGTCGAGGCAGCGACGGCCCTCGGTTGGCACCGTTGGCGCCAACAGATTTGTAGTACGCGCTGCTCTCCTCGTCGGTCTTGATGCATTGTGCTTTGCGCGTCTCCTCTGGCAACGGGTTAGACGTGTACGCAAGGTCCGGTTCACGGAGATAGTCAGGCAAGTACATCGGGTAGCCGGCAAATTGTTCATCGGCACCCTCGCCCGTCAGAACCACCTAAGATGAGGGTATGAAGTCAGTATGATTTGAGATGAGGTGATAAATGTCTCAGCTAAGAGGGAAAGGCAAGAGACATCAACTTGGTACCCGGTGGTTTACTCACCTTGAACCCCAGCTCCTGCGGAACCTCACTCAGCGCGTACTTGCCCACGTAGTTGAGATCCGGGTTGTGGTGCTCGCAGTACCAAGTCGCGTCCTCGAACCGCGCGGCAAGCTCAGCTTCGTTCATGTGCTTCTTGTAGTACTTCACGCCGAGGTGGTCTGCTGTTCGGTTTGCAATGGCAGACTCGTCAAAGCCGCTGTCCTCGTCGAAGGCGATGCTGAAGCAGCTTACGCGTTCTGTTTCGTTGTCGTTGCCCATGCGCTCGTCTTGCTCTTTGACGAGGTGCGTGACCATGCCCGCGATCACCGAGGAGTCGATGCCGCCGCTGAGATACACGCCGACGGGGACATCGGCTCGGAGGCGGATGCGTATGGCTTCGAGCATCTGGGATCGGAGGCCTTCGATCATTTCTTTGTCAGAGCGTGGATCTGGTTGTGTCTACCTGTGTCAGACCATCAGCATTCCAACAGCAGAATGCTTCCTACCTTGTGAGGGTATTCGATGTCCCAGTAAGAACGCGATTCGATGCTATCGTAATGCTGACAGATGATGTAGTGACCAGGCCGGACCTGTGTTAATCAGTATCTACCCTCTTCTCTTGCCTTCACTGCCGTACTTTTCTAACGCCTTTAAATATCGTTCTAGCAGCATGATTCCATCCCGCCTCTTTCAAGCTCGCAACATCCCACTCTGGTTCCCAGCCCAGGGGCAGGAACGCTTTAGCTTCAGCTGCGATAAGCATCTTGTTATCAACAAAAGTGTAAAACAATGGCTTGATACCGTAGCGATCTCTTGCTGCGACGAAGGTCTGTGTCCGCGAGTCGTAAATGCAGAGTGCAAACTCTCCACGCAGGTGGGAGAGAAATGATATTCCGTAGTACTTGTAAAGCGCGATCACGAGTTCGCTGTCGCTGTGGCCTCTGAAGTGATGATTCGTCTTGGCGAGTAGGGACGCTCGGAGGGCATCGTAATCATAGAGCTCTCCATTGACAACTGCGTGTACGCTATTTTCCTCATCATGGAACGGCTGCGCGCCATCTGGCGATAAGTCGTTGATGGCTAGTCTAACGTGTCCAAGTGCTGTATGGATTCTTAGCAACCATCGCTTACAAAAATGGGTGACTACCGGACGGCCAGGGTTGCAACGTTGAAGTACCAACTTTATTATCAAAGCTTATCCATTGGCCTTTTGAATCTGGCCCTCTATGCTTGATCATCTCAAGACTCTCGTCTAACTGTTGTGGCCATGTTTTTGGATTGTCAAGGTGGCCAGAAATGCTCCTTCGAGCATCGTCGAGGGCGACAATGCAGCTAATGCCACACATCTTCGAATTGTGTCGATGGAAATTCAAAGAGTTTTGTACCTGATATTTTGCGATATGGGAGCAATGGTGCTGATTCAATGACGTATGACGTATTGATGATCCTACTTGCGCCATTGGAAGCTAGCACCACTACGAAGTGAACTTATCTCTGAAGATTCCCACTGTGTACTAACACTTCTTTGTAATGCACAACACATTGGACAAAAGCCACATCAGCTCACAAGATAGCACATGTCCATGCATAGATCTCCGAACATCTGCCACTAACGTCTATCTTCAGCCGCATAGAATCACCAACCACAGTGGCTGACACAAAAATTGGGACTTATCCTGCAAGATTTCACTGTATAATACGATTGTAAAGGTATACTTTGATAGTGTACCCCGACATTCTATAGCTACGGAATGTCGTTTTTGTGGTCACCCACTGTGAGTATCCAGTCCGACTGACATGGTTCAAAAAGATGGAAGCCTGGACCCTATCACAGCGGCAATGGTTATGGCGGTAGACAATTTTTATTGCCCATCGCTATTCAGGTAAAATAATATGTTCAGGACGGCATCAGCCAATATTTACATGGAAAACCTAGGCACACTCTCCCACACAACCACTCGCTTATTTCACAGAGATGCTGTAAGCCGAAGTCGTAAGGACAACGTTAGATCCAGTAAACGGCTCCGTACCCGCCTGCAGCGACGTAATCCAGGAGCTGGTCGGGACACCCTGGCTGCTAGTAAGGTACTTGAAGAAGAGGTTGAGGTCGCCGTTGAAGTTGCTGTTGGTAGCGGACGCAACGAACGAGTACACCTTGACACTGCCGTTGAGTCCGTAGTATAGCTTGTAGCTGGCGCCGCCGATGGTGACGGTGGCAATGGCGCTGCCAGTGGAGGAGATGGGGCCGGCGCCGCCGTATGCGGCTAGCCAGACCATGATCTCGTAGGCGTTGGAGCCGCCAGAGGTGGGAGCGAGCCAGAGGTCGTAGGCCACGTCGGCGACAGGGGTGCCGCTGCTGGTTTGTCTGGGGAGCATGTTAGTGAGACTGCATGCGTTGCTTCAGGTGTGCTTTTAAGCACTTACGACCACTTCCAGACCGAAGGAATGGAGGAGACAGCGGACAGCTGCTTGTTGACATTTTCGAGAGCGACATTGGAGTAGCTCTTCACCTGGTATGGGCCACCAGCCCAGGACCACTTCGTGGACCAAGCAACTGTGTTGCCGCTCAGCGACTTGAAGTAGGTACACTGGCTGCCTGAGGTGGCACCGGACGCGCCCCAGTTGTTACTGTCTGAATCAGATTGACGTCCTTGGCACTTCTCAAATATCTAAACTCACTGGTAGATTGTGTACCCGCCCGTTTGCAGGGAGCCCCAGGAGTCGCAGGAGATGGTGGTATCACGCTTCTCGACGGTACGAGTTGCCTCAAGGGGGGCAGCGAAGGCGCTCGAGGCAGCCAACGCCAGGGAGACGAGAGAAGAAGAGAACTTCATATTATAGAAATATAACTTTGGCAAAGATGGAACTGGAGTGTAGTAGGGAGTGAAAGGCCGCGAGTGGGATACAAAAAGCTTGGAAGCCAAGTCATCTTATACTGCGTCCCCTATATGCGTTAAGCTCCCATAGTGTCCGCCGCAACGCACCGAGCACTATAGAGATTGTTGTTCCGCGAATTATCGAGCATCGACCATGATGATCTGATTGTTTCGTCCACGCGTTTCGGGTAGACGGTAGAGCATCTCGTATAAGTGCCGCCGGTGGGGAATAAATTTCCCGGAGCTTGACAGTTTTGTGCCAGACTAGACAGGGTTGCTACCCTAGGAATATGGGGTGCATATGCACATTCGAAGGAAGACGGGCGTTGGTTGGTACGTATCGAAAGCCACGGCATCCTGTTGGTCAGCCCGATGCTCTCTCTTTGGTGGCATTTTCTATGCGACACCTGTCGAACTGTAGCGGACAGACCAACATATGTAAGGAGAGATCGTCGTCAAGCCGTGGTCACATCGCGGTGGAGCAAGCCCCTGCTCGGTTATTAGAGAAGGCTCGGAGATTGGGTCTAGCTCCTTTTGAATTAGACGAATTGTACAACGGCATTCCCCACCATCAATGTCGCAATGCATGAAACAAAGCTTAGATTCTACTGACGCGTTCACGGGCAAAGTCGTGCTCTACTGAGCGCATGTCGGCGAGCTGACATATCACAGTGGCTAAACCAAATATAAGTTCTAGTGCACACCTTATTCTAGAGAAACTCACTGTACAGTAGTACAATTGTAAAACTATCCTTTAATAGTTTGTCCTGGATTTACATAGCTACAAAAGCCCGGATTCTACTCTCGGCCACTCCGCATTGTCTTCAGAAACAGCGAAGCTACAGACAACAGTTCGAGACGATGCTCCGCCATCGTGACCATGGAAAGAGACAACGCAACCATTTTTGTAAGCATATACTTGTGTAGCGGAGACAAGGGTTGAAAACAACCAGGTGATGCTTTTACTATGCAGAGAGTTACTCCAAATCCCCGCACAAACGCCGGGAGCTGATGAGATCCATGGCCATAGCTCATAATCAACAAAGGAAAATCGTCGAAGTCTGGCCGTATCCGCACTCATATCCTCAAACTCTCAATCGCAGCCTCCAAATCATCCACCTTGCTCTCAACTTCCTTCGCCTTCCCAGCTTTCATCTCTCGATACGCCCTCGCGACCACCTCCATAACCTTGCCCATAGCTGCATCCTGGCCCTTGCCCTCCATCTCCTTCTTCACCTTGGCAAAGTTGTCTTTGACGAAAACCTGGTACTCGCCGTTCGGCTTCTTTCCATCCTTACCGACAGCGCCGCTGCGAGGAGTCGGCTTCGTCTGCACAAGTTTCGCCTTGCACCGGCCGCACGAATGGCGCACAGGGTCGATCGACTTGCTGTGCCTCTTGAACTCGCAGCCACACGCCACGCATTCCCAGATGTACTTGTAGTCGATCTTGTACGAGTGCTTGGTGGTAACTTCGACGCCTCTGCTCCTGAACGCGGCCGTGACTTTCGCGCCCCACGACTTGAACTCTGCGCCGTGCGGGTTGTTGCGAACCTCACTGATCATGAAGGTCGTGAGGTGGCAGTACTCGTGTGCAAGCACATTGTACAGCCGCTCTTCGTCGTCGATGACCTTTTCGGCGAGCTCAATGGAGCAGTAGTGCCGGATTTCGACACGCGTGTCCGTGGGCAGAGGTCCAGTGCGCAGGCGGATTTGCTCGCGGCGCCAGTTGGCACGGCCAGCAGTCGTTTTGAGCGTCTTGGACCAGACGAGCTGGATGCCTCCAGTATTGCTAGAGAGCTCGGCGATGCGGCCGTTCGTGATAGCCATGTCTACCTCAGCAATGAAGGTTTCGGCGATTGCGTGCTTACGGGCTGCAAAGTCCTTGCGTTGGGCGCGTAGGACCGCTACGGTTGGCGAAGAACCATCTGCCGATACCTTTTTCGTAGGAGACTGTACTTTCTTCTTCCGTGGTGAAGTTGTTGGTGAGGGGAAAGAGTCACTCTCGTCGTCGGAGATGGTTATGGAGTTGATCTGCTTTTCGAGCTGCTTGAAGAGGTTCTGTTTCCGGGGCGAGAGAAGTGGCTTCGAGGGCGAGAACTTGTCATTGTGGTCATTGACTATCTCGGGATCCCAGAAGGCATCGATGCTGGGTCGCAGATTTGGTACATTTGGGATCCGAATATTTTTCTTTGACGGCGAGGCAAGCTTCGAAGGACTGGGTAGCTGAGGAGGTGTGCTTGGGCGCGATATCGGGGGTGCCTTGCGAGGTGAGCGTTGTTTCGTAGGAGTTGGGGAGCTGAACGAGGTCAATCGCTGTGCGGTGCAAAAGAAAAGAATATACTCACTAGACTAAAACATCATCTCCACGGTTCGACGCTCTGCTGCTTGCGCGGGAAGAAGCGGCGAAAGACGCAGTGCGCGCTCGGGCAGGTGGTGGGAGTGCGAACGACGGCGATGGCGCGGGAGAACTTGTCAGGTCGATCACATCTTGCGCCCAGTTCGATATGGTGCTGTGGCCCTTTCTGAACGGAGGCCTGTTGGAAACAAGGGGCGGTGGTGGCATGTCCGTGGAAGGCTTCCACGCAGGCTCTGGAACTGGGGCTTGTGTGTGCTGGGACATGACGGCATCATCCCACTCCTCGTCTTCCTCTTCCTCAGAGTCGGACACCACCCTCCTCCGTCCTCGCGGTTGCTCAGGTCTCCTCCTTGCAGCGACTACGGGCTCTTCGTCTGCATCACTCTCCTCTACCGACTGCCGCACATTCTCCTTGTCTTCCTCACTTGGACCATCAGCGTCACCACACAGGATGCTCTGCCCAACGTCGTTTTCATCAACGACTGTCTCCTCTACCTCGGACCGTGCAAGGCTCAAGGGACCCTTCTTCCTCGCCACAGTCTTGGCCAGAGTCTTCGAGTAGAGATGGTTCGCTGCACTTCCACCCTCTCTAAGCGGCCTCCTAGGCCTTCTGTCCTTGTCGGGTGTTGCTGCTAGGCTGCGCAGACTCTCGGTACTCGGTCTCTTTGCCAGAGTCGCATTGCTTGGCATTGGCCGCAGCACGCGTTGTTTCCTAACCGGCGACTGGTTGATAGGAGCCTTTGGAACGAGTATTGAGCCTTCATCGGAGTCTTCGGGCGAGGTGTAGCGCAGTTTGCGGGTTGAGGGCGTTTCGCGCACGCCCTTGCGGGGACTGGTTCGTGTGGTAGGTGTGGGGGGAGGCATGAATATGGTTTGCTCCGTAGGGCTGGGCTTCCGGAGGCGCGCCATTATTTAGAATAGTACTAATGTTAAAAAATGTGAATGCAATTCAGCTTGAGGATGGTGGAGGTGCGGTTGCGAAAGTTTGTTTTGCCATTGGTTGTTGGGGCGACCACTAGCGCGAGACGTACAACGTGCCGCGCGCAACGGGCGTTAGTGCTTCGCGACGACACCTCTGCCTTGATCGCACATGATCTGGAAGACTAGCAGTGTCAACTCATTACTACAAGGCTTCCATGGCTGTGTCAAGATGCAAAATCACCAGTGCAAATCACGACCAAGAACCCGCTTAATCAGCAGTCAAGTTGCTTCTTGACTGAGCTGGGCAAACTCTTGGAGAGGGGTTTCTCGACAATACGGAGGCACACTTACGTCATTAGCTAGGACTGTTGCGTACTGCAGTGCGGTATCACAAATGGTACGACCAGTTCAACAGTTCTTCACGTTTCAAATCAGTTATTGAATCAGCCAATCGTAGCAGTCCGTTCTATTCACCCCCAATCTCTCATTGGTAATCAATCTGACTGCCGTCCTGTGTACATTAGCACCATGTAAAGGGTACTCTACTTGAATATAACAGTCGCGGTTAGTGGAAAGCTGAAGCTAATAGACTCACAATACAAATTAGCGTACATCTGAAGACAATCGGTCCACCTCCACGCAGACTGACGCGACGATGGTCAGCCCAACCTCATGGTGGGGCTACTACATAATCAATTGAACACCCTGTATTGGAGCTCTAGAATATTCAATCGAATAACTTCTCCTTCCCACAAATCATTCACCATGACCTCCCTAGATCTGCGGTGAGCTCTACGCCCCAGCCCCCAACTCCCCTGACTTTAGTAAATTACGGTGTACAAACTGGATGTCTCTTGCCTCTTGCGTTTACTTGAGACATGCATCACCCTGTCTTGACTCGCACTGGCTTTGTACCCACACTTCAGGCACCGCCCGTGTTCCCGACAGACGAGTCCGAGATGCCCTAGGGCGCAGACTCCTTCAGAGACGCGGCTGCGTACCAAGGGACCTCGCGCGGGCACCACGAACACCTGGGCAGCAATTCCCTCACCTGGTCGTCACGGGCCTTTTGATATCAGATCGAAAATACACTCAAGCATGGAAGCCCAAGTTTAGATAGGCATACCCATCGTGTTTGACACCGGCGAAGGGCCTCAAGGAGGACCTACTCTTGGAATTACAGTACAATCTTGGATTACAGGCATCTTCTTGAGCTAACTAGCTTCAAGATGCCACTTCAGCTACCATATGTCCGTTTTGGTACAATACTCTCATCCCGAAACGTCACCCTACTTTTGAACGAACACATGTTCCGAAAAGGCTCCACACAAATAAGTCGTGCTCTTCGGCTCAGACCCTGTTCCTCCAATCCCGAGATAAGACGATATAAAACGCCATGGATATGCTCTATCAATATCCAAATTATGCCCCCCAAACGCCACTTCGCCTACTCCCGTACAAACGACAACCCTAAGTCGCCATTGGCGTGCCATTTGGTGGCCCACCGTGCTGTCCATTTTGTGGAGGCTGAGGAGTACCAGAGCCTTGCCTGTTGAAGCTATTTTGCGCTGCAAGCCGTGCTTGCGTCTGCTGTGCTTGCTGCCTATCCAGCATCATCTGCTGGGGGTTCGCGCTAAAACCAGTAGTCGATGGTGCGGAGGGGGTGTGAGGTTGTGCGGTCCCATACTGTGAAGGAGGATAGTAGGTACTACGTATCTGACCGCCAGGCCCATAACCTGGCCGTGCTCCATAAGCCGTTTGGCCAGTCGATGGGGCAGCCTTGAGCGGGGAAGCCGTGCGGGTCTGGTTATTCGGTGTTGCTCCGTACATTGGCGCCACATTTTGAGACCGTTGGAAGTAGCCGTTCTGCGTTGGTTGCGAGTACCGGCTTTGCGGCTGGGTCTGCGGAGTGGATCCGAAGTATTGAGACTGACCGCCCGCGTAGTTGCTAGGCTGAGATGAACGCTGAGAATAGTACTGACCCGTGGGGTTCTGCGTATATGATGTCCTCGATGTCTGCTGACCGTAAGCTTGGGTACCAGAAAAGCTTGGTCTAGGGGTGGCATAGGACGACGCAGGCGCCTGATATACCTGCGATCCGGAAGTGGAACGTTGGTATTGCATGGACGGAGATCGCGCGACAGCCGGTTGCTGGGGAAAGTAATTAGGGCCCGATTGTACAGGCCGAGCACCGGTATGCATCGAAGATGTGGAGCGGCCGTATTGGCTGCTCCCTGGAGGGTAATGCGAATGAGTACCAGAGCCACTTGAAACCATACGATTCAGTGTTGGAGTTGCCGCTGGCGCTGGCACCGGCGCCTTTGCAAGCCTGGATGATTGATCATCTTCGAGGACTCCGCGAGCGGCTCTGTTCTCAACCATCAGAGTCCGACTAATGTTGAGCTCATCAAGTTGATCGCCGTTGAGTTTGGCCACAGCGTATGGTGGCAGCTGCGAAACCATCAGCGTGAGCTGCGACTTCAGCATTTGGTAGACATCAATCTCATCGGACGACGGTGTCGACGGGCTTCCTGCCAGGGATGCTAGTGATGAATTTTGTATCACCGGTGTACGCGGATTAGTGGCCAGTGATGAGTTGCGTATCCTTTGGTGGGAAGCTAACGTCTCGAGGAGCTCGGATATCTCATGGAGCACTTCTTCGGTGTCCTTGTCCAGTACCGTATTCGCTTCTGTATCCGCGAAGAGTCCATCTTCTACAGGCTCGAATGTGTCCACAGCTTTCTTGAATGCTTCTTCTTCATTCTCGTCAATGTCATCAATCGCCGTTCCAGGTGATTCGCTCAGGCCCAATAACTCGGGGTCAATGGGGAACACCTCATTAAAGCGCTTTTCGCCCACCTTTTGCCACCAGACCATATTTTTAGTTTCTTCTGGAACGACAGCCGTGGTATCGTCACGGCTTGGTGCAAAGCTAGAGTATGCGCTGCGGAAGAGTGCATCTTCTTTTGCCTGCTTCACGGCCACGAGAGTTGACTCGGATGGTGGCTGTTGGGCTTCACCCATGCTCAGTGCTCTTTGCCTACTCTTTTTCTTCTCGTTGGGAGACGTGGGGTCCTTTGGCATATCGGCCCCGCCATATCCTAGCCAATTGCTGGTGGCAAGGTTTTGGGTAGCATATGAGTGCGAACCCTTACGACTGGGTTTGGGCACTTCGGGTGGTGCGAAAGTGACCACGTTGCCCTTGGTGGTCAAAGGCTTTGCAAGCTTAGGTGGGCTGAGTTGCGGTAGATGAGCGGGTGCCTTGAACACCTTGCCGATCGTCGCATTCGCTTTCCGCTTCTCGTCAACATCATCCGGAAGGGGGAAAACTTCGGTTGTGGAGATGATATTCGGTAGAGTAGATTCACGCAGTGGTAGAGTGATCTTTACCGACAGGTCTAGTGTAGATGCTCCGTCTCGAGGCGTAACAGAACGGGGTTGCTGCAGGCTCGAGAAGAGTTGCTTTGGTCCCTGGGCGCTTCCGAAAAGTGTGAGGACAGTCCGGCTTTCCGGAGGTTCTTCCTTCACAGGTGAAGCCTTCTCATTTTGACCCTCGGTCTCATCTGCCGTGCCATCCTGAGGCTCTTTCTTAGTCTCGACATGGGCTCTTCTGAGTTCTTCCCTTGCTACCAAGCTCCTCGATAGTTTGCAGAGAGCCAACACTCCTGATTGCAACCGGGTCTCCTCAACCGTAGGAGGAGCGGTAGCCAGCTCGCCAACGCCGGCACTGGCAAGTATGTCCGCAGTTGCATCTTCAACATCCTTCGCAAACGCCTGAAGTGAAGAATACGCGCCGGCTTGCACCAGAGAGATGATGGAGGATGTGCCGCTTTGGGGCGATAACTTTGCGCGTTTTGTATCGGCCTCTCCGGACGCGGCTCGAGCAGCTGATGTCGCGAGGGGATGCGCGAGTATGGAAGGTTGCGTGTCGTAACTATGTGGAGTCAGCGAATCTGTCTTCAAGTATGCTGGTTGAACGGTTTGGGAGGAGCGATGGATCAAAACCAAAGGCCAAAGGACATGCTGTAGGATGCATTCGGCATTGCAACCCTGCTACTGTCGCGATTGCGTATGAAGCTGCATGATGTTGCGCGCGCGAAGCCGAGGCGTCCTATTTGGCGGACGCGGGCAGGCAGGCAGGGCTGTGCAGCTGTCGGATGGTTCTGTTGGAGTACCCTACCTCTTTAGAATGGACAGTATGTCCTCGAGCGCGGCCTGCAACGAAGGTGCTGCGCCGTTGGCGAGCTTTGCAGGCGCAGTAGAAGACGCGCCATTGGCGATGGCGGCGTCGGTCTCGGTACGTTTCCGTTTCGCGAGCGACGGCGACGCGGGTGCGGGCGGCAGAGACGGCGGGGTCAAGGCGCCGTTGGTAGTGGTGGACATGGTGATGGGGACGCCTGTTCGCGACGGAGCGATGCGTGGAAGCGTGCGACGCGCGAAGGAAGACCGATGTCGCGGGTGGTGAGCAGCCCGCAGGAAACCTCAGCACAGCGCGTGTGCCAGGTGAGACGAGTCCACTCAGGCTGGGGTTTTTCAGAGCCGTGGGCGCGTCGGTAGCTCGGAGCGGAAGGGCAGCGCGTGAATGGTTTATCTCGGGGTGGTTTTGCTGAGCGTCGAAGGTTGAACGGAGCCGCCAAGAAATATGCAAGGCGCCTCAATACCACGTCCTGCCAGCACTCCGGTACACGCCTGCAAGCCGTTTCCAATGCGGTCGCTCTGCAGCAACTCACCAAGTGCAATACTGCGCAGATTATGTGCTGCAATAGCAGAGGCTGAGGTGAACCAGCGCGTCTAAGTAACACTCGCGGCAGGCGCGGCCTAGAATAGGACTAGTGCATTTGGAGATGGAGCTTCGACAGCCGCAAATTCATGGTCTCGCTGCACCATTATTTCCCCCCCACAGCATTGCCCGTTGTTCTCCCCAAGGCCCCAGCTCGCCTGTCGATGAATGCCCTTGACTCTCTCCCTGGCAGCCCCAGGTAGCCATTGCCGCTTCCTCCGATGCACAACGCGCCTCCCCCATGTTTCGCAGCTAGTCAGTAAGACATCTGGTCGTTGAAGCTTCCTCTAACCCGTCTAGCAACTCTACGTCCCCAACTCCCGTGCGAGCACGCAGGCTCGTCTGCAATGCCTTGACACATTACGGCATTATCCACACGCGTCCTTTACGACTCATCAACGCCCACAGTCGGGACTGACCGGTAGCCAGTTGTATACGCCCCCTCAGGATACTGAAGGACGTTCAAGAAGCCATGCACCCGCCAATGGATCGCCTGAGTTTAATATAGGCGACTGGGCCTCCATCTTAAGTACACAAATGTCCGAGGGTTTTGCGCAAGCGGCTGAAAAGGAAGGAGAGAACGTCACTGGGGATTCGGCTGGCTCCACACATGGTCCGTCAAGGCGGACCAGAAAGCGCCAAAGGTCCAGTCAGCCAGCCATGGTTCTGGATCACATATATGATGGATCCCGAAACTTGTATTGCTCGTCCCTCGAATCGGTCGACTCCCTCAAACATGACCATTCTTATGTCAATCCGGCAATACGACAGCATGGCGGGATACTCCGTGTTGTTCATCCTCCGGAAAACATTCGAAGTCCTATGGACGGACCTGTATCGTTGTATACTATATTGGCCCGTCAACTCTCCGGCTTGACAATGCCACCTAGGACCAAAACACCTTTCACGCGTCAAGAGATCATGCTCCTACAGAGTAAAGGCTACTCTGAGGCAGATGTGCATTCTTGGTGCCAATGCCTTATTGATCCTAGCTCTGATCATGCATCTGCAGTATTCAGTCACCATCATTGCAGAACGCCTCTGTTCTTGTTATTATTGTTTCTTCGACGGAAACGCATACGGACATCCGCGTTGGGAAGGGTGATGAGACATTTGGGCGTAAGACTACGCGCAGAGCCCATAGTTTGGTCTTCACTTACCGTGCTTATAATACGATTACTACGCCACGCGCGTTTGGTCTGGCCTGAAGCAATGCCCTGGATTACCTCTTTGTTTTGCACCGAGGCCACTCGGCTTTATCGAGAGGGCAAGGAGGCCGATTCTTCTTCATCTACTTTTCAGGCAGTTCTGACTCGATTTTGTAACTCGTTGTTGGTGCTCATCTCGCTGCCGACGTCAGAGCACCCTATGATTGCTGGTTCCTACCAGGAAAAGGCACAATTTGTTGTGTTACAGTTCATGGCGAGCTGCGAACCAGCTCTCATCGTCACGAGACATGGCTTTCGAGGAGCTATCCGCACCCAGCTTACCCATCCCAAGACGACAAAAGAGAAGGAATGGGGCATGCTGAAAGGGCCATCATGGCCACCTTGGAAAGAGAATAGGAATGCCATGGATGAGGACAAGGGGTATATGTTTGGTGCCTCGAGGGCATCACGCCTGCTTCATCGACTCTTTGAAGCAGGATATGCTGGGCGTGAATGGGAAAAAATTGCCGAAGTCTACGCTGGATGGGATACAGACTTGTCTCCAACTGTGCAAACCAGAACTCACATGCCTCCCGACAACAACGCCCATGGAAGTGAGAACAAAGCGCGACTTTGGGGCGCGCGAATTCGCACGACGAGAACGAGACGGGAAGCATGGGCCTGCTTTCTGGCATACGAAGAGTCGGGCACTGGTGCCTCATCGCTAGTCTACCAGGCTATGTTCGAAAAGCTGCATTACCCAGAAATCACGGCCCAGCAGTCGGGACATGGAGATCCATCGTCGTCAGAATTTATTGCATCGAACGCGAAGAACCCTTTGCCAGGGGATATGAAAGAGGTCTTGTCAGATCCCACGTCGCCTCTGCATCTCGTTTACTTAAGTGAGCCGGTACCTTCATACATCCAGCTGTATGAAAGAATGTGGCGCAACCGATTGCGGCCAAAGAAGAGATTGCTCGCTTTCCTGCTTGAGACACTTCCCGATTTTGAGACCTGCTTACACCTGCTCGAAGCAACACAGGGCAGGTTCGGTGGAGGAGTGAGTCGGCTCCTCCATGGAATACCGTTGGATAAGCGAGACCGTGCACTTATTCCGAATTTTTTCATGACATCCTTCATCCGTTGCCTCTGTCGGTTTGGTCGATTCGGTGATTCACCTCCAGATGAGCCATTACGGATTGCGCGAGCTTATCACGAGGAACGGCTCAAGCACGATCGAACCTATCTCATTGAATATGCTTATCATCTCCTCATGACTTTGCAATTGACTTACCGCCCTCCTTGGACCGCATATATGCAGAAGTTACTGTACGGATATGGCAAGCAGAAGTCTGCGGCAAGCCAATATACTGCGATGTGCAAAATATTCGACCGAATGACACAGAAAGACGTCGGTCCGGATGACGATCAATTCAAACTATTATGCACTGTTGTACGCTACACAGCACGAACAATCTACAATGGACGCCTCCCAGCTGAGCTCGCAAATCGCATACTCCCTTCAGCTCGGTCACTTCTGCGTACCACGTTTCACAACTTGGTCGGCGCCAACGTCGATTCAAGTGTTGTGCGCCCATCGGGCTTCGAGATGGAAACACTCCCACCTCACGCACCAGGCCCAGACGTTCTTCAGGCGTATGTTCGCGCTTTGGGTTTTCTGAGAGACTACGAAGGCTTGTACTCCTTCTCTATCTGGCTCACAACATATCACAAGGAGATCATGGTTCGAGCAAATGCTCAGCATGGAGGGCCACAGCTTTTGTACAACACCCTAGTGGCATTACGAGCTGCGCTGGAGGGCGAACTTGATAGTAGCCAAATTCATGATGGTGCGCCAGAGGAGATCGCGGAGCTGGTCAAGGCGCAAGTCAACGGCGTCAAGGAGTGGAAATGGCCATCTGAGAAACACGTGAAGTCATATGTAGTGGGACGACTGACTGAAGAGGACCGGAAATCCGTTCTGTCATGAGGTGTAGTGTGTACTTGTACGATATGCAGGACGGATCTGATACCCAGTGAAGATTTCAATGTACACAGAGGCGCAGGTGGTATACATATTGGCACAGTAACGTTCCGTCGGGCTGGTACGGAAATTGAAGACCATGTGCGTCAGTTGAGTACTTAACAACTGAGCTTAGGATAACTTAGACAATTACGACTGTTTCCAACGTCAACCTGACATTGTATCGCCGCTGTTCACACTCACGCCAGAACCAGTCCACCCACAGTTCTAGGCACTCACCACGCGTGTGCAGCGTCTGCCCCTCTTGGCCGTACCAGCCGCCCCAGAGCCACTCCACGGAGCATCCCTCCACCACTGCCGATAGATATAATCTAATCTGCACCTGCACCATCATCTGCTCCTTTGGGTCGCCCAGCTCCGCTAGCGGTACCGAGGCTACGCGCGCGTTCGCAACAAGGCGCCTATGTTCCGCGACCCCGCTCTCTCCCAACGACTCGAGGGGCAGCTCAGGGTTGCGAGCACGCAATCTGACCCAGAGATCGCAACAGGATGGCCGACATGTGGGTTTGGATGCGAGTGCGATGGCGCAAGAATTTACGCAATTGTGCATGTATATAAAGGAATTTCAGCACTCTTTTCTAATCTCCAAATTTGAAGTGCTCAAAGATATCCGCTTCCATAAATCGATTGCTGCCTTGAAGATACACGCGTTTGGTCAAGGGCCCTTTCATAGAAACGAATCCATCGAGCAGCATGGCTCCGGCTCTAACCGCACATACGCCCACGGCTCCTCACGAACTCGGCGCGAAGAAGGCGTTTCTCAACCACGAGGCGCCTAGGCACATCTATCCCGATGGTATCAAGACTTCGGGCCAGCACCCGCCGCTGTATAACCAATTGCACCCGTACGAGGACTTCCCCACCGAGATCGCCGGCCCCACGGTGTGGAACGTCGAGGAGTACAAAGGTACATACTGCACCCTCCACTCTCGTGTCTGACCCAAGGCCACTTCACTGACATAGAACATCCAGGCCACCCCGAGCAATGGACACATGTCTTCTCCGACGCCGAGATCAAGGAGATCTCCGACACGGCAGACGCCTTCATCGCGAGCGGCACGCCGCTGACGGGCATCTCCCAGGAGACGTTCCGGCTCAACAACTTTGCGCAGTTCCTCAGCGTCCTACGGAAGGAACTGATTGACGGGAAGGGCTTCATCCTATTCAAGGGCCTGCCCGTGCAGCAATGGGGCAACCACAAGAGCGCCGTGGCCTACATGGTACGTACACCACATTCCGTTCCTGCCACACAACTCCTTTTATGTATACTAACGGGAGATGTATCACAGGGCCTGGGAACCCACCTCGGCTACTTTGTCTCGCAAAACGCCCACGGCCATGTCCTGGGCCACGTGAAAGATCTCGGCGAAGACAGCAGCGCCATCGACCGCGTGCGCATTTACCGCACCAACGCGCGGCAGTTCTTCCACGCCGACGACGCCGATCTCGTCGGCCTGCTGTGCATTGCGAAGGCGTTGGAGGGCGGCGAGTCGGACCTTGTGTCGTCGCACGCCGTGTGGAATGCGCTGCAGAAGGAAAATCCCGACGTTGCAAGGACGCTGACAGAGCCGATTTGGTACTTTGATAGGAAGGGCGAGAAGAGCGTGGGTGAGGAGGACTGGATCAGGACGAGTGTGTTCTACCTCGAGAAGGGGGCGAATCCGCGGGTGTACTCGAAGTATGTCATCCCTCGCATCCCCAGCAACAGCAGGAAAGGATGAACGGCTAATGCACGCACAGATGGGACCCGTACTACATCCGCTCCCTAACCCGCTTCTCTGACAAGGGGCTCATCCCACCACTCTCCGATGCCCAGCAGCGCGCCACCACCGTTCTCGAAGAGACGTGCCAGCGCCTCGCGCTGCACATGATCCTGGAGGTTGGTGATATCCAGTTCCTGTCCAATAACCACATCCTACATGCGCGCACGGCGTACAAGGATTTTGCGCCGCCGGCGCCACGACGCCACTTGATGAGACTGTGGTTGAGTACGCCTGAGGAAGAGGGCGGATGGAAACTGCCGTTCCACGACAGCAAGGAGAAGAAGAGGGGCGGGATTCAGGTTAACGATAACCCGCCTGTTGCGCCACTGGATGCGGAGTAGGCGCTTGATCGTATTGTAGCATGTGTAGTGAACGTCTGTTGTGGGAGAGCGATGTAGAGGTGTTTCATACAGTACTGTAGCATTAGTGACCAAGTCTTAGACGGGAATGAACAAGGAAGTCAAAGCCAGAGTTTCTGCTCGATTTCCCATGCACCAAGAGAATACGCGATACACGTGGTAAGCGAATCCGAGTGCAGGTCATCGTAAAACAGAGAGGGAACGCGATGCGGAGTTGGGAAGGAGTAATGGTATCAATTCGTCGTTGGTGCTTCATCTGGCCTCAACTATCCACAAGCTCCAGTGAGCCAAAAATGGTGACTGCTTCCTAGCTTCGCACGCCGGTATCAGCCCGACGCGGCCCTGGCCGATATCAATCTCTCGTGTACGCAGTATTTGGAGTCCCGTACCCTGTGCTTTTTGTTGCCCAAATGTAGGGCCTCTCTTCCGCTTGATCCCTGCCTTCCTGCCGCAACGCAAATTGATGATCAAGACACGTTCAGATCCTGCCGCTTCCTCACATTCCTCGTCCGCGTCCCCTGCCGCGGCCGCCTCCACGTCCACCGCGACCCCTAGGGCCGCCTCGTCCACCGCCGCCGCCACCGCGACCACCTCGGTCCGTCTCCTTCCTCGCCTTGTTCTTGGGCTTTGGCGCATCGTCAATGAGGAGTGTGTCGAGGGGAAGAGAATCGGGCAGGATGATGTAGCGGACGGTTGAGCCTCGGACGGTCATAGTGTCCAGGGTAACGGTGTCGCGGCCACGGGGAGTGTATTTTACTGTCCGTAGGGCAACATTCATGAGCGGAGAGACGGAGGCGATGGTTCCATTGACAATTGTGCCTACGTTCTGTCAGTACTGATTTTCCTATTTGTGAAAGCACACGTGCTGCTTTTGATGCTAGCAATCGCGCAAAGCTGAATAGAGCGCATAGCTGAATAGAGCGCATCGTAACAACAGCGCAGCGGCGCTTCAGGTAGGGGGAGAGATTCGACTGACCATTCTTGAGCTCGACCGTGACCGTCTCGTTCTGGCACTTCATGAGAAACCTGCGTGGATGGTCAGTCGCATCTTCTTCAACACTTGGGCGCGTGCACACACCTGACGAGCTTCATGATGGCGGCGTGTGTCCTGAACTAGCTTTATTAGGTCGTAGATTCCGCGGTTGAGGACGTAAAGACCGTGCGACAGGCGTGCGATGTGCTGTTGAGTGCGAAGCGGTGGGGAAGCTCAGTTACCACGAGAATTAGGCAAGCTCGCGCTAATGATCCGAGCTTTTGTCACGTGCGAACGCCTTCACCTGGCAACTGCCTATCTCCGCAACGCTATTTCCGCAAGCAGGAGGAAAGCTATTAAACCGTACTATGATATTTTGAGTTCTATCACAAAGGTTGTCCGTAAAAAGACACGACGGGAATGCAATTGTAATGTAGCTCACTTCTAAGCCGATGATGGAACACGGGCCTTAAAATTCATGGCTTCGGTGTCCAGCTTAGAGCTGAATGTCCGTCCCGTGTGAAAATACAACATCCAGTACCAATTACTGCCGCACTTTCCAATTTCCATTGGCCGCAAGTGTCGAGTGTCCAGCTGTCGCTGCGCAAACAGACAAGTCCTGCGTTTCGATCGTGTTTCGTTCGTATGGCAGTCGTCGACATTGACTTAAGAAGTCGCGCCTGGCGATCTCTCATCCTTGTCATCGATAGGGACTTGTCCCTCTGCAGCGAATAATTGTTGCGCGAGCGGCGTCAGCCCAAATTTCAGTTGTCCGCAGGACATCGCGTTGCGGCAGTTCGCTATTTGCGTCGGACGTGGGAGCGCCTATCGGTACGTGGCTCAAGCACACTCCTTGCCGTCTGCACCACTCAAAGTATCGCGTGAACTGCTACCGGTCCCATGCTCTGCTGTGTACTTTTTGTGGCCACTCTGATCGGTCATGTGCCGCAAGGATCGTAAAAATCATTCACGGCTTGTGCGAGGGCGCACACAGAAGCCGTGAGGTTCAATGCAAGTTCAGGCCTGCTCTTTCCATATCCTCACGATCTGCAATTTCTCCCACCCGGCCTGTTTCCCACTCGAGCCCACAGTCTCAGTAAACCAGCCGGGCCCCCACTGCCGAATGCGTTGCTTGACTGCCTCTGGCCTGTTCTGCGCGCATAAAAGCACATATGCGACTCCTCTGCCTCTACTCAGAATCTCTGGGATCTGATCCAGCATCCGATTGGTCACCACCATGCCGTCTTCTCCTCCAGCGTAGGATAGCTCCAATAAGTATGAGTCCTGTTCGAAGGTTGTCTTTTTCTGGCCGTCAGGTAGAATGTTGTATTTCTCGTGTCGTGCGAAATCCGGAAGGTCAGCAGGCACGTATGGCGGATTGAAAATGAAGACATCAACGGAACGCGGTCGCAAGCACGAAGCCAGGTCACCATTGACCACATCTAGCGATACTGTCTTTCCGTGACCATATTCTGTGATTGCAGTCCGAATTGTTTGCGCAGCAGCCTGACAGGCAAAGCTGTTAATGTCAGTTCCGATGGTTAGTATGTCTTCACGACCGAATATGCGCTCTGCATTAGCAGCTGTGAAGGCCAGTACTACTCCAGAGCCGACGCCGACTTCGAGGACCAGCGGTGGGGTGGTTTGCGCATTACTGAAGCGGTTTTGCAGGAACGCTGCTTCTGAGTTCGACGAGAGAGTATCGAGAAGTAAAAAAGAGTCCTCTGCTGGCTCGTATACGCGATCAAAGCAGACGTGGGAGGTCGAAGGCGTCGGTAGCATCATTGAAGAGCAGTTGAGGTTGCGGTAGGGATTTTGTGTCGAGCAATCGCAAAAGTCTGTCCAATGGGAGCAAGCGTGCTTAGTCACCGGACCGAGGTCATCATTGACTTTAGTTCGCCATCACAAACTATCGTTTGTTCCGCACGTTGCTTGTTCATCAGTTATCTGCTGTTAACGATCAAGATGAGAGTCTATAGTCGGCTGTTGGCTACTGCCAGCAATGCTGGTGCATCGAATTCCTTCCGCCCAACCCCAATGGCACTTCTACCACCAATTCCGCTTTACCGGCGACTACTACGAGCTCATCGGAAGCTCCCGAAAGAAGAGCGCACGTTGGGAGACCTATATGTCAAGAAGGAGTTCCGTGCTCATAAGGATATTGATAATCCAGTGCACATAGTAAGAATCAACACTCATCCGTAATATGCCATATCAGTTGACTGAAGAAACAAGGTTGGATTTCTTTCTGAGTGGCAGATGTATGCCCAGCAATTATCGGGTGATGCCTGGAAAGATGCGAAAATGGACAGCGCCAAAGTTGATAAGATGAGCGGTAAGTTACGTTTGCGAGCATTCACGGTTGCGACAATTGAAGCATATCAGTACTGACATTCAAGCAGACCAACAAATTGGCCAGTTGTATGAGCTAATGACTGCTATTCGCAAACAAGAGCTTGATGACAATGAGGCGGAGAAAGAATCTGGCAACGAAAAATGAAATGTTTAGGCCTCTGTCTTCACAGCCTGGATGGGAACACGCTTCCACGGCTACGCTCCAAGAAAACCTTCAATGCTGGGTGTGACATGAACAGCATTCCGCCAGCTCCATACGTGAAGCACCGCTGAAGCTCAACATGGGGAACTACCAGCAATCGTATATAACATTCAAAATCCGCATCTTCAAGCCAACACCTGCAACTCCATTCTCTTCGATCCAGCCTCCGTCACTCTCTTCCACCAGGACGTACAAGCCGTGTCCAGTAAGATTGTCTCCTTGCTCGATTTCAACACTCGTACCTACCGATTCGCACTTCATAACACCCAACGTCGATCTACCAGATGTGTCTTTGCACGCAGTACGATTCGTCGACCTGCGGGCACTCATGGACTTCGATGACTGAGTCGTGCGGGTACAGCCAGGACCTCCTCAGCTGCCCCTATCGACAGACTGTCAACTATATTGTTGCGCCACCGTACACTTGCCCTACCTGTAATGGTGGTTTTGCCGATGGAGAGACGCTTCAGATGATTCAGGGACCCTGGGGTTGCAACCAACTTGTTCGCAATCACTACGGCGGAGACTTCGCAGTCGGCAATGCCTGGGCAGGTTCACTCCAAGTTCCGCAGCTCTGTTCCAGCTCAATGCGCGGTGGGGGCTTTTATGGAGGCGACACCAGGTTCGCAGGTCCATACAGTTGCGGTGCGCTCACATATAGACCAGCAATCACCTCCTGCACATCTTCGGAAATCATGAAGAATCAGCGGATGATACGTAACGAACCCTACGTCGGTGCTTGCTGTGATGATCGTTGCTACGACAGTCATGACGGTCGGCGGAGTCGGTACTACGATGGCTATGGATACGGAGACAGGGAGCGCCAGCGAAGGTACGACTACCAGTACAAATACCGCAGGTCGTCTCGTGATGGGCAGGGGTGCTTTGTCATGTGAGGATGGCTTCGGGCAACGCGGCAACTGCGGGTGTTATGGTGTTATCAGGACAGTTGATGTAACTTGGGATACTGGACATATCGACTGCGGGCTGAAGGTCCAGAGGGTTACTGTTTGGGGGTCCTTTTCGGAAGTGGTCTTCGTCTGGGACATCGAGTCAGCTTATGGCTTTCCTGTGTCGCTCTGAGGCGTTCGATTTGGCGATGCATTCGGTATAATGCATACACATGACTGACCATATAGAGGCGTGCACTAATATATGAATCATCTGCGTGACTCTGGCTGTAATAGTACTAATTCCGCGTTCGGGATTTGGCAGCAAGTCCTGGCGGCGCCAGCCATACCAGCCCCGCGAACATCAGACACGTCAGGAACCCGAGCTACTTTCCAGTCCCCACCCTCGCGCGGGTCCTCACCGAAGTGCTCCTTGCACTGTCAAGTTGCGCCTACACTGCACATCATTCACAGGCAGCAATCGCGAACTCGCAACGTAGCATCTTCACACATTCCACCTGTCTTGTTTGCTAGGCACCCAGCGGGGCAGACGTCACTCGCGTTCAAGCTCCTACGTCTACTAGCTTTCCAGGGCCTGAGCCCCAAACGGTCTGTACGATCTGTTCTACATACGACTAGACCTGCCACTACCCGCGCACACGAACAAACACCATGGCGTCCGCCGCGACCTTCTTTGAGAATCTGTGGCTGTCCATCTTCGAGCCCGGCCCGACACCCACCCTCCTCATCGCAACCAATGCCTCCTTCGCCGCGCTCCAGCTACTGTTTTTCGCGCTCCTGATTGCGACTAACAGCATACACTTCTACATTCTCTCTGCGCTCTGCGGAGGGCTTTGGTACGCGATCAACTGGTTCGCGGCCGAGATACGCGCGGCGCAGGCGAAAGAGGAGGAGGCGAAGCGCATCAGGGAAGCCAAGCGTGATAAAGGGAAGGGCAAGGCAGACACGCAGGATGGGGACGCTATGGACTCTGGCGACGACACCGAGGTCGAGACCGAAGTAGCGGAGAAGCAGAAGCCCAAAATCCGAACGAATCCGCCACGCGCGCCGCGTCCCGAGTCAGAAAGCACCGTGTTCGTCGAGAGGCCTGTCGAGAGCGTGGCGACGCTGAGAGGCAGCACGCCGGTCGCGAGCTCAGGCGCAAGCTCCGGACTGAAGCCTGTGGCGGACGACACGGTGAAACAGAGGAGGAGCTTGGGCGAGTCGACAGGCGATTTGAGCACGGATAGCGAGTGGGAGAAGCTATCGCAAGACTCTGGCGATAGATGAGGACTGGATACCCCCGGAGTTTGGCTAGACGATCATCTATACAGTGACACTTCGCTATGTTAGACGCGCAATTCAATCCTGATCAGCAGCTTGTCTTGCCCTGTATGCCACACGTGACAGCGCGATTGTCCAGATCAAGCTGGCCCTACACCCTGAAACAGCGTAACACACCAGCACGCCTTTATGTGCACCCACGAGATAGCAAAGACACGTGAAGCGCTTCACGAATATGGAGGAGCCCAAGGCGCGGAGGCAGAAGCACAAGTGCATGCAAGCACAGCCGCCCAATGTGGCCCGCCGCGTGTCTGCTCGCCTAAGTCAGCCATTGCTGGCTGCCCCGCGATGATGCACCTGCCGCCGCCAGTCCATCATAGTACGCGGCTCCTCGAAACAAACAGCCTGCCATGCGACCGTGAATTGCGCACGCCACCCAAATGAAACACCGCCACCTAATTTGCTGTCTCGCCAGTGCTTCTCTTCCCACGTCGCTCGTCCTCCCTTGATTTCCATCGCCTCTAGCTACGATACCCCTCCGCCGGCCGCCATGGCATCCCTCGGCGCGCCTCTGAGCGTGCAGGACCTCACGGATCAGGCATCCAAGTACGAATACAATGCATACATCCCGCTGCGGAACTGGCTGCGGACAGCGAGCATGATGCACAAGCAGGTGTGTGCTTCTGGTCTTGAGTGCTGTTGCGCAAGCTAACAGCTCCAGGCGCAAGTGTATGCAGCAGAAGGGAACGACCCGCAAACATACCTGCTGCTGTACAGGCATGCAAACCTTGTCCTCGAACACCTCACAAACCACCCCGAGAGGAACCTTCCCGAAAACCGCAAAGCGCTGAGTGCTGCGACGGCGGCTGTAGGCTCCGACATTCAGACGCTGGAGGACATACGGCCGCGTATAAAGAAGAGGCATGAGGAGTTCCAGGCGAGGCGAAAAGCGCAGCAGAAGTCTCTGCAATCTTTAGAAGACAAGAGCGAGCGACTTGTGCCCCAGGAATTGGATGGTACGTCGCGGGTAGCTCACAGGAGAAGCTATGAGAAGCAGACGTTAGATGCTATCGGCAATCAGACTCTAGCAGCGAAGCTGGCACAAAGAGAGGTCAGGAGAAGAGATGCCGCGAGGAGGAGCGTCCGGCAAGCTGGTGTGTCGGAAGAGGAAGAAAGCGAGCGGAGGACGGGCGGTGTCTGGGGAGACTGGGAGAAAGAGCTTAAGCGTCAGAGCACCGAGGCAGATGGTGATCTTTCGGCTCAGCTCCAAGAGGTAGCACGTATGCAGCGGAACGGGCACCAAACATCCAACTACTCAGTAAGTGAATGCCTGCGCTTCAAGTCACGAAACTAACGTCTACAGCGCCCCTACTCCCAGACATCTTCCTCATACCATTATCCATCAGTGCCACACCATGGACAGCAAGAACGACGGACGGACGTGCATTCACAACCCCCCGTACCTGCCCGACCACCAAAAGAACATCTCCCTCCGCCATACGACCCATTCGCCATCCCGCCTGCACTACCGCCGAAACCTCCAGGGCAGCTTACCTCTAGACTACTCTCCGAACAACAACCACAACCGCCCCCCGTCCCAGGCAAATACACTGACAGCGCCCCGTCCGCGCCTCCTTTACCTGGAAAGATACCTCCCACCGCGCGAGCCGACACACCAACCACCGACCTGGACGAGTTCACCTTCAAGCCCGCCGCATACCTCGAAAACGGCGCTCCCCTCCGCACTATTTTCCTCCCCACTCCTCTCCGCCACCACTTCCTTAACGCCGCATCCACAAACACACGCCTCAATCTCGAGACCTGCGGCATGCTGTGCGGTATACTGAAGAATAACGCGCTCTTCATCACGCGGCTCGTTATCCCCGCGCAGACGAGCACCAGCGATACATGCGAGATGACCAACGAAAGCGATCTGTTTGACTACTGTGACAAAGAGGAATTGATGGTGCTGGGCTGGATACACACGCATCCCAGTCAGACGTGCTTCATGAGCTCGAGGGATCTGCACACCCATGTGGGGTATCAGGTCATGATGCCCGAGTCTATCGCTATCGTGTGTGCGCCGTCCAAGTCGCCGAGGTATGTTCTGACACTCCGATCTTATCTAGGCAGATAGGTGTGGAACGTGACTGACAAAGGTATAGCTGGGGCTGCTTCCGCCTGACAGATCCGCCGGGCAAGCATGCGATTCTGAGCTGCAGTAAGCCCGGTATTTTCCATCCGCACGACGTGGATAATATTTATACCGAGGCGTTGAAGCCGGGACATGTGGTTGAGCTGGATAATGGGCCTTTGGAGGTGGTGGATATGCGGCCGAAGCGGTAGGGGTCGGTCGGTTTTACGGCGAAGAGTGCGAGTGTGCAGAGCGTGGTGCTGGGGTGTGATTATTGGCTGGGACTGTATGACTTGATGATTGACTTGAGCGGTGCTTGCCGTTGGTACGACGTATGGTAGAGTGAGGTACTGTGTTGGCTTGAGGCGGATCAGGATACAGTGTGCTGTGCCAGATCTGTGAGGGGATCATGCATCAAGTGTGCTTGGACGCCACTTATTGCACGAGAATCAACGATAGACCACGCAATGCAACAAACCAAAGTCAGAGTTGTAGTTGTATGTGATTACCGTAATGCGGAAACTGGTATGGTGTCCCAACCCAGGACGTCTATATCCCAGTCCCAATCCGTGCCCGTGTGTTAATTCCCTCGACGCCGTACCAGCTCGTGTGCAACATCGCATCATTTCATAAATCGTAAATCCTCCTTCCTCTACGAGGTAGAATAGATCAGGTATCTCGCACCCGTCTCCTACTCGTCCATCTCCCCTTCGACCCACCGCCTCCACTCCTCCCACTCCTTCTGCCCCAACCTCACCTGCCTCCCCTGATACCGCACGATACCCAGCTCCACCTTCTTCCACTCATCCCTCCGCCCACTCCACCCCGCCTTGCGCATCAAGCTAATGAGCGTCTCCTCCTTGGTCCAGCCCTGCTCTTTCGCTACGTCGGGCAGATACGTCGACCCGTAGCGGCGGCCGTGGTGCGTGAAGGAGATGCGGAGCCCGTGCGTGCCGATGGCCCAGTCGAGTGGGTCGGAGATGGGCTCGAAGTTGGTGAGGAGCGTGACGCCGCATTCAAGGGTGGGGAGTTCGGCGGCGGTAATGGGGCTGAAGCGTGTGTCCTCTAGGGCGCTGCAAGGGGAATGTATCAGCGGTGTTGCGCCCATGCCTGCTTGTCTGCGGATTCCTGTCTTGACTTACGAGATGAGCGCGTACTGCCGCAGTCCGCGGTCGAGCTTCTGCGCCTCGAAGGTGCCGATGCAGCCGCGGAGGCGCTTCTCAGACAGCTGCGTCCCGTTAGACTTTGCGACCGTGTTCCACGTCACGAATAGCGGCGTCGCGGTGGGGCTTTCCTCTTTGCGTTGCAGGCGGGAGAAAAGGCTGCTGCGGCTGCTGCTCTTGCTTGTTGCTGAGGAGGCTTCGCTGGCGCCGCTGGGCGTGGAGCTCGTGCTTTGGACGCTCGACGAGCTGGTGGTGGCGGGTGAGGGTGCGAGGAGCCGCGAGATGGCTGCTGGGCGGCAGTGTGAGCCGTCTGGAGCTGTAGGTGCATCTTCGTCGTCAGCCGTCTCGTCGTCTAGCGCGTTCGGATCGGGCGCTGAAGGGTCGGCGTTGTATTTCTTCCATAGCTCTTCGACTTGTTGCAGGGTCAGGGCCTCACGGTTCTCCAGGTTCGCAGATAGTGTCTCGAAGCAGTAGGCGCAGTGGGCTTGGGTGGCCATGATGCGTACGAGGAGCTGAGGAGCTCTTGTGCGGGCGAGGTCAGTATGGTTCTAGGAGGAAATGGAGGCCAGGCTTCGAGACCTGCACAGAGACACGCAGGTAAGATGACGACAAGAAGCCAGGCACCGGAGGCTAGTGCGTGCTTCAGGGCTTGGGCTGAGCAATGCAGGTTGTCTCGCCAGGAACGGTCCGGCGCGGGGTCGGCGCTCAGCGTTCAGTCTATCCGGAGTGTAGACGGCAAGAGCATAGAGCTTGTCTGCCGTTTTGCTGTTGTCGGATGCTCTTGCGTCACGCCGGGGAAGACGAACGAGTGTGAGAGAGGGGTGGCGGGGTCAATGTCGCTGAGGTCGATAGTATTTGTAGCCCCGCCCGAGCCCGGCGATAACACTGACGTGCCGCTCCCAGGAAGAGGCCAGCCAATTCACGTGTAACCTGAACATCCATAATAGGAAACACTTGAGTATACCATGGAACATGCTGGCTCAGAGGCTTACATTAATATATGATACCACGTCCAATGCCCAGCTCGAATTTCGTTGAGCTAAAGAGGCGGTGGACAGTCTCGGTTTCCCGACTGTGCCCTGCGCGGCTCTACCTCGCAAAGGTTGTCAAAGAACCCTCAGTCTAGAATCACTAGAACAATATGTAACGCCATCTCCATGCACTCCGCTCCTTACGGGACAAAGGGCAAGTGTTTGGTAATGATGGCGTATTCAATCTTGGCACGATAGATATTCCTTCAGCAAGTCGACCATGGGAAAGGTCTGGTGCTGTACACACTAATGCCGTTTGGGAGTGACCCCATCTTTTCAAAAGACCGCCGCAATGAACAACGAAGAGGATTTTCGGAGAAGGGGGGCTATGGGTTAGTATAGATGCATCACAGATACGTGCCTGCGGGCTGACTTTTGGACTTGTTCATTGCCGCATCATTCCTATGCTGAACCCACTTCCCGATGTCAGCTCGAAGCCGTCATTGTAGACCGATATGCCATTGACGCCAGCCAAATGTTCATTGTGAATGGAAAGCCGTCCTCATCGTCCGTCGTCGATCGTTCCTTATGCCGCGTCGCGCTTGCCCTCCTTCACCTCCTTCTGTGTCGGGCGTCAGTATAATATGCCATGTGCAAAATAGGTAGATGAGCGCACCAGAGCGCGCATGGTGCCGTGCAGAGCATGCCTGTGGTTGCGGCGGAACTTGGGGTCGGTGCCCTTGAGCGAAGGATAACGGTGAGTCTTAGGCTTCTTGATACTGCAGGCGCCAACAAGTCAGCGATCTTCGTCCGAACAGTAAATCGTTTCGCGTGCGCATATTGCAGAGGCTCGACAGTGCGCGGGTATTTCGCGAGGGATAGAGACGGAAGGAGCGTACCCGTTCCTGTGGTTCTTCTTCGACTGGTTGTGCTGGGACGAGTTCTTAGACTCTGCATTTTGTTAGCCTGCCCATCCTACAATACTCTACGTAGACGCAACGTACTGGCCATGGCGACGGTGTTGGTGGTCGAATTGGCAGAATGAGTTCGTGAGGGATGTGGAATTGGCTGGATGAGCTCGTAGTTCGTGTGCGGCCCTAAGCGAGTTTGACGCTAACTCCAGAAGCGGCCTAGCGTATCAACCACGCGGTGCAATCCATGTCTACTCTCATCGACAGGTCGTTCGACGCACCTGTTCAAACGCCTGGGCAATGAGGCGTGGCAGAGAGATGATTGCTGCTGTCTGCTTCATAAACCACTGAGTTAGCCCCAGCCCTTCTCGTGGCCTCACTTACCGAATTGCACCTCCTCATGTTGGATATGAACAATGATCATCTCAGTAGGATTATTCCACCACAGGAATGGTACTTTGGGGCGGATTCCTCGTGCAGAAGCCTAATTGCATCACGCAGGGCAGCTAGCAATCATCACCTCGTGCACGCTTCGACATCACACACGGGGGCATGATAATGTGAGCACGGAGGGGAGTCTGCTGGTTGTCATTCAAAAGTCCTGCATTCATGATATCATAGTAAGAACCGCATGCTGCCTGCTTAGCGACCCAGCGCCATTTTCCGTACAAAGCAAAGCTCTCCCATAGCTCGTGCCAACCTTGCACCTGTTCGAAATCGCAAATAATTCGTCAAACGCAGCGCAAGAGACACTCTTCCCAACGCTCCCACTGTCCACTTCTGCATCTAGTATTCCCTCTGTGGCTCCACCTCCATGGCCTCCCCGCCTTGAGCGGCCTGACGCTGGCGCATCCGCTCACGAATGACTTGCTCCGCAGTGGTTGCACCTCCTGCACCAGGACCGATCATGGGCGGAGTGCGGTTCGTGGTGTCGGTCACAGACTCGTCATATGTCATACCATCGAGCTGTTTCGCGTCGTACTTCTGCTGTTCCACGCTAGACGAAGTCTGCGCTGTTCCCGAGCTACTTGGGGCACTGCCTGGCGTCTGTTCGCGAAGATATGAAGGAACAGCAGTAGCTTTCCCAATCGCTGGGCTTCCGAGCTGGCTGTGCTGTCTGGCAGGTGTCCTTGCACCCTCCCCGAAGCCGACCAATGAAGCAGCCTCGTCGCTGAAACCCCCGATGCTGGAAGTCTCTACGTCTTGATCCTCACTCATGCGATCGTGGTCAAAGTTATCGCTGCCGCTTGCCCAAGTTGTTGTTCGACCACCGACACTGCCAGTTGCACTTGCACTACCGACAGTGCTGCGCTCGCGGAACATCTGAGGCTGGTTATTGGAGTCGAAATAGCCTGGCGGGGGATTGTTCGCGGCGCCAGGAGCGAGGCCTTGTGGCGTACGACCGGATACTGCTACGCGCTCCAACCCCGCCAAGCGGGAGATGCGATCCGCGCGCTCGGCGTCGCCAGGCTGGTGGTGATGCGGAAAGTGACCCCGGTGGCCGTCCTTGATAGCCACAGTAGAAAGCTCGGACATGGACGTGGTGGTCGAGTTCGGTGTGCCCCTATAAAGTATAACGTTAGCTTGCGTTCGCTATTGAGTCGCATTGAGGAAGGACTGCCTTACGGGACATCGTTGGGTGTCGCCGGGTCCGAAGGCGGGGGTGGCAGATTGATGAGGGTAGGCGGGTTCGCAGTCATGATAAGTGAAGTTTGCTACGTGTCGAGAATGTTTGTTGCTGGGTGTGTGCTTCTTCGGAGTTATGGTGGTCGTCAGTCGCGGTTGTGGTACGGGGTGCACTATCAAGATAGGGCTACGTCACTGGTGCGCTCGCAGCACACAGGTTCGCTTGATCAAAGTAATGCAAGGGCGAGTCACGAGAGCATGCAGGCTCGACCGAACAAGACAAGAGGAGCGGCGTTTTTGTGAGCCCCTGAAATTTCAGGCAAGAAATAGCCTTGTAACCCTGATTTGATTTAGAAGTTGGGGCAAGCCTCACTGCTCCAGTTCGACGGTTGGCTTGGCATGACGCAGGGTTCGTCCTCTCAGTGCGGCGTGTGAGTGGCCGAGAGATCGCCTGAACGCCCCTCTGTGTACGTGTGCTGCGCTCGTACACTGTCGCAGTGGTGCCACGGAAGAGTGCAATAAGAGTATTTTGATCTCGTGGCTGGGGACAAAGGTGCGCCACCGGGCCAGAATGCTGTCCTCAAGAGTTGCTAGCCTAGACCCATGTGCAACCGTTGCTGACATGAATAAGTCGACTCGTTTGATGAATGCAACCATTGGCTAGAGGCCGAAAGATACGGTTCGAGTCCCTTGTTTGTCGTAATGCTTCGTCTGTCTAACAATACTACTCTACCACGTCCTGCTCCTACTGAAGTCTAACCCGCACAGCCTGTCATTACCGTTTCGTACGATCGCATCCCCGCCCAGTGCACAGCCCCTTGGCATGTTGTTTCTATAGCGTCAAGAGCATGCCGCGGAACGTGTTGCGGAATTAATTCCTCTCACCTCTCCCCAAAGTTTGCGGGGAAGCTGTCCGGGGAAGGAAGACGGCAGCCGGGGTAGGAAAGGCGTTGATGATTGGATGGATCAGAGCCCCCGTCTCTCACTTCTCGTCACAGTCATCATGATGAGGATCGTATAAAGACATTTGCCAGTGCTGTCACGTACCTTCTACCCACCCTGGAAGCCATCACGCTGGACTCACAGCAGCTTCGCACCATGGCTACCAACGAGAAGATGGTTGCTCTTGCCGATGAGAAGATTGAAGCCATCAATGATACTGCGGGAAACCACATCGATCCCGAGGCAGAAAAGAAATTACTCCGGAAGCTCGACATTCGCGTGTTGCCGCCACTCTTTGTGCTATTCCTTCTCGCTTTTCTCGACAGAACGAACATTGGGAATGCAAAGATTCAAGGCTTGACGAAGGACCTCAGCATGGTTGGGCCGGATTACAACATAGCGCTCTTCGTCTTCTTTATCCCATATATTATCTTCGAGGTCCCGAGTAACATAATTCTCAAGAAGGTTGCTCCATCGACATGGCTAAGCTCAATAATGGTGTTGTGGGGAATCTGCACACTGGGACAAGGGTTGGTGAACAACTTCAAAGGCCTGGTGGCACTCCGTGTGCTTGTTGGTCTTTTTGAAGCTGGGTTGTTTCCTGGATGTGTTTATCTGATCTCAATGTTTGTTTTCCGTCCCGAAACCCTTGTGCCTTTTGCTGATCAATCAGGTATTACAAGCGTCACGAGCTTCAATGGCGTTTCACCCTCTTCTTCTCTGCCTCCATCGTAGCTGGTGGCTTCGGTGGTGTACGTCAAAACTTCCATCTAATCTCGCTGAGCCATGCTGACCATCCCAGCTCTTTGCCTTTGCTCTCGCCAAGATGGACGGCGTCGGAGATTACGCCGGATGGCGATGGATCTTTCTCATCGAGGGCATTCTTACCGTCGTTCTGGGCGTTGTCTCAAAATTCTGGGTATGTCTTCCTTGATGTCCCCTGTAGTTCTTTTTCGTATTGGTTTTCTGATCACCCTCAAGATAACGGACTGGCCTGAGACTGCAAAGTTCCTCACCGACGACGAACGCGCACTGCTCATTGCTCGTCTATCTGCCGACACCGGCTCGGCCACGATGAATCATCTCGATAAGCGTGCGGCGCGCCGTATATTCTCCGACGTGAAAATCTATCTCGGCACGATAATGTACTTCGGCATTGTGAACACGGGTTACGCAGGCTCCTTCTTCATCCCGACTATCATCAAAGAGCTCGGTTATACTTCTTCCGCGGCGCAGGTGCGGTCTATTCCCATCTTTGTGGTTGCCACGGTCACAGCACTCAGCGCCTCGTGGCTGTCCGATCGTCTGCGCCACAGGTTCTGGTTCTGTATATTCGGCCTTGTAGTCGCGTCAGTGGGATATATCCTTCTCCTGTGTGGGTCTACATTATCCGCAGGGGTGAAATACTTCGCGTTATTCCTCATCGTCCCTGGCGGTTACATCTGTCAACCTATCGTATTGGTCTGGGTGTCGAACCTGATGTCCGGGCATTACAAACGGTCCGTCTCGTCCGCCATGCAAGTCGGACTCGGAAATATCGGCGGAATCGTTGCGTCAAATGTGTTCTTTGAAAGCGAAGCCAAAAATGCGAGGTATCCTACGGGATATGGAGTAAGTCTCGGTATGCTGTGGATCTGCGGTGCAGCAAGTGTAGCACTTTTCTTCTATGTGAAAAGGGAGAACGGAAAGAGGGAGAGAGGCGAGAGAGATCACAGGTTGGAAGAAGATGATCGCGAGAATTTGGGCGATGATCACCCGCTCTTCAAGTTTACGACCTAGAGCAGCTATGATGGATGAGAGAGACAGTAACTAGGCAAGTGCCACCTAAGTACTTTACTCGGAGGCCATCATACACTTCCCGAAAAGTCCAGGGATTGAGCCCATGAAAGCCAATATAGACCAACAAACACCGCCATGCGCTCACGCGAAGACATTTTTGCATACTACTTTTATGTTAATACTGCTGTTCGCAGTAGCAGGATGTACTGTGTGGTTAGCGTCGCGCTTGTCGCGTGTCGTGCAACATTCCGGATGCGGTGAATCCACAATCGTGAGCTTAACGTTCTTTGTGGCTCTGGCTGGTTGGATATTACAACTAGAGAGTCTCAATGGAACGCCCGTCTCATAATCAAATTACCGAACATCGTCAAAGATGCAGAAATTACGCAAAACAGCATGGCTACTTGCTTTATCACAGTATTGGGGAGCGGTGTTGGCCACTTCAATTTCATCGACGCTTGGTCCTTTCAGCCCAGCAATGCTGACCACACAACTCATCGATTACGCCCATAACGCGCCATTTGCTCCCAGCAAAGATATACCGCGAGTCCTTGGACTGTCTATCTTCTATCCCACCGCAACAAACACCACCGTAGCCACGTCTTACTGGCCGCCAGAGAATGCAGCAGAAGAGAGCGAAGGGGACATCACCGCTGGCGTCAACATCACCTACCAAGGGCTGCTCTCATTGACGGTTCCATTAGCACCGCCAAACACAAGCATTGCTGCTCCCCCAGTCAACGCCTGGTTTTCGTCGTGGCCGGTGCTCTTCTTCTCGCCCGCATTCGGAGAGACCCGTTTCCTCTATACATCTCTCCTTCGCCAAATCAGCAGCATTGGTTACGTAGTAATAACTTTCGAGACCGCGTACGATACAAGTGTCTTCGTGCTGGCGAACGGGACTGTCGTTCCGGGGAATAGCACTTTGGATAATGTCTCAGCAGAACAGGCAACGCTGTCTGCTACAGCAAGGACCGAAGACGCTTCGTTCATCCTTGATCATGCGCACGATAATATCACTTGGCTCATCCCGGGCTGCAAAGACACTTGCGTGAACACTACAAACGTCGGTATGTTTGGGCACTCTATCGGCGGCGCTGCCTCGGCGACCGCTATGTTTACCGACTCACGGATAATTGGTGGTCTAAGTAAGTATTTATATTGCATTGCGTCTAGATTCGGACCGTTCAGTTCCAATCTACCCCCATTTCTGCCAACTAAGCTAACTTCTTAGACTACGACGGCGCGCTCCTTGGCCCCGTCGTCCAGAAAGGCCTTAGCCACCGCCCCTTCCTCATCTTCGGCACCCAGAATCAAAGCAGACATAACACCGGGCCTCTCACGACGCTCACCAACTGGACCACCGTCTGGCCCCGCATCAAGGAAGCGCCCAAGTGGTGGCTCCTGCTGAATCATTCGCGCCACTACACCTTCTCAGACTTACCGTTGATCGCGCAAAAGCTGGGCGTCAAGCCGAACCAGACGAGCCTGGTGGCAGCACAGCTGACGGATGCGGATGCGGAGAGGAACGAGAAGGTGCTAGTTACTTATACAGCGGCGTTTTTCAAGTCGGTTTTCACGGGAAAGGTGGAGGAGCTGATGAAGGGAAAGAGTAACAAGTGGCCCGAGGTGATATTTGATTCGTTTTCTTTGAACGAAAAGAGTAGGAAAGGCGTCAATGAGACGGACGTGCAGCCAGTAGATAATGGTGCTCGCGAACAGAAGGCGAGAGCGAGGGGAATGGCGCTTGGAATGGGTCTCTTAGCGCTCGTTATATCCACGTATATCTGAACTGGGGATTGCAGATAGGACATGATTTTGCATTACTGACTCCTTCTTTCTGACTAAGACATTAAACGGCTTACAGGGTGGCCTACAAGATGCGTGCATGATGTCGAAGGCTTCATACCATCTCGTAAATTCATATTAAACATTACAACACGATGCAAAGTGCACCGGTAGCCAATCCAAACGTCACCAACCAAGCCCCCAACGAGCTATACAAAGTCGCGCCAACCCTTCCCTGGCCACCAGCGCCGCCAGTGAACTCGGCAATACTGCTCGAGGCCGAAGCAGACGCGGCAGAAGAGGCCGACTCCAAAGGCGCAGTGGTGGATGGCCTCCGACTGGAAGTCGAGGTCTCGTCGTCAGCGGACGATGTCTCGAGTGGTGGCAGTTCAGTCGCTGATTCAGGGGTGGGGAACGATGCCGTAGAGGTTATATCATCAATGGATGACTGAGCGTCTGCGCTGTTGGAGGCGTAGACGCTCGTGATGTATGTGGTGGTGACTTCACTCGAGGTAGATGTGCTACGGGTGAGTGCTGGGACGTAGATCCAGTAGAATTGGTAGTAGTAGCTGCATGGGAGTTAGAAGCTGATTTCGACAACATTGAGTGTGGTTTCACTTACTAGGTGATTGTGAAGGTGAAGTATGTGTAAGATGTGCGGGTTATCGTCGACGTCACATCTGGAGGCGGCGTCGTGAGCGGCACTGAGCTTGATCGTGACGGCGCGACAGCACTGGTGGGCGCGTTGCCTTCCTCAGGCGTGCATGCCAGACATGTCTCTCCAACAGGACATGACCCCCCGCCAGAACAACAGTAGTAGCCTGGGCGAGCGTAGGTGCCAGCATCGCAGCAGGTCGCATCATCTGGGGCGCTGTATAGAATTGAACAGCACTTCGCCCCTTGTGGTGCGCAGTAAGAGGTCAGGCCCACCGTTCCGCAAAGGGTTTCTCCAGAATCACCTAGGTAGAGACTGTCAGCTCTTGAATATGTTGAGTGAACGTCTGTACTAACAGGCTCCTTGTCGCTTTGCTAATGAGGCAATCCCCTCACGTTTTGCAATCGTATTGCCCTGAACAGCAGATGCGAAGATAGCAAGCGTGCAGAGAGTCTTGATGATTGTGGCAGCCATCGTGAAATTTTTTACGCAACTGACGTTCCAAGTCGAGACAGAGCTGGTAAAACGCTCTAACACGAAGGTTGTAGCCTCATATTTATCTTTTGTTTATCCCCTCTGCAGCCTGCTTCTGCTTCCGCCCAGGCACGGCACACCAATACGAGATTGCAGCTGAGAGTATCGTGGGGAAGCTCCCCGGCCCCCACCCAATCATCGCTGGAGTCGAAGACTTAGCGTTTTCCTACGTGCGCATTCTCGCATTCAGGCCCTTTACCGGTCGCGCGTCTCGTATTTGGAGTTTTGTTGTCTGTGGGGCGGAGCGATCGACCTAAGCCACATCGCGTTGAGGAGCCAATTGTCCAGCCACGATGTTGTGCAGGCTCGTATCGTAATGCGAATCTGTTCCTGTTCCTGATTAGCGAGAGAACGGCGCTCTAACATTAGAATAGTGTCTCTTTGCCAGGCTGTCCGAGTACCTGGGTACCTCCTCGGTTGGACATTTTGCCATCGTAGAGGGATTCGAGTACTGTCAAGCAATATTGCGTTGCGTGACTGGCTAGATGCTCCCAGATGACGAGAGTAGTAGAAAATGATTTTCCGGCATGTAAAACGATGGACGTGGAAGAACAAAGCGGAATGAAGACTGTAGTGTTGGGCAGGAGTGGCTGACGACCGGTGAGTGGGTGCTGGGCTGGCCTTAGCCCCGCTTGCGTCTTGCACACTCCATCGCCACATCGTCTTCATCACCCCTTTCTGATGTTGCTGGCCTTGTTTTTGTGCAAGACCGCGTATCTGCCGAGTAAGTGTTCACCGGGCCCGCATCTAGCTGAATCGCTCCTTAGTTCATGGCGCGGTCTTGACGGCGTCTCTTCCCTTTGATGCTGTAAAAAAGTCAACAGATGCCTCGATGACGAGTTTACCCTCTTGTAATCACAAGGCCATTGCGCTATACAAGCACCCGGTTTTCCACGCCATTAAAACTCGGCTAGCTCAGGTCCGTCCACTTCTTCGGAGGTGGACCGGCAGCATCTCCGTGAGGCAAGTTCGTTCGCTTCAGCATTGTGTGTGGGTGCAATGCGAGAACAGCAGATTCACAAAGCGCGCAGACGCAGGCGACACAGCGACAAGTACATATGTGGGGCTCGAGCAGAAGAGCGCGGTCAATCAACATGTCAAGGATGCAAAGTTCGCGGCGGATAGCCAGCAGACGTCACATTTGGGACATTTCCAAGATCTATCATGATCATAATGCTCCTCTCGTTCGTATCCTGATACGTTGGTGCTTTCGTGCTGACCTTTAAAGTTGCAATTTCGGTCCCATGAGCCTAGAGAGGAATAAGCGCGCGGGTACGTGTAGTCTGAAACCTCGCTCTTCAGCACCGAGTTGTTCTCGATGCTCGCCGACTTTGAACCACTTTCAGATGATCACACAGACTCGGACGACGAGAGGCCTGCGATTTGTACTGCCATCATGAAGACTACCCGGAGACGACCAAAAATCTCTGAAAATTCTTGCTTTGGGAAAGACTTCTGCACTTTTCACGATGCCGTGTACCTAGATCTTAGGATGTAACACCTACTTTCTGGCTTTGTCACGCACACAAAGCTATTAAGACGGCTAAATTCGATATCAAAGTAGACAGAAAATGGACTTATCTTCAAAAAAGATTCCACAGTAAACCAATTGGGGCATGTCGTCGGCACTGACAGCCTAGTTTCCTGATGCCAACTTCTACCGGCGGTACCTTTCTGTCATCCATCCTTGACTAACGAGTCTTGGCGATAAATTCCCGCAGATATGCGGAAATTTACAGGATCATATTGCCATCAACCGATTTCGACAGCGGTGGTGGCGTGGGTACGGTGTTTCGGCTCCTCAGGGCTGAAACTTCGATGTTTATTGCTAGCCTCGGCAGGACTCCGCACGATCGCAAAAGCACCCGCCTTATTGGCTGTACAAGGACGTCTGTTGCTCTCGCATGAGATCCATATCTGCACAAAGGCCGCTACCCCTACAAGAGCCCAGGAAAAATTATGCGCCTATACAGAGTATATCCTTCTAGGGGTGCGTAGCGTGGCAGTGTGATCGGGCCTCTCTGTGATCTTTTACATGAGAAAACCAGATGCACTACGCACCCGAGCTCTTGGGAGGTCTAGAAAGAACTGCTTCCAAGAGTTTGGGAGTAGTGGGTATCCTGTAAAGAGAATAGGGAAACAACAGTTCGTATAGGCATCTCAGACGAATCAAACTCCACCCAAACAATCTGACACGGTGGAGCACCGGTGGCACAGGCACTTTATCGACGAAAAGCTTTGTGAAGATGATGCTATATAACATGGAACACTCCCTCTAAGGCTTCTGCTTCACCACGCGCAAGCATTACATTCTTTTCAGCAGGTCTTTCCGGCTATCCATTCGCTCTTTGCTTCTTCTTTCCATTCTACATTCGCTCTTCGTTTATTCCACAAACAATCATCACTGCTCGGTCAGAATGAAGTTTTCTGCTGCTCTTGCCATTGGTGCTGCTGCCCAGGCGGTCAACGCCCACTACTTCTTCGACACCAACATCGTTGGCGGTGCTGTCCAGCCGGCTTTCAAATACGTTCGCCAGTCGACCCGTGCTACCAAGTACAACCCGATCAAGTTCTCGTCCAACCCGGCGGCTGATATCCGCGATGGATCGACCGCAGATGGCCCTGATATCGTCTGCAACCAGGGTGCCTTCTCCTCTGCCGGCAAGACTGAAGTCTTGACCGTCAACGCTGGCGACGAAGTCAAGCTCCAGTTGGCTGTTGGTGCCAAGTTCCAGCACCCCGGCCCCGGTCTTGTCTACATGTCCAAGGCTCCCACTGGAAGCGTAAAGGCATACGATGGATCTGGCGACTGGTTCAAGATCTTCGAGGAGGGCGTCTGCGACGGTGGCGACTTCACCTCCACCGCTTGGTGCGATTACAACAGGAACTACATCGCCGCAAAGATCCCTAAGGATACTCCCAACGGTGAATACCTCCTCCGCGCTGAGCACATTGGTGTTCACCGTTCCCACGTCAACCAGCCTGAGCACTACGTCTCGTGCATGCAGATCAAGGTTCAGGGCGGCGGCAACGGTACTCCTGGTCCCATGGTCAAGGTCAATTCTTCCTCAACACACCCCTGAGCTTCACTTGCTAACAGTCTGCAGTTCCCTGGAGCATACAAGGCCACCGACCCCTACGCCAACTTCAGCATCTACAACGGCCGCAAGGCTTTCCCCATGCCCGGCCCTGCTGTCTGGACTGGTGGAGCCGGCAGCGGCGCCTCTGCTCCCCAGGCTACCTCTCCTGTCGAGCAAGCCGCCTCCTCCGCACCTGCTGCTGCCAAGCCCACCACTATGTCGACCGTTCGCGTTCCTGCTGCCCAGCCTACCCAGGCCGCGCCCGCTACCGGTGGCGCTGGCTGCGCTGCTCTCTACGGACAGTGCGGTGGAAACGGCTTCACTGGAGCCAAGTGCTGCTCAGCCGGTTCCTGCAAGGTCGCCAACCCGTGGTACTCCCAGTGCCTCAACTAAGCCAGTTGAGAAATCTTGTATGGATGCTTCACAGGTTTCTAACCTATGTGGGGAATGGAAGCTGTGCTTGTAGCACAGCAGAGTGACTGATTGTATCAGAGTAAGCCCAGGGCTTTTTATCTTCTTCTTTATACCGTAGAGCTAGACCTACGTTATTCTTCCAAGAGCTAGAATCTCTTTGTATATACTTACAACGGCTTCTCAACCAGGACTTTGGCTCGCCTCTGCAGAGCTTTGTGACTCCAGCGTCAATTTGTGACCCGACACTCGTGGCATCCTTACCGAACCACATTAACCGAGACTCTTGAGTTGGCATGACGATATAATTCTTTCGTATTGGGGCCGCGCAGAACTGCATGAGTTCTTAGTGTTACTGTGACACCTATCGTACTCCGCCCCCCGTTCTGTGTGCGTGTGACCCCTGCGGGCACGCGAAAACGGTGAATTACCCCACATGTGTTCTAATATAAGCATCTTCGCCAAACACCATGTCTATGACCCTTGGTAAAATGAACCAGTTCGAGCTGCGAAAGTACCCACTTGGTCATCTAGCAGTGTTCCTATACAGACAGTGCCCATGGGAACGAGGAGTCTTAGGGCTATGGGATATGATGTTAAGCTTATTTTCATGATCGGGTGGAGTCTTCAAGGACGGGGCGTAAGTCGCATCTAAGTTTCATCTCGTTGAAGCCTGACGGTCCGACAAACCCGTCACTTATACACAATGACATCTCTTCAATCGCTTGGCTGCGGAAAGCTTTCCTGGATGAGTGGAACAGCCGCTTTTATATCATGGTCGACGAACCATGCATTTCTCTCTCGTGTATCTTCTCCCACCATGCCTATATCGCCCTTACGATTTTGCACGTTCGTAGCTACGGTAGCGTATGCGCAGCGCATTGGTACCTACGAGCCAGAGATCCACCCCAAATTCCCCATCACATCTTGTGCTCCCGGCGGCGCATCATGCACAACGCTCAACACCTCTCTCGTCATGGACGCAGAATGGCGCTGGATCCACAAGGACAACACCTATACCAACTGCTACTCGGACGGCTCCTGGAACACCACTATATGCCCTGACGGCGCGACTTGTGCCGAGAACTGCGCATTGGATGGTGCCTTGTACCAGGGTGTGTACGGTGTCACTGTCAAGAATAGAAACCTCACGCTGCAGTGGAAAACGTATTTTGGGTTTGCGCAGAACGTGGGGAGCAGGTTGTTCGTGCTGGATGAGGGGGTTGAGGACAGGTATAAGATGTGGAAGCTGTTGAACAGGGAGATTGCGTTTGACGTTGATGTTAGTGAGTTGCCGTGCGGAATGAGTGGGAATCTATATCTTGTAGGGATGGATGAGGATGGTGGGATGGAACGGTACAAGAGAAATAGGGCTGGCGCACGGTACGGTACCGGTTACTGTGATGCGAATTGTTCGCAGAATCTGAGATTTATCTCTGGAGAGGTAAGTGCTGTAATTTGTCAATTGCATGGACTTGATATTGATCGTGGGTTCCTCAGGCCAACGTAGAAGACTGGCAACCGAATCCTATCGATAACCTCTATGCAGGCAAAGGGAAGTACGGCTCGTGCTGCCCCGAGGTGGACATCTGGGAAGCGAACTCCGTGTCCAACGCACTTACTGCACACCCATGTTTTGCACCCAATCAATCACGCTGCTGGGGGCCGGCTTGCGACGCGATGTGTGATGTAGACGGTTGCGATTTCAACAGCTATCGTCTGGGAAACACATCGTTCTACGGTCCTGGGAAGATCATCGACACAACGAAGAAATTCACCGTAATCACACAATTCCTGACGCATAACGACTCCGACACTGGAGACTTGGTCGCAATTCGGAGGAAGTATATCCAGAATGGCGTCAATTTCTCTGAAACCATAGGCCAGATCCCGTCCGTTGACCCATTTTCTGGGATCACTGATTCGTTTTGCCGCCAGCAGAAGGCTGCGTTCGGCGAACAGGACACCTTTACTAAAAGGGGTGGGATTGCGGCCATTAGCACAGCGATGGAGCGCGGTATGGTGCTCGTCTTTGCTATCACAGAGGATCAAGACAGACACATGCTTTGGTTAGATTCGAATTGGCCGGTTGATGCGAAGTCAACCGCCCCTGGGGTGGCTAGAGGGTCGTGTGCGACGGATTCCGGCGACCCACAGGGGCTGCTGCACACGCAGGGTCGGGCTAGCTTCGGGAATATAGTAGTAGCAGGTATTGGGCGGGCTGAAGCGGCGTTGTAGATCGAGTCGAAATCAGCACGGTGATCCTGCTGATGTTCCAGTTGAGGTTGTGGGTTATGAAATGCCTGAATCCTCGCTGTGGTCTGAACAGAATCCTCCGCTATTACAGAACGAGATCTGGCATGAAGCAAGCGACCTAAGCTGACTTCATAGTCGGCGACTACTCGTTCACCTTCTCAGGCTGACACCCACGGACTAGCTCTTTTTATCATATCTCTTGCAAGCGAATATTACATCTGGGCATCAAACGGGGTCCACACAACCGCAAGCGTACTATAAGCGACCGGAATGATATTTGTTGTACCGCTTCTGGATGCCAGCATCCGGCTGCTGCATATCATCGAGGTCGCCTACTTCCTCGCTCTCCCCTACGCTCGCCTCTCCCTGTCCTCTCGGTTTCCTGCACGTAGTGCTAAGTCATCCGCTCTAGCACCGACAGCGCAAAGATTCCGCGCAAGGGTAGGCGAGCTGGTAAGGTCGCCTTTGGTATGATTGGTGGGCAAAACGACAGGGGTAAGCGAAGGAGCATCTAGGTTGTGGGGCTAGCCACATGGGTATAGCTTGGTGAGTTGGGAATGGGGAACAGGAAGGGTAAGCGAAGGATGAGTTCGAGAAGGGTTCGCTGTGTTTGTGCAGGGATTGGATTGATGTTGACCCGATGGATATCGGTATATGTTGTCACGTTGCAAGCGCGTGGTTCCTGGTGTCGGGGATGATTTACCGGTATGACGTGTACTTCGCCTAATGCTTTTGAGCACACGCGCAAATCTTCAAGGACGGTAGCGCGTCCTCGGGCTCCCTACGGTAGCAGCTGTCGGTAGGGGAAGGGAACTCAAGTTGCGCTTGAATGTGCATCTACTCGTCGGAAAATAAAGAATCGTTCGAAGGCAGATTGAAATCAAGTAACATGACCCAGCGCGGCGACGTTGCTAATGAAGAATGAAATGCATCCACCGTCGACAACGTTAGAACTAAAAATTGAAGTAAAGATCGATATCTCTGGAGACCCTTCCTCCATGTGTCTCACTTGATAATGTTCGAAATAGTCATCGAGGCGCGTGCTCAACATGACTGTAACCCCAGGCCTCCACAATAACGTACGAGAAGGAATGTGCTTGGATCGCTCCTGGAGCAACATACGCGAAAGAAAGAGGCAACCAGCGTTACTAAACAGGGAAAGAAATAGCGAAGTGTAAGGTCGTGAGCCCATGCACATGCTTTCACATTGCATAGCCGAAGGAGAACCCCACCACGCTCCTGGGCTGTAAGCATTGTAGCCAGGGGCTGCGCGATCGAAAAGGAAGTGGCCACGACCAAGACGTTCCGTGCAGCCCATGACATCGGCGAAGAAGCACCCTCGCTTGTTGAAACCACGAGCGGGCAAACAGCCATCCGCAAAATTCGCGGTGCTGGCGAACATCCCATCTGATGTAACGTTGTATTCTCCACATTGCAAGACGCCGTTCGTCTAAAATTGCTATTCCGGGAACGTGGGACCATGAAAATGATATCAAGACCGCAGGGTTATTTCAGTGCTGCAAGGCGGTTGACTGCGAATGTCATTGAGCGCCGCGCATCGGTGTCGTTGACGCGGGGCTGTGGACGGTGGTTCAGCGAGGCTATCTGCACTGTCGCGCGATATATCGCATAGCTAGCTGTATCAGTTCGGCTCCGTTCGCCAATCGTACGACTTACATCAACTGTCGGGCATGGAGTCCTGGTGATCGCGGAGGTCTCTCTCCGTAACCCTCGAAAAAGGCATCGCTGCCAGTTGCAATTGCTTCGTTCATGAGAGGGTCGCCCCAGATCACGTTTGAGAAACCGACCAGGCCAGTGACTTTCTTAGTTTGTTCGTCTACAAGCACGCTCTGCGGGTCGCACATGTCCATTGCTACCATGCAAGGCGTTTGGACTTCGTCGAGGGTGTGTAGGTGTTGTTCGACGTAGTATCGAATGCTGTCATACGGCAGTGTGATGAGCATGTCTTCGCAATCCCGCAGCGCCGATTCCAGAAGAGCGCGGAAGGCCTCGCGCCAAGATCCACTACCTTTGTTTGCGAACACGGTGTGTGTCATACCGAATTGCTGCGCGTTGAGCATCGTGATGATTCGCATGTAGGCACCTAAGGTTCGGTCGATCGTGGTACGTTCATGCGCGGAGAGGTACGTGAGCATTTCAGCGAGTTTCCTCCCTTGTACAAAGCTCATCAGCAGGAATGGCGATCCGAGAACTCCTCCATGCTCTTGATATTGGTACACTTCTGGCACCGGTAGTTGTCCCTGGCGGTATTCGCGGAGATAGCGAAGCGTTTTAAGTTCGGTTTCTAGACCATGTTTTTCATGTCGGAGAGCTCGACTTGACACATGAGGCGGGCACTTCAGCACAAAAATGCTACCATCGGCCAATTGTGCCCGGTAGACTTGGTGTAGACGTCCAGGAAGGCGCTCTGCTTTCCGTACAGTGATCTTGGAAGAGCGAAAGACGCTCTGAATTGCTCTTTGGATGCCCGAGAAGTCGGCAGAAGGTGCACATGTGGGAGAAGATGCCGACGATGAAGAGGAGATGCTCGACACTGCAGACCCTGCTCGAGCTGATCTGCTAATGTGTCTGCCATGGTTCATGGCGACCACAGGGTAGACGGCCACATCGAGAGGAGGCAGATGCATCTCTATTGAGATTTGAAGCGAGAGACTTGAAGGGGATAACGTCAGCAAGTGAACGAAAGAATAGGAAGTGGATGGGTAGTTACATCTGCATGGTGTGTCTGTTCTGCTCGATTTGAATGATCTGAAGGTAAAGAGGTGGAGTATTGTCGAGCGCAGCCTGGATACCATAAACAGTGCAGTCGGCGATCAGGGTAACATGCGTGGTGTCAAAGGCGTTGAGATCATGGCTTGATATGATCGTCCGAGCAAAACCGAGGATGTCGAGGTGTTCAAAGTGGACGGGCATGTGCTTGTCACCGACGCATCTAGCAGTTGACAGCTTTACGGACGCCGCCAGGCGCCTGCAGGCTTGACCAGCTTATGCTGCGCACGATTTCGTATTGCATAATGGGTAGATCCGGCTGGAGCTAGTCTGAAAGAGACGCAGCTGCGCAGGGATAAACGAGTAGGCAAATGGATCTCGAAAAAGATCGCGGGAGGCGTCCCTGGGTGCTGGGGCGGCTGCATCAATGTTCGTCTAACAGATCCTAATTGGGAACAAGTGCATCGCCTCCCGGTGTCGGTTAATGCACGTCCTCATTGGTGGAGCTGTTAGGTAAATGCTCGGGAGCAAAGCAACATCCAGAAAAACTATGCACGACGAATGATCATGGAATCGTCGGATGGAATGTCTCAAAGCACCATGCAGGAATTCGGTAGTCTGGATTGAGGCTGATATTCGTGCTAGACCTGGGGATATTGTACACCGCTACATCTCCTCCAGCTGAACCCCAATAAGCGAATTGAATCGCTTGAACGCGCGCTCACCAAGCGGTCACCAAGCGGCCACCATCGAACTTTTAACGCCACGATGACCTTGGCGGAACCCGAACTTCTGGAGACGACGTCGGTGAACATGTCAGGCCAGTCTCTTGGAATCATTTGTGCTTTTGTGGTGTCGTATCCTGTTCAGTGGGATTCCCTCGTACAATGGCCCCTGCAGCCTGCAATAACATCCACCCGGGTCTGTTCAGTTTCAGGTGTTCCAGCGCGGGATGTGCTACCGCTGAAGACGCCCGACGCCGGAGCCACGGCATCTTGTCGACTTGGTCGATCTGTGATTCGACAAAGTTAGATCTCCGTTAATTCCTTCTGATCCTGTGAGACAGCATTTTCGTGTGTTGCTCTCTCCTGATCCTTGGAGGCGTTACCGACTGCTAGTTCATCTGGGTCCTTGGAGGTGTTATCATCTTTTACCTCCTTCTGACCCTCAGGGGTAGTGTTGTCGTCTGCTACTTCCTTCTGATACCCGGAAATTGTATTGTCACGCAACTCGGCGAGATTGTATTTCTTGAGCTTATCGTAATCTGGGCCCACTACACTCATGCCTATGACACTCTGCGGGACGTTAGCACCGAGGGCGGTTAAAGAACGCCACAAACGCAAGGGAACATGCGACAGGCACGTGTAATGTTTCGTACCTGGTAAACTTCCACGAGTATCAATCGATCGTAATCCGAAAGATTGACCTTGTGGCCCTTGCCGACGAGGGCTGCAACCTGCTGTATAATCTCATCGCGGGAGATCTGTTTATTGTTTCGGATATTGACTCGAATGGCGAACTGCGCAGCTGATCAGCATGTTTCCATCCAGCTGCAGAGGAATACGCAAACCCGCACTTCATTTCTTGGTTTCAAGATCGAGATGAGACCAACTTACTTTTTTCCCGGTCTGTTCGGGCCCATGAAAGTGCGGAGCAAGGACCTCGGTAGCAACGTCCTTCAGGCCATTTCCTGCGACTTTACCAATGGCCGAAAGCGGCGTCAGCCTCTTCACGAAACGACATCGCTGAGGCTCGTTGCCATCTGCGGTATCCTGGCAGATCTTGTGGAGGAATGACACGGGCTCAACGGGTGAGCGAGTTTTAAAGAATATCACTGGTCAAATTCAGCATCTAGCACAAATGAACCATGACGTTGGTACAGCTTACAGCATTGCCCAGGCAATTTGATGTTCTTGAACAGCGGCTCCACCTTCGGTTTTCGGATTCCTTCAACTTCTTTCTTGATCTCACTTTCGATGTCGACATCGCTTGCTTCAGAATCTTCACCCTCAGCTGCCTCGGCTTCCAGGGTACTATCGTACAGCTGTGACGCATACTACGATCATTGGCATTCGCACACGAACTCGATGCAGATGCATATATAGCGCGGTGGCGTGCACTTACCTTGTCGAACAATTGTCGCAGGTCGGAAACTGTTGGTGCTTCTTTGTTCATGGCGCATGTCACCCAGATACCAGTGTCGCCAGGTTGGATCCCTCGGTTCTCGCCACCTGGAACTGTCCATTTCTGCCTGCCCTATGAACCATTTAGCATTACAAGAATGGGAATAGTGGAAATGCCAGGCGAGGGAGGCGGCTTGGTGCCAAGTTCTTTCCCGACCTGCTTCGTAAAGAAAGGGCTCACCTTGGACTTCTTCCTGTTACCTCCGTCCCGCTGATCGGGACCCGCTTTCCGCTTCCTCGGGTCGGTAGCCATGTTGGGCGAGAGGGTGTGAGAATGGGTGGAGGGTCCGGGAACGTGACGCAGCGCGAAAACCATATCTGAAGGAAAAGTAAGCTAACCTGTTATAGACTAACTCAGCCGCCAACACCAACCCGTAGATGTTCTCATTGGTCACTGCTGTGAGACCGAGAGACTTCCTCGTCTTTTCTAATACGTTTGGAATCATTTGTGCTTGTAATGCGTGTACATTGAAAAAGCGGATGGTATGCTGTTGTAAATTCAAAAACCCGAGGCAATGGCTCAGTATGTGACAACAGCTGTGACGCAGGCCCTGTCATCACAGCTGCTGTGTCTCCGATTGCATGATCTTATCGGGCACTGGATCTTGTGCACGATGAATATTGTCTCCGGGTTTCAGTAGCTGCGTACCTCGTATTGCGGTGTATTGGACATGCTCGGGCGTCATAATCCATGTCTCGAGGTGCTCGTGGGTTATTCCGTCTGACCCGGAAAAATTACACCACAGCGGGGATCCTCAGCCTTCTTTTCATGTTGAGAAGAACAAGGATCACTTGGATTCCGAATCATAGTTGAATTTCACTTAGCATTGTGAATCAGATCTGAGTATCGCAATGATGTATTCCAATTAGGTTTCGTACTGTTGCTCAGCGTTGCTACGTTTGAGGTCTGCTGCGACCTATCGTTCGCTCTTCCATTGCCACCCCAAGAAAACTAGCTCGCAGGTTCGACCAGACGTTCGGCAATGCTCTAACACGGCTTGAGGCTTGCGCATTCCTTCTCTTCGCTTTTGGTGCCACTTTACTCTAAAAAAGTATGTAGATGCCTGCGCTCCATGTTGGGTTGTCTGAAATAGCCACTGCGACGATCGCATGGCGGAGTTTCGCTACCTCCAGTGACCGCTGATATATCTCGTCAAGATATGTTCAGTATTCTAAACTACGCACTGTATAACGTAAGGACGCCATAAAGCCATGTTTCGATTTGGAAGCGTTGCTGATGCCGCTCACGAGAGCCCTTTGGGAGGAAAGCTTGACTCTCTTTTAACTCCGTCTTTGGAAATGCGGGCAAACTTAAGCGTGGGGAGACCTGACCACTCGCCATTCCATTTCTTTAGCTGCTTCAGATTCTCGGCGTCCTCAAGGTCAGGCACCCAGAAGCCAGAGGCGTACTCGCCTTGCTCCATGGCCTGGTTCTGCTTCAACAGAGTTTCGCGTGTCGAAGGCGGTCTTCCGGGACGACGCTCTGCCTTCAATGTCGCCAACTCTTCATCATCGCGACCAAGGAAGTCGTCAATCATGGCCTGTACTTCCGGTATGGACAGTGGAGATGCATGCTCCATGGTATATGATTGAAATGATTTAATGCGAAGGACTTTTTGGAGTCAGCGGATCGCCAAACCAGAACAAGAATCACTACTCACGGTACGGGCGATTCTGCTTTTCTCTTACCGCAGACAGGCGATTGATCTTGTCGTCACGTTGAGCAGCACTTTGCAGGCGGCGTGTATCCCGGCTGTTCTCGTGAAGAGCGACATTTTTGCCCTTCTTCTTGGTTATGTGCTTCTGCACCTTGCTCATGCGGTGGCTCGGCATTTTTGTGATTTTGTCGAGGTTGAATGCGGATTGGAAAAGGTTGTCGCCAGCCAGAAATTTTGCTGGGGAAGGCCTACAGAGCGCTTAGCGTGGTGGCTAAGTGTGGCTCGCAGGTGCAGGCACGACCCTGGACTGGACCGTCCCGCCTGGCGCGTCGAGGCCCGGTGCGACGCGTCGAATGCGACTCCAACTGACACGCATTCAACGACCGCCAACAGCGACGCCTCCCCTTTCGCCTGAACCTGTGCTAGCGGTAATGTTGCAATAGCAGGCGACCCGTTCAAGCCGTTGGTAGGCTTCGACACGGCACCGGCCCCGCGGCACAATGGGCATCTCTGGTACGTACTCGGCCACCAATGCCTGCATACCTGCTCACAATGCAAAGGCCTCCTGCCGCTACTGAAGTCAGTACAGAAGCCATGCAGCCTCAAGGCATTTGCTGGGCAGACCATTGGCGTGGATGCCTACGGATGGCTGCACCGCGGCACGGCTGCGTGCGCCATAGAGCTGGCCCAAGATAGACCGACGACGAAGTAGGCAATTACGACCCAGCACGATGGACAGTAGCTCACGACAGTAGATTTGTCGACTTTGCCATGAACCGCGTTCGCATGCTCGTGCATTTCGGCATCACCCCTTACCTCGTGTTCGATGGCGACAATCTCCCAAGCAAGTCCGGCACGGAAAAGGATCGGAGAGAAAGGCGGAAAGAAAGCAGAAGACTTGGGCTGGAGCTCCTCAAGGTTGGAAAGACGTCGCAAGCCCACCTCGAGCTCCAGAAGTCGGTCGATGTAACGCCGGAAATGGCGCGCATGCTGATTGAAGAGCTCAAGCACCACAACATCCAGTACCTTGTCGCTCCCTACGAAGCAGACTCACAGCTGGCCTATTTGGAACGCAAGGGAATCATCGACGGCATACTGTCCGAGGACTCTGATCTGCTGGTCTTTGGCGCCAAATGCTTGATTACCAAACTCGACAAATACGGCGAGTGCGTCGAGGTGAATCGGAGCCATTTCACAGCCTGCAGGGAAGTCAGCCTAGTAGGCTGGAGCGATGCCGACTTTAGACGGATGGCCATCTTGAGCGGCTGTGACTACCTTCCTGGCATTGGCGGCATGGGCTTGAAGACAGCTTACCGAATGTTGCGAAAGCATAAGACGGTCGAACGCCTCGTCAAGGCTGTTCAGTTTGATGGGAAGTTCAAGGTACCGAATGGCTTTATGGAAGACTTCTACCAGGCTGAAAATACTTTTCTCTACCCGTGGGTGTATTGTCCTATGTCAAAGCAGCTGGTCAACCTCACCAGCCCGGGTCCCGATGTCGACATCTCGCAGATGACCTACATTGGAGAACAAGTACCTTCTCACCTTGCGTATGGCGTCGCACGTGGCGAACTACATCCGCGCTCGAAACAGCCCTTGATCCTGCGAACACAGAACAAGCCGACGGGCAAACCTCTCCGACCAGCGCAGACGAGTATCTCGACCTCACAAACACCGATAAGCAAACAAGGTCGTCCAATAGATTCTTTCTTCAAGGCGAAGCGCACTCCTTTGGCAGAATTGGACGTCAACCTCTTCACACCATCACCTAGTCAGCAATCGCTGCTAGAGCGACAACGAACAAACACCGGTTGGGATGCAGTTCCAGCTCCACAAAGCAGCCACCGACCACAGCCTCCACGAGCTCAAACCGCGCCTCAGCCAGCGAGACGCATTCTTTCAAACTCGATATCTGCGAGCCAAACCAGACCAAGTCGCTCGAAAAGGCAACGATTGTGCTCGGACACTGAAGCCAGCACCCCGGCAACCAATGAAAGCGATGTCATGCGAAGTCGCTTCTTCGCCTCGTCGGTCGCTGAACCAAGTCCATCTCTCCGCCATGACAAGACCCAAAGGAGACGATCCAGCAAAGACTTCGAATTGTATTCCGACGATTCTGTTGAGGAAGCCATGGCCAGCTTGGTAGATCCGGGAGGAAGTGGGCCTTCTCCTAGGAAGAAGATGAAGGTATTTAAGGACAGCTTCATATCTAGCAGGGCTAGTGACTCGCAGTCAAGTGTCTTATCGAGATCTACGCTAGGAACGTCACAGGAAACCCAAGATGCCAGCGAGATCACGCCTGCAACTTCGTTTGGCAGTCCTGAGCCTGAGACTGTTTTCAGTGCTCCCTTATCGAGACAGCTCAACCATCTGCGCTCGAGATTCTCGTACGGCGCAACTACCTCTTCTCCATTGACCCCACTCGCATCGTCGAGACCACCGTCCGCTCGAAGTTCAATAGCGCTCAAGTCTACTTCAATCAATCGTCACGTTCGACAGGAACATGATCCCGCGCTTGATACAACAGATACGGCTGTGGTCGGGGACTTTGAAGACGAAATTTTGGTAGAAGCTACCACCTGGGCTGTTGCGGGAACCGAGGTAGAGGTGCCCGCCAGCGACACAGAGGACACTCCGCTTAAACCGGCTACGCCACGTCAGCAGCTTCAAGTGAAAGGAAGCGAAGAACTGCTCGTACCGGAGTCGAGCGACGCAGAGAGCATATGCTCGCCCCGCAAGCCGCTTCTGAATCTTGGAAGATTCGCATTCGGCGCATGATCTTTTGATGCGATTATTGATACCCAACCAGGTCTCGAAGTTTTGCACATGATTGACGTTATCTCAGCTACTTGTATATCCATACCACGTGGACGAATTAGCATGATTGGATTGAGCGGTACATTGATTGGAAGCGTAAAGTGAGCGGTATCGTTAAGTCCATGTCAAAACGTCAACCACATTTCTGCATATTAATATACCCACATCAATTGATGGAGTTCTTCTCAGGCATGTTGTCTTATACTCATTCGCATTGGTGACACCGCACTAGTTCACGTACGTCCCTGTTCCCGATCGCAGCAGCAGTGTATTATAGCCACGCAGCCCAGCTTTTCGATTGTGCCGGGGGATCAAAAAGACCATGAGTGACCGATGTCTGATCTGTGACGCCTCCTTCACACAAAGACAACCCTGTCGTCTCACAACACCTGACTGTCCCCGCTTTCACAATAAACCAGACAAAGAACCCCTGAGGCTGTACGGAGCAGATTCTCGCAACCGTTCGCTCCTACACTGCGCAAGTCTTTCGCGTCTTTGTTGCTTCCTGGTTGTTCCGGATTGGGTGTAGGACGAGATGGGCACAGTATTAAACGTGGAGCTGCTCGACTGAAGGACGGATGTCTGTCAAACAGAAAATACGATCGAAATTCGGTCTTTCAAGCAACCAAAAAAAACTTTGTATCTTGCTTGGGCAACAGCTTTCTGTGCAATAGAAACACTCCAATTCCAAAGATTACGTAGGCGCTTTTAGTCTTCGCTTTGACAACAATGGTACGACGCAGTGGGCGGGTAGGTATATGATATTATCTACACAACGAACCGCGTACTGACTCAGTCTAAGAATGCCGCTAAGCCGGAAGGCTTTTACAGGGAGTCTGAGATGACGAAGAGGGCACAAGAGGCAGTAGTACCTGCGCCAGCTGAAGCTCCTACCCAATCATCAGCCAAAAAAACAGGCCAGAAGAAGAAGACGAAGGCGACGAAGCAGACATCTGCTACTAAGACTGGTCGGGTGCAGGAGAAGAAGCCCGATCCAAACAAGTCTACTGCGACGAAGGCCAAAGCAGACAAGAAGAAGCCTGGTCGTCCAGCTGTGCCTTCTAATGATGTTCTTCTCGCTGCTGCTGCGGAGGTAGAAAGGAAGACCCGCACGGGAACGCAAAGGATCGCAAATGATAAGCCCAGCTTGGAGTTCCATATGAAGAGGCCGGTTCCGCTTTTCAAGCCCCAGCCTGAGGATTTTGAAGAGTTTGAGGAAGACCACGACGAGGATGAAGAAGACGATGAAAAAGAATAACGTTAGTACGAAAATTGATGCAGCCAGTTCCCAATAAAAAGGTTCCCCGCACGCCCAACAAAACTAAGAAGAAACATGCCGACCCGAGCGCTGACCCCTCAGTAAGCAAGCCCCTGAGTCGGACGTCGAGCGTACTATTCAAGCTTCTTGTTCTGTTGCTGACGTAAACAGGAAGTGGAATGATTTGGTAGGTAGGGAGACTGTAGATGGTCGTCCTCCACAGCCACGTATGCCCCTCAAGAATGTCGCAGTCGCAGAATGACATGCCTGGTACCACACCCGGTTATTCTCAAGTATAAGAGAAGTAAGATTTGGTAGTTGGTCCTGGTGGGGCTTGGTTGCTCGGATTCTAGAAGAGGTGGGTTTCAAAACTTTTTTGGCATGTTTGGAGTACTTGTATGATAGTACCTGGTAGGCGGTGTATGTTCCTGCTCTTTTCTTGAATAGAATTGTAATCTAAATGCTGACTAAATGCTGACTAAATGCTGCGTCGAAACGTGACTAGTCATGCACCTGATCTAGAAGGTCAGCTCGTTGGTTCCGCTCTTGCCTTCATTCCCTTCTTTTAGTGCCTCCGTCTTTAGGAACACTTGATCATACTGCAGGCTTTCTAAAAAGATGTTTCATTGTTAGCACCATGCAAACTCCTACGAAAGGCAAGACAACGTACGCAATCTCTCAGCAACCAGCTGAGCAATGTCCTCATGCAACCCCACAATCGCAGTTCTATATGGGATGCTCGAGCTGTAGATTTTGTCACTGGTGCGTGAGAGCTTGACTACGCAGTCGACGCTGCCGTCGGTATCAGTAATGTACGCGATTAATATCGCGCTGGTGGCGAAGGTGCCGATGACATCGTATGTGTGTTGTGGACCATAGAGTGCTTTAGCGTTGGCTATAGGGAGGAACATTAGACGCGTGACAGGGATAATTTTGGGGAAGTGTACCTAGTATGCATTCTCTGTGGAACTGGAGGACTTTGGTCCCGTCCTTGTTCAATCTTAGCGCTGGTGCCATGGTAGATGGCTGTGGGAGTCTTCTGGTCAAAAAGAGAGATTTTGTGGTTTTGTAGTGGTAGTAGAATGTGCCTCGTTGCCACTTGATTCACCGGAAGATGCACTGCCTAGGCTTGAAGGATGAGGCTGTACGTCGCTCATACTTACGCGGGTTTGAGGCTGCAGCGGTGAGCCCAAGAGGAAGTAATCATGTGAATATAGTCGCAGGGTTCTTATCCACGTATCGACCTGTGATGCTGCATCATCCAACGTATTAAGCTTGTAGGTTTGCCAGGATCAATAAGCTTAACGCATGTCGGAACGCTAGCTTATTGGGGACATGCTATCGTAGCCGGAGTGAACTCGGCGTATTTTACGCCCCAAACTCCCCTCACGCTTCCTGTCACGTTGATCTACACGATTGGCTGGTCGCACGTTTGAAGAAATCTTTGACTCTCGCAACGCTGTGAAGAAGGTGATGAAGCCGAAATTCTTGAGTATTCGTGCACTCCACCGCCACGATGCAGCTTCTTTACGAAAAGTGCCGCGACTTAGGACCAATGGCACGCTACGGCACATGTCGGAGAGAAAAAGGGGCATGATATTTGCCCAACGTGGAATCGCACAACATGGTGGGTTTCGTACGATATGTCACACACTCGAAGTTCTTTGACTGCCCATTTGCCTATCATGGACGGGTGTCAGCACTTTACAGTCTTGGCATTGAGTTACGCCGCCACCCGAGTCAAAACTTTATCCTCAGCTTCTCAGGAAACCTTGTGTCCATTTTCTTGCCACACTTCGCTTGCTTTTCTCTGGCCTCATGCAAGATGAGCTCCCTTTGGAGTTGGTTGAAGGGCAAACCTTCACAACTAGCGCGCGTTCCTACAGACACTGTCATACCACTCCATTACCTTGACAGCTCCAAGATGTTCACAGACATCGTAATGGATTTGTCGCTACATTTCAGTTATGTGCTCGACTCTGAGAAACTCGTCGCTGCGCTGGAACAGTTATTGGAGAAGCCTGGATGGAGAAAGTTAGGGGCCAGAATAAGACGCAATGTATGGGGTCATGAGAAAGAAGTCAGACAATGAGGTCTGGCGCTACATTGAACGCGACATGTGACTAATGGCAAAACAGGAGTCTGGAATATATGAGTATCATGTGCCCACTGCATATACAAAAGAACGCCCAGCAATCGACGTCTCGCAGATTAAATACGACATTTCTCTCGCTGAGCATCCGATCGGTTCGACACTACCACGTCCAGATGGCACTGTAAGTATTTCTGGAGATACGAAAGAGTATCGTCCGCTTTTCTTGCGTAAAAACAGTCCCACCAAGCTAGAAGACTGGCTTCACGCAGATAGGGCGCAGATAGTCCTCCACATTGTGGCTTTCTCCGATGCCACACTCGTCACAGTTACCTGGCTCCACTCGTTCATGGACGCAATGAGTCTGCACACGCTTTTCGACGCGTGGACCGCCATGCTCGAGGGCCGCGAGCAAGACATCCCAGAATTCTATGGCGAGATTGACGACCCACTGGCCACCTTAGGCGTAGACTCCGATCCCAAACTCACCAGCGATCGCTTCGAGGAGGAGGAGGATTTCATCCTAAAAGACCGCGTAGTTACAGGCTGGAAATTTATTCGCTTCGTCTTCACCCTTCTCTGGGATCTTGTCATCTACCGGAAAGAAGCAATCCACTTCATCATCATCCCACCTACATTCTTTTCCGCCCTCCGCACAGAAGCCATGGCCTCTCTCACCGACCCCTTCACCGATCCCCAATCCGCACCGCCTCTCACCCCAGACAAAGCAAACCCACAAACGCCTTTCATATCAGACGGCGACATCCTCTGCGCATGGTGGACCCGCCTCACAACTTCCTCCCTCCCCCGCGCCCCCGCCCCAACCCGCACATTCCAGATCCTCAACGTCTTCAACATGCAAGACCTCCTACGCACCACCTCCCCCGCACTGCTCCCAAACGCTCGCAGCTACGCATACGTCCACAACTGCGTCACCTACGTGCAGTCCTTCTTAACCCTGCATGAGCTGCTCAGCCTGCCGCTTGGGCATGTAGCAGCGCGGCTCCGCTCGGACCTTGTGCTTCAGACGACGCGGCCGCAGATCGAGGCAAGGTGGCGCTTGCAGCGGGAGGAGGTGGCTCGGAGTGGGAATCCGCCGCTGTACGGGGAAGGGGACATGCAACTTGTGCCGTTTACGAATTGGCACAAGGCTCGTATGTTTGAGGTGAATTTTGGGGCGGCGGCGATCGGGAAGGCGAATGGCGAAGAAGCGGTGGGGAGGCCGAGGTGTGTGATGCCCGATGCGACTGCGCGCGGTATGCCCTTGCGGTTGTCTGGGAATGTTTCTGGGAGGGATGCGCAGGGGAATTGGTGGGTTGGCGGGATTCTCACGGCGGAGACATGGGATAATGTGAAGAAAGCGGTCGAGACGCTGAACGCACAAGCGGCTGCAAAGAACGTATAGAATGCACCCATGATATCATTTTATACTGCTTTTCTACGCGAGACTACCAAGGAGATGCAGGGGCCCTGGAACGAAGCGAAGAATTCGAAACGACGGGAAGGCTCCTATCAGCGGGATGGGCAGGGACTGGCGTGAAGAGAAGAGAAAAGAAAAGAAAAGAAGTAGCAGATACATTGGTACACCTTTCTGGAAGACAACTGCTGTTATGCATTCCCTTGTCGTCCAAATTCGTAATTCCTGATCGTGCATGGAAACTTTACTGGCTTACTTTACGACTTTGTGCTCCTTTAGCCGAAGAGCTTGCCCAACTGCTACACGTTAGTACTGCGTTGACAATATGGAAGTGATGTTGAACTCACCATGCCTCTCCTTGCCTGCTCTGCTTCACTGGTATAGTAAGGTGGTGATGGTGGCTGATAATACCCGCTCCTCGTGCTTATCGAAAACGTCGACGGGAGGCTAGAGAAACTCGTAGCCTCCGTCGTGGCCTCCGTAGTTAGAGACGGCGTCGTGTAATAGCCGCCAGATGATGACCAAGTAGACACAGATTTGACACCCTCGGAAGAGTCCGACGAGAAGAATGTAGCCTCAGTTGTGACGTCGGTGTTGCTGGAGGTGGTGGACGTAGCCGATGACCCTGTGGTAGAGCTGGTTGAGGACGTTGCTGTCGTGGAGGCTTCTGAAGAGCTTGAGCTAAGGCTAGACGACGAAGAAGACGCAGTCAACGAGCTGGACGAAGTCGAGGATACGGAAGTAGAAATTTCCGTCGTGCTTGTGCTCAGGCTGGAAGAAGTCAAAGACTGAGTCGCTGATGAGGCTGTCGTAGAGGAAGAAGTATCCGAAGAGGAAATGGAAGCTATTTCGGTCGTGCTCGTGCTTCTGCTTGACGAAGCTCCAGTCTTCATTGAAGACGTGCTTGTAGAACTCTCTAAGGCGCTTGACGGAGTCGAGGATGTTGAGAAAGAAGGCTCCGTTGTGGAACTAGTCAAGCTAGATGATGAGATACTCGGCGAGCTCAGGGAGCTGGAGCGAGAAGACCCAGAGGTGGAGCTTGAGCTAGAAGATGTGACAAAGGACGACGAGCTTTCCGAGGAAGAGGAAGACGACGATGAAGCAGAGGTGGAAATGATCGACGTGCTTGAGCTCGATGACTCAGTAGTGGACGAGGCTGAGCTGGACGACTTGACACTCGTGCTAGATGACGCTGTAAGTGAGGACGTAGTTGATTCCGTAGACGTCGCGCTGGATGATGAATTCGAAGTAAGGCTTGTCGTTGACGACGAGCTTGAAGACTTCGAAGATGGCTCAGAAGTGGAGCTTGACAACGCTGCTGAGGACGAAGTTTTCGAAGTGATCGTTATTGTAGTGATGGTAGTGACCTTCGTCGAAGACGAACTGGGACTTGTTAGTGCTGGCATACTCGTTGTGGGAGTTGATGAAGACTCAGACGTGAAGGACAGAGATGAAGTTGAGTTGGAGGATTCTGTGCTGCTGGACGAGAATGTCGAGGAGGACGAAGCAGAAGTAGACGAGTTTGAAGAGAAGCTTTTAGTCGTGGGTGAGGAAGCTGATGAGCTTAAAAAGGTGCTCTTTGTAGTCGATGAAGAAGATTCTGTCGGCGTAATAGTCGCAGTCCCCGTGGTAGGCGTGCCATAACCGTACGAGGGAAGAGCAGGTGGCAGGCTGGAGTACGAGGTACCAAACGCCCCAAACGAGCTAGCAAGAAGCTCAACGACACGAGTCGTTAGAAACACTTCGGTGGGATTTGTCAGTACAGTGAACAAACTTGGAAGCGGAAAACCATGGATGCATGCTGTAGAATGCTCAGCTAGCTGAAGGGAAAACATACCTCTGGTTTCAGTAGCGCAAGACCACGTGGTCGATTGGCCGCCCCTGGGTGGAACAAGGCATGAAATCGTTGCGGATGTTAGAGTCTCCACGATTGTCGCACTGCTGCACTTTGATGCCGTCTTTGGAGCCACAGTGCTGGTAGTGTTGCACGTAGTATAACTGCTCGACGTGGACGACGCCGTAGTGGTGTTGCTGAAACTCGCCCAACTCCTAGTGAGCGAAGTAGAGTTGGATGCTGTCAGAGTTGAGGAAGTCGTGCTCGGACCGACGGTCGTCGAGTTGAAAATCGTCAAGGTCGAAGTAGTCGAGCTTGGAATCAAGGTAGTCGAATTGGTCGTGCTCGTGAAATACGACGTGAAGTTGCTCGCCGTCGACGTCGGTACTACTGATGAGTTGGTAGACAAGAAGGTAGTGGGATTGATACTCTTGGATGTTGTGTTCCAATAGCCGGTACATGACGTGGTGGATATAGAGGTACCGGACGAGGCGGTCCCACTTGATGTCGAACTCACAGTGGTGTTGGCAGTTGCTGTAGATGAAGTCACATTGGCAAAACTAGAGCTCGTCGTCGAGGTGGTTGTCGAAGTGATGTTTCCCCTCGTCTTTGGCTCATCAGTGCACGATGTCGAAGGAGCGGTGGTGCTGTTGGTCCAAGAGAAAGTCGTACCAGTAGTCGAAGATGTCACAGGCCCTGTTCCAGTGAAGCTGGATGAGGTGCTGGTCGAGCTGGCTCCAGTTCCCGTGCTGTAAGAAGACGAAGTTTTGGGGGTCACGGAGGAAGAATTGCTTGCAGAAATGAAGGCGGTCGTAACCGAAGTCGTGATACCAGTACAGTAGAAGCGACTGAATACGTCGCGGAAACACGTGGTCAAGGGACTTGCGGTGCTTGATGTTGTGCTGGTGATGTTAAAGGAAGTAGAGGACGCTGACGAAGTCAATTCGGGTGCAGACGTCGTGCTATTCGTAGTGGTAGAAGTTGCTGCGGTACTCAACGGTATGCTTGATGATATCGAGCTGCTAACACCCGTGGAGAGCGAGCTGCTTACGCCCGTAGAGAGCGAGCTGCTTGTGCTTGCGGTTGACGTATAATCTGGCTCGCAGGGCGTGATACTGGATGAAGATAACGGAAGCGAGGAAGTGAACGTTCCGTGTCTGGCTCTGCGAAGGTTCTTCGGAACGTGGTCTAGATGAAGAAATCTCAGCATCGACACAGATGGAATGAGAAGACCAGAGGACCACGGAGGACACAAGGCGATGTATACACTCATTACTAGAACTAAATAGGGACTTACACGGCAAAGGGTCTGCAGCGACAACTGCCAAAACCGCAGTCAAGGAGAGTATGCTGGTGAGCCTCATGTTTTCGACGCCTGGAGCGAGTGCCTTCCGTTCTATGAAGCTGAAGACGAGCGACAGTCTGACAGAGCGATATTATGTCTTCACAAAGACCTATCAAGACAGAGAAGGCTGCTCGACTATGATGTGTCTCCCCAACGTTTATATGAAGTCGCCAGAGTGGTACCGTACATGGCCTGAGGATCAATGGCGATAACACTACGATAGTGGTACTAGAAACACCAATGCTCACAAGGGTAACGCATTGGGGAACTGATTACTTTGCCCGACAAGCTCATTGACATTGTGTCTTGACCATGTATACGGGCCGTTCTGTCGTAGGCGGGACCGAATCCGAGTAGGCGGGCGGAAACTCATCTTCTGTTTCTGGCAGAGGGTTCGGATTAAGATTTTGGTCGATGAAAGGAGCAACGGTGAGGCCCGCCAGAAGACTCGCCTTCATCGTGCGTGTAAAAATTTCCAGAGCTGGACAACAGAACAAGACATAGCCGCTCGCAACGTCCGACAAGAGGACCTCTCGGAAACCAAAGAGATGTGCTATTGCAATGGTGACACAGCAACAACCCACTCAGCCACATGTAGTGCAAGTCTCGTACTGGCGACATCCAATACGCGTGATGTGAGCTGGGAACATTGGAACAACCAGCTTAATTCGACTTCTAGGTAGAGTGAATGCACAAGCTTGATGGGCAGGGAAAAGTGCTGTTGCGGTCCAATCAACTTGTGTCGGTCAGATCGGACGCAGATTTCAGCAATATGTTGCGTCAGATCGGCCTGGGTTTCAAAGATGTCGGCAGCCGTAATACCAAAATTCCGAATCTTGACTGACAGCCGACAAGTTGACAGACGCCTTTCGTTTAGCCCCATCAATGCATGAATCCTCCTTTGGACGGGTGAGTGTCCAACAGCAGCTTTGACGCACTGCTGCATACATGTTGCTCGCCACGTATTGTATCCATGTCAAACTCCACAATGTCAACGTCGATCAGAGTCAGCTCGCTGGTGTACATCAGAGAGCCGGGAAATTATGTGCAAATTGCTCCGCAGGCGAACAATACAACGGGATTTGATACAGGGTATTGCAGCCGAGGCTGTCCAGTACCTCTGACGAACTTGACGATAGGTGGGGAAGGTTCCGTTCAAATGCAACTGATCAAGCACACTGGTTCTCACGATTGCTCGTAGATACTGTCTGCAGCGTACGACTTGTCACTAGGATGTCATACCGTGGGATTCAGGGCAGCTACGTAGGGTTGTGCTGGTGACTGTCGACTCCACTTAACGTTTGAAGTTGGAATTCCTAAGAGCCTGTGTGTCCAACAGCACGCCGGCCCTGTCGATACCCTGAACACTGGTGGAGCATATACTTCGTCCCCGACTAATGTTGATTGTGATGGGGGTTGATCGGTGACCCCAAGTATGTGGGACGAAAAGTCGAGTAAGGCAACACGGCGACAAAAAGCGCATAGCAATCGGCAGAACTAGTCCGCGCATGGCAGCGACGCGACACGCGCAAGGTCGTACCTTACCGCGGAAATGTAAACATGCACACTTGGAGATTGCTGGAATCTAAAATGCGTGACTTGGCACACATAACTTGGTCCTGACCCGGACCCTTGGAGGTAACGTTGCACCACATAAACGGTCCGACCGACCCAAAGGTCGGGAGTCACGGTGTGCCCAGGCACATCCGCGTCGCAACCGTCTCCGCGTTCAACAGATTTGTTCCGTTGGCTTGGCCAAAGGGTCCGAATGCTTCAGAGGCAAAGGACTCGATGAATGTGCGAGCAAAATTGAGACAAGCGTTGGATGGCATAGCCAGAATGGCTTTCCACAATATATTGTATCTCTCCGTATAGCTTACAGGTACATCGCGGAAATGACATCAAGGTAGAAAATGCCCTCTTTCACAAAGAAGACAAGTATACTTTTGCCGTTTCGCAACACGTAACTCCAGGTATATAATCCTCCCACGGCTTGTTGCTTCGTCGTCCCGTTCGTGTAAATTGTAGAACAGTCATCTTGCCGTTGCAAGAAAAAGTGGAATTTCGGTACGCCAAGTGAAATACGAAAGCCGACGACATTGCGACCAGCTGCGAGGGGACCGCCGCCCCTGATTGAACGTTGGATAAGAAGAAAGGATGCTCCGAAAAGTGGAAGGACAAATGTGTCAACACCAAACGCCTTCTGGTATCATGATCCCAAGACATTGCAAACACTAAGCAACCGAGACGCCATCATTCACTGATCCCAGTTCACAAAAGAGTTGTCTTCGTATGAGTCGCCAAGAAGGCTATCGTTGGCACTGCGGCTGCCGTCTTGAGCTGGGTACTGATCGAAGAAATTGGAGTATTCGAATGCAGAGGGTGTGAAAAGCGGTTGCGGTGTATAGAGATGGTCGGACATAGCCGATGGTGGCGTGGTTGACGTACTGTCGCCTAAAGTGTCTAGCTTTAGGGATTGTTCCGGGGCGAGAGTTTGAGACATTGCGGGTCGAGATGACTTGGGCGATAAATTAGGATTATAAGTATAGGTGCCAGCGAATGGCTGCGGCAGATTCTCGCTGCCAGACATGAATAGTGATGTGCGAGGGTCGCTTGGATCGAGAGCAGAGCCAACAAGCTGCTGCGACTCAGGCGGCAGCGACATGGACAAAGGGTTCATGTTGAGGACCTGAGAAGACCCGAACGGCAACGAGCCGAAATTGAACGAAGTTGGAGAGGTATGCTCTGACTTGAGGTGTGGGGTAGCATGGCCTGACGATGCGTTCGAAGAAGTGCTGGCAGGCACGCGCTGAGGCGACGCCGACTGTCGCTGGATGCTTTGGGCCGTGGAGATCCTCGATAGTGTTGGCCTAACTTGGCCATCAGAAGTCTGTTGCGCGGGGTTTTCCAGGGCATGCTGTGGAAGAGACAGCCTTCTGTTGAGCTCTCCCCTCGGGGTGGTGGCTTGGGGGCCAGACTGGTTGACGGGCGCAAAGTCAGTCATCACATGGGGCGTAGCGATGGAAGCAGAGCGCTGATGCAATGTTCTTTGGGGAATGTTGTAAGGGGTATGACGATAGCCCTGTTGCTGGTGCTGAAACCCCTGAGAGTTGAAAGGCTGCTGAGACTGGTTGAAGTCTGGAGTAGCCGGACTGAAGGCCTGGGGCGGGAGCATGGTCCCACCCATCATGGGCATCTGGCCGGTATTGGGCTGGAACTGAGAGCCATAGGGCTGCAGCTGATGGCCAGGAAATTGCTGGTTGAGAAACATGTTTCTGACGCCATGCTGAGTGGCTATATAGTCATGGAGTTTGCGATTAAACAGCCAAGACGAAGTCTGGAGGTGAGCATTGAGTCTTTGATACTGAGTGGGCAGGTCATCATCTTCCTCCTCGTACATCTCCTCGTTGACGACATCTTGTTCAGTAACGCGCAAGGCACGCCCGGTGCGCTTCTTGTGAATCTCAGAAGCGCGACGGGCAGACTCAATGCGGGCCTCGAGACTGCGGTCACTTCTACGCGACGCAGCTATATAGGCACTGCAGGCTGTCAGCACGGGTCCGACGGCAGCAAGGGATCGCAGCTAAGCGAGCGGGCGAAGGACGAAGTAGATGGAGGACGACATACCGCTCCTGGTTCTCCTCGTGGGTGCGCTCCGTCTTGACGGGCTTCGCAGCAGCAAAGGTGGTTCGCCTGTCGGCCGGCATGGTGAAGGTCGACGCGTGGGTGGTGTTTCAGTGGCAAAAGCGTGGGGTGGGGCGCGGTCAGACTTGGGACGGCGCGGATAAGTGCGATCTCCACAAACAGTGAACGAGACAATGGACTGCCAGCGACTCGTCTACAACAAAGAAGCAATGACGACGAGAATAATGCGCGTGGCGCGAGATAGAGAGAGAGAGGGAGAGAGGAAGCAGCAGTGCAACGCGCGGGGAACAGTGGCGAAAGGCCTAGGCGGGCGTGACGGGCGGAGCAGGCCTTATGGGTGGGCCGAAGGGCGGGCTGGAGGAGCGCAGCTAGGTAGCAGGTGGCTATTCCGATGCCAGGGCTACAGGCGAGAGTTCACCGGGCCCGATCGAGACAGCAAGGTAGCGCAGCGCCTATTCAGAACAATCGACGTCGCAGCGCCTGCGTGGTTGGCGATGAGTGCGCTTCGGCGGGGACAAAGAAGACCGGGGGCTGGCGATCGGGGAGAGTGACTGCTCGTGTTCGCTGCGATCAAGCGCTATGCTGCGGGAAGGCGGAGGCGTAGCAAGCAACGGCCAGGGCAGAGGGGCACGCCGACAAAAGACCGAGCTGAGGAATGCGGATCGAGAAGTTCAGAGAGCAAGGACACTGGCACTCTGAGAGCCAACGGTACCTGTCGTAGACTCGGGGGACCTGGACTGGACCGGACTGAAGATGAGTGTCGGTGGAGGACGACGATTCAGCTACTCGTGACAAGACCTCTAGTAAGGCCTGTAAAAGAAACGAGCAGCGATTTTGGAACAAGTTTGGGACGCAGAGAGAGATGGATTCCTGAGGACGACCGGAAAGAGCGTGGGCATCGCATTGTTTTAACCAGTGCGCACCTGGGCAAGGACGCGCGAGGGAACCGCGCATCCACCGGTCGGGTCTTCTTTCTTGCTCCGCGCAGCAGTCCCCAGCAGACCCGTTTAGCGTCTTCGGCGAGGTATGGGAACTCTGATCTGACGCGACTGATGCGGCTAGCTCTAGTACAGGCTACCATCGAACGAGGAAGCAGGGTTGGCCATGGCCAAGCCAGTAGGAACTGCGCTGGGACTCGCGGATCGCAACGCTACGATCTCGTCCACACGCCGCCTCCGATTGACGAGGCGTCTGCATCACAGGACATCCAAGCATGCAGCGTCCACCTACGTCGCTCTCCCACTCCACCCGAGACCCTCTCCCGACCTTGACTGATCGAGCAACGGTCGAGATCCTCACCCGATCTGTCGGAACTCGACATGTGCGGTGGCCAAGTTGAAGATCAAGACTGGGAGGCAGAGGCAGAGGCAGAGGCAGAGGCAGAGGCAGAGGCAGAGGACTGACGATCTGCTCCGCCAGCCCTTTGGGCTCCTCTGATTCCTGAGCGCTCCGCCCCGCCCTGGTTTGCACAGAACGATATGACGAAATAGGGAGCTATGTGCTGGCGCGCATAGCGGAGGGGTCTGAAGTTAGCCCCGTTCCCGCCGCCGTGGGTTCAGCCCAGCCCGGCCCTGCTCGCCCTACGAAGCTGGTTTAGCGTCCCATCTCATGCTTTCTTCTTCTTGTCCGATGGCCATCGCTGGAGGACATGAATTTCCACCATATTGGCTTGTCGTGCAACGCGGGACTCAATGATTCGCAAACCTACCACACGAGCCCAGGACCGAAATGAAAACATGCGACCACCTGCTAAAGACGACTCACGAGCTGGTTGGAGATGCGCTCGGTCTCTTCCAGCACAAAGTGGAGAGAGGCCTTCATGAAATCGCGGCACTTTGCTCCACGTAGATCCAAATTCGACCTCTCAAGTGGCTCTCGCGTATCGAACGCCTTCCCGTGTCTGCCACGTCGCGGAAGCACCTTAGTGAGATCTGGGCCCGAAAAAGTTAGGCGCGATCGTGGGATCTCAGTAATCTGCGATCGTGCACGCGCTTGCCATGCTCTTTCAGCCCTCATGCCTGCTCTTCCTCGAGACACGATCGGCGTTGCCATTGGCCCTGGGGCATTTGTCCGTCCCGTGCTCAAAAGATGCTGTGCCGGCCTGGCAAGAATGGCGCTGTCAAGAGGGTGGCTTTCTCGGATAGCCCGTCCGCCGATTAGGTATGACGCACAAGTGACCAGGGACAGGATACGTGATTTGCATTTCATCCCAAGCCCATTCCCATGAGGTCTCGCTTATGTCATATTTATCTACGTTGCCAGGATACGTCACCCCGCAAAATCGCCAAAGCATTGCTATCGTGCGCATCGTGGCTATCCGGCGCCTTTAACCATGTTGCAGGGGTTATGCCAATTTCACCAGATCTGCAGCAAACCCTACTCGGCCGGATATCCACAGAGCATCGCAGCATATGAAGCGTTGAGCCTCATCAATTCGAAAGACGTCGAATCCCGCGTTCAAAGACCCTGCTGCAACTTTCGGCACGTTTTCTGTAAGTGGAGTCGGGTGTGGTCAACAGCCGCACTGCGGTTGGCGCTTTGCCGTCCCGTCTGCCACCGTAGCGCCATGGTTCTCGCACAATCTAGACTCACTGCTCACCAATGCCTCAATACCGTTACTACGGCTACACTGTACATGGTCTAGAGCAACGACACCCACAAAGATCTGCGGACCACTCAATATCTATGGTATTTTCTCTCGTCGTTCACATAGGCATGACTTTACAAACTACAATGGCAGATGTTGTGAAAAGAAAATTGTATCTGAAGATGTATGGACATGAATCGTAGTGGCTGGATAATCTTACAGCACACACTTGCGTGGGTTTTGTCTATCACTGTCTGCACAACCATGTCGTTACTCAGAGTCACTCGTCTGTTCCACACTTTGGATATAGAAAACCTTCGACCAAGAATTACATGACGAGGAATAATTCACGTCCTACGCTATCATGATCGAATATTTGCAACATCTTCAGATTGTTTGGAGGTCCAGAGTTTGGAGTAGCATCACATGATTTCCGTCAGCCAGGTGCCCCTCATCTGAGGTTCGGGAAACACTCCATACTGACGTAAGCTTGCATAACGCTGCGCTTTCCTTCTGTATGGTGCGTGATTCGATCCGACCGTTGCTGGAGGGTCCAGCTCGGTTCATCCATTCACGAGGCCATTCGCGAGGGGTGAGAACGGCACGTGGCGCCCCTCGTCTGGCGCCCCAACATTTTGAAGCATGGCGCGAATCAGAGTACTATGAGCAGACTTCACAAAGCAGCCTTCAGCTACCAACATTTAGGAAATTCGATAGTTCGGACCCCGGCGGTCGGCTCACCTTAGGAACCTGGGCATTTAACTAGGAGTTGCCCCACATCACATTCGCGGGCAACAACCGCAACAGATACGAGAAGCTTGTTGCACTGTGGGGGTATCCCGATGCTGCTGATAGATTGAGCCCTTATGCGTTGCAACGGCTTGGGACATTCTTTGGGCCGTTCCTGAGGTGCGTACTCTAATCCACTAACAGGTTGGACCGAATAGGGATGACTCCCGTCTCCGCGTCTTATCTCTCACATGGACGTCTGAACCACAAGCTCATGTGTGTATGTTTGTGCCAGTCCAGCACAGTTATCACCATTTTGCTCAATCGTACACATCGATATCACTTTCCTGGGCATCTAGCGTTGCACGTGCTGCTCCAGTGCTGCTTTCAAGTGACGACGAAAGATTCCCTACTTGGCATCATGAGTTACAGGTACATCGCAAGCATTCTCTAGCAAGTACTCGCGCCCAGTCCAGCTCTACAGAACCGCCACGTTCCCCTCATCAGGCACAAACAACTCATACTACCAGTGACAACGCACAAATGGACCGGACTCGACTCGAGGGCACCTTGACTTGAGTCGCATCTCCTCACTATGTTAGAAAGGGTCATACCTTATCTGTGGCGTTCAAGGCCATATTACAGCAACACTGGTAATACCGGTGGCTTGCTACTCAATGAACTTAGTCGGCGGGACCTACAGCCTGTCACATCTGAACGTGCGCACAGCAAACACCTGGTAGTCTAGTCTATCGATTTCGTAGCACAGTGCAGAACACAATGTGTACGGATGGATTTGCCGTCACTCCAGACTCAAAGTTTCCGGTTGAGTTACGATCCACTGCACAGTGAAACGTCTTCGACAGAGTACGTCACCTTGGGGACCGTTTGGTGCAGAGATAGTTGTTGGCACGTCTCTCTTGCTCAACGTCAGAAGATATCTATGCTATACTAACATGTAGGCTAATCATGCACAGTGTGACATAGGCGCCATACACACTGAGGTCCACTAGAAAGGATCTCACTGGCCTCTACAGAGCGTGTCCAGCTCAAAATTCGCAAACCTTTTCATATAATGAACATCAAACTATCGTTGAGCTCAGAACTAAGTCCGGCTTTCGCGAACCTTTCCCGAGCCGTAGACCAACTTCTTCACAATGTACTTGTGAAGATGTTGTCACTATGGACCCAGCCTAGCCCTATGCTTCCCTGGGGCAGAGGGAAGCATGATTCACCCTACAGTAGTAGCCGTCCAACGCCAACGGTCAACGTCCATCAACCAACTATTCAATTTACCACCAATATCCCCCAATCCATTCACTCATGTAGACTAAACACCCCACGCGTCTAGCCTAGCCCAAAACCGGAGTCTGGTCCAAACACACCCCTATCCTATCCTCAGTCCCTCGCCCTCGCACACACCGGACATAAAGCTCCCCTTCAGCCCGGCGCGGGCTCGCATTCGCCACCAGCCCCCGCTCATCTCGCCAGCGTTCGATCCCGCCTAGCTCCACTAGCCCAGCCTACCGACCTCGGTACGCTCCCCTCCCAAGCCCTGCGATCCCCGCCGCATTACTCCGTACCTCGCGCGCATCGTCCACCCGTAGCGGAATCTTTGCCCACGCGCGCTGGTTCGCTCATCGTGCCTGCCACGATTAAGCGTTGTTTGCTTTTTCCCCTCTGCCTGCCTGCCGCTGCGGAGTATCGGGTAGATTGGCGAGGGGCGGTTATAGTGGGTGCGCGCGTGTGTGTGCGATTCTCGAATTTCCATTTTCTCTTGGGAGAGGAGCTAGGGTGCTGCTTCGCAGGGGTGGCTTTAGGCACGCATTGCATAGTGGCCAGTTAGGACGCACTGTGGTGGTTTGGGTAATTGTGGCGATATTGCATGCACGGCCTGCTTTTCTGTGATACGCGAGCCAGGATCTGAGGTGCCTCGAGATGGACGGCACAGTGACACGAGGGTCGGGGGCGCAGAAGAGAGCTGGCGCGTTGTCGAGGCTGCTGGCTGGGGGGAAGGGAGTGGTGCTTGACGGGGCGCTCGCGACGTACCTTGAGACGCTGGGTGCAGGTACGTCTCCATTGCCCTCTTGATGTCCCTAATCACGGGATGGGCGTGCGTGGACGGCATCAACAGCATAACATGCTTTGTGCCCGAGATGCTGCACTTGGTCGGGGTCGAGGCCGCAATGGTCTCCCCAGCGTGCTACTCTGCCTATAATATCACCATGAAGATATAGGGCATTCACGTCTTCCCCTCACGAAGCTCGTCTACAGCTGTCCACCAACTAACATGCCCCAGACATCTCCTCTGCCCTCTGGTCCGCGTCCCTTCTCTACACGAACCCCTCACTCATCCAACAAACCCACGCCACATACTTCACCCACGGCGCCCGCATCGCCACCACAGCCTCCTACCAAGCCTCCCTCCCCGGCCTCACCAAGCACCTCTCCGCCACCCCTTCAGATTCCGACGCCGCAGCCCTCGTTGCTACGAGCGTCGTCCTCGCCCAAAAAGCGCGTGACGAGTATCTTTCTTCCGCTGGAAATAGCCTCGAAGATGGCGACCTCCTGATAGCCGGCAGCGTAGGCCCCTACGGCGCCTTCCTCGCCGACGGCAGCGAATACACGGGCGCCTACTCGAGCAGCGTTACCTCAGACGAATACCACTCGTTCCACCGTGGCCGCATCGCCGCGCTCCTCTCCGCGGGCGCCGACGTCCTCGCCATCGAAACCATCCCCAGCTACCCCGAAGCCGCCGCCCTCCTGTCCCTCCTTGCCTCCGAATTCCCAGTTGCAGAGGCCTGGTTCGCATTCACACTGCACGCCGCGGACCCCACGCGCCTCCCGGACGGCACGCCCCTCGCCGACGTGGTAGCCCTGCTCGACGGCGCCCCCAACGTCGTCGCCGTGGGCGTGAATTGCGTGGCGCCGGAGCATGCGCTCGCAGGGCTGCGCGAGATGCGGCGGGGGACGCGGAAGCCGCTGGTGGTGTATGCGAATTCGGGGGAGAAGTGGGATGCGGCGAAGCGGGATTGGGAGGGGGAGCGGGCGGGGGGTGGCGAGCTGGCGGGGTGGGTGAGGGAGGCGTGGGAAGCTGGTGCGAGGATTGTTGGGGGATGCTGTCGGACGGGCCCCGAGGATATGGCTGTTGTTGCGGGGACTTTGAGGGAGTTGGAAGCAGAGGCTTGAGATGGATGCGGAGTTGATGAGACGCGGCATCGGTGGCTGGTAGCATACCTGATTGAAACACACATGCCTGTTGCTACGTTCTTGTCCGAGCCCAGTTGGGATATCACGTAGAGCAAAACAGAGACATATTTTGGCACTGGATCTCAGATGATACGTTCATCTGGCTTAGGAAAACCTGCCCGAGCACGATCGTGGCGCCAAAATAAATTATGAGTTTAATTTGCTCTGTATTTCTATGCATGTGGAAATATACCTCCAAGTAAGCAAGAATCCAGTATTGGTATAGAATACGCCCCAAATCCGACGACCCACACCCATACTTCTGAATTGCATTGCCTATTGCAATTTTCCCGACCCTGAAAGGAGAGCGCCATGCACCGGCCCTGATTAGACTCCTCGTACAAAGTGACCCGACCCTATTTTGTTGGTCGTGGCAGGTAAGCACCACCCGCGAGCACCAAGTTCATCCTTGTGAACTGCACCTTATAGACAGGGCTCTCCTTTGTTTGGAACACACTAATCTGATCCGCCGTAACGCCCGATTCCTTGGCATTCTTCTTCGCGCCTGTAACGGGAGCTCCAGATGCTCCCTTCGTTGTCAAAGCTCCATCAGCTTTCGCTGCAGCAGTGCCGTCAGCGGCTTTCGAAGTCGACTCGTTTGTCTCTTGTATGGCATCCCAAACGCGCACCGTTTGGTCGGCACCGCAGGATACAAGAATGGTGGACTCGACGCTCCACGAGAGGGACCAAATTCCACCTTTGCCGTGGCCACGCATACGCTTTTTCCGGCGACCGGTCTCGAGGGTCCATAAGATGATGTTGCCCATGTCGTCTGCGCTGGCGAGTGTTCTGCCGTCAGGCGAGCAGGCAATGGAGGTGACGTTTCCGGTATGTCCCGTAAACAGGCGAAGACAGTTGCCACCAGATGTGTGCCACATCCGCACCGTCCTATCACAGGAACCGGTGAAAACGTACAGGTTATTCGGGTGGAAGGCTACGCAGTCGACGTCGTTCTCGTGTCCGACGTATATTCTGAGCGGCTCAATATGATCAGTGGCCCAAAGGCGGGCGGTGCGGTCGTTCGAACCTGTGAGGAAGTAATGACCGTAAGGACCCCATTGCAAGTCCCAAATGGGGTTGTCGTGACCGCGATACGCTACCAGACACTGCCAGACATCCAGGGACCATAGCCTGACACTCTTATCTTCTGATGCGGAGAGTAGGTACTGTGATGATGTCGAAGGGCCTGTGGGATCCGGGTTGACTGTGGCAGGGGAGAAAGCGACTGCGTAGATGGGCCCCGAGTGGCCAACTAGCCGGCGCGAAGAAGCTGGTTGTGCGTTTTCAGAGGGAGACGTGAGGGCACTGCCGTCCATAGACCAGACTCGAATATACGACTCTGCCATGCCAGCTGCAACGAGCTTGTTGTCTCCCGAGAAGTCGATGCAGTTGATACTGAGTTATTGGTTAGCTTGATATATGATAGTGATTCGGGTCGAATTTACCTATCGTACGTGTTGTGGAAGGTGTACATGGTGACGCTGACTCCAGGGCCGACACCACCAGTTCTGGTACCCTCCAGTCTATAGCGGTCGCGGTGTTCAACCACTTTTTGCACCTCCATTGAGACGTCTCGGGCAAGCGATGGCGGAAGAGGTATCAAGTCACGAGAGGGTACGTCGTCTGTCGGCTCGCGTTTTATGCGCGCCTCGTACTCATCCACAAGTGAAGGCTGTCCTGGCCTTGGCGCGTTTTTAGCGTCTTCGTCCTGGAGCGTCGCGCGCACGTCGTCCTGTAAGTCTTGATCCAGAGGGTACGGTCCAAGCGCCAGCCGTATCCGGGAAGCATCGGCTTCAGGATCGTGTCGCGATGTGAGCGGATGACCGGGGTTGTGGCCAGGGATTCCTTCGTCTTCCGCAGGAAGTTCATCTTCATCCTGTCCGCTGGCTAGAATTGCGGCGATGCTTCTCTCGGTGGTCGCTGTTCGGTCCACAGTGACGATGTTCAAATGGTCTCGTATAACGTCTATTAGTGCTTGACCTCCTTCGAACATTTTAGATTCCAAGAACTGAACCAGGTTGTAGAACGGCATCAGAGTCATAGTCACGCGGTACTTGTTGTCAAGGTATAATTTCGCGAGGCTGTCCGTCGTCAAATGTGGCGGCAGGCGCACGGCACTCAGGGTGTTGACATCCTGGGGGTGATCTCGTTCAAAAGTATTGCGGTACTTTGCAAAGAAAGCTTCCGCATCCTTGGTGAAGTACTCGCGCACCAGGTCCAGGTATGAGTAGACGAAAACGGGCCATAGTAATTTGCGCAGCTCGGGCTTGTATACGTCGAGGATGTCGTCCATGTACTTTCGCAACAGCTCAAACGCTTTGGTCGCTTTCGTGCCACCCTGATCAGAGCTCTGTCCTCCGAGAGACGCACCGTTCGTGGCGGCAGGTTCAGACTCCTTGCGGAGCATGGCCTCGGTTCGGACATAGCCTTTTTTGCTGAGGTATTCCAGCACCTAAAGTCGTCAGCAAAGCCCAACACAAGAATGAATCTTTCAGGAGGCTGTGGATTCTGGCTAACTTGGGTTTCTGTGAAAGGGCGCATGGGGCTGGCTGGGGACCCCGAAACAGGCGGACGTGATGAAGCGTGCGGACTGGGTCTATACTTTGTCTGCGGCCCTATGTTTGGCATGCGCGGCGGGGCTGGAGATTGCGGTCGGCAGTAATCGCCATACGGCAAGGGAAGGTTGGGAATGTAGGGACTCGGGTTTCTCGACATCTTAACCGGTCGAAACAGACAAAATTGAGGTGCGCGCAAAGACAAAGAGTGTGCGAATACTTCAAGCAGACTGCAGCAAGAAAGGCTTTTGGTTGCGCGACAAAGCTATGGGCGTCCATTTTGCGTGGTCCCCAGCCACCCATGGGAGAAGGGAGAGTAAAACGCCGACAAGGTGAAGGTGCAAAGAGCTTCTCACTAACAATTTGGTTGAGGTTCTGCTGCGACTGCGGCCCTGCAGAGCCCCCAGCAGGCGGAGGGACCGAATTCTGCTGCGGCGGCATTCCATTATGTGGCGGCAATCCCGCGCTGGGTGGTCCGTTTCCTACGCTCATCGCGCGTCCAGCCCCAGGCCCTGGCAGGGGCCCGGACATGGCACAGGTTTCCTTGCTCTTTCACGATGCGCCGCACAGTCGCATTCACCTCTAGGCGGATTCGGTCGCGTGGAACATGGAGCGTGTGTAGACGTAGAGGCGACGCGTGTGTGGGTGAATGGGTCAGGGTTGAGTGAAAGCGGAAGTGTTCTGGCTGTTGTATGCTATGGAAGAGCTGTACGCTCACTCCTCCGTGAATCGCGGTGGAAGTCGCGACGGCCGCCAGACCGCGCCTGCCTGTGGCCGTGCGCGCCAAGCTCGTTGCGGGGAGCTGTCGCGGTACCTAGCCTGCGCTAGAGCTCTTGCGCTTCCACTTGCTGCACAATCATTGCCAATCCAGTTTCTCACACACCCTCTGTACTGCTCACCGCTGTTCTCTCTACGCCAGCAGTGAGCTTGCTCGCCCCAGAAACCAGCCTTCCACTCTCTCGGACCGCCGCACGCCCTCTTCATTCGGAACCAAAAACCCTCTCGTAACGGCCTCTGTCTGCTACACCGCCCGAATCCTGTCTCCGCCTTTACCTTCCGACTGGTAACATACAACACCCCCCTTCGCGATGGGAGCAGACAACGAAGCCTACCGCTCCACTGCAACAGCCCACATCCGCGCACTCTCCGCCCTATCCACGCGCCTCCCCCCAGTCCTCAACCACGCAGCCACCACTCTCTCGCAGCTCACTAACGCGCCGATTCCCTCGTCCTCATCCACAACGGACTCCCCGCAAGCCCGCCGCGACGCCATCTCCTCGTCCGCAAAGGAGTACTTCGCCGCTGTGTTCGACATCGCAAGCGAGCTGCACAAGCAAGTGGACGACCTGGAAGAGGCGGGCGTAATTCCCTCGCAGGAAATCAAATACATTGCACGCACAGTCAGGGAAGAGGACACGGGCTTTGGATCGAAGGGCGGGGTGCTGGCGATGGCGGGGATGCCGCAGACGCAGCCCAAGGACAGCGAGGCGACGGTCACAAATGGCGGGCTGGGTGAGTTCGACATCGGGGTGCTGAATGCGCGGGCTGGGATCCGGGAGGGCGGGGATGGTGAGGTGTTGGAGAAGGTGAAGAGGCTTGTTGAGGACTTGGAGCGCAGATCGAAGGAGGGGGAGGAGGATGACGGGAAGATGGATGAGACGTGAGGCGCACGACCACCACTAATTGCAGCCTCAAGCATTGCGATGGCAACTGCGAGCCGATCAACAGGTTTGTCGCAAAGCGGTCATTCGCAGCACCATAATCTTCGGCACCCGTGGTGCGGTGTACATGCACCCCGGCCTTTGACCGCATTATAGCAGTCTGAAACCCGCCCGACGGAAAGCTCCCGAACACTCGACACGATCTTCGAAATGAGTTTCAAGGCAGCAAGACGGTCATCGAACTGGAAACGCACCGCCAAGACAGCCTCGTTAAGATCCCACAGAGACAGCATCGCAGAGGCACGCATCCCAAATACTACTCCGTCCAAATCCGACTTGGAAGTTGCCAACAAAGAGCTTACGGGTCCAGATACTTGTGTACGTACCCGGCTACAAGCTTAGTTTGCTCAATCACTGCAAATACACCCTTGATGGCAAGCACGAGTAGTCTGTCGAGGCCGATAGCGCACGTCTGGAGCCATTGCTCAAAATACACATGGAACCCAAAGGGCGAGCTTCGAGATAGCGCCACGACCACGTCTCGAATCCTTCGTCGGCTGCCAATCACGCTGCCTTGTGCAGCGAATGCGCGTGGAGCATGTCACTTGGCTAGATGGAATAACGCAGAAGTTTAGCGCATCATGTACAACACTGCCACTACAGCTCAGGCGATCTCTCAGATGTCAAAATGGATATCATGTTTCCAATTCCAATCCCTCGCACGCTTCCTATGTGACATAAAGAAAAACGTCGTGCGTATGCGCATATTTGTTCTCTTGAACACTCCCTTCCACTCTCCCCCTCTTCCCCTCCCCAAATCTACCCAATATGAACTTGCATGTGCATGCGACATACACCCACCCGTCCATGCTATCCAACCCATCCAGCCCAATCCAGCAAACTCCATACCCTAGATATCAATGGCGCTTGCTACAATGAAGAAGAGAGAAAATGATAGAAAAGAGACCAAGGAAACATTCATCGCGATAGTCTAGACGCTCCTCTCGGGGCTCTCCCCCTCAGCAATCACGGCAACGCCCAGTCCCCGGTCGGGCGACTGCAGCACAAGCTGCTCGTGCCGCCGCGCTCGGACAAAGTCGCTTATGCTCTTGATCAAGATGAACCACCCCACAATCATCAGCCCGTACGCAAGCCAATCGCTGCTGCTAATATCTGAGCTTGTAGGCGTCTCGTTGCCCGTGACACCACCGCCGCCCAGCGCGTTTGGATCGAAGTCGTGGCTGTTGGGGTCGCTGGGGACGCCGCCGTCGAAGCCGCCGCCTGGCGAGTCGTTTCCGGGCGAGAGGTTGGAGGCTGATTTCATGGTGAAGCCATACTGGACGAGGGTGATGCCGAGGCCTGCGCGGGAGCCGTTTTTGGCGGCGTGCGTGGTGTGGAGGAGATACGTAAGGAGGAAGCCGACGAGCTGGAAGGACATGGAGATCATGGCGTTCCAGATGAAGGAGAAAACAGAGCCGACGGGAAGGCCTTCGACAAAGACCTCGTCGCCGAAGGTGCCGGGCGCGAGGATCGTGGTTTCCCAGTACGGGGGCGTAGCGTCTGCGGCGGCTTGTTCGTAGGTCTGCAAAACTATTAGTGCCTGATTGTTGTATGATACAAAGGTAAGCGTACCGGAGGCTTCTCCTCTGCCTCTTCGCCTCTTGTCGGCTTTGCGCTGAGGTTCGCCCACACGCCGTCGTTCTGTCCTCCGCCGTATATCCGGCCGCCAGTTGGTGCGACTGTGTTGAAGACGGGCAGCTGTGTCACGCTTCTTTGCCGGCCGGGCCTCACTGGCCTCAGCGTGTTGTCGTCTGCCTCCCGCTGCTCGTCTGGGTTTCCCCGCATAAGTCGCTGTCGATCATCGCTCTCGTCTTCATCGTCATCTGAATCCGCATCGAATGTGTCTGCGAGCGTGCCGTCTGCGTCGTTGGCTAGCGGATCGTCGGACAGGAGACGGCGCGAAGCGGCGGCGGCGGGTGATGAGGCGCGGCTGTGGAACGATGGGGGTGGCGAGGCGGGGATTGCGAACGGCGCTTGAGGGCTCTGGGGTGTATCGACAGTGTCGTCGTCGTCGTCGTTCGCTGCTACCTGTGCGTATCGCATCGTCAGTCGCGTGTTCTCTTCGTGCGGGTGCCCCTGGGCCGTGGAGGCGCCGTGTCGCAGTGCGGCCTGGGGCGGACTGATACGTACCCGCTCGTATCGCTGCGGGCCCATGGTTGCGCTGGGCCGAAGAAGTGCTGGGTTGCGGGCGTGGGAGGCTATCTCGTTCGAAGGAAGGGAAGAGCAAGGAAAGAAGCGAGCGGACGGGACGGTGGGCGTGGTAGGTAGCAAGTGAGTGTGTCAGGCGCGGAGGTATCGGTCACATCTCGCTGGCCTGGGCCAAGTCCGCCCAAACCGCAGCAGCAGCGCTTGGGGAAGGGACCCACCCGGAAGGGGAAGGCTCAGCCACCGCTTTGGCACGCTACGCGCCACCGTGGGCCTATCGAAGCTCGTGGATGATGCGAGCATTTTGTTGCGGACGAACAATTGCGCATCCACCACCACCACCATGTCGCAGCCTGTGAGTAGTACCTGCTGCGCGACCTATGCAACCCCGCGACTGACCCGAGAGCCACAGGCCATAGTAAAGCACTACACGCGCATCCTCGCGCTCTGGCCCAAGGACCTCCTCCGCCCGAACCTGCCCTTCACACGCACCATCGAGCGACGCGCCACACCCTATGGCGTGAAGCCCGTATCGCCGCCCATCGACGAGGCAGAAAAGAAGACTGCGGCCGCCGCTGCAAAGCCTGCGCCCATAGCAAAATCAACCCCGCAAGCCGAGTTGCCACAGATCAATGCACTCTTCTCGTTGCTTGAGAACCGGTACAGCAAGAAATACCCCGTATCACCAGGCGTCTTCAAGCCGACGTCGAATCCCGAACACTACGAGCGCCTGATGGAGGAGATTGAGCGGGCGCCCAAAAAGAGCTGGTTCCAGGCCAAGATGGACGAGTGGAAGATGAAGATCAGGTGGCAATGATATGCCACTGGGACATGTACGATAGGGGCACTCGACTTGAGGTCTCCATGTAAAATAATTCGGATCGGGCGCACTTTGACTGGAGAAAATCGGTCATCTGTAGAACATGCATCACGTCGGTGGGAATGGGATCTAGTAGACAGCTGCTCGCACCGAACATCGAAGTAACGTTAGCACGCCTGCTGGCTGTAAATAAGGGCGAATAATGACAGAAAGAGAAACATCAATATTACTTTCCCTTTATGTGATACAATCCAGCGCCTTTTCTCGCATGGGCAGTGCGCAATCTCATACGGATGAAAAGTCGGTCAAGTATCGCATGCGCCAAAGTCGTCCAAACGCCTTAGCGCTCCCATGCCGACAATATAATTCTACAGTGCGTCAGAATATCATTGCTGCAGGAAGATCCGGGTGGACCGCCTCTTGACTGGGATTTCCGAAGACTGAATCGTAAGCAGTTGTTCCACGTCGTTGTACGCGCAGCGACATGGACTTACCGACGCCGGGGTCAACGCTATCTCTGCGAATCTTCGTCTTTATGGAGCGCTTTGAGCCGTCCTCATGGCTCTCGTGGAACGTACGATTACTCTCTGACTTCGTGCCCAACCTCGGGGCTTCCGCACGATGAGAGCGCTTGATCTATACACGAGTTGGACAGTTGTGAGTAGCGTACACATCACTATGCTCACCTGGTCCTCCACTTCCCATTCGGACAAGTCAGATGGGCAATCTGACAAAGGACTGGATATAAACAACAATTCTCTGCCAAAGTCGGCTTCTTGGTCATCTGCAGACTCGCAAGTCAATACCCGCTCATAGATTCAACAGCGCCCAACATACCTGCTTGTGCGCCCTCGGACTTCATCTCACCATCTTCAGTCAAGGCCCCCAAATGATGCACGTCATTGCCCACCGTGCCTGAAGCCTTTACTCTATCTCCGCTCATGGTCGGTGGTTTTGCCGCACTCGAACCTGGATTCACAGCATCCCCGTTAGCTAGCAAAGCGGATGAAATCTCCATACCGCAGAGCTCGTAGCTGTCAGCGAGGTTATGCCCATCGATAAACATATGCTGCCCGATGACCATGCCTTCAACCTGTCCCAGCAACCGCTCGCGGCTAGGATGACCCACGAACAAGCCATCTCGCAGCAGATTCTGTTTGCGTACGTTTCCGTCGATCAGTATAGTCTTCGAGCCTTCTTGCGTGAACTTGGCGAGGAATCCCGTGTGGACGGAATTGGTCTGCACCTGTGCACGATTTCGACGCAAGCTCCTGTCTTGGTTCCCAGCAGCAGACAGATCACCAGATACATCCTCAGAGATCCTGACGTCCTCGTCGTCTTCAAGCCACAAGCCCACAGGTCGCGGTGTTGGCGGATATGCCTCTGGGTCATTCGGATCGTTGAAGTCATGGTGAACTGCCAATATTAGTCCAACCCGTACCTCCTGTTCTTACACCTATTGCTTGCGCCTCGTATTACTCACTACCAGTATCATCCCAGAACCCATTCGTGCCATCCCACTCATACCCTCCGTCATAGAACAGCATCGACCTCTCCGAAAGCAGGCCGTTCCAGTGATCTGGATGTTTGTGTTTGGTGTTAGTAGCAGCGTTATCACGACCATGTGCGTTTGCTCCGACCATGACTGACTGGTGATGCAAGACGTCTGGGTTGGTGTGTGTGGTCCAAAAAAATAAGAGGTGGTGGTGGCAGCCTGTGAAAAGATTGGTGTACTGTAGTCACGGTGACCGCATTTATGCGAGGGCAAGAGCGCGTGAAGTGAAGGCAGGTGCGGTCGAGTGATATCGGGGGGCGTAGCTAGTTCCTCCATAGAACCGTTACCAGGAAACAAAAAATGGAAACCCAGAAACCAAATCAGGTACGAAGCGGCGCAGCAGCCCCAGGCTGAAGGCAGTGAGCAACGGCCAGCCATCGGCTAGCGGATTAATACAAAAAAAATTGAAGTTGAAAACCGATTCTGGAACAAATATCACGAAAGTAAAATTCGAAGCACTGGAAGGCAACAACGATGGTTGTGCATAGGATAAAAAAGAGAGGAAACCAGCACCAGGACAGCCGCGAACAGGTCTCCGTTGTGGACCAAATACCGCGAGTTTGGATGACACTGTCGTCCATGGCATTCGCCATGAATCAAAGTAGAGCCGGAGAAGTCCTCTGTAGAATGGAGACTGCGATTCCTCCTCTACGATGCGAAAGGAGAGAGAACCTCTCAACTCCAGATCTGGGCACAGAGGTAAAAGGCGCAGTGCAAAGTAAGATACAGACATGCATTCGAAAACTGCATCTATCCTTTTGAGCTAAAGGTGCAAGCTCGCACGAAGGCGAACTCCACAACACATGCTAACACACTGAAACAACACCACCCATACCGGTCCCACCAAAGCAGTGCCACACTCACCCCGAACCCGATAACGCCAATTCATAATCGCAGACATCCACCCTAACAGGTACACCGGCAGAAGAGCCGTTGAGGATATCTATCGTACAGCGCCATGCATCGAATAGAAAATCAGAAAGAGAAATACTGACGGCAATGCGCAGCTACATCGTTGGATGAACGGTACCAGCGTGAGCTGTGACGGGCATGTTGGCGAGGTTGCTGTTGCTTCCGAGCTGCTGGCTGAATTCGATCCGCTTTGCTTTTTCCTGCTCCATCATGGCGCGGTCGGCTTTGGTGACGCGAGGCTTGCGTACAGTTTGACCACCGCGTGAGCCTGGGCCGCCACCGCGACCTCGGCCACGTCCTGAGGTCTCTCCTCGACTGGCTGCAGCGCGACCGCGTCCACGACCACGCTTCACAGTCCCATCGGCCCTATTTGGTATTAGCATGCTGCAGCGAAGACACCGTAATCATCAGCGGATACATACCTCTCCACGGCAGGCTTCTCTTCGGTAATGAGAGGGCCACTGTATACGAAGAAGCCATCCTTGGCCATAAGCGCTTGCTGCTCCCAGGCCAGCTCGGTATCGTCGATGAAGTCGTCTTCCTTGTCGTAATCTTCCTGTTTTCTCTTGCGGGGTTTCTTCGCCTTGCCCGCTGCGGAGCCCTCCTCGTCCATGCCTGTGTTGCCGCCGTTACTCTCATTGTCCGACAGGTCGACTGACATGTCGTCAGCAGATCCAGCAAGACCGGCCGCCTTCTCGAGAGCAGCGCCCATGGATGTTATTTGCCGTTGACGCTCCCGACGAGCTGCAATTCGAGGATGCAGTGCAGCGAAGCCATATTTCTTCTCCACCTCCTGAGCAAAGTTGATGGTGACATTCGTCTGACCCTTCAGCGGGAAGGTGAGCCAAATGTTGACGCCTGAAGGTTCGGTAGCGCCGTTTCCGTTTACGCCGACAGCGGGACCAAATGGAGTGCCTGAGAGCAAACCGCTTCCTGTTGGCAGGGGCGGTGGGGCTTCCTTCTGGCGAGCTTTGACGGGCGGAGTCGGGGCGTTGGACAGTGTGCCCGCGCTCGCGGAGTCAGTCTTCTTCATGGGCACGGAAGTCCTTGGGTCGGAGTCGATATCCATGGGTGCGGGGCCTAGAGGTGCTGCGGGGCGAGGTGGCGGTTGGTTGTCTTGAGAAGGAAGGAGCGGACCAGGTCGATTTGATATGGCGGCAGGCGACAACGGAGCAGAGGTGACGGACGTTGGGTGCTGCAGCCTAGCAGGCTGTGTGTATGTTGAATTGGCGACTGTCGGCGGATCAATCAAGGACGTGATGGATGGGGATGCGCTTGCTCGGTTGAGGGGTGGCGAGATGGGTGGTGGAGGCACGCTCGCAGCAACGAGTGGTTTGGACTCGTAAATACCGCCACGTATGGGGTCATAACGTTGGCCCGAGCTCGCAGGTCGTGGTGTTGAAGGCGTCGGCGTGATGTGGGAAAGGTTAGGGTTGCCGTGAAGCGGCTCTGCACTGGCCCCGAGCGCGCGCGGAGGTGGTGGAGGTTGCGTAACGGGCGCAGATTGCTCTGGTTGGAGCACCTGCGCCAGCTCTGCTGGTCTTGTTTGCGGTGCGGATTGCTGCTGTAGTACATTCACAGCTGGCTTCTCGTCAGCGGGCGCTGGTGAAGCATTCTGTGCCTCCAGAGACGCCTTGGTCCTCCTCTTGCGCGGCGCGGGCGCTGCATTGGGGTCTTTTGGCTCCGCGGCCTTGCGAGGCTTCCTGGGCTTCTTCTCTTCTGCGTTTGGGTCCTTGGGCTTTGGCTTGGGCCCAGGCTTCTTACGGACGGTGCCAGCTGCGGTAAGTCTGGGTGTGGGCGTTGTGGATGCTGCAGGGGTGGGGGTGCTAGCATTTGCTGCAACACCATAACCACCGCTCGTGGCGTGGATCGCGGAATTGTTGGGCGTCCCCTGTTCAGGCGAATGAGGGGGTGAGCTCAGACTACCGGGCGACGATGCGACCTCTGCTGCGTCCATGGCTTTGGAAAACCAAAACTCTGCGACGCCAAAACGTCGCAGCCGCGCGCGTTATATGTCTACAACAAGCTTGAAGGAGGTATCCAAAAGAGAAGCAATTTGGCTGTTGAAAAGTCACGCGCGCAGGCTTCTCGAACGGACACGCAGTTGGCGGAAACAGGGTCGACTGGACGGGCTGGCAGACTCAACACCCAGGCGCGCGTACTGAGATAGTCGACGGACGCTGGCGAGAACACCAAAATCGAAGTGCAGACGCAGTGCCGGGTGGCCAGGGGCTCAAAGAGTGACTAGGGCACGGGGACGAACACGACGCTGCTTCACGCGCAATTACTCGGATGGCGGCGCCTTTGCACGGCAGTGGATTGATGGATTCGAAGCCGTCGCTGGCAGAAAACGTACAAGAGAAAAGGTGGAAGAGGGAGCGTTGCGACGGCGAGGGGACTTCACGTATAAAGGGCAGCGCAATGGGTTTGGGCGGGCCATCCAGTCAAAGCACGGGCAACGGTTACGAGAATATGGAGCGAGCATACGCCAGAAGGGAGCGACGGAGCTGGGGCTTTCTCGTAGGCAGGAGACAAGCAATGCCGCCGGGAGCGAGCCTGGAAGAGACTTGCCGTTGCATAGGGCTGGCTCGTCGTCTCGCAGGGTGCCGGACGCGAGATGCGGACGCTCGACCTGCATCTGCACTCGAGGCCTTCAGATCATGTCGAATACGAGAATTGAATGCTTCGTGAAGACCATTGCTTGTTGCTGCCGGTGCCACAGGAGGTCACACGTCTCCGAGAGCACCTGGGCAGATGGCTTCCAGAAACCGACCAAGATCACATTGAGATTGCTCTCCAGCCACAGCCGCTGCCACGCATGCACCTCAGCCGAGCAAGGCGTCACAAGCGCCTGATCTCGATGCCACCCGCTGATTCGGCATTCTTGCTGATTTCACCAAACGATCATCTCTCGCTTAACGTTGTGCACCAGCGACAGTAATATGCATCTGCTCTTTAGCCAGACACGCTCGGTGTTGTCAACGCTCGTGGTTGAACGGACCTTCTAGAGAAGTGTCCGTGCGCTACCCAGTTCCGCGGCTAACTGCTTCTGTGGGACAGGGACAAGCTGCACGAAAATCATGCAATTCTCCGAAGCCGTGCATACGCTTCCTCCCAGGTACATCCAACCACCTTTCGCTGGCTCACAGCGCGAACATTCAAGTCTACCACGATGCGCTGCGGGCGTCCCTGCTGATCTGCACTCTCTTCCGAGTCTTGCGGGGCACCAACTTGAAACAATACCTGCGGAAAAAGGTCGCCGCGCCACCAAAGCGCATCACTGTTTCAACGACCCAGCCGGATTCGGCCACGCGAGCCAATGTATCACAAGTCTTCGCAGATCCAGTGATTGCCGCATGCGATGCACCACGCCAAAGCAAGAGAACATGGAACAAGAAGATGGCATAGACGAATGAGTTAACTACCGGACATATAACCCATGTGCCCCAGCATACATGATACATTTTGAGTCCAGAAGCGAGACGTATCCCCTCTCTGCATGCGCAGATCGAGCAAAACGTTTCACCACGGCGTGCAATCCACACGATGCAAAGAAACCCCAACAACAAACGCCTAGCTGCACAAAAGCCCGTCGTACAGAACCGGAACGCCAACGAAGGTATCATGACAGTGAAAGCATAGCTCGTGCGTGTCACATGTCTACGCCTTGTTCTTCTTTTTCTTCTTCTTGCCCTCGCCGTCCTCCTCGTCGGCGTGTTTCCTCTTCTTTTCCTTCTTTGACTTCTTGTCAGAAACCTCCTCTTCAACGTCCTTTGACTTCTTCGACTTCTTCTCCTTCTTCTTCTCGCGCATGGCTTGCTCGGTGGCCTTTGCAGTGACGCCGTCCGCCATCACAACGTCTTCCGCACCATGCGCGGTAGGATCCTCAGTGTCAATGTCAGCCATGACAGAGTCCATCGCGGCTTGCATGACGGTAGCGTTCTTCGCGGGAGTGGCTCCGGAAGCGTAGAACTCAATTCTTTCGTCGACCTGTCGCTTCAAGGCCTCTCCAAATTTGGAAGTTGGGGTTTCCGAGAAGTTATCTATGCGAGACCTGAATGCAAAGTAAGCATGGGAAAAGACACTGGAAAAGGTCACGTGTGAGGATATCGGGGATGACTTACGCAATTGATACTTTGTTGGCAAGGAAACGGGAGATCCTTCCCTTCGACTTGGCGCCAGTCTTGCCGATGAACGAAGAGTGGTAGATCAAACCGTACTTGGGCGTGTTTCCCTTCGTCTTCAGTGCGCGGAAGAGTGCCTTTTCAGCACCAAGAATCTGTACGGTCGAGGCAGGGTACTTGGAAAGGTTGGTCAAAGAACCAGCCTTGGAGATTAGCCTGGCGGCAACGGTATCGCCAATGAGCGCGGCTGTGTTGGGCGCTACACTCTGCAACCTGCTCGAGAGATAACCTGCGAGCTGTTTCCTGTAGACGGCCAGGGCATCTGTGCGTCTGGCAAAGGACATGACCATCTCAAGGTCTGCATCGGAGATTTCTCTGCCCATGCTCGTCCTGGCGGCCTTGATGATGGCCTGAGCAACCGACTCATCATCGCCCACCACTGCAGCAAGTTCGTGAAGCTTCTCATCCGACAATCCGCTCTTGTCACCGATGAAGAGCACCGCGCCTGCGTAGTGGTCGTTGGTCAAGATCTTGCTGAGCTCAGGGAAGTGCCAGCCCTGCAATAAAAGTCAGTGTGAATTGAGACAGGTTGTCTCTGCATGCTTACGTAGTTCTCACGGAGTCTCATGGTGAACTGGTTGAGATCCTTGTCAATCTGGTCCAAAGTCGCAATAGCCTGGATAATATGGTTGTCATGCTTCGCTACCGAGAACTTGACCTTAGCACGGGAGTATGCGTGTCCCAGACCAAGCACGGACCGCTCAAGATCGCCAGGCTGGAGTTGCTTGACCAATTTGTCGCCATGCTGACGCAGCCCTCGGAGCAAATCAGCCACTACGGCGTTAGTCTCACCAGTCTCGCATTGAACTCCCTCAAACTGCGCCTTGATGGAGCCAGCCAAGTTCTTCTCCCAGATTCCTAAAACAACCTTCTTCTTCTTGGACGACTTGGGCAGGTTCGATTCGAGGGTCGATTGCAGGAAGGGGCTCAGAATTCCCTCGGAAACATCATTGATCTCCTGCAGAGCGTCCTGGGTTCCTTGGAACGGGGTCAAGCCCACAAGTTCGACGGTCTAGCACTGTTAGAAAGACCAAAACTATCCGCAGGCACGGGCGGTTCTACCTTTCCAAACTTGGCGAGATCCTGAACGGCTTCTTGCACTTCCTTCAAGCGGTTGCCAATGGTGTCGGGCTGCTTCACGACCTTGAAGATGGCGTATCCGAGCGCACTTTCGTGCAGCAGGTAGTCCACAGACATGGTTGCACGGCTGGCTTGTCGCAGCTCCTGTAGAGTGCGCGATTGATCGGGGGGGTGTTTTGTAGCTGCTGCCGGGTGCGCAAACAGATGTCGAGAGGTGCGCGCGGTCGGACGTTTTTCTTCGCAGTGGGTAGCTCGAGTTTGAGAGAGCTAGGGCCGCCGAACTTTTTTCATTCGGACGTGGAACAACTTGGCGCCGAAAACCGCGAACTTTCAAACTACGCGACGTACGCGAGGGTCGACCAGGCTTCCGCAACAGCAAGAGACGCCACGCCTCTACGTTCCTTCCAAACCTCCAGAAAGAATCGCCGTAACCATGTCGGCTGCACAACTACTGAATCCGAAGGCCGAGTCAAGGGTGAGTCGCACTTGTTTTGAGCTTTGCGACCTAGCTAACTTTATGTAGCGGCGCGGGGAAGCTCTCCAAGTCAACATCTCGGCCGGCGAGGGCCTGCAAAAGGTATGGATTGGCTTCTTGCTGGCCGTATGACTACTCTGACTGTGAACCAGGTGTTGGCTTCCAACCTCGGACCCCGTGGTACCCTCAAGATGTGAGCTTGCCCCACCGAACGTAAACAATGACAGACTAACGATGTATAGGCTTGTCGATGGTGCAGGTGGTGTATGTGATAGCGCTACAGACGGTCGCGCGCACTTCTAACTAGCTTGCAGATCAAGCTCACCAAAGATGGCAGTGTGTTGCTCAAGGAAATGGTACGTCAAAAACACACCGCAGCGACTTGTCAAGTCAGGCAGCTAATACAAAGACAGCAAATCCAAAACCCGACAGCCGTCATGATCGCACGAGCGGCAACCGCACAGGACGAAATCACCGGCGACGGAACCACCTCGGTCGTGCTATTGGTCGGCGAGTTGTTGAAGCAGGCGGATCGCTACATCGCAGAAGGCCTCCACCCAAGAGTCATCACCGATGGCTATGAGATCGCAAAGACTGAATCACTCAAGGTATGCTGGACAACCGCGAATGGCTTCGCTGGAAGCTGACTATCGTCAGTTCTTGGACGAGTTCAAGCTGAACAAGGAGGTCGATCGGGAGCTCCTTCTCTCCGTTGCGCGGACATCGTTAGCCACAAAGCTGGACAGCACTCTCGCCGAGCAACTGACTCCGGATATCGTTGATGCCGTCCTTGCCATCTACCAAGCCCCCGCAAAACCAGATCTGCACATGGTTGAAATCATGACGATGCAGCACCGCACCGCCGCAGACACACAGCTCATCCGCGGCCTGGCACTGGACCACGGCGCAAGACACCCCGATATGCCGAAGCGTGTTGAGAATGCTTACATTCTTACACTCAACGTTAGTCTAGAGTATGAGAAATCCGAGATCAACTCTGGATTCTACTACTCCAGCGCAGAGCAGAGGGAGAAGCTTGTTGAGAGTGAACGGCGGTTCGTGGATGAGAAGCTCAGGAAGATCGTGGAACTAAAGAAGGAAGTCTGCGGCAATGACCCCAAGAAAGGCTTCGTGATAATAAATCAGAAGGGTATTGACCCGCTGAGCTTGGACGTGCTGGTCAAGAACGGCATTTTCGCGCTTCGGAGAGCTAAGAGGCGGAACATGGAGCGTCTGCAACTTGTCTGTGGAGGCACCTCCCAGAACAGCGTCGATGACCTAACTCCCGATGTGCTAGGCTGGGCAGGTTCCGTTTACGAGCACCAACTCGGCGAGGAGAAGTACACATTCATCGAGGACGTGAAGGAGCCCAAGTCGGTCACACTTCTGATCAAGGGACCAAATTCGCACACTATTACTCAGATCAAGGACGCAGTTCGCGACGGACTGCGAAGTGTGTACAACATGATCGTAGACAAGAGTGTAGTCCCGGGAGGCGGAGCTTTCCACGTCGCCTGCGCGTCGCGTCTATTGAGCGAGAGCTTCCGGAAAACAGTCAAGGGCAAGGCGAAGTGGGGTGTCGCTGCATTTGCCGATGCGTTGCTCGTCATTCCCAAGACCCTCGCAGCAAACTCGGGTCACGACATCCAAGATTCACGTATGAATACAGTTCTCTCCTATATTTAAGCACATACTAACGAGGTCGCAGTGGCTGCGTTACAGGATGAACACGCCGAGGGCAACGTTGTCGGCTTGAATCTGGCTACCGGAGAGGCCATGGACCCCATGCAAGAGGGAGTCTACGACTCGTTCCGAGTTCTGCGCAACGCCATCGCTTCAAGTACCGGCATTGCATCCAACCTGCTGTTGTGCGACGAGATGCTCAAAGCACGACAAATGGTAAGCTTCGGTCATTGTTCATGAAATATCATCTGCTAACTCTCCATCGTAGGGACGGCAACAGGGACCAGTAGAGGAGAACTAATGAAGTTACGAAGTCTAGCCTTGTGTAGCGAAGAACTGCACAACGACAGGAACTGTATAAATGAATACTGTGGCCGGATGCGGGGATGCGCTCGTGAAATTGGCCTCGTGATTAATATAGCTACGGGCATGGGTATTTCCCCACAAAATTTAAGCTCATGCGGATCAATCCCCTTCTGGCAGGACCCTGGACAGGCATGCATGCGTGAGATCGCTCGCGAATACCGACACAGTTTCACAACTTTGGGCCGATTGACGTATGACTCGAGGAGCAATGTGAAGCGCTGTCTAACATTCCGTGCTGCGTTCCTATCTGTTTGACATTGTGAAAGGGGTGGATGTGCGACAAGGGGCTGCTTTGAACCGAGCACCAAGCATTTGCTAGACTGCATGTGGCATTCAAGATCCCGAGCCAAGCCCGCCGAAGGTGTTCACCTGCAACCATGTAGCGATTTCTCCTGTTAGTACTCGCTGTCCTTTGCAAGCACCTTCTGCTTTCTTCTTTCCTTTCTTCCCTCCGTTGTGCACTTCCCCAATGGCAGCGACGACATAGCACCTTCTTTTGCGGACCGCTCACTCTCTCAGCGGCTGTCTTCCACGGAGCCCACGCGACTGGGCCGACTGAACCAGGCGCCCACCATGTTCCGTCTCCGTAGATACCGCGTCTTCGTCGCTTTCACCGTCATCGCCGTCCTGGCGCTATATAAATTCGGGAGCTCAAATCCATCGTGGAGAGATCAAGCTGCGGGCTTCGCACCGGGCCACCGCGACAATGCAGACCCCCAAGTGAAGTGGGAGCCGAAACCGCAGGTTGCGAATGGGCCGAAGCAGTTCGGGGTGGAAGTATCTGCTGCGAAGAACCCTCAGACCAAGGAGACCCCGCCGCCAATTGCTTCGGTAGCGCGACCTGTCGAGAAGACATCTACTACCGCGCCTGGCAAGAAGTCAATACCTGTAGGCGTAGGAGTCGGGCATGGCGCACATGTAGAAGCGACACCCACACCGCGTGCCGATGAAGCTGTGGCACAGGCTGTGCTGGGCGACCTACTCTCATCCAGCGTGGAACCTATACATTGGATCAAGACCAAGGAACAATATCCCGTGCCGACGGAGTCGATCATCGCGCTGCCCACCGCAAAGCCGAAGCCTATACCCAAGATACAAGCTGTTTTCAAGAAAGAGACGGATGCAGAGAAGGTCGACCGCGAGGCAAAGCTGGGGACGATCAAGGATGTGTTCAAGCGCTCATGGTCTGGGTACAAGGAGTTTGCATGGCTGCACGACGAGGTTATGCCTGTGACCGGATCGAAGAAAGATCCCTTTGCGGGCTGGGGAGCGACGCTTGTAGATGCTCTCGATACGCTGTGGATAATGGGACTGAAGGACGAATTTGAGGCGGCTGTAAAGGCCGTCGAGAAGATTGATTTCACGACCACCACTCGTGTCGATATCCCCCTCTTCGAGACCACTATTCGCTACCTCGGAGGTTTCCTTGCAGCTTACGACATGGCTGGCAAGACGCATGAGATCTTGCTCACCAAAGCAAAGGAGCTGGCCGAGATCCTGATGGCCGCCTTCGACACTCCGAATAGGATGCCTCAGACGTACTATTACTGGCAACCGTAAGTACAGACCCACCCTGGCAACTTGCAAAATTGACGAAACGCAGTGGCTTATCTTCCGGCTCTCCCCTTGCGAGCAACCGCGTCGTTCTTGCTGAGATTGGTTCCCTGGCCATGGAGTTCACTTACCTAGCACAACTCACTGGCGAGGATCGATTTTATGATGCAATTGCTCGCATTACAGACAATTTGGAAGGATACCAAAATCACACGAGGCTCCCTGGTATGTGGCCGACGTACTTCGATGCGTCGGGGTGTCTTCCGCATAATTACAACACCGCTCCCAATAAGCCCCTTCAAAAACCGATAACTGCAGGAGACCCGGGATGGGAAGAAGCGCTCAAGAACGGCGCGTATCTGAAGGCTGACCCAAGCCAGCCGTTGGTCATGCCGGCTGAAGATGATTCAGCAACTACTGGTGACGAGGAGCTCTCGCCTAGTGGTAAGAAATATATTCCATTGGAGAAACCCCCGCCTCTAGAGATCGTGCCCAATGGGCCGAATCCATCGTGGAAGCCCCCGCCCGAGGAGGCATTCATCTGGCCTGGTGACACCAAGGCTGCTCCTAAAAAGCGTCAGCTTGACGCTGCGGGATTCCCATCCGATCCAGAAGCTACACCATTCAAACCCACCTGCGACAACCCCGGCTTTGGCCCGTCATCTAGCGGAGGAAGAGAAGAGTTCACGCTCGGTGGGATGTCGGATTCCACGTACGAATACCTTCCGAAACAATATCTGCTCCTGGGCGGCCAAGTCGAAAAATACCGTACCATGTACGAAGTATCTGCAGAGGTCATGAAGAAGCATCTCATATTCCGGCCTATGCTGCCAAACGAGGATGATATTCTTTTCTCTGGTAAGCGGTACGTTTCGGGAGCAGAGCCAGGTGAGACTCCCGCCACCGAACTCGAGCCCGAATACGCACATTTGACCTGCTTCGCGGGAGGTATGTTTGGTATGAGCGCCAAGATCTTTGACAGGCCGAAGGACCTCGAGATCGCTGCCAAGCTGACAGAGGGCTGTGTGTGGTCCTACAATATGACCGCAACGGGTATCATGCCGGAAGCGTTCGAGGGTGTGGCTTGTGGGAGTCAAAAGGACTGCCCGTGGAACCAGACGCTCTACTATGAGACTTTGGACCCCGCGCATGAGAACAGGGCGAGTCAATACGAGCAGGCCATGATCAACTACGAGATCAGGGTCAAGAGCGCAAGCCTGTGGTACGAGTCGGCGATGCAGGCGTATACGGAATCTCCTACGCCAACGCCTGTCCCCGTGAAGGCTGGCATCGCGCTCTCCGCGGCAGAGCCAACGGCGGCTGCTGGCAGCGTGCTGGACAAGCGACAGCTTACAGATCTCGAATACGCCGCACCACCATCGCAAAACGGGAGCTTGAACGTCGGCCGCGAATCTGCAGAAGATGCCGACAGTGCAGACTCTCCCACCAAAGTCCAGCTCCAAGTCGAAGAAGCTGAAGAGCCCATCCCCACCAGGGTCATGCCCACCTTCCCCGCCATTTACTCGCCGTCCGTCCCTCTCAGCCACGAAGACTACGTCAACACCCGCCTCGAAGAAGAGCGCCTCCCGCTCGGCGTCACTAGGATCAAGGCCCGGGAGTACATCCTCCGGTGAGTATCGTCTCCCATCCCCTCTACCCTCTTCCTAACATCACGCAGCCCCGAAGCCATCGAATCAGTCTGGTACATGTACCGCATCACCGGCGACCCATCCTGGCGCGCCGCCGGTTGGCGCATGTTCGAAGCCATCGACAAGCACACCAAGACGGCACACGGCAACTCAGCTATCGACGATGTCACCAAAACGAGCCCGAACCTCAACGACTCGATGGAGAGCTTCTGGCTTGCGGAGACGCTGAAGTATTTTTATCTGCTGTTTAGCGAGCCGGGGGTCGTGAGTTTAGACGAGTGGGTGCTTAATACCGAGGCGCATCCGTTTAGGAGGCCGGCCTGAGAGGAGGGTCTGGGCGTGTGTAGATATTATGCTTCTTTCTTTGATGTGGCTGTGCCACAATTGTTCCTGTTATGTGGGTCTGGCGCTTGGGTGTCTTGAGCTGTAGGAAAAGAGGGTTGCCTCAGCTGTCGTTTGGGATCTAGCCTGGTGTTTCTGGTGTTGGCCTGCTTGGCCGAGGAACTGAAATGGTTGCTCTGGTGATTTGTTACGCAGCTTCAATATGGCGCGTAAAGAGAGCGATAGCATTACTATGGAGTTTTTGCTAAGTTTGATAGGGTGATTTCGTGGTCGGTGTGAGTGCAGATTGTGATAACATGGATCTGGAAAGGCAGACCGAAGGAGGCATACAATCCAGTGAAGGGGCTCGCTTTAAGGCTAGGAGCAACCGATCAGATACTTACGAAGCCGCGGGGGAGAGTGCTGCTGTGCGAGGTGGAAATCCAGGTTAAAGACGTGGCGAGATGACTGGAAACGACAAATGAAACCCCCTTCTGAGCTGTGCTTCATGCTGGAGTCCGTGAGCATCGTTTATGAGGTATGAGCTTGTTAATTTCGCGTGTCTTGGTCACATGCGCCCTCTCGGCCTGTGGCTTCCACACGATTTGCACCTACTCGCCGTTTCCAGTCCCAGACTGCATGCGTACATGTAGCCTGAATGTGCCGCGTAAGCGCAAGCTGATCTCGTCGTGCGACTATAGCCTAGGCGTAGATGTGCTTGCGACAGTAGGTAACTCAAGGCTCCCTATGTAGCTCTATGTGCCGAGCTGAAAACGTATTAATATCATCCATGTAAGATTCGCGGGGGCGCTCCAGCCTCACGGAGTGCTGGGGGCCAAACTGCACTCAAAAGTTTGGACGCTTCTGTACAAGTTCGTCTATTTTTGAGAGGCCTAGCTCTAGATTAAGGCAGGTGGGTTCCTTATGTGGTTCTTGATGATGATTCTGGTACAACGGCGAAGTTCGCTTAGACTTCTAGACGCATGTTGCGGGAGGCATATAATTTCGGTGAAGGGGTCTGATCGAGCGCTAAAGAGCAGCCAATCAGATACAACGTGCTGTATAAGTGGGACTTGGGGGAGGCAGCCTCACATCCCTTCCGCGGGAAGATCTGCTACGGAGCTGGAGAAATGGGGCGAAATCCTGCGAGACTGTTCGGCCTTGCCATGCTAGAAGTCCGAACAGGGGTGTAGACTGTGGCTCCCCAATCTGATGAAGATGACTGAGCAGTGGTCAGTAATGGTTCGGAGTGTCGAATAACAGACTGCTTCGGTATAAAACCGCACGTTGGCAGCTGCACTCGAGTAGACTACCACCAGCATTCCAGAGCAGAAACCTCCACATCTCCACAGCTACTCCAGTCGCCATGAGGCTCTTCATCCGAGCACTAATACTAGCTCCCGCCGCCCTCGGCGCCTTGCTTGTCGACTTCAACGCCGCACGTGGCGACGATCCAAAGGCCCTGGGTCTCCGCAACCTCGAAGCTGCTCGGGGTGACAAAAGGAGTGAGAATTCTGCTGATCTCTACATCAAAGCCGACAAAGATGCAGACGGTGCTGCTGCAGCCCACTTTCATCGTGCCAAAGCGAACATCAGAGCCGAGTACCATGCTCTGAATGAGGAGACTCAGGCGGGCAAGACGTACTGGATAGGGTACGATGTTTCCATCAAGAAGCTTCAAAAAGGCTTGATGATTTGGCAATTGTAAGTCTATTCATTGTCTCAATGTATTATCTTTGCATGTCTCCCGCTAGCTTCTCTACCTGTTACTGACGGCCTGTCACAGCAAAGAATACATTGCCAACAAAGACAAGGGCGCCAATATCCCGCTCTGTCTCGAAGTCATAGACTCCACGCATCTGGAATTCCAGTATCAAGCGTCAAACGGAGCCAAGCGTGTGGGCCAGTGGCAGAAAACTATCAGCCCCAATCAACGATACAAGATTGGTATTGCCATCAACACCGGTTCTCCGGGATGGGTGGAGCTTTACATCGATGGCAAGCAGCAGCGCCTTGGCGATGACAGCGTCAAGCGACTGACCGCGACCACTTTTCCTGGTAGGGCGGACCCGAAATTCGGCGCCTACGGTGGCGAGGCTATTGACATTGACACGTTTGTGTATGATGTGCAGATTGGCGAGAGTAAGGCAGATGTTGCTAGGGCTGCTGGATTCTAGACCTTCTCCGCATAGAAAGCAACTGTTACATGAGTTCGGAGAATGTCATAAACATCTATTTCAAGTCGTAAACTTCAATACTGGACACGGAATCCTATTTCTTCAGCGCTGTACCGCCCCAGGACATACGCACTGTCTCTTCGAGCGGCTGAATCTGCACTATCCTTAGTGTGGGCAGGTCTTCTATGAAGAATGACCGCCCTTCCGTACTGTTTTCTGTTACCAGTCCCTCAGTACTCTCATTGCTTCTCCTCGACGATGTCCTCGCCATCTCTAGGTCGCCTTTGTTATCATCGTCGCGATGCTCAACAGTAACGATGACTTCTTTCGTGACATAGATCTGGTTCCAGGCAGCGACGACACTGGGCCAGAATATAGGCATTGAGGCGCATATGATCGCGAAGTCGATCTCGAGGCATGAGAAAACCAGGACTTCGGGTAGCCAGAATGTATAGTCGTACATGATGATGCCGCGGTTGTTGTACTTCAGGCCGCTCCAGAGGCGTAAAACGGCCATAAGAATCACGCTACAATACGTCAGCCGGCTTCTACAAGACGAACAATGTAATCTTGATACTCACATCAGCCCTACACCGAATAATCCCGTCATTGCCAGCACCTGCTTTCGCTTCAGGTTGGGTTGAAAATACTCCGTAAGTGGTATGAGGAAGACCAGGATATCTAGCGACATGTTGGAGCCGGCGAAAGCAAACAACGTGTTTCTTGCTTCATGAGTGGTTCGATAGCCAAAGGCATAACAAGTTGCTGGAGGTGCCTTCGTTTTGTTCCAGAACCCAGATACCGGAAAGCAAGGAAACCATGCCATGAAGGAGAATGTACCGCCCCATAGAACGACGACAGCAAGGACAATGAGAGTGATCGTGCGGCGGTAGCCTTCGCGGAAGAGCCGTAGGTATTGCAATATTAAGGAAAGCTTGATGCAGACAGTCGTCGAAGTGTATGCCGCGTTAGCAACGTAAAACCACTTCATTGCATTTGGAAGCCTCCCGAGGATGTATATGAGATGCTGGCCGATTCCAGCTTTTACTCCTAGAAGACCTTAATACTGAACCGACAAAGCTTGGATGGTGATCAGAGCACACCTCCTAGAAACGTCGTTTGGCCGACTAGGTTCAAGATTACGGCTATTGCAACGAACACGTCGTCCCAGCCTGGTTCACGGACGAGGTGAAGTCGGGTGTAGAGCCGAAGGCCTACGGCTACGACACTGAGGACCTGTTTTCACGTGGTAAGCATCTCGCATGGCGTTCTTGCAACGTAACCGGACGCACAAGGAATGGCATTGTGACCGCAATCGCGGTGCTGAAGTGATTGACCACGGGTATCGATTCGTTCGCATCAGGTGGGTTCTTCATCATCTCGAGGATGATTGGCATGAATTCGTTCATCGCGGATTCGCCCATCTTGATCTGCGCAAAGTCGCATTTATGAAAGTGCAGATCCCTTTCATACGGAACGCGATGTAGACTTGCTCGCAGGCGTGTCCATCGCCTTCACATATGCTCACTGTCATGGAAAGTTTGTCCATGATCCAGCGTTTTGCTTGTTCCTTGGCCGGATCAGAGCTGCAGCAGAAGCAGTTAAAGTTTAGTCGTCGTTCTCCCGCCCCCCGCCTAAGCTCAATGGTACAGATCGGCCGATAAGCGAACCCCTCAACATGTTCGGCAGCCATTCCGGCGGAAGCTGTAACAAGGCGTCTGCGCACAGTCGCCACGATCAGCACTGTTGTGACCTCTCACTACGGTAATTATAGAGATGGTGCGACGTCCAACCCGACTTCGGATGCCTCGATGGCGAAAGCGACCTTTCCGCCGACAATGATAGACCTACCGTACCGCGCGCGGTCCAAATGGACACCAGTCATGCACCTCTTGTGTCAAACTTAATAACGTACCAATCCTGAGAATGGGAGAATCTGCGATGGAATCGACCCGTTGCGGAAGTAGGTGCCCGGCTCGCTCCGAGCGGCAAGTGATCCGACAAGTCGTCTCAAATAGAGACCACAGGCGCTTGAGTCAGGCGATGGAACTACGCACATGTGTTCCAGGCTCTAGCGACGTCAATGGCTCGTTATAGTAGGTGATCAGCACGCAGGGAGCAGGAAGACCAGATGCATGAGTGATGCGAGTGATGCGGATGAGCGTGATTGTACGCCTGGATATGACGCATGTGAAGGTTGAGCTTGCGCGAGAGACGTGATGGCGGGCAAGGGAGTTCCCCGCAATTGAAAAGAGGAGCACTTCTCTTACATTCCGTGTAAGGCCTTACAGTGCCAGTGCTGATCTTACATACCATCGATCGACAGAGCTTTACATCCTGTAGCTTTTAGAATATCTAGAGACTAGCTTCTGAGAGATTGTCGGCGCATTTAAGTTCAAAGTAAAACAACCTTACCATGTCAAGTACTTCTTTCTTAAAATCAGCCCTGAAGCGGTCCAATGCCCAAAATCGCATGATATAGTGAGAACATATCGTTACGCAGTATAAGGTTTGGGGCATTTAGACTGTAGCCGCAGCGCAGGTTATTCGCTCGGAAAACTCTATGCATAGTGCGTAGAAAGTTCTTGAGCGTATTTCGATCCGAGAAGGCAGTGCTTAACGTAGTGTAGTTACACTCGGCCTTTGCTCGAAGGCATAGCTGGACATCGACGTGTTGGGTGAGCTTTTGATTAGAGCCCATACCCAGAGTCCATGGTTGGAACTACTTGCAGTTTGAGGACAAAGGTACCCGATAGGATCCATTTGTTTTCCATTTTTGTCAATTAAAAATTGAGCAGAGTGAGCCTTCTGAAGCGGATGAGGCGGGGCTGAAGCATTGGTAAGAGGGCATCTATATTTGGGGCTCCTGAAACCTTTCTCAGGATGGCGGTGACGGTCTTCCATGTGGTTTAGCTACTTCTCTTTTTGGAAATCACCGATATAGCGTGACATGAGTGCAACTTAGCTCCTTTGGCAAAAGTCCAAAGTGAGCGAGCGCTATGCCCCTCATTTATGACGACTTTGAAGGTAAGAACGCACCAGCATGCACTTTTTCTTTGCCAACTTTGGTGAACACCTGGCTGACGTGCGCGAGAGAAGTGCACGGAGTCCAGGACTAAACTAAGAGACTTTTTATTTTCAATACTATCTAATCACGCCAGAATACGAATTGTATGGCTCCAGCTACCTTGTTTTAAGCGATCGACATCGTTTATTTGAATTTCACCTACGCTCCGTAGCACGGCCGCCGACATGAGTGCTGATCTGAGCTTTTGGAGGAGATCATTGGCAACACGAAATGCCACATTGGGGTTAACGCTGAACTCGGGGGAAGCAAAAGCACTCCCTTGATGAGTGGCCGAGAGGAGTTTAGATAGCTCCATTTCGCTGTCGCTACAACCTTAAGAGATCTCCAATGCATCACATGAATCTGTCTGTGAACGCTTCTACCCGACGCCGGTTCAGGCCGATCAGTACGCGTGAAGACTTTCAAGGCGTACGTTCTGGCATTATATACTCTAAGCCATCTGATCGCGGCAGAAGAACCAACATCGACCTGTACAGCGCTCTCGATGTCACTTGAAGATGTTCGAGTAAGAAAGCAATTTTGATGATGATGATGATGATGATGATGATGATGATGATGCTGGATACCACTGTAGCTACGAAAGAAACATGTAATTGCTCGCAAGGATTTGTGGAGAAGAGACCAGCCAGAGACACAAGACCACATGACGCATAGCTACGTCTCATTAAAGAGGCAAAGGCGCGCTCACATGGTGCAAACCGTTGCAGTTTGAAGTTGGCATTAAGTGTGAAGATGTAGAGAGTGTTTGACGGGTGATTGATAATGCCCTAAATTACCGTGGCCAAGGTACTATATGGACCTAATGCTGGTCCTATGCTGTCTCGAATCAAAGTAGCGCTCCATTCAGTGATCAACCTCCCTATTTGTGAGGATTTCGAGAGACCGCGGCACGACCGCATGGTTCCGTGCACCAGCACCTTTAGTTAAAATCAAATTGAGTACTGTGATGTGTGAAGATCACTATCCCAAGCGAAGAGAGCCTTTTATGCCCGAAATCATCTGATCTCCAAGAGACAGACATGCACATGGACGTAGTCTTTGAGACATTTCCAAAATCAACGACAACTTCCCATGCGGCCATGGACTGGATGATAACGCTGATTGTCATCGCAATCGGTGCAGCTACAGAGTATAATAGGAGCACCGCACAAGTCTCACATCTGCGCCTGCCTCGCAATGTTCTGGAGAGACAAAGGCACATTTTTTTTTATCAATGCAAAAGGACGACTCCGGTTGCTCATGACTCATTCTCTTCGTAATTTCGAGAGATGACCACACCCTCACATGGAGACTCTGCGCTGTAAGAAGAAAAGTCAACGCTAGGGGACCACGCCAGCGTCTCACACATGTTTCCGCGATGGTTTTGGGAACCCAGAGGTTTGCCATGTCACAGCCCTGGCGCACGATCTCGTCAGCGCGAGAGGAACTTGCCAGTTGCACATGCATTTGGTTCTCGGCGTATTTTGGAGAGGCAAACGCGCGACCCCATCATCTCTAAATGGCCAAGTTTTGGTCGACGCGAAAAGACCACATCCACCTCACATGGAATAATTGGTCGAACGTTTTAGACAGACGAAGGCACCCACATACAGCGTCGTGTGTCTTCTTTTGGTTGACGTGAAGTCGACCAGTATGAGAAATGTGAGGAGATCTAGAATGGGCGGGCAGAGAACTTATACAGCTGAATTCGTATGATCCATGCCGCCAGAGATGATGCTCACCATCGCCATGAGGTCCCAGGTAGCTATACGAGAGCCGATTGCACTGATGAAGGAAAGAGGAGTTATAGATTCGGCATACAGCTCAGATATGGAACAGTCCACCACTCAGCCTTACTCGTCTCCATGAATATCTTACTCAAGCGTTAAAGTATCCTTATTGACGCTCATATACACGTTCCTTTACACCTTCCGCTCGCTAACAACGTTCTCTTCTCTCTCAACAACAATCTTCTCCACCGCCTCACTCGCCCTGAGATTCTTCTCCGCGCCCTCAAACACTGTATACGTGTTAGCTATATGCCTGCTACAACCATGGACTCCACTTACAGAAAGCAAGTTCCTCAAGCGTACGGTTCGCCGTTTCAGGGAACAGGAACCACACAAACACGACCTCGTACGTGAGCCACGCGACATACACGATAAGCCACTTCCACGCAATGTTCTCGAGACCGATAGGATTGACAAAGGTGGTGAAGAAACCAGCGAGACGCCCGAAGAGCTGGAAGATGGCGATACCGCGGGAGCGCTCCATGTAGGGCCATACTTCGACCATGTAGGCTGTTTATCTTCAGCACTGTTCTTCGGCATCACACTTGAATTTTTGCATAGGCTGGTGAACTTACTGTAAGTCAAAGCATTGAAACCAATGTTGTAACATGGCTGGTATGCGAAGATAAAAAACGCACTCGCAGCGCTAGCTGGTCCGTTGTGCCCCTTCGCCTTGTCGGCCGTGACGGCATACTTGAAAGCGATGGTCCAGCCAGTGTACACCACGAGCAGAGACAACGTGCAAATCATGTACAGAGTACGGCGCTTGAAGCGGGTGACGACGAGGGCGACGGCACCACCCGTGACGAGGGACCACGCGGCGTACCCGACGTTGAGCTTCTGCTTTGTGAGCGAATCTTTAATACCGATCATCTTCATGAGGTCGCCGAAGTAGTATCTAGCCGCTTATCGTAAGCATACAGGGAGGGAGAAAGGGAGTGGGAAGTGCCTTACGAAATGAGCGTGTTGCCAGACCATTGCGTGAACAGACCTAGGTTAGCTGTGATGAGCGTACGTCTCCGCATCCCACTTGTGGCCAACAGATCCATCCACCCCCTCTTCGCCGCCTCACTCTCCAGCTCAATGGTCGCGCGGATCTGCGCAATCTCTCCCTTCACAAGTTCGCTCTCTGCGTTCCCTTCGGCATGGTACTTCACAAGGATGGCCTCTGCCTCCTCGACGCGGTCGTGGCTGACGAGCCAGCGTGGGCTCTCGGGAAGGAAAAGCACGAATATACATTGAAGCAGTGAGGGCACGAGCTGCAGGAGCGAAGGGACGCGCCAGCCCCAGTTGTTGGGGATACTGTTGGTACCGAATACGATGCCGGCGGCGATGATTTGGCCGACGAAGTAGGAAACATTGAAAAGAGAGGTGAGGACGGGGCGTTCTTTAGGGTAACCGAGTTCTCCAATGAGGGAGGAGCCAGCGACGATGCAGGCAGGGATACCGAAACCGAGGATGAGTCGAGCGAAGATATACATGGTTACTGTCGATCAGATGCCCTACGTTAGCTTCTCGCAGACGATGTCACGGTAGGATCAACGCTGAACGTACCATTCTGCGAGAAACCCTGGATGAGAGCCCCGATGATCATGATGATGGAGCCGACCATAATGGAGCCACGACGTCCGACCCAATTATCCACCATGGGAATGAAAGGAAGCGAGAGGATAGCACCGAGGGAGTACGCTGCGCCGATGATGCCCTTGAGCGAGCCCTGCGGGTTTCCGAAGACTGAACACGTCAACATGGGCTAAATGTCAAGATAATCATGCCATCTTACAATGGATCCATGAGGGAACAATCTGCAAAGCGTTGATGAGTTGCGAGTCGAACCCAGACGTGATCTCAATGCCAATAGCAGCTGGCACAAGGAGCAGGTAAAGATTCCTCAAGTGCGGCTTGCGAACCCACGAGACGGTATCTTCTGCGACTAGACGGGTGAGAACCGGATCCGCTGACTGCCCTTTGGCCTTGCTGCTTCCTCTGGTGATACCCATTGTTGCGTATTTCTCTGGCGACAATAAAGAAGCGAAGGTATTACGACCCACGACACTGTCTGGGGCATCTGTAATACCTTATATCCCCGCGCTCCCCACTTCAACATTCCTTGCATCACGTAAAGTATGCCTCCACTCCAGCCACGCGGGACCATTCGCGATATACTGCACGATCCACAACCACTTCGTTCAGAGTGCACGACAGGCATCGCTATATTGCACGTTAGTACTGCGGCATTTCCATCCAATGAGTCGCTTCGCGGGCCGCTGCACCGCATCCTGGTCGCTACTATATCCTGGAGCGTAGCGAAGCGTAGCAAAGCATTGCCGGAAAAAAGGAGCCGCAACGATTAGCTGGGTGCTTATTGCAGCCGCACCAAAGCTTTGCAACGCCATCGAAGCTTGTCTGCTCTTGCCCTTCTTGGATGGTCCCGTCCTTCCGACTTCCGTACGTGTGGCTATGTGGAGGACTTCCAGAAGATCGCTCCACAGGCCCATGGGGTGAGGCATGACTTTAGCCGGATCTACACTGGGTTCGTCCGAAGGTTCTGCGTCTTCCTTCGCGCACGAAATGTGCTAATGGAATGCAAGTCAGGTCAACTTTTGCCAAGGGAGGCATACGTGCAGCTTGCTGACTTATTGGGAGTCAAGTCCACGCAAGTCAGCCCAGGGCGGATGAGGATCTCTCCTTTGGTGGGATCGAGGCCAATTACAGGAGGGAATTGGTTTATTAGTCAATCAGAGGCGGCTTCAAGCTGGGCTTGTTTGCGTGGTCTGGTTGTCCAGCTATGCCGATATTACGAGCCAGTCGTTCGGATCTCCCCATGGCCCACCCGGACCATGCACACGATCAGGCGCCGCCGTCTCCGGTCCGATGCACTTATTGCCCGTCAGTGAGCTTGCGCAGAGTGGTGCGATGCAGGGATAACTGTCTAGTCTAAGGAGAGACCTTCGTTTTGGGACCAAGGACAATGGAAAACCCGGTTACATTGTTCCTTTTGTTAATTACTGCCTCTCTTCCCTACACCATTCGGTAAACCTTTCCGTAGCTTAAGATTATAGTTCGGTCGATCAAGGCCTGGAGATTCGTGCCCAGCAAGCCGCAACCACAGCTGTGAAATTTCCATTCTTTTAGCCGGCAGCATACTATACTGCAGACTGTACAAGTTGCGTCTGTGGATCGGAGGAACAGAGTCACCATATACAAGGCAGAGCAAGACGCTTGCCGAAAAGTAGTGTTTGCGTATGCGGTCACCCAGCTCGAAGTATGACTGAAAAATCTGTCCGAAAGAAAGTGGTACAGACTAGATCGAGATTAGCTTACGCAGTCACGATGCATCTGAAGTCCTCACCTTCAAGAATATGTACGAAACGGGCGATGCAGGTGATGTAACTGTAGTCTGCAATTGCATGCTTTTTGGGTCTTGCAGCTCAAAGCAGATGCCTCCTGGGTTCACGTCAGATCAAGCGTCTTCTTCAATGAGGCGTCAACGTACCAGGTAATCGTCTCGAGTCCTTGATTCGGAGAGTGATTGCAAACAGTGGAAAGTGGTTGAGGCACCCCAAACCAATTTCCAGAATTGCCTTCAAACCAATGACACCCACTCTCGCGGATGCGAACAGCAAGTAAAAGACAAGCACTGTAGGGAGCAGAAAGAAAAGCAAGGTGAAGAGAATCGTCCCCAGAAGTAGCTGGTCCAAGTCGTAATCGCATGAATCAATTCGGTTCCGTAACACGTTCCGCTTCTTACCCCGGAATAGGTGGAAGAGCGACAAGAGGACAGTGAGCTGCCAATGGAAAATTCGAGCCGATGCGACGTAGAATGAGTAGATATGAAGTGTGAGCAGTGACGTTAGGTCGGAGAATAGAGAGATGGGCATAGTAGCACCCGCGAACGCGGAAAGTCCTACTAATCGAATGAACGAGGGAAGGTGGGGTCGCAAGACACCAATGCATCCTAGTTGAGTTAGTTTAAGTTTGCAATGTAGTACGGAGTACACACCAGCCCAATAATCGATGACCCAGATGAATAAATCACCCAAGAAGTCTGCAAGTTCTGTGTTGAGTTTCAAACCCCCAGGCCATTCCGAAAGCCAGACAATCATGCGCCGCAGACCTTGAATCGACCACTCATGGAAGACCATGTCGAATTGAGCCGCAACGAAGTGAGCATTGTCGAATATGAAAGAGCCCAGAGCGACGCCAATAATGACATCGTTAGCAACCAGCCATAGGCTGTTATAGAACCTAATGTACTCGGGATGGCTGTTGGTAATGCTTCCCCAGTTTTCTTTGCGCTTTCGCAGTGTCATGAACTGAATGGGCCAATAGCAAAGTTGCTGAAGACGTATGTCAACCTGTTGGGCGGTTGCAGATACATCCTTTAGGGCAGGGCTGTTCATAGAGCGCGGTCGCCAATTCAGAGCTCGCAAGACCAATTCACTAGTGACTCGTTGAGCCATCAAGACGAGGATGACTATTTGTGCGATGAAGGGGTACGTCCACACCCACCATAGATGGCCGAGGGCCATATAGACAAGGTCCCACACAGCGTTGGCAGACTCGACCACCCGCTCATTGACACTCTGCGCTCGTTTCTTTCGTCGCCCGAGAACACCGATGTTCTTCTGCAGAACAGCGTTCAGCTCGAAGGAGCAGTTGATCTGATCGATGAGCACGGGAAGCTGGAGCTCCTTTTGTGTTGCCGAATGGGTTATGACACTATGAAGCTCCAGCTTCTTCACTAAGTCTGCATTTCTTCTGCGCTCACTCTCCTCTTCCTCTTCAATGCCCTCGAAAGCGGGGTCCCATTTTCCACCTTCCACTTTGTCACCTAGTGCAAGCGTGATCGGACTCAAGGACAGATATTGCATGTACTTGGGATGCGGGCGATCGTAGACGATGACCTGCAGGGTCATGTGCGCATTGGCGGGGCAGTGTAGGCGTGGTAGGCGGGTACCAGGTTCGAAACGAGCAGCCAAGTGGAGTGGGTCGAAGTGCTCTGGCGGTGCTTGAGGATTCATGTGTCCAAGAGCGCGCAATGACGAGTGATGACAGAGCTTGAGAAGCTCCTGGACGTCATGAGGCTGAGAGCGCAGCAGTGTGCCAACCTGCAGCGCATTTTCGACCTCGTGCAACCCCACGTCTTGCAGCACGGCTACAACGATCACATCAAGCTCCGAATTCCGGAAGCCTACCAGCACACCGGGTGTGCGCCCTTTAGTTGCATCGGAGGGCCAGAATATGCGCATCAGCCCATTAGGTGTGACCATGTCAACATAGTGTTTCCTCGCCCGTTAAAAGGATCCGCGCCGCTTGAGCTGCTCGCGAGCAGAGATACCGCCACCGACCGCTCGAGGATGCTATTGGTCATTAGCAATTGGGCTTCCTTCAGTCCTGCCGACATACCAAGTGGACCTCGTGGGAGGCCAAGCGCTCAACGGGCAGCACTACGAGGAAGAAGAGCACCGACAGGACTGCGAAGCCCTGCGCTGTTCGCCACACGACGCCGTGAACCCAGGCGAAGATGGCAAGCTCGTACAGACGGTTGACCAGATCCCAGCGCGCAGTAGAGTAGCCAGCAACGAAGATGCCTAGCGTGAGGATCGAGAAGGGGTGCATCTACACCGAGCGGCGGGGGGAATCTGAAGGCGACGTCTGGGCGGGGCTACGTCAACAGACGCGCCGTGAACGGTGCTTGGGAATCGAGGGTTGGCTTGGGAGGGCGAGAGAACTGGCAATTGTCCTGCGCATCGTGTCGTATGCGCGACGAAATGCTCACCGTCGCGACCTTCACACGTACGTGGAGCCTTGCCTGGACGTTCGTTTGGGACGGAAGGAGCTACTCCAGGTACGGCCTTAGCGCGCTTTCCCAACTGCTGGACGGCAACGTACTCGCAGTCGCATTTGACTGCGCCCGGCTTCAGCTTGTTGAACTTCAGACTTGCTTCTCGATCCGCTGCCCGGAGAATCGTCCACAACCTCGCAATTTTTTATTTTTTTTCCTTTTTTTTCTAAATCGCAGGAACGACCGACGATATCTCAAGGTCACATCGACCAATCAGCATCCAACGTTCCTGGCTGCAATGATGAACTCCAGATGGGCGCCCACGGGAAGTCAGGCTGCGCCGAGAGAGTATGGGACTGGCTCCGAGGTCACCAGACAAAGGTAAAGCCACGGCAAACGTGGACTACCATCGCAACTGGAAGCGTGACTACGCGCCTATGGTTGTGCTCAATCGGGCTAGCCGCGCCGTGGAACGCGAAACTTCCGCATTGTCCATCGACCAGCCGCTTCTTCGTCGCTTGACCCGAGCGCCAACATCAGACACCTCTGCTGATTATAGAATAGACCGTTTGGCGACCCAGCGGTCAACACTTTGCCACCCTCAACTTCTTTCCATTCAGACTACGCCGACGGCAGCATGCCTGTTTGCCATTTTTACCAGAAAGGCAACTGCAAGTTCGGAGGTAATCACCACACGGGCGACCTCGCCAACACCGTGCTCACGTGTCAAAGACAGATGCAAAAACGAGCACCCGGGAAGCCAGCGTGATGGCGGAAATGCTTTCGGCGGTGGGAACAGGAGCGGCTTCAATGCCTTCGGTGGTGGTGATCGCTATCGACCCTCAGGCGGAGGCGGAACATTTGGAGGTATGTCTAATTATTATTCGAGACGAGCGCGTTGTTGTCCTGCGAAATCAAGTCCAGCGACGAGTCCAACCTCTACCATTGCCTGTCCGATCTATGCTCATACAATCTCAGGAATCCGTACAGGCACTCCGCGCTTCAACCTATCAAAGGATGAGATCAAGACCGACCTCACGGACCAGCGCCCAGTCTACCCGTTCTCATGCTATGGTGCAGGGCGCGATGCGCCACGCCAGCTCATAGAAGGCCCCATGGAGATCAGCCCTGAAGAATTACGTGCTCGTTACTACTCACAACGCGAGTCAGGAAGCGAAGCTACAGGTGTATGCATGTCCTGGTGATTTTGATCGTAAACCAACTAACAGTTTACCAGCAACAAGAAGAGGCTCAACTTCAGGCTAAAGCAGAAGAGCAGGTGAAGTCTATTTTGGGTGATTTAGACGGTGCGATCAAGTACATTGAAGTTGGCGCAGATGTCCACCCCAACAGGTTAGACATAGCACAGGGCAAAGTTGATCCATCCAGCTCAGCAGTTGCACCAGCATCGTCGAATACGAATCCCTTCTCGGGTGCTGCGGCAGCAAATCCATTCGGTGGTAACCAAGCACCGAGCGCTGCTCCGGCAAACCCTTTTGGCGGTGGTGCTCAGTCGCAAACTTCCACCTTCGGAAAGCCTGCGAATCCATTTGGTCAGCCATCTGCGCTAGGCCAAGGCAATTCAGCATTCGGTCAAGCATCGGCCTTGGGTGCAGGCAGTAGCTTCGGTAAACCGTCATTGCCCGGAGCATTCGGCCAGACCTCTGCTTTAGGTGGAGCTTCTGCCTTTGGCAAACCGTCTGCATTTGGCCAGCAATCGGCTTTTGGCCAACCTTCAGCACCGGGAACCACATCTGCCTTTGGTCAGCCATCTGTGCCAGCGTCAACGCCTGCTTTCGGGCGGACAGCGACGCCAGCAGCACCTTCGGCTTTCGGGCAGGTTTCTCAACCAGTTCAGACCTCTGCATTTGGGCAACCTTCTCAACCTGGCCAAACTTCTGCGTTCGGCCAACCTGCTCAACCAGCAGCACCCTCGGCTTTCGGGCAGGCTTCTCGGCCAGGCCAGACTTCGGCATTTGGCCAACCTTCAGCATCCGGCCAGGCTTCTGCATTTGGTCAGCCTTCAGCTCCCGGCCAGACTTCCGCCTTCGGGAAACCGGCATTCGGACAGTCAGGTTTCGGGCAGACCTCACAACCAGGCGCTGCAGCGAGTCCATTCAGCCAGGCAGCGCAGACCGGTCAGGCACAACAAGCTAAAAATCCATTTGGCGGGACTCAAACGCAGACCGATCCAGCACCAGCAAACCCATTCGGCGGTTCATCTGCGCCGCAAACCTCCGCATTTGGACAGCCAGGTGGATTGGCGAAGCCTTCGCCATTCGCTACTGCTGCTGCAGCACAGAGCACGACGACCACAGCGCCGAAGCCCAACCCCTTCGCCGCCGCAGCGCAGAACACGACACCTGCTGCCCCGGCTTTTGGAACTCCAAGTCAACCCGCCAACCCATTCGCGCAAGCTGCATCACAACAAGCACCTGCGCAAGCCTCCCTAGGTGGACAGCCAGCTGTGGCTCCTAACGCCGATCCGTACAAAGAGGGCAAGCCGGAGGACTACGAGGGCGAGCAGGGCCAGAGGCTACTGCAGATATACCAACGCGTTGCACAAACCGGCGTCTTCGATCCCAACGAAGATATCCCGCTCGTCCCTCCGAAATCCGAGTGGGTTGTGGCTGTTTAATGCTTCAATAGAAATGTAAGATGGTATTGCTGAGAGGCGCATATGGAGTTAGTAGCCTCAGGGTTAAGTGGGTTTGCGAGGGATGTCATTTTAGTAGAGCATGCCCTATCATATAGTTCTTCGGCGGCATAAAGCCACTTAGACAAGTAACGTCATAGCATTTGCACCTCTCTTGGTATCGTCTAGCGATTTCGATGGCGTGGCTTCCCTCAAATACTTCGCGCATTCGTATGTGCCTCTTTTCAGCTGTGCACTTCGATTCCTTGTCCACGTAGTACACGATGCTCACAGTGGTTAATAATTAAAATAGAACTTTATGTAGTAAACCTTGTTGTCAACACTCATGCTAGATTATTAGATTATACTTTCAAATGTGTATATTAGAGTGAATTACAAGAGGATTAGATGCGCTCCAAAGGCCTAAATTCTTGTGTCGGCCAATGTGGTTCGGTACTGAACAAGTGCCGTTACATTCTCGCGATGGGGAGGCTATGTCCGCCTCTATTCAGAAGCATGATGTCCGTCCTTCGTTCCAGGATGCCCAGTCGTAGGAGCCACGTCATGGGGAAAGGCAATCTTGAAGAACAATACCGGTTATCGGGCTGCCTGCCTCAGAGCCTCAGCCATTCCTACTGTTACAATACTGCCGCTCGCTGTGCAGGATGCCGATCTCCTGGTCTAGCTGTGTCCACGGCCAAGCGCGAGCGTTGAGAGCAGCTAAATTACCGTGTCCGTGCGCGTAACGATTGGATTCGCGTAACGATCGCTCAGTTTGGCGCGAGCTACTAAACCGGCTCCATTGTAAAGCCGTATATAATTAATTTTATTTGAAAATTTTAATTATTCATCAAAGCACAACCACGACGGTTTGGTCCATTGGTTTGATGCGCACGCTCAGTTGGCCGAGGTCAGTTCGCTCCGTTCCCTCCCAACTGAAACAATTTCTAACGTAATGTGCAGTGGTCTAAGGCGGTAGATTTAAGAATGCTTAAATCTCTACTGGGGAAACCCGCGTGCGTTCGAACCGCACACTGAGCATTGTTTTTCCTTTTTGCATTGGCTCTACTGAGCTGCCAAATCACTCATAACTATTCCGACTAATCGTGCATTTTCTTTTTGTATATTTCGTGCCAGCTTATAACGTCTATCCATTGCTGTACATGTTCAAACATGCATTTAATATCCCAGAGGAGCTTTTATTTGAGTAAGATAACATAGCATGTCTACTCTGTCTTCTTTCCCTCCGTCTCCAAAGCCATCCTCCTTTTCCATTCGTCGACCAACCCTTTGTAGTCCTCCGGCGCATAGCTCTGGAATGACTCAGCTACCCAGTTCCTACATCCCAGGACATATCCCTTCCGCTTGCCTTCGAATCCCAGGTCCTGCATCAGTGCGTCAAAGTAGGGCAGTGAGTCAAACACTATATCGGGGTACACATCTCCATACCCCATCGCATGTCGTAAAGCGCAGTATTGCGTGTCTCGATACATTTCGCGTCTAATATTCTCGCTGCTGACCTCGGGAAGCTTCAATGTTCCGTCAAGATAGGCCGTCAACCATAGTCCTTGGAGGTATGCGCAGGGTGCATTCCCAAGACAAGAAACCGCACCTGCGAAGCCGATTGAGCGTTGTTGGAGGAAGGCTGGAGGGACCAAGAACCGGTGGAGGCGGTATGGTTGCTGTACGGTTTGCGAACTCGCCGCATGACGAAGCGTAGGGTCAGGATGGTGCACGCGGCTCGTGTCGCGGTTCTTTAGGAAGGGGTATCTTTCATAGATCTCATTGGTGACCTGACTGAGGAGGGCTTCGTCTTCGACATCAGGTGCCTCGGTCGTGGGTAGTCCAAGCTGGTATCGCAAGCCTTCGGGTTTGAACTCTACGCCCCCTCCGATCTTCCAGCCGGTTGCGCACACCACAGCATCGACTTTGATCGTCTCCCCACTCTTGAGCTGTACCTTATTCTCGTTTCCAAGTTGCTCAATCTCGTCAATGACAATCTTTATCTTTCCCTGTCGGACCAAGTCGAACCAGTTCGTTGGATAGTTCATAATGCTCAGGCCGTTCCCTGTCTCGAATGCATCCCGCCACGGCCGGAGCTTCTCCGTCTCCGGATGATCATGGAGCTTGTTGAGCTGTATCACATCGTCGCCCAAGATCTGCCAGAATGCGGCCATGATCTTCTTCCCGAGCCATGTCCCGTGGAAGAAGCCTCTGAGCCAGCCTTCGAGCCCGGTCATCTCCGCCCAGGGACATGGCGACATGTAGCCAAAGAAACGAGTGAACACGAGCTTCTCGAGCCAAAGGCCCAGCGGAGTGACATGGGACGGTGCCATCCAGCTTGGACCGTTCCCAGAGGGACGTATGAGCATTGTTGCAGTGGAGTTGGGCTGCGTGGCGCACGCGTAAGTGATGTCCCAGGCAGACTTGCCGCCTCCTACTACCAATGTATGCGTCCCCTCTTTTACGATCTCGGAGAACTGGCTTGCGAATCTACTCGAGTGTATGACAATAGGTTTGAATTCAGGCGAAGTTGGGTAGTGAGGCATCGACGGCTGGTTCGTCAGTCCGACAGCGACGATCAACTTTGATGCGTTGATCACAACAGCTTCTTCTGTGACATTCGAGTTGCTGATGCTGACGTGCAACTTCCAGCCTCCTTTGACCTCCTCTACTACCCTCACTTTCGTGTTGTACTGTATGTGTTGTTTGAGACCTCTGTCCTCGACGAGAGCCTGCAAATACTCAAAAACCTTTCTAGCAGGGATGTGCTCTCCTTGTTTGACCCTAAAGCGGGCCGCATCCATTGGGAAGTCGGGAACTTGGTACGTGCCGAAGAGGTTGTTGGTCTTCAGTCCTGGAAACGTGCGCTGAGGGGACCATGGCCCACCGAGAGAGGGACTTGATTCTACAACGAGGATCTTGGCATGGGGATGTACTTCATGGTATGTAGCAGCTGCTGTGATGCCATACAGGCCTATATTTTTTCAGTGACTCAAGTCCTTCTAGAGAGTTCTGTATCATAGCCAAGCTATACATACCTGCCCCGACGACGACTAGGTCAAAGTGTTCCGTGCTATGAGTGTATGACATTGCGAATTCTATGTCGCATTCACAAGAGATTCCGTTGTTGCGATTGATGACAGATGCAAGTGTGCAGGTAGCGATCGAGCTGAGGTGCGCGGCTACGGCATGCGCTCCACATGATCTTGGGGGCCGTACAGGGATACAAGCTCGCTACTAGCTGGTAAGAGTAATATATACGGTTCCGCGGCTCGCCTGTGTCAACGCTTCGTCCAGAAATCACTACGCAGGATATTTGCTCACTAATAGGGGTTAGAGCCGACATCGCTTCCATCAGTATCTTCCCGCAAGTTTTTGTGGGTTCTGTGATATGTTCAAGGTGGAGCTCGTTTAGGCTTATGAGGTCTCAGCCTGCCACGCGAGGATATGTTCCTCCATACGCACACGGTGGACGGCCTGAAAACCAAGAATCCATCCTCCCGTGAACATCTACACTGACCTATCATTTGACAAAACTATAAACCTATAGTAGAGTGAGTCAATACATGATAAGATGCGCGCGTACATTCACATTTTGAAGTCATCCAGTGGGGTACGTAAACATCGCTTGGCCTCTCCTGCGAACATGAGCGTTGCCTACACAGCGTCCACATGCATCTTGGAAGAGGATTACTCTGGCGTACATGAGAGCACATTTGATGTGCTGGGCGGTCTTGCGCGTAAAGCTGATAGCCGACTGTAGTACCATAAACTCGTCCAAGCTGATCGCATCTTACACAATCGCATGTGTGAAGACTCCGGAAACCCAACTATACTATCTCTCTCCACGATCTGCTTTCAGTATCGGGTACCATAGGTACGAATTGCATCGCGAGAGCAATCCTGACCACGACCCAATTATAGGTAGATAGAAGTCAAGCTGCCTGGTACGCAATCCATTACAAGGGAACTTGAGAGTCCCAATTCATGTTATCTGAGGGCGTCCAATGCGGGTGTTGTCGGGAGAGTGGAAAGTGACGCGACTAACTGATGCTTGAATGTTACATAAGCTAGACTTGGCAAAGCTACACTTCAGTACTTCCAATCTCTGGTCTCTTCTATCCATTCCAGCGATGTGATGATCTACCTAACACGGAGCATCGTCTCCGCGTCTCGTACTGTCCTACCCCGTACGTCATACCAATTGCCATCGAAACCAGCATGGCCTGTAACGCGAAACTTCCAATCGACGTGGACGGCGCGAAAAAAGATCGAATTGGCCCAGAAGCAAGTCTCGGAAGCGGAAATGCGTGCGAAGGAAGATGTCAATGCAGAACCAAACAAAGTGAATAAGAAGGGAACGAAGAAGCATGCTGGCAAGACATCATCGCTCCGGCGGGTTGCTGTTGAGGCGCAACGGTCGAGACAGGGCTTTGTGATGGGCCGGGGCAGCAAGCGCTTTGTGGACCCGCACGTAGATACAAAGGTAGGCATAATCATACCAAGGAAATCCCACGTGGCGATCTGACAATACATGCAGACGGTTACTGCTTATTGTGCAGCGGAAACCTACAACATTTCCACGGCGGCCCGCTTGGTCCAAGCCCATGGTTACGAACTCGATCCTCTCCAAACCGGCCTCTACCCACAAGTCATCCATGTCCGAACGCGCGACCGACCTGATGAAGTGAAGGACACGCAAGAGGGGGACATCTTCATCTTCCCCTCTGGGACAATGGTCACTTGGAATGTGAGGGAACGTGAGGCACTGCATCTGGTCAATCGGGTGTTGCCCGCAGCAGCGGAAGGCTCCCACCTTGATCTGCTAGAGACAGAGGATTTAGAATACCTGGAAGATTCGACGAGGGAGTCCAGTGAGGTTGTTGGTGATACGATTATCCTGGGCACGAAGGCCGAGCACGGCAGCAACGATGCGATCGAGGAAATCGGTACAGATGAGACGGAGCAACGCCACGAAATCGACACCGTCCTTGCTAAGATCGCTTTCTCGTCTGGGCTTGCTCGCTCCACCAAACTTGCTATTCTGGAAACACTGCTGAGCGATTATCAGCACTCGACACGCGAGATCCCCATTATGCTGGCCAAGGGCGACACAAAGACATTGGGCAGGAATAATGTCCCCTTCACCCGCTCATTCATCCTCCGCAAGACAGGCGAGCTACTGAACATACGCGCGCAGCTCAATCTGTACTCGGAGCTCACCGACTCCATGCCGGATATCTTCTGGGACAGTCGACACGAGCTCGGTCTTGGAGAGTACTATGATCAAGTCGGGCGCGCATTAGACGTGGGCGTGCGCATCAAAGTGTTGAACGAGAAGATCGGTTTCGCGCAGGAGATTGCAAGTGTTCTGCGGGAATCGCTTAGCGAGAAGCATGGGCTGAGGCTCGAATGGGCCATCATTGCTCTGATTGCGGTCGAGGTGGTGCTGGAGTTCTACCGCCATTGGACAGACGCGGAGGAGAGAAAGGACCCGAGGAGTACGGAGTCGCTGCTTCGGCAATACCTCGTCAAGGTTGTTGATGGTCAAAAATGAGTTTCACTTCGTTTAGATACCCCGCTCGAAAGACACGCCACTCTATATTCACAGACGTTCCATTTCAGCGTATATACAACGTGATCATGATACGCTGCGGCACCAGCCAAAAAATGTCCGACGCCAAATTTTTGGATAATGCCAAATGCATAGGCAATCGTTGTAGCACGTTTGCTTATGCAGCCTCTGTATAACTTGCAAAAGAGAACAAGCCTCCCAATCCGTCCCGCGGACTGCGGAAGGCTCGGGGACAAAAGAAATGTGCTCCCTGCCAGATTCGAACTGGCGACCTTCGGATATCTGCTGCTATGAGCAGTCATATGCATCTGATGTGATATGAGACCGACGTGATAACCGACTACACCAAGGAAGCTAGTTTTATTGGATTGATGGAAGATGGCAACCTATAAGCATTTATATAGCTACATATCATATCGTGACGATGGTAGAGAGAGAGAGCAAACTCGAGGTTTTACGTGGTCTTGTGGAGCCATAAAGGCCGGTATAGGTCAATTGGTGGGTGCTAGAAGTGGGGCTGGACGAACCGAGCGTATGATGGGCCGTGGAAGGAGGGGCGGCGGCCAGTGGAGCGCGATCGTCCAACTTTCGATTCAGTCCGCCGTCAAAAGCCAGGTCCTGTGGGTTGGAACTTCAAACATTAGTCATTCAATAAGAGGACACCAGGCGAGCTTCGGGCAGAGATCTGAATACCATAGAGTAGGGTCGTGGAGAATGGAAATCATTAATACGTATTATGACACAATATACACACATGTCTACATGCACCGTAAATAAGGGCTATTGATGCACCGTAGAGCGCAGCCTCTATGCGATAACTCCATGACGCCTCGCCAACAATGCGTTGTCTTGAATCTCAGGGAATGCGCCACTAGCATAAATCACGCAGAGCATTGCCTGTCCCTTCCGTCTTGCGCCCCTGATCATGGACCCAATCTTTGCCCGACATCTGGACTCCTGGGCTCTCTCGCCACAGATCCCAGAGGCACCGCCGTAGGCAACACGCCGTACCGGCCGTACGTCTTTTGGTCCACGCTCACGTAATGCGGTAGCCTGCCGAGTAGGTTGAGCTTGGTCTCCACCCATCGCAGGATCTTTTCGTGAGGCACAAGGAACTTTATATAGCCGGTCGCCCAAACATAACCAACTGCGGCACCGCAGAGGTGGCCGAGGAGGGAAACGTTCGGGATGATGAAGGAGGTCATCAGGACGAGAATCAGGGGAGTTGTCCACGTGGGGATTTTGTAGGGACCGATGCTGTCAGCGTGTCAGTAGGGGCATGGAGATTTCGGTCGTTGGGGTGCCTGGCGTACCTGAAGTTTGGGTTCGCTTTGTGTGTCTTCATGGCCTCGGACGCCAGGAGCAGGAACACCCACACGCTGCGTCGGATATTGTTAGCATTTTTTCCTTGCAGGAGCAATGCGCCACGGCCTACCTCGAACCCATCACCGCCGTATCACCCCTCAATATAAACTTCTCCAATAACAGGTATAAGCCGCCTGGCAGCAGACCAAAAGCTACCGTCTTGTCAACCATGGGTTTCCCAATCGCCAGAATCTGCGTGCTTACGTCCGGTGAACAGCGACAATGTAACAATAGTCCCGAATTCGGCTTCGAAGCGCTCAAGGAGAGGCGTTATGGCGAAGACGTCGAAGAACATGTGGAAGAAGCCGAGATGGGTGAGGGGAAACAGATTGAGCCGATGCACTGGAGTAGAGAGTCAGTCCAAGGTGTCTTGAAAGCGTCCCGTTTTATGCATCCATGCGCTATCCGCCTTCGTCCCAACTCTTGTCAGCTGCTCCGTGGCCTTGAGCGTTGCATGCGCACCCTTCCAGCATAATCGACCCTCGATATCAAAGGCGCGGAGCGTGCGGAAAGAGAAAAGCACATACTCTGCGTCAAGTCGAACTTGCCAGGACTCAGGGACCCAAGTTCCCTCAGCCAGGGAAAGGGTATGGCGGCGATCCATAACCCTACTATCGCTGCGACTAACAGCCGCGTCGCAAGCGGTAACCGGAGGATGTACGAGCGGAGCCGCAGCGGGTTAAACTGCGGGAGGGACGGCATCGCGGGAGGCCAAAGGGGGCACGAGAAGAAGAGGAAGAGAGTTGGACGCGACTCGATCGACATGCGCCGGCGCGAGAAAGTCAGGTCGGAGGTGTCTAGTCGTAACGCCGACGGTCAGGGACCGCGAGTGCTGGCAGCATTGCACGCGGCGGGCAGCGTCACGCTTCAACACACCATCGACACGGTGAGGCGCGGGCAGAATGGCCCTGCTAGGTTCGTAGCAGCCCCAATATTGCAGCGTGCACACTGACAATGCGCTCTAGCTACGTTGCTGGCGCTCCGAAAGGATGCCCGCATTCTCAAGATCCCCCCGTACCTCTCGGCCTTCCTGATCCTCGTCGGCGTCGCATGGCTGCTCGTCCTGCCGCTAAAGGAATACTCGCGCGGCACATATGTTTCTGAAAATGCGCTCCTGCCAGGCCAGGTGCACACGTACTTTACGGGCAGCGAACACAACGTGTTCCGCGCTTACAGACACGAGGTTGCGGGTCTGGTCGACCTACCGGTGCAGCAGTGCGTCTCGTCCACCCAAACACACACAAGCAGAGGGGAAAGCTGACCCACGGCTAGGCGAACTGAAAGGCTGAGCGAGCTGCTTCGGGCCTCCAATCTCAAGGTTGCGACGCAGAAGTACACATACACCCCCTCCGGCCGTAACATCTCTGACGAGAATGTCTACGCCATACTGCAGGGCCCCCGTGCCGATGCCACAGAAGCCATCGTGCTCATGGCGTCGCTCAAGACCATGGCCGGCGAGCACAACTACTCCGGCGTCGCGCTGGTGCTCGCGCTTGCTCGCTATTTCAAGAGGTGGAGCTTGTGGAGCAAAGACATCATCTTCCTGGTGTCTGGTGACAGCACGAGCGGACCACAGGCTTGGGTCGATGCATACCACGACGCCCACGATCCCGCTACGATCGAAAGCCTCAGCATAAAGAGCGGTGCACTCCAGGGTGCCGTGGGCGTAGAGTATCCTGCGGGGCCGTGGGGCCACAGGTACGACAAACTGCACATTGTATACGACGGCACGAACGGACAGCTTCCCAATTTGGACCTCTTCAATACGGCCGTTAATATCGCCTCTGGTCAAATGGGCATTGGTTGTACCCTCCAGCGCATGTGGCACCATCGCAACTCATACCAAGAGCGCTTGCAGACCATGCTGCGAGGCATGCTCTCTCAAGGTCTTGGACATGCCACAGGACCACACAGTGCATTCATACCATATCACGTTGACGCTATTACACTTGTAACCGTGGGCGACGGATGGCACGACGAGATGGGCCTGGGACGCACCGTGGAGAGCCTGTTCCGAAGTCTCAACAACCTGCTTGAGCATCTGCACCAGAGTTTCTTCTTCTACCTGTTGCTCGAAGCTAAGCGCTTCGTCAGCATAGGCACATACCTTCCGTCTGCCATGTTGATTGCTGCCAACTTCAGCATCATGGCCATTGCACTCTGGGTCCAAAGCGGACGCCCACAAGAAACCATCCCGAACCCTGCAGCCGCGAAGCCTGCTCCCAAATCTGTTACCCAAGATGCCGCCAAAGACCCAGACCACAAGGAAAAAGAGCAGGAACAAGAAGTGGAAGAGGAACCGCTCGAACCCCCACCAGTCATCGTGACCAAAGACGGCGCCACCGCCATAATACCCGCCGCTCTCCTCCAAGTCTCCGAGCGCCCGCTCTTCCTCCCAGCAGCCTTCGTCGTAACCGCGCACTTCCTCGGGCTCATCCCCCTCGCCGCCTTCAACCACATACCCGTCGCAAACCTCTACCCCTCCTTCCTCCTCGCCGCGAACCTCACCGCCCTGCTGCCCCTCGCCACCGCGTACCTCCTTTCTCGCTTCACCCGTCCCACGCCCCAAGAGTCGACGCTGATCCACTGCTTCAGCCTGCTCTTCCTCGGCATGTACCTCTCTGCTCTCGCCACGCTCAACTTCAGCCAGAGCCTGATGGTCGGCTTGTTGACTGCGCCGCTGAGTTTTGTGAGACGGAGCTCGGGCTCGCGTGCGGCGGCAAAGCTGCAGTTTGCGCTGCTCGCGGCCATCAATCCCGTCATGGTGGTGTACGGCGCGACCTATGTGGGCAAGATTGAGCTGCTGGATGTGCTGGTCAAGGCGGCGGAAGGGTGGCATGTTTGGGGAATGTGGACGCAGGTCGTGGTATGGCTAGTGTGGTGGCCTGCTTGGTTCAGTGGGAGCGTTGTTGTCGCGTTGGGCTTGTTCTGAGAAGCTGCATGCATGCATGGAAAGATGGCTTTTGAGCGGTGGACGAGGCATAGTGATGCGTGTCGGAGCACCGATGACATGTCCAATTATGATACCACATAGAGCATAGTGTGAGTCAGAAGAGCAAAAGCATATTGTCAGTTCATGAACTCATTGATGGGCGCAGGCGTAGTTGGCCGGCCTTGATCTATGATACATTTATCGTGGTAGAGTGCGTTTAGCATGCATACCTCACGTCGCACGCCACGCGACTCTGGTCTCTTATCAGCTTATAAGGTTTTAGCTTGGCGACAGCCATGTCTGCATCGCTCAAGCAGCCCATACGTCCTTGCCGACCCCTTCGATCCAATTGCCAAGATGGTTAACGCTCGCGTCCCACTCCTTAAGTCGGCCTCTCATGTTCTGGATCTGCGTCATATCCAACACCTTCGGCTGCACCCAATTGATCCTCGCGATCTCCGCTACCTGGTCGATTGTCCCCTTGAGCAGCCCCAAGCTCAGCGCCTTCATGATCAAGTGCTCAATCTCGTTCGGCGACACCTTGGTCTCCTCGGAGATGGTCTGGAACGTCATTGCGCGGTCGTGGGGCGGTCTCCGGAAGACGGTCTCGGTGAGTGCTGATAACGAAATCTTCTGGTACAGGAAGGTCTGGTGCTCCTTAAGCAGCGGTACCTTTGAGATGTTGCCAGCGAGCACGTCGTATGCGGTCAAGTCGCCACGGTTGAAAGCGAAGAGCAAGTCGCGGAGCCATGCGTGTGGGGTGTTGAGGAGAGAGTCGAGGATCGGGTGGAGAAGAAGCTCGCCGAAGTTGTAGATGGAGTCGGAGACGAGGGCGGCGATGCTGAGGTCATAGGCACGCGACTGGCGCTCACGGAGATCGAGGTCGGCCAGGTCGACGCAGGCGAGGTAGAGGAGCGCGTTCTTGTAGTAGGCGGCAAACTCATGCTTGGCCTGATAAGTGTCAGTACACGATGCAGAGGAGCAACATGGCGGGGTAAGATACCTTGTAGTATTCGGCGCTCGTCTTGTAGAACGAGGCATGTACGGCCGTCTCCACCGAGTCAAAGCTCTCTAGTATCTGCTCGCTCTCGTCGAGCTTCTTCCGTGCGCCATCATCGTCCCCTGTCCGCAGTTGGATGCTCGCGGTAGCTACTGTGGCGTAGACGTAGGCGTCTTGGGATGCGGGCTTATTGACCGACTTGGCGATGTCGGAGACAAAGTTGAGGCGCTCGGTGTCATCTGCGTACTCAGCGGCTGTCTAGAGACTTGTACACGACGCATGCCTACCCTTGAACTGCGACGCCGCCTTGAGGCCGAGCTGGACGAGCTTGAGCTGGTTGATCTTCTTGGCGAAGCTCTTGATGAAGGTCTCGAAGAGCGGTATCCGCTGCTGTGCGCTTTCGGCCTGGTCAAAGTACTCGACGAGCTTGTCTGTCAGCTCGTGCCACAGTTTCCGCTCCCAGTAGTCCTCGAAGTGGATGAAGTATTCCTGCAGCTCGTCGGGTGCCTGGTCGCGCAGGTCGCCGAGCAGGTTCGGGATTGTGTCTGTGTCCATGGCCATGGCGGGCAGCGGGGGCGCGGGCAGTGTGTGCGGGGCAGGGCGTCGCTGCTCGAAGGCGGGAGACGACGAGGGTGCTATGGCCGGGGGCGAGGCGAGGGCGTACGCGGCGTGGTGTAGGCGGTGCGAGCAGGTAGCGGGCGGGTGTTTGGCGGGCGGCTCTTGCCAAGAAGCCGCCCGGGCTCGGTTGGCGGTTCATCCTCAACGTCAAGCTTGAGCTTCCCCATTCCGACAGCCATTGAACGCCGCAACAATGGCCTTGCCTCTCCGCTGTGCGCGCTCTGGAGCCGCGCTCACGGCACAGACTCCCTCGACCATGCGCGCCGCCAATCTGCCCACCGTGTGCCGCCGCTACCTCAACCAAGACGTCAGGATCACGAGGACGGGCAAGCCTGTCCTGACCGTGTCAGGCGGCAGGTGCGTGCCCTGCACTCTGGAAACACTTCAATGAGCTGACGATAGCTGCAGATCCTCGCTTGGAGGTACACACCGCCCTCGCGCGACCCGCGAACTCCCCGCTCACGCTTGACCAGGTTATACCGCGACTGTGTTTGGAGCAACAGGCTTCCTGGGACGATACATCGTGAACCGCCTCGGTGCGTCAAAATCTGCCCAAATGAGCGTGTTTCGGTGCTAATAGAGGCGCGACAGCTCGCTCGGGATGCACCGTCATTGTTCCCTTCCGCGAGGAAATGGCGAAGCGACATCTCAAGGTTGCAGGTGATCTGGGCAGGGTGGTCTTCTTGGTATGCTTCCATTGTTCGGACATGTGCTTCAGAGTCTGACTGCCGCAGGAAATGGACTTGCGCAACACACAATCCATCGAGGAGTCCGTCCGACACTCTGACATTGTCTACAACCTGATTGGCCGCGACTACCCTACCAAGTGAGTATCCCCAACAGATTCTCACATCGCATCGCTAAATTTGCCCAGGAACTTCGACTTGGAGGATGTGCACGTACACGGCACGGAGCGCATTGCAGAGGCTGTTGCCAAGTACGATATTGACCGATTTGTGCACGTTTCTTCCCACAGCGCCAGTCTCGATTCCCCATCCGAGTTCTACCGCACCAAGGCCCGAGGTGAACAGGTCGCGCGGGAGATCTACCCCGAAACCACCATCGTCCGACCCGCGCCCATGTTTGGATTTGAGGACCGTCTTCTGAACCGTCTCGCTGGTGCCACCAACGTTTTGACCTCCAACTGGATGCAAGAGTACCTGTACCCTACCCACGCCATTGATGTTGGCATGGCCCTGGAGAAGATGCTGCACGATGACACCACCGCCGCTGAGACGTTCGAACTTTACGGTCCCACCGGCTACACCATGGCTGAGATCAACGAGCTTGTAGGTGCCGAGATTATCAAGAACAGGCGCCACATCAACGTTCCCAAGAGACTACTCAAACCTATCGGAGCCGCGCTTAACAAGTACATATGGTGGCCTACCATCTCAGCGGACGAAATTGAGCGGGAGTTCATTGACCAAACTATCGACCCTAAGGCCAAGACATACAAGGATCTCGACATCGAGCCCGTGGATTTGAAGAGCGTGCTCTACGAATACCTGGTAAGTGTGACAATGTGACAACTTCACAAAGATCCGTGACTGACTCGTACTGTAGAAAGGATACCGCAGTCCCTCCTACTACGATCTTCCTCCGATGACGGAGCGGGAGAAGCGGGAAGAGAAGAAGTATCTTCACGTTATCGACGACCAATAGTTGTCGCTTGGGCGTAAATGGAAAGACTTGTGTATATATCTGAATCAGTGTATCTCGGCCAGGGTGGTCTGTAGAATCATCGGCATTTTCATTTGTTTAAACATCGCACACTTTTCAATTGTTAAAATGACCGGCCTTTCCTACTATCGAATCTGGTATTAACACAAAAGAGAACAATAATCCAGGTCGGCACTTGGCCCCAGCCCAGCCAAGATTCAACGCAAGCTTTCCGGGTGTCCAAAACGATCGGGTTGAGCATCCCGCCATGATTCGCACGCTAGAGCTCAATGCTGTAGGCCGATTATAGACAACTGCCTATGGTAGAATGAACTATTTGTGATGGTTGATCTCGGGATAACACTGCATACGCAGAGGACAACGCTACAGTTCCAACCCAATCTAGGCACGCGTCCGATCCGCGAGCGTGAAGGCAAGACCAGGAGCTAGCGGAACGGGTGGCGGGCAAGAGCTGGCTGTATGACGAGCTCGCTTGTGTCAGACTCGGAAATTCTGATCAGCACTGTGGTGGGTGCCCACCAGGTGAAAGTGAAGGGTTGGGTCGAGATGCCCTCCGAGTTCACTCAGGCTGCTCATTTGCATTGTCAGATCTCCTGTACTGCCACCTCCCAGCCCAGTCAAGCAGGACTTTCAAAGCTAAAGCCCCTGTTCGGAGTTTTCTATTGACACAGGTGTCTAGCGAGACAAATGCTTGAGCCCTAATACAGCTTGAAGAGCACGTTTGCTAAACACAACCGGCGGTCCACTTCCCTACCCACTCACATTTCCATCGATTTTTCCTTGAACATAATTCCTTCTTCGGTTTGTGCCTCTCCACCAGCGACCAAGTAAGCATCCGCATTGTCTGCCCACGGCCAAGTTGCTTTCTCCGGCTTTGCCCTCGCCCGGAGTAGTGCTGGAAAAAGATCCTCAAAGAAATCCAGGCATACTGAGAATTCAACGTCCCTGCCTTCCAGCCACGATATATTTCCAGCATATGCCCAAAAGTCGACCATCAATTTCCTGGCCGGCGAGCGCCTCTTCGTCTGCTCATATATAATGGCAACTGTCCGATCGCTAGGGAAGGCTTCCTCTTTCACCAGATAGTATCGCATTGTAAACAGAAGCGCATTGCGATATGCTGCGTCTTCTAGACGCTCTCCTAGGCCATAGCAAAGCGCAAGCTGCTCTGTGTCTAGCGTCAAACTTTCTTTGTAGTCTGGTCGGCTCTTTTCCTGCAGGGATACCAATCGCTGTTTCTTCCGCGTGCCAATGGTTCGCGTGTTTGCCCACTTCACATAGTGTTTGACAAGTAAGGGATCTTCGTGGGTCAAATCGATTGGTTTCGGGACCGTGGCTATCCAATCAGAGAAGGAATTCGACACAGATCGGGCAATGAATCCAGACGATACTCTATCTCTTTCGATATGAAGTGATAATGGCTTGCGCTTTCTGCCTTTATTCTTGACATGGATGGTGATCGTTCCGGTAAAGGCGCTATGAGCATTAGCAAAGCCTTCAAGTAAGTCAAGGAACATACGGAAACTGCTCAGGTTGAACTCTCTTGAGCTCGGGTACTTTGACCCGCTTTGCAGCCGTCTCTTCAATATCCACAAATCCCGACGACTGTCGCAGCGTTAGCGCGGACGAACCATGAAGTACACATCTTTCCGTGCGAGGTACTCACATCGGCACGGCTTCGTTTGCGTCGCAAACCCTGTCGTAGAACGAGCTTATCCTCCATGGCTGCCTCAATGCCTTCCATATCTACGTCATGGATTCGACCGGACATGACTGGTTCGTTTTTGGACTGCGGCAGCTTTGTCCATTCGAGAGTGCTCGAGTAATATCGGATGATCTTGACCATCTTTTGTGAGAAGCAGAATTAAAGTGACGGTTCTGCTCGTCCCTCAGCAAAATTGAATTGGATTACACCTTGCAGCGGGTACTCAAGATATTAAATAGTGGTTGTACAACGCATCAGTGCTCGCGGAGTGCATGTAGATGCCTTCTCGCACGAAGCAGCAACCAATCAGGACCGTGATGCTGCACCGCCTCACCTGTGGCTAATGCCCGCCTCTAAAAATACATTACCTACCATGCGGGAGAGCACAAACAGCAAGGCTGAATTATTTTCCAGAATATTTCAGCAAAAAGCGAGTTCTCATTCGCTCTTTGCCAGTGAAGAGTTCGTAGAGGCATTCAGTATTCCATACGCTAACTCTTACAGCACCAGGATGAAAGTCTTAAGTACCGCGTACTTAAACAGAATAGGCGACACGATGGTAGATACACTTTACCCTAGTACCGTAATGCTTAGCATACGGTCGAGGCCAAACCGTGGAGTGCGTAGTGGTCATTGGTCGAGAAGGAAGTGCCGCTTCCATCAGCCTCCATGTCGTTGAGCACTCTTCTTAGCCCTCTACAGGACCTCAGTGACTGTGGTCAATATGCTCAAATCCTCCTGGAGAAATGCATGCGTATGCGTCTTTTTACTAGTGGCCACGTACCAAAAACAATAGTCGAGATTCTCACAGACGGCGCATTTGAATAGCATCTCCCAGCGACGAAAACAGTGAACGTCAATCTATATGCGTGAGCGCGATAGAAGACTTCTCCTCTGGCCTTCTGGAGCTGTCTCAAGATCGAGCTCAGAAAAATGGAAGCATCCTGATCGTCGCGTGCGCGGAAATCGAAGAAGAACTTGACAACAACGATCGGGTCGTCTTTAGAGCTCATCTGATGCACAGTATCAACAATCGATGCACACATAATGGGGTTTCCAGCACCAGGAATTCCATAGAGCCAAAGGATAGATTGGGGTGAATAGATCCAGTTTTTGAACACAGTCCCATTAAGGAACAAATCTCCCGTTGATGGAGCCTTCACTCCTGCTTAGGACTCGACAGCCGTGTCAGGAGCCAGTGAAGCAAGACATTTGATGATGGTCTGACGGTGTTGATCTGCGTTCGTAAGCTTCACAGTGTCAGTGACTGTATGGCTGCCCGGGAATCCAACAGAATGGTGGTATGATCCACAGCAAGTGCTATGTGGAAAGTGCTTTTGACATGGACCATACCTTCTAGACATCGTGATACATCCTTCTCCTTGAAAAGCCACTTCAAGACACCGAGAATGAAGCTTGCGCTCGAGTTAGCCGCGGCCTGCAACCACCGTGCAAATTCTTGCAGCTCCGACGAGCAATTTTGAGGGAAACCATCTGAACTTGCGAATGCCTCCACATGGCGTAAGCGAGAAGCGTCTGCGAGCGTGTTGTCAGAAGCGATATCGAGCAAGCCTTCGAGGATGCCGCGCAAAGATTTGACTTCGTCAACCAGCCGGATCAGATCTGGTATGGCGTTTTCAATGCTACTGCGTACTTTGATACAGAGAAACGTTTTCTTGTGAACCAGTTCATGGAGGGTTACGACGCTTGCTACCGCTTCTAGAGACTACATGGTCCCGGAGTGGTTGATGAGAAGCGGAGAGAAATCAGACTGAGGATAATTGTTTTGGACCCCCAAGACAGCTTTGTGGCAGTGCTGCGAGGCCGACTTGACCCTAATGATACTACCTCGCTTTTGTGGTAACGTGAACACCGGCGATATATTATTATGCCCATGTTCTAGATACTCATAGTATCTCGAATGGTCCTAGGGGCAACTGTGGAGAATCCGACCTGATCTTCGTGTCACACAAGAGCCCTTTCGTATGTGGCTTCTATCAAATTCGGTACCTCGTACTATGTGGCTTAAGTTTGACAACATTGTATGCTGCATCCTAGTAGCGTTCTCGCATTAGTCCTCAGATACAAAATATTGACGCGTGGCACATTTGTAGTAACCGGAATGGAGGCGCTGCCAGGACATTCCTCGCGTGCACACATCCACACGTGTCGCCCTTGTGGCGGCATCGTTCTAGAGTACCACAATGCAGGGCAAAGTATCGGTTATGGCAGCCCAGGGAGATCGGAAGTGGGCCTAGACGAGCAAGGACAGTTGCGGAATGCACAGGTCGATCCAATAAATAGCAGATCGGAACAACTCTGGTTCTACAGCCCGAGACGCGCGTGTCAGTCCGACCGCGAAGATGCCGGTAAGTTAAAAGGCAAAATCATGTTGAGGTGAAAGAGGGTAGAACTGTGCCAGAACGACCCAAAACTGATCATTCAACTATTAGGGTGCACGTGCCGTCTTTGCCCTCCTCCTCACGAGCTACTTCTCACGCGTCGCCTGCGTACAAGTACCACCGCCCGACTCGTGTCCGTGGTGCGTGAGTATAGATGGGGCGGTTACGACACTGCAGCAGCAGATTGCTCAGTTGAGAAACTGGTTGGTAAGCCTTTCTGAGGTTGCCCCGGATGCCCAGGTGGGTTACGCGACGCCTTCAGACTACCGCAACTCTCGACGTGACGAAATGCGCCGCAGTACGATTGCATCAGACCACCAGAAACCCGTCTGGCGAATAGGTGCTACCTTTATGGCCTGTACCTCAACAGCTGAGGCTGAAGAACCTGTCACAGCTCGCTGACGGGCAGCTCAATACAGCCTTCGGTGACGTAGCGTGGCGCAGCCTTCAGCCCTACAGCCGTTCCTTGCAAACAACACGTCGACACTCTCCATGCGCTATAATAATTTCTTGTTATTCTGCTTATCCTACGTACTGACCGTGTTCGAGATTCTGCATCCTTCAGAAAACCCTTTCAGTATCGACGTCTCGAAGAACGGTCCAATAATAGGCTCAACCCCTGTATCAACGCCTCTAGTATCAAAGACCTTCGGAAATCCTGGTGTACAGATACCGACAAACCAGGCCCCTCTTGTCCCCGCCACACCCCACACAGACTCAACAATTACTCCCAACAACCCCATATTACCTCCACCAGTACCAGTCATGGGCGGCGGCGACGGATATCGCACAGTAGCTTACTTTGTCAACTGGGGCATCTATGGCCGCAAATACTTCCCTCAGACCATCCCGGCTGATAAACTGACTCATGTCCTCTATTCCTTCGGCGACAACCGCGAGGACGGTGAGGTCATCTTGACTGATCAGTGGTCCGATATCCAGATCCACTACGATGGAGACTCCTGGAACGACCAAGGCAACAACCTCTATGGCAACCTGAAGCAGCTGTACTTGCTCAAAAAGCAGAACCGCAACCTAAAGGTTCTACTTTCCATCGGCGGCTGGACCTATGCGCACGAGCAAAAGCATTTCGACACGCCGGCCTCAACCCCCCAGGGCCGCAAGAGGTTCGCTGATAGCTGCGTCAAGTTGATCAAGGACTTGGGATTCGATGGCATTGATATCGATTGGGAGTACCCGAGAGACCAGGAGCAGGGACAGCAGTTGCTGTTGCTGCTCCAGGAGATACGCTCGGCTATGGATACGTATGCTACCAAGCTTGAGAGCGAGACTGGGACGAAGCCCCGGTTTGTACTGACTATTGCGGCGCCGGCGGGTGCTGACAACTACAACCATCTGCCCCTCGCGGATCTGGCCAAGGTTCTCGACTTCATCAATTTGATGGTGAGTTTGCTGTCCCTGCCCTGCTCGCGAGAGCGTCTCCATGCGGCAACATGTGTACTCGCGGTGCTGGATGATTCTACCATCTGATTTCCCATGACTTCAGCGGTGTTAATTAGCTCCAGGCATACGACTACTCAGGCAGCTGGGACAAGGCCGCTGGCCACCAAGCCAACCTCTTTCCATCCTCATCCTGTCCCACATGTAGCCCATTCAACTCCAATTCCGTCATCGATGCCTACGTCTCCAGAGGCGTCCCTGCGAACAAAATCGTCCTCGGGATGCCCCTCTACGGCCGCGCCTTCACCGACACCGACGGCATCGGCAAGCCATACAACGGCTCCGGCCCCGGGTCATGGGAGAACGGCGTGTGGGACTTCAAGGCCCTGCCGCAGCCCGGCGCGCAGGAGTACTACGACGAGGAATCTGGTGCGAGCTATTCATACGACGCGAACACGCGCACGCTGGTGAGCTACGACACGCTTGACATGGCGAAGAAAAAGGCGCAGTGGATCAAGCAGAAGGGACTCGGCGGCGCAATGTGGTGGGAGCTCTCGGGCGACCGCCAGGACGCAGGCAGCATCGTCGACGGCGTGAGCATCCCCCCTCTCCACTCGTCGTCCCACTCCCAGTGCAACTCTACCCCTCCACCCTCCTCCTTTCATACGTGCCATATTGCCCTTTTTTTTCTTTTCCTTCCCGTGTTTTCGGAGGGCTGCCCGAGAACAAGTTTTTCCGTGCCACGCACTCAAACGCGCCATCGAAAAGCCATAAGCTAACCTCCCACCCAGGTCGTCGCAGAACTTGGTGGGCCCTCCAACGGCAGACTCGAACACCACCCTAATTGGCTCGTCTACCCAGAGTCGCAGTACGACAACCTGCGCAAAGGCTTTGCTTAGGGCACCGCGTACCGCGAACGAATTGAACCGCCTGTCTCTTCAGTTTGCCGTTCTAACCGCAGCACACCTCTGCCGTGGCGCGGAACGGATCCACAAATCGACACCGACAGCGGGATGGCGGACGCCAGGGCCGGCAAGCGGGTCAAAGTTAGCGTTGGGCGTGGGATTGTGGCAGTTTATGGTGGAGTAAAAAGCGTTTGATATAGTTTCACGGTGGAGGTGTTGGGGGTCCTGGACTAGGGGATGGGTATCCTGGTATCGGGGCTCGCTTAGAGCTGCACTTGCGCTGCTGCTGCGGACGTGTTACGCAAAGTGATCAACTACATGGTTACGAAGCCAATGCATTCGAGATACGTTGCAAACGGATGTTTATTGCTGGTGTGTGGATGAGACGTGAGGCTCTTCTGGTGCGCGACTTGCGTTTCTAGGTCGTGTAATTTGTGAGGATGCTTCCAGCCAGTGTGAACCCTAAAGTGAGCTGTTATTCAGGCACTGAGAGTGTTCGAGTCGACCCTGCAGCTGGTCTCAGCTTGCTTCCAACGGATGTGGATCGTAAGAGGCAAGAGCGACCCGACCCTCCGGACAATGCGGCCGACGACGGGTGTGAAGCGGGTATGCAGGTAACTGCAAGCTACAAGGCACGATCTGCGAAATCGGGTGGCCGTGATGTGCAAAGCACAGCTGCATGAGCAGTACGTCTTGCAAGTTGCCTGCTGCAAGTTGAAACTCGAGTGCAACCTCCGCATAGACGAGTTATGTAAGATGCTGCTATATTCCTGAAGGAACACCTGAAATCAAAATGCGATACTTGGCTTTGCTGGAGACAGATTTGCAATCGTGGATTCACACAATGTCGTTGAAGTAATGTGGAGTCCGAGCGCATTGAAAGCCAGGATATTGCCGTCAAAGCGGCCATATGTACAAACCCTTGGACCATAACATACAGAACGACTGCCAACAATGCGCGCCTGCGAACGCCTCGGTATCTCAAAGTTCCCAATGCAATAAGAAGATCGTGTTATAGAGCGGCGTGGCATGCTGATATGCAAATGGACTACTGGTGCTGTTAGTGTTTTCGGACGGTGTCAGGCAGGCAGGTCTCTGATGGAGGGAGTAATCGCTGGTAGGAGTCTTCGCCGGCGAGCGTGGCATCCCTATGTTCTAAGAACGTTCTGATCCGCTCGTTCCGGTCGCCGGACATGGTGGCGCGCTTTGAGCGTGCCAACTCTATCGAGGCCTCTCTGTGGATCTTGTCGCGCTGTTCCATGACGGAAGAGCCAAAGGCGTTAGCCCGGGTGCCTTGCAAGACACCGCCCAACGTGACTATGGCGAAGACGAGGGACACGAAAGCAAAGTTTGATATGTTCAGGTCGCGCGGAGCCTCTGCGCCGCTCTCGCGGTGGTGCCAGCGTTCCCAGTCTTCCCAGGTCGCATTTTGGCTTGGATCATGAGCCCACTGCCTCTGTTCGTGACCCCATGGGTGGGCATGGGAAGGGTTCTGGTGGTGCCCCGACCAGCCCAGGCCCCATGCGTCGTATGCCTTGCGCTTCGCATCGTCGGAGAGGATGGTGTGGGCAGCAACGAGCAGGCGGTAGCGTTCCAAGCGCACAGCGTGCGGCAGATGGGCAGCTGGAGAGGCGGCATCGGAGCGGTCGGGGTGGTACAGCTTGACGAGAGAGTAGAAGCGGTGTTTCGTGTAGGCCTGGCCGCGTTTGCAGTGGAGGATCTGGTAAGGCGTAGGAGAACGGTGGGGAGGCACGGCGTCAGGCCAGCTCAGATCGGCCTCGTCGCCATGCGCGTGCTGGGCGTAGGTGCGCGGGCGCGGACGCGGATGCGGATGCGCACGCTGGTCGTGTGCCAGCGGCGGGCGGCATGACGCAGCGCAGCCAGTGGCGGGGGAGGAGAAGTGGTAGTTGAGGCTGCTATAGGAGCTGAGCAGCAGGGCAGGCTTTCGCGAGGGCATTATCGCGCAGCGGGCGAGGGCATGTTTCCTGGCACGCGGCAGCGGCAGCGAGGTTGCACAACGACAGACCTGAGGAGCGAGTGGTTTGGCGGGGCTGCATGAATGATGACGGCGACTCGGCGCCGGGGCATCGCGCAGCAAGCACAGACAGGCACGATCATGGGCACTAAGCCGTCTGCACGCTAGGCGGCCGACGACGAGCAGCAGCAGCTCGCGCGCGCAGCACCGTTTGCACCGCTCGTCGACGCCGGCCGTGTCACTCGCAGCCACCAGCGCTGGAAACTGCATGCCCGCCCGTCTCCTGTTTGCACCGCGCTGTTTTGGCGGCGTAGACCTGCCGCCGCAGTGGGGGCCTGCCATGCGAGCACCTGTTCTCCTTCACAACGGGTTTGATCTGCTTGCCCAGGGCCCGCTGCCTCGCTTCCGCATGCTCTCGACGACGGTTGCACTGGATCACCCCCGGAGAGGCATGCTCCATGCGCTAGCTCTTGCGTGGACCTTCTGGCAGGCGGCCGGTGGTGGCTCTCGCAATAAGGTCGACCAACTATAAGTGTTCCCGCCGTGCACTTCAGCTGCTCCTAGCCTTGCACATCGTGCACATCTTCTGCCTTCCAGCCTCCACTTTGCCGTGCATCGCCCCAGCCATGGCTCGCTCGCTCGACACATCCATGGGCGACCCCGAGAGAGAGCTAGCCGACGCCCTCGAGGCCCACCGTGGGAGTGGAGGGGAGCCCCTCGCCGGCCTCTTCAATCTCACCCGGCGCATGGAAAACGAGCAAGAGGAGCAGTTCGATGTCGACCTCACAATCATGGATTTCCTGGCTTACAAGGCCACCGACCTTGTGTTCGAATGGAGAGCAGGCTCCAACCCCCATCAGTCGGATCTGCCCTCGGCCCTGGTCACCATGACTGCGGGTATGTACCTGCCTCGCACATGGTCTCGCCTGCTTTGCTTCACCACCTGGGCTAACCCTAACCTATAGAGTGGAGAACATTCCTGAAACACAAACACAGCGGCAAACGTCTCAACAGCCAAGCCGCGTTTCGTTCACGCCTACTGCAGTTCTCCCTGCTATTCACCCACCGCTTGAACCATGAGCAGACCTGGACAACCGAGGAATCCCTGAATGAGCTCCGCGCACAGAACCGGAAGCGCGGACAGTACTGGAACGATGCAGGACGTACGCCCGCCCTTCAGCGTCCATTTGATCCCTCTAGCGAATTTCCTCTCGCCGACGGTGCACTTGCCGAAAATCGGCACAATCTAGCCTGCGCCATTGACCAACCACAAGAGAGGAGACGATGGGTCACAGATTTGGAAGGAACGCCTACCCTTCATTGCCTCCTTCCGCTTTTTGTCGAACTCACGGCGGCAAGAGTGCAACTTGGCGACTGGGTGCCGAGCGAAGGATGGATGGACCTTATGGGGCAGTTCATGCGTGAGTAGCATCAGCTCCGCCAGAGTCATGGTGCATACTTATCAATGCCTCGTCTAGTCCATGCTGTCCTTGAAGAGTACCTCCTCAACGGCGCTTACAGCCAAGAGACCTTCAACACAATATTCGCGTTTGGCTGTCCTGGAACCGAGCATCGATCAGACGAAGGTGGTGATGTAGTAGCTATGCGCAGTATCTTTTGCAGCGATGCGCATCCTCACCAAGAGATACCTGGCTGGTCCGAGGTCAGACAGCGCTACGTGCAAGAGGTTAGCTTTCTATTTACCACTGATTGTATGCCGCTGCTAACAGCCACAAGCTTCTGCCACCACCAAACTCGTCGACCTCCTTTGTGCAAGCCATGGAGCGCGCCCAGGAACTGCATCCCTATGAAGCCTTCGAGAATAGCACCATCGCTTTCTTGGAGTACCTACATGATGAACTCATCAAGCCTGACCTCGTCCAAGTTGAGGAAGGGCGCGTCAACATTCACGGCAACGAGCTGCCCGAAAGCGACTCTCGAGAGATGATTCGCCGGATGGGCTTGTAACGTACTCATGCATACCCAAATTTCATTTCTTGACACCTGACATGGCCAACGGTTGCGCATTGGAACTGCTCATGACACATATCTTCTTCTCCTTCAAGCCGTTTTCGAGCACGACAGCTCACCTCTTCTTTCTTGTTCTATTCTATCCGAATGGTTATCATGCCTTGCGTTGTCTACTGTTCAACATTACCAATACCAAAAGCCTTGCAGCAGGGCATTGATTTTCTGTAGCAACAAATTTGACATCCCTTCAAATTATATGGATGTCTTTTCCAGATGCGACTACAGTCAGTCATCCCGGCCATTCATTAACAGAAAACCGTCCAAGTGGGCCGTCTTTTTTCGCTGTTTAGTGACTGTGCTTCGTCTTGCGGAGACAGTCATGTGTCTAGCATCATTGGAAGAGATGGGAGTACTAGGATGATTCTGTCCTGGTGCAATATATTGAACAGCATGGGAAACCTTTCAGGGCCAGGTCATGAGAAACAAGCCGTCAATATCGCAGTATTGCCCGCACCCGAAAAGCGTACGGAGTGTTGACAAGCTCCATAGCAACCTGTGGCTAAGATTGCTGCCTCTCAACTGGCCTAGGACAAACAGTGCGTACCGCTTCACTCGTCGGATCCCGCGAGCTTCGTCAGTGCACGCCGCTTCACCCACATAACGATCAACCCTGTCGCGTACATTTGCGCACCTATCACCAGCTCGATCAAGGAACTTCGCACAAGCCCCTCCACATAGCAACACGCGCGCCGCAGGCCTAAAAGAACTCGCCATGCGCCGGTACGGAACACCCCAGCGAGGCTCGCTATACTCACCACGCAGACAACCCCACGTCAACACGATGGCAACCGCGGTAGTCGTCTCGACTGTCGCGCACCTAGCCCAAGTGCTCGACCGGTTGACCCTCAAGGCAACCGTGCCGCCGCATCTGTACATCGACATCGAAGGTGTCAACCTATCACGCAACGGCACCATCTCCATCTTCACGCTGTTCGACCGTACCTCGAAATTGGTGTACCTGATCGACGTCTACTCCCTTGGCTTCGCAGCCTTTACAACTCATTCCGCCACCTGCAAGACCTTTACGGACTCGGTCTTTCAGGTTATCGGTGCTGACACAGCGCCACGCTACGTCACATTGAAGACGATCCTGGAGTGTTCCAAGATCCCGAAGGTCTTCTTCGACGTGCGCAATGATTCCGATGCTCTGTTCGCTCACTTTGGTATCCGGCTCGATGGTGTACAGGATCTCCAGGTGATGGAGCTAGCGAGTAAGAAAACAACCTCGACATTCACACGAGATGGCTAATAAAGTATTCAAGCGCGCTCCGGCCGCAACCGCGAGCGCGTGAACGGTCTCGCTCGCTGCCTCCATTTTGGTCTTGTCGGGATCCTGACGCCTCTCCAACGTTCACAGATCGATACAATTAAGAATCGCGGTTCAGCACTGTTCGATCCGGAGAAAGGCGGCTCGTTTGAGGTCTTCAACCAGCGACCTCTTGACCCGGTGATTGAGAAGTACTGCATGCAGGACGTCATTTTCCTGCCGCACTTGTGGCTCCGGTATTATAAGAAGCTGTGGGTCCCGTTCTGGAAGTTCGTGGTCGCCTCCGAAACGAAGAAGCGCCTCGAAGAGAGCCGCTCTGCGGACTATGTCCCGCAGGGCAAGCACAAGGCGCTTGGTTGGACGTGGGATGATCTCCGCCAGAAGGAGCTGAAGTGGAACAGCGGCAGCTGTTGACATGGCTGGTGGATCCCTGAAGGCGCACAGCGCGTACTTGCATCTCGGGTAAGTCTGTTTGTGTGTTGGACACCCTTTGCATGAGCACATTTTCTTGCATTCACGTTGATCTTGGTGGAGTAAGTTCGGAGATTCATTGTAATGGGTGGTTATTGTGAGGAAGGGGCAATTGCCGGATATGGCCTGGTGGGTAGGAACGGGTTCAATTGTCACTAAGGTGAGGTGGGTTTCCTTCCCGTCTCGGAGCGGTCCGCTGCCATCCCATAGGTTTCTAATTCTCCACTTGGCGTCAATCCCGTGACCTTCTACCCAAAGCGCCAAAGTACACAGCCCGTATATAAGCACCCAATACGTTTCAAACATTCCGTTGCCCACATTCAAAGCCAGCTGCGACATTGCCACGACAAGCTAGATACAGCAACCACCCACACATCCCAAAATGGTCCTCCAAGTGCACCACATGGAGATCTCACAAAGCGAGCGCATCCTCTTCCTCTGCGAAGAACTCGGCATCCCCTACAACCTCATCCGGCACAAGCGCGCGCCCCTGCTTGCCCCTGACTCCCTCCGCCTCCCCGCCAACCCCACCGGCAAAGCCCCCTTCCTAGAAGATCCGGACGAAGGCGTCGCCCTCGCCGAAAGCGGCGCAATATGCGAGTACATCCTGGCCAAATCTGGCGACCGGAAGCTCTCGAAGAAGTACGGCGACAAGGGGTACGCGAACTACATCTACTGGTTCCATTACGCTAACGCAAGCCTGCTGCCGGCGATGGTGGGCAGCATGTTCCTGATGCATTCGCATCTTCCGGCGGACGATGCAACGAGGGCGTGGTCGCAGGCTAGATTGGAGGGCGCGCTGAAGCATGTAGATGGCTGGTTAGCAAAGAACAAATGGCTTGCTGGGGAGGACTTCACGGCCGCGGATATCATGACTGTGTATACGGTGACGACGCAGCGGTATTTTGGGCCGAGCGTGAGCCTTGCGGCGTATCCGAATATGCTGAGGTGGTTGAAGGATGTGAGTGAGCGGCCGGGGTATAGGAGGGCGATGGAGAAGGGGGATCCTGAGATGGAGTTGTTGCTTGGGTCGGAGGCGCCGGGGACGACGTTGATTAAAGAGGGGGGCATCGAGTCTGGGATTTGGAAGAAGAAGTAGGGTCGCTGCATGCGATGTTTGAGACCACTGTGGAGTGCACGACAAAGTAATCCAACAATGATTCTGCATCATGGCAAGAGCGGCGGCAAGGACGTGATCTTCATTGAGCTACCGAGCACCGAGAGCTGATTTTACACCGTTCATCGAGGCCAATCGATGCCCCACCCGTGTTCAAACCTTCATACACAAGTAAACCTTCCCTACCCATCCGCATTCCGCCACCTACTTGAAGCCTAACTTTCTTTAGGCCAGCCCCTCCTTAAGCTCCACCAAATCCTCCATCCTTACAATGGCTTCCGCAGCGCCGACTACTTATCCGACAGAACTGATTCAGCCGATGCTGTGATTACAAACTTCTGTCTCTCAATTAGTTTCGGCTTTCCAGTATTCTTCCATCGATTCCCATGGTGATAGCGTCAGGCATAACATGTTGAATCAAGTGCACCCTCACTCCCCGGTTGCCGCCGTGTTGAAAGCGTCTGTTGAGGATGTCGCAAGGGAATTCTCGGCCACATCGTAGGCGTGTATTTGGTGCCGTTGTTGGGCAGGCTGACGCTATGTTTTTCCAGGACTATTCGTACCCGGAATCCGCTCTCTGTGATAAAGTTCGTTTCACATTGTTACGTGACTTGCTTCCAGTGTTGATGCGTAGATTTGATAAGCAAAGGTTCGTCACGCAGATACACAAATCAACACCTCTCCGAGCTCATGTACACGTCTTTTGGGGATTTGTGTCCAGCACTGCTTTCTGCTTGACAACGCAGACGGCGGGACCGTAAGATGGATCCACTCGTGTATGTGAATAGTCATTTGGCTAGGGCGCGAGGTCAAAAGCTTGTCCAGGAAAACACCTGGTCCTTCCAGAGATTCTACAATGATACCGCTCTCGCCTCTGATTGGGAGGGGTAAGATGATTTTGTTCAAGGCGAACACCCGAACTACTGAAGCATTCGTATTCCCAGGCCATCTAGTCTATTTGTTTTGTTCCGCATTCCAGCCCGTCTAGTAGTTCGTCGGATACTGCCCCGCCATCTGCGAATGCCTCTTCTTCAAGCTCTTCTTCTTACTCCTCCTCGCCATCACAAACACGTACGTGACAACCGTCAAAACCGCCGCTCCGACCTGCACAAGCCCAATATACCACGAGATACTCTACTCGTCATTAGCTCTTTCTGCTTCCCATCCCAGCATCGAACGTCAGACTTACCTGAACATTGCAGAACTTGTCAAAATCAACCTCATGCGCGAACTCCTTCTGAATCTCCCTCGCAAGCGGACTACACGTCCATCCCCACAAATCATTGCTCTTCCCATCCTTGTCCTTCTCCGTCCGGTACAGACTCGCAGCCACACACCACACAGCCAGATTCCCCAGCATGACGAACCAATTGAACGTCGTCGCGACCGTGGCCGCCTTGTTGGCTTTGTCGATGCCGAACTTGTACGCAAAGATGATGACGATGTTCAGCACGACGGAGATAGCGGCGATCAGGAAGTACATCCACGTGGGCCAGACTTTGGAGTCCTTGGCCCAGGCGGTGCGGTGCTTGGTGACGCCGTCGCGGGTAACGTCCCGGTAGACATTTTGTGTTGAGAGAAACTTGTGCAGGGTGAGGGCGATGGGGATGAAGACTGCAACGGAGATCAGGAGGCCGAGGACGCGGGAGACGACGCGGAGGCGGCGGATGCGTGCTTTGAGGGCCTGGGATCGTTAGCTCGTTGCTGCTGCTGCATCCGAATGTCTGCGAGAAGGCAGAAACATACGGTATCCTCTTCATGTGCTTTCCTCAACCCCTCGAAGTCGACGAGGCTCTGTCTCTTGGCTATGCTGTCCATCGAGGTGGCCACGTGCAGCGGCTTCAACGGCGAAGACTGTTCCGACGAGCGTCCCGAGTGAATGTGTTCCGGCGATCCCAGCGGCGGCGAGAGAAGATGCTGTTGCTGCTGCTGGTCCACCGACAGCGGGTGCGCCTCGTAATATGCACTGGATGCCATTTCCACAATATCTCTTTGCCCTCAGCGCCCGCAAATATGCAATTTCATCACCTGTTAGTCACGTTCGCCGCTCATCAATGCGGGTCCCGCATCTTATACGGGTCTTTGTTAATTGCTTCGCCATCCTCAGCTCCTGCATAACGTAATGTCAAAGGACCGGACGTATTGAGCGATGGAGCCAATGATGTTTTCCCCGTGATGCGGCTAATGCAGCCACGCTGACCGTGTCAGGCCCGACGTAGTGCTGACGAAGCACGGCGGCCATGCGTCTTTCCTGATGTGGCTCCGCGAATGTGGCTGGAGGTCGGGCTGTGGGGGCGGGGAGCATCAGTTCGCGCGATGGATGCGCTAAATATAGATCGCACTTCCAACTTGCGTCCTCCCAACTCCATAGGCCAGAATGGACGGGCCCTAAAGAGATCGCTGATGGTCAGAAATGGCGGGTGTCTTACTATTTGGCGTGTTTGAGATCCGATTACGGATAGGTAGGCATACCTGGGAATCCATGGATCTCTGGCTACAGACATTTGGAGTGAACACCAGCAAAGCAATATCAGCTTTAAAAAAATAAAAAAAGGGAAGAACGTATAGTAGCTTACGTTGCCCGGACTGTACCGCTATTTTTCGATTGTTACAGGTACTGGGTTAGGACCAGTCTTTCGGTTGTCAGGGAAGGCATATGTACGTAGAAAGAGGTGAGAACGGCTGTGCGTCAGGGCAGATACCCATTCCCCGTGTGGCTCTGGAATATTACCTTCTCCGATGAGGCGGCTACTAGGACTCTGCATTCACGAACGAGAAGCGAACATTACCCTTTTGGAATGGCGCGGTGATGGTCCCCAATATCGTAACGTGAGATAAAATGCACTCTGCCGATGTAGAGTAGGGGCTAAGGAGGTTCTGATGGTAAGATGGGATACTAGGGGAGAGGAGAGGAGACTTCAAGGCAGCTGCAAGAAGCTTTGACAACTTCTTCCATAGACGGGTTCACAAAGCGTTTGTGCGTAGTCAAGCCACGAATTATGCTGGGCAATGTGGGCTAAGAGAGATCGGTGCAAATGGTAATAAGCAGTCTACTAGACCGGAAGAAATGTCATGTACGTATGGTGATACTAACAACCAGATTCATTCAACAGATGGATCTGTCGTTGTGTTTACCTTTTGCCACAAAATGCGACTCTGTAAAAGGTGGCAAGCTCAACCAGTCGTGGGTGGCATGAGAAAATGGAGCAGGATCTGGTCTTCAAGGCTACGCTCGACAAAGGGAATTCAATGTGTCTCATTGCAGGTCCAGGCTATCCTCGCGTCTATGTTACTGATACAGTCGATTACAGGGTCCCGGAAGGTTCCGACTTTTTATTTCACCGTCCGAAAACACCTACCTCCCCTTCTTTACCCAGTCCTCCATGTTGGACCGCGTCTCGGCAACCTTGTCCTGGATCATGCCGACCGACATGGCTGAATGTGCCTTTCCGGTCTCCCAGATGGACGTCACGCGCTCCTTGGTGCGCAAGTGGGCGTCGGCCAAGACGGGGTACCTCTTCTCGTACTTCCATGCCAGATCGCCGACATTCTGCATGGTGAGGGGGAGCACAGCGTATGCGGCACCGAGGCCAATGGCAGCCGGGACGGTGGCGCGGAGGAGGATGTTGCGGTTGCGAGTTACGATGCTTCCGGCCATGCTGGCAACGAGGACGTAAAGCACGCCGGGGAACACTCGCTCGCCCGACTCTTTGGGCGGAGCCAGGGAGCGGATGGTGGAGGTGAAGGAGTGCTCGAGGCGGAGGGTTTCGGTCAAGGCATCGTTGACGGCGTCCTCGGCGCGGACGGCTTGCTGGTGCAGCGCAAGGCGGGCCTTGCCTATCTGGACGGCAAGACGGTCGGTGGGTGTCGGGCGGTAGGGAGCATCCGAGGCGGGCGTCGAGGGCGCGGCGGGCGCGGCGGGCGCGGCGGGCGCGGCGGGCGTGGGCTCGGTCGTGTCCAGCGGCGCATCGTCGTAGATGGGTTTCCGGTTCAGCTGGCGGGAGTGAGCAAGGCAAGGCACGCCCACCGAGGACAAGCACGTACAGCGTCGGGGAGGGCGTCGCCGGCGGGCGGCGAAGCCAGCGAGATGGGCGCAGCGGCTGCCGCAACGGCCCAGACGGGAGCAAGGCGCTGTCGAGGGTCAGCGGGGCGACGGGCAGCGAGGGCGGGCTGCTCACCTGCCGGAGCAGCGGTCGGAAGGCCATTGTGGGTGCGGGGCAGGCGCAATGGATGGCGCTGGTGATGCTCGTGGGTTCCTTCGCGGTCGGGTCGAGGGCCGCGAGAAAGCAGGCCAAGCTGCGCCAGACCCCTGCCGCATTGGCAGCCCGTGTGCCCGCCGAGCACCCCATGGCCGTGTGGCGGCACCGCGGTGCACACCTTTGCGCCTCGCAGCACCCGTCGTTGCCAGCCGCCCGCCATGCTGAAGCGACTTGCACGCCCATCGGCGGCGCCCTGGGTGTGCCAGCGCTGTCGGCAGCAGTCGCACCGACAGCGCAAATCGAACTCCAGCTTCGCCGCCGCTGCCGCTGCCGCTGCGCGCGATGCACCGCTGCCCGCCTCCAAGCTGTACGGACTCCCGACGGCGCAAGCCAGAACCGACGATGCCACCCTGCGCCAGATGTTCGACAGCCCGCGTTTCTGGGGCGACTTCCAACGCGCATCCAAGACGCACCCGCCGACTGGCATCGTGGGGAACCGCTACCTCTCCAGCCCCGAGGGCTTCGTCGACTTCGTGTCCATCACCCTGCAAAGATGCAACGCCGTCGTGGAGAAGGTGGCACGGGCGAACAGCATCGCCGAGTACAAAGGCATGGTCAAGGAGCTCGACAGGCTGAGCGACCTCCTCTGCAGGGTCATCGACCTCGCAGACTTTGTCCGCGGCACCCATCCGGACAGGAGCATACAGCAAGCCGCCCACAAGGCGTATGCCATCATGTTCCAGTACATGAACCAGCTCAACACCACAACCGTCCTGAACGACCAGATCAAAAAGGCTGCCGAAACCCCAGAGGTCTGGGACAGCTGGTCCGAGCAAGAGCGCGTTGTTGCCAACATCCTGATTGAAGACTTTGCAAGAAGTGCCATCAACCTCCCCGAGGGCACGCGCCAGCGTTTCGTCGACCTCAGTGGAGAGATTGCTGACGTGGGCACCGACTTCACCGAACGGATGGCTCCGGCAGCCAGCCACTTGCGCTTCGACAGCAAGAGAATGAAGGGTCTGGAACCGAACATGGCACGCGCACTCACAAAGTGGGGAGAGACCAAGATTGGGACTATGAACCACGAGGCTCAGATGGCCCTGCGCTATGTCGAAGACGCCGAAGTGCGAAGAGAAATCTACATGGCCGTACGGACGGCCAACAAGCCCAGCATCAACAGGCTAGAGACCATGTTGAAAAGCAGGGCAGAGCTGGCAAAGCTGTCCGGCTACGAAACCTTTGCGCACATGACTTTGGAAAACAAGATGGCCAAGTCTCCAGAAGCCGTCAACCAGTTCTTGAACGCCTTGATAGCGGACAACAAGCACAAGGTGAACGACGAGTTGGAGGAGCTACTGGAACTCAAAAGAGCAGATGCACACCTAGACAACGACCCTGAGAGAATCAACGCTTGGGACAGGTACTACTACACCTCCAAGCTGCTCTCCAACATGGATACCAAGATCCGCACGCCAGACTTCCTCTCAGCCTACTTTTCCGTTGGGACGGTCATGCAAGGTCTGTCGAGGCTGTTCGATCGTCTGTACGGCATCCGTCTAGTGCCTCGAGAGACACAGCCTGGCGAAGTTTGGGATGATGGCGTGCGACGACTGGATGTTGTCTCTGATACCGACGGTCACATCGCTGTATTGTACTGCGATCTCTTTTCCCGCGAGGGCAAAACCCCAAACCCCGCTCACTTCACATTGCGCTGCTCGCGCGAGATACTACCTTCAGAGATTGAGGAAATGGGCCACCTTAATCACCCCTTCGCTTCGCCAGTCGAAGCAGCAACCGACGGTATGGCCGTTGCGTACAACAAGGACACCCAATCGTACTTTCAGCTACCTACCATAGCGCTAATCTGCGACTTCTCTCGACAACAGAACCGGCCGACCCTGCTGAACTTCAACGATGTGCGCACCCTATTCCATGAAATGGGGCACGCACTGCACTCGTTCCTCGGCCGCACATCTCTCCAAAATGTTTCTGGCACGCGATGCGCCACCGACTTTGCCGAACTGCCCTCTGTTCTCATGGAACACTTTGCTTCTTGTCCCAGTGTGCTTGGTCTCTTCGCTCGCCATTGGGAAACTGACGCTCCACTCCCTATGACCGCTCTCGAGAAGCGCCTAGCCATCGACATCAAGACGCAGCCCGCAGAAACAGAGGCCCAGATTCTCCTCGCCATGCTCGACCAAGCGTACCATACCCAGGGCCCACTATCTCCCGACTTCAACTCTACAAAGGTCTATCACGACGTCTACAACACCCACGCTTCGATTCCCGAACCCGCTGGCACCGCATGGCAGGGCTTCTTCGGCCATCTGTTTGGATACGGCGCTACGTACTACAGTTACCTCTTCGATCGTGCCATCGCGGGCAAGATCTGGAGTCATGTCTTCCAGAAGCAAGGCAAGGAAGGTAGTGTGGACAGACTGAACGGAGAGAGGTACAAGAATGAGGTGCTGAAATGGGGCGGTGGGAGAGACGGGTGGAAGTGCATCGCTGGTGTCTTGGAAGACGCAAAGCTGGCGGATGGTGGAGAAGAAGCTATGAAGGAGGTAGGAAAGTGGGGTGTAAGAGACCCAGGCGCTTGAAAGCGGTCGGTACGAGAGGTGGAACCCTGGCGCCACTTCTCGCTGTAAAATAAAAGGCCTGCGATTGTATACACAGTGCGACAGGCCCACATGGCTTTCAAGTCAATAGCATGCTTCAAATCGTTCCCGTCGAGCATTTGGATTATCTCAGGGCAAGTGAGCTCAAATCGGAAGCCCTCCTTGACGTACATCTATATGTTGATCGTCGCAGGCGTAAACTCCAGCTCCTTCACAAACGGATCCTTGAAGCTCTCAATCACGATGTTCCCCCTCACCCACTTCTTCACCTGATTGATATCTCTGCACTTCTTGTGCACCGAGAAGTCCACCTTCAGCGCTTCCGGCGGCGTCCCCGGCAGCGGATTCAGTATGAAATACGGCGTCACGTCTGTCCGACAGACTAGATCTTGCCGCAGGAGCTCGATGCAGTGGTCTGGTGGGTGTCAGGTTCTTGCTTGCGGCAATAGGGGCCTGGACGTTTAGGAAAAAGGACTTACCAACGTGCTTGCGACGGTAGCCCGGCTCCTGCGTGAGGATCTGCGGAAGGCGACCCTGCTTATAGTACTCCTCTTTGTAGCTGATCTGCCTCAGGACATTCTGTGAAGCACATCTCCGTCAGCCCATGTCGACAATCCTACCAAGAGGCATACGTACCACGCAGTGTATCTGGTGGAAGCCCCATGCTGACGCCGCTAGGCCGCCCGACGCCGTGTGATATAGTTTCGGCAGGGTCGCCGCGCTTATGTTGAACAGGTGGAGGTTTTCCGGAGGGATTTCGAAAGCGCTGCCTTCGATCAATTCCTCCCATTGCCAGTCGAGCTCTGGGGTTGGTGTACCGCGCCACGGGGACGGCTCCTCGAATTCGCCGCGGAAGTTCGTCTCGTGGTACTCTACTGCTTCAAAAGCTGGCGCTATATGGAGTCAGCCTTGCGTTCAGTAGACAGCTAGGAGCTCGACAATGGTTCCGGGATCAACGCACACCAGGTGTTCAGTTTTCGCGTGCAAGCAGCGTTGGAAGGTTCCTGGTAGCGCGATAGGATATATAGCGTCAATGAGCAAGTGAAGGCCAGAGCTTGGAGGAACCAACTCCACCAGCGGTTGAAGAGAGTGCGTCGTCTGGGGATGATTATCCTGCCTCTCTTCTCGTCCTCGAGGAGACCGTCCTCTGAATCATCTCGCTCGGTTGATGAGTAGGGGGTGGGCATCTCAAATGGCATTTCTGAGCGGAACGCGTGTCGACAACGAAAGCATATCTGACAGTGACTCTGTACCCGTGAGAGCCCGCATGTTCGAACATGCCCAGGACATGCCCCCTGGCTTCCACGCTCACGTGCCAACGCTGTCGGTGGTGAGCTTCATGAGCCAAGTACTGGTGCGGGGTCGATAGCTCTAGCTACAACGCTCCTAAGATTCACTCGCACTTCGGATGACGGTTCATCTTCTTTTGGCTTGATTATGGCGTTGCGTCTGCGGGTGTATCCGCAGGATTCGCGGCGGGCGTAAGTGTGCATATGCAGGCTTACCGGTACCCGAACGTTGGAAGGATCTCTACCCCGCGGTAAGAGGCATGCCGGGCATGCAACCCCGCCTAAGGAATCCGCGTCGGGAGGATGCACGCCGAGTGGGTCTCACAGTATTGCATCGTCAGCTGTGCATATGGCCGTAATGGCAGGCGTGAAGTAGGTCAAGCCTTCCGTGCTTGGAAGTCAGAACTGAACTCGGTTGAACGGCATCTGCTGCTACCAATAACCAGTGAGGATGGGTTAGAAGAAAGATTACATGAATTAGTTGAAGGGTAAAGATGCCGGGATAGACTGTCTTGCTTGACTTGCTGGGTTCTGCGCGCATCACGCTGACAGGGTGAATATATCCTAGAGTCAGCAGGGTCAGTACCTCAACATGACGTGTATATCACCTAAGCGCAACATCAATTTTGTATGAACGCCAAATCAGAGGGTGTCCATCGACCGGAGATTGCTGGGCAAAAGGAGTGACATTACTTTCTACGATTACGGATGCGACGAGCGATAGTACGAAGAGAAACACCATTGCAACCTGTCCAATCCAAGAAGTCCCCCTCACCCTGCCTACCATGCTCAACTACCGGACATCCACTCAACGGCACAATTTCTGCAGTCTTCGAATCATCAACTCGTCAGTATGGAAGCCGGTAAGTTCTGAATATCAATCAGCCTCCAGTTCACGTCCCTGATGGTGCGAAAGCTTGCACCTTTAGCTCAGTACTCAGGTGATGGCTTCGCATCCTCTTCAGTTGCGTCGTCCTCGCCATACCACTGCCAGATGAATTGACCAATCGGTGTACGTGCCTGTGCGGACAGTCAGCCGCTGGAAGGAACTGCAAACGAAAAATCACCTCAATGTCTGCCTTGATCCTGTCTCCAAGAGCGTTCTTCTTGGTCACCACTGCAGGAGCGGGGGCGGCAGCGGCCAAACCCAAAACGGCGAGGAAGACGGTGGTGAACTTCATGTTGAAAGGCGTGGTAGGATTCGAGTCCTTGGGTTGTTTGGGCTGCAGTGGAGACAAGACAAGGCCGTGGCGTGATGTTGCTAGATGAGGTGATGATGGTTCAAACTTATACGCGACGTTTGAATATCTAGAGTGCGATGAATCTTTCATCAAGTGGACAATGACCGCCCATGGAATTAGCTTCGATTGGGACGGTAATCCTGCGTCCGTTTGAAGTCGATGACGAGCCACGCGATAGTCATCTCAACGGTGGTAATTCTACATATTGATTAGCGCTTCTACGACTTGCAATGCATGTGCAACTATACGTATGCTTACTGCGGGGCAAAAGATGCCATTAGGGAGGATCAAAGCTATGATTTATGTGTAAGCGTCAGAACATTGGGTTATCGAATGCATGATTACGCCTCGCATATGTGTTTCCTTGGAGGTGCTACTCACTGTTTCGTTGGGCACCTGGTCGGTACCAGTCTCATCGCCTCTATCACTTGCCTTGTGCTTCTCGACGTCCTTCACCAATCTTTCACTACGATCCTCAGTGCTTCGTTTCGTAGTAGTTTGTCACCTTTCTTTCATTTGCTAGAAGACATGGGGTTCTTCAACTTCCGCAGAAAGGATCCAGAGGTTATCTACGAAAAGACGTCTATATCCTCCGAAGACGGATATGCGAGCGATGAGGCTCAATCATTCCTGGCTAAACGCAGACGACGAGTCCACTTTGCTGAGCCTCGAAAGTCTGGACTGTGTATCGTGTCACTTGTGAGCTCGGCGATTATCAACGTTGTACTCATGGGCTTTGTAGCATATGGGTATGCGCATCGAGGGGCAAATAGCCCTCTTTTCCCACAGACGGTCTACTGTAAGCTCCAAAACGATGCACCACCTTGTTTATAGCTGATTCTGACACTCGTTTCCAGCGCCTGCAAACGAGGCCATCAGCTATGAAACCAAAATTTTCACAAGTGGTTTTGGCGACCAAAGAACCAAGTACATGGGAGATAGCTACGAGGCCGACGACGAATGGGCAAAGCTATACCCAAGAACTGTCGTTCGGATACCAAAATCACAGGCCGACAAGCTGGCTAACAAGACTATTCCAATTGCCGGCGACGAAGACCACTTTCCAGTGCTCATCACAGTTTTCCACCTCATGCATTGCCTAGACTCAATCAGGCATCTATACTTCGGACACGATAAGAACATGGATCCTGATCCTATCATCAATGACGCTGTTCTGAAGAGGCCTCATATTGACCACTGTTTCGATTCCTTGCGACAGAGCATAATGTGTGCATCAGATGTCTCTCCAGCTCCATACAATTGGGTGCCTTCCAAAGGAAAAGCTCTAGGCTCTCTAGGCGTACAACACACCTGCCGAAGTGAGTCTCACGATTAGGATGTGTAGAGGCTAGCGCTGACAAAAACATAGATTACGAGAAGCTGGTAGAATGGTCAGTTGCACCAGAGCGAGATGTTAGAGGTTGGGATGAGTCAATCAAACCGAGCACTATCGCATAATTTGCAAAGAGACTCTCTCGAATTTGTTGAATTCGTCATCTGGCAATAGCAACACTCATTTAAATAAGAAACTACAATTTCTCAAAAAAACCATTGTATTGATACCTTCAGCTCAATCCTCGATGTACTACATAACGTTGAAGAATCATGTTCCTGTTGTTCCAGATATCATAGAGCCTCAAGTGAACCAGTGATACCAGGCACGGTACCCACTAACGCCTTCTCGGATATGTCCGGCAGGTGAACGGCATTGAAGAGTCTGTAAACCCCACATCTTTAGCACCCACGCCTTACTGATTATCATGATGTGTTGCTATGGAGAAGTAATCGTGCAGTGGACTAACGCACGAGACATGCACGAGCAAGTCGTGCCGATCCTTCACATACGCTCGCTACGACCCCAGAGCATCGCGCATAAGCGCTAAATATACCTAGATCGTCACCGCACTTGCCCATGAACTGCCCCACCATCTATAGTCTGGCAGAAATGGAAGTTTAGCGAGGGCTGGATCACAGGACATTCTTCGATTCTCTGGTGTTTCATGCCTGGGTGCCGGATCATCACTCACAGTGCGAACACCAAACGCCAACACCCTCAAAACAAGCTGAGAAATGAAGCTTCTGAAATCCAAAGACTACTCTTCGATTCCTTCTGGCGACGGGTCTCAAGAGACACTCACTTTGGAAAATTATGAGATCCATATACCGACGAAGAGCTTCTGCAGATCAGCTCTACACTCCACAGCTTTCCGCATAAGCCTCGCTTTATCTACAGTCCTTCTGGTACTTATCGTCTCACTCTCTGCATTTATACACAGTGTAGTGCGCTACGATTGCGGCGGCTCTCCAGCGGAAGCCGCCTCCAAAAACTGCAAATTCGATCTGCTCGCCTTCGCATGGGTACCGATTCCGTGCTTTGACGAAGAGTGAGTCTTGTCCTTGTCATATACTTGGGAGTATATGTATACAGTACACATGCGGAAGTCTCTGGGTCCCTCATCTGGTAGTCCGATGCGTTGGGATATCGTGATCACTGACAATTCGAGCCTGGCAGGTTGTACAGCCAATACGACCCGTATCACGATTTCGAATTTTTCTATGACCGTAATCGCACCCATAAAATATCGGTCGAAGAGTTGGGAAAAGGAATCAATCCACGTGTTTACACATCGGGAAAGTACCATCGAACGCATTGCACCTATGCATGGCAGACGCTGCAGCGAGCTGTATTGAATGGCCACCGCCTTAGCGATAATAAGACGCTGAACGCAGGACGTGAGTGCCTCCGTCCCCATGCGAAACACGAGACACTAATCATTGGGGTCGAAAGACTACGATCACTGCTCTTATTATATCATCAATGTTGACCCTGATTATCGGGCAAGGTTCTACATGGATTATTTGTATTGCCAAAGAATGGGAGGGACGTAAGCGACGATAGCTGTAGCATAAAATTGAGATATCGATTAGTCTTCTTTGGTGAATTGATGCAAACATGAGCCATGACATCGAAAGTGATATACAATGTCCAGTGTCTTCGCACATGTTCCACAGGGAAAGAGCGTTAATCGGGTTTGCAAATTTAGCGAGCCTACTGCCTAGCTCTTGCGAATAACAAGCCAGAATAAAGTCAACCTCGAACTGTGCACGTATCAAGTTCACACCTGATCAGCAGGGTCACAAACATTTGCCTAGAACTTAGCGAGCGGCTGCGCACCCCTGCACATATGACAGCATGCACTTTTCATTTTGCTACATCATCCACTTCTGCTATTCAGCAGGACCTCTATCATAACATATTGACACTCTACTTCGCGCCATGGAAGGTTTCTATCTCAACAATATCTCCAAATACCACTCACTACTCGATGCGCTTGATCCTGTCCCAAAGCCGCGAATACCACATGGAAGACCGGGTCCTAACATGATTGTCAGCGCCCGAATCCGGCCTCTGTCTGGGAGCGAAGAGTTCCCCTCTGCAGTCTTCCCTCGGAGGGACCAAGGAAATGTGATAGATATTCATGATCTGTATAACCATCCTAAAGGTCAGCCGATTCTCAAGGTACGGTGGGTCCATTCCAGCAGAAAAAGGTCGTCTTGCTAATCCAGAACCTCCAGTCGTCCGATTACCAAGTAGATCGGCTTTTCAACATGAACTCGACCACCAAGGAGATCTACGAGGAACTTGTTGTCGACCTGGTTCCGTATGCTTGGAACGGTGGTGTCGGAACCTTGTTCGCCTATGGACAGACAGGCTCTGGCAAGACATTCACAGTCAGCAAGGTTGAAGAGTTCGTAGGAGAAACACTCATGAACGGAAATCTTGATGGGAAGAGGGAGGTTTACATAACCATCATCGATCTCGCCGGAAACGCTGCATTCGATCTATTGAATGAGCGAGAACCCATCTCCCTCCGCGAAGATGCCTCTGGTGCTACTCAGATGGTAGGCGCCCAGGAGAATCAAGTGTTCAGCGTGGACGACATGAGGACTATGGTGGAGCGTGCGACCTCATTCAGACGAACGGCACCAACACTCAAAAACCCCGCGTCCTCGCGCTCGCATGCTATTTGCCGCATTAGGATCAAGAATACTGTCAATGGATCAGATGGTATGCTCTATCTGGTCGATCTCGCTGGGTCAGAAGCTGCTCGCGACGTTGCGGTGCATGGCGCGGACCGCATGCGCGAGACGAAACAGATCAATATCAGTCTCTCGGCGTTGAAAGATTGCATTCGTGCAAAAGCTCAGTCAGATAATGCGGCAACTCTGGGGAAAGAGAAGCTGGGCCAGAAAGTGCCACACATTCCATTCAGACAGAGTGCATTGACAAGGGTCTTGAAACATGTATTTGACCCAGCGAGTACTCGAGAGTGCAGGACAATCGTAATAGCCTGCGTCAACCCAAGCCTTGCAGATGTTGGACCAACCAAGAACACGCTGCGGTTTGCGGAGCTGTTGCGGGTCTCGATTCCTGTTAAGGAGGAAGATACGGAGAGGAAGACCGCCATGCACTGGACGAACGCGCAGTTGAAGGAGTGGATCAAAGAGAACGTAAGTTCACTATGTATCTTACATCGCCTTATTTGTCCGAGACTGACAGGAGCCTGGCTTAGTCGGGTAACCCCCCGATCCTAGGCAATGTTGTAGCTCCCCGCGAATCCGGAGCCCAACACTTCAAGCTCTCTGGTCAAGAGATTGAGTATCGATGTCAAAAGTGTCCGGGCGTTAATCGAGGGCAAGCACAGGCATTCCGTGCAAAATTATGGCATATGTACATCAGCCCATAAACTTAGAGAAGGAATTATCCTTCCGGCTTCCCAGTATACTTGGGATAGCACATAAAACACCACGGCATATTTATTAAGGGGAAATTTGCGAAAGCACAACGATTCAGTTCCTCTGTTCATCATCCCAGGGATGATTGGAGACCAGAGACCCATTATAATGATATATTTTTCTTGTATCCCTATAGTCATAAAGCTTTGCAGCAGAGCCACACGTTCGCATATCGCCATATCCGCTGATGATCAGTCCATGCACTGGATCAGGGGGATGGTGCTCAAGCGTGCCATCTGCAGTGCACAGGATAGCCTGATAAGGTTAGTTCTGCAACTGTCACATCTTCTCCTACATAAAGTCGCTTACCTCTCTCAAAAACTGCAGACAATGCGGCCAATGTGTATTATCCTTCTCGTTCATGCCTATATCTTTCCCTTCATGAGATTCCTGCAAAGCCTTGCGTATCGAAGCTAAGCAGTGGAGCTGGTGAAACCTTGGAACTAGTTAGCTTACTTGTCGGAGCCTTAGATTTAGACTTGCATGGTTATCTGAACGACATTCCTGTAGTCGTCATAAACAAGAGCCGATTGACCCGTCTCGTTCCACAGCCCGTCATATACATGATCTAAAGACATGTATGAAGTATTCCGGATCCATTTCCTCTCGATCGAATCTCCTTGTTTCGGGTCGAGGATGGAGCAATCTTGATTCATCCACCAGAGCTTCAAAATGAGCATGGACTGAACCACCAACAAAAGTATGGTCAAAGCTTTTTTCCAGGAGAACGTCTCCTTTGTTGGAGCTGGATGGGGTCCCTCATCGTTAATCAATTGGCACTGCTCTTCCAAGTCTACCTTTTCCAGGGAATTTCTCGCGCTGGCCATCATGGTAGAAATTGGTCACCCAGACGCGCCCGGAATCACTGCAATCCCTTTTTTTGCTTCAAAAAAAATAGAGTAGAGCTTTCTACCCGCAAACGTGACGACATTAACGGATCGAGAGATGCGAAGCATCGATCCGACTGCGGGTGAATGAAGCATGGCTACCCCTCCCCAAAGGGTGGGGCTCCACCGTTGCGTAACATTCAATTTTACAGGGACAAAATCCTTTCGGTCTTTTCTCCTGTTGGTTTTCCGGCTTATATGTAAGGCAAGGTAAGCTGCAGCTCGCCCAGTACACCCTTACCCAGGTAGGAAACTTGGCAGAACATCACGCATGATGTCGATTTACGCAGGATTACTGCGATTGTACTCTCATCACTTGGGTGACAGTCGCAATACTCTCGGCATCAACACCTGCACCCATGTTTTCCGTAAGCTTGCATGCAGAGGTGATTCGAGAGGGGGTTGCAATTGAGGACAATCAAGCAGCTTATGGGAAACAGTGCAAGCCTTGCACGAGTGGTACACCAGTCAATGTCCAACGATCCCATCCGTATCATTCTATTCCCCAGATGTGATACCCGACCTCAATTTCTCCAGCACTTGTTCAACATGCCCAACACAACAATGTGGCCGGCTCCCCTGAAGAGTTTCAAAGACCGGTGAGTTCTGCCTTAAGCAAATGGACTGCAGGGCCAGCAGGCTGAAAATTTCTCAGCATCATTTCTCCACTCTCCCCAATATATACAGAAGTCCCCGATGGTGATTCAGAAAAGGATTCAGAAAATGGTTCTGGTATCACCGAGAAGCAGGAGCTCGCTCCAGGGAAGCGAAGTTGTCAACGGAGGTTTCTGCTCGGGCTTGTGCTCATCGCCATTGGAGCTGGTATAGGCTTTCTAGCTGCCTCGATTGCGCGCAAACCCGGAACTGGTACACAAGCTTTGGCATCTGACATTGCCGTCGCCTGTCAACCTTCTTATGAGTCGACACCACAACCTAAACTGATATACGACTGTGGAAGCGACATTGCGTCCGCTAAAGCAGCCGATTGCGCCTTCGATATGCTCTCGCACACCTGGGTCCCCAAGCCGTGCTACGACCACGAAACCGACACCGAGTTTCGTGAGTGGATCTTCAATCCGAACCGCACGGGCGGTGCATTCCCATACTTTCTTTCAAGTAAACTGACTGTCGATACGCACATCGACGGGATCGATGCACTATCAGCCGTACCCGCAGATACGTGGATATGGAGCCATGGGGAGGAACATGTTGGGCACTGCATCTTCGTGGTGCGCAGGATCCACCGTGCGCTCGAGGGGAAATTCAGGTGGAGCGACGATGTGGCGAATTTCGATCATACGTCGCATTGTGCGCATGAAATGTTGGAAAGCATATTGGAGAAGGCGCCGCTGAGGAGGTTTGAGGGAGGTACCGTCACCTTGAAGGTGAAGTACGATAAGTGTACTTATGGGACGCACTGAATGAGGCCAGAAGCATTCCATCGAAACGCTCTAAGTACCCATCTCCGCATTCCATAGCCTATTACTTTGTTGAGAGATATGAAAATGTCCACATCTGTATTGAGATGAGTTCCCGTTATATATATGATTCATTCACGGCCTTTCCGATCTTAGCCAATGATCTTGTGGATCATTTCGGGCACATTTCATATGTGTAGTGACATTTTCCCGCGATTTTCGGTCGTGAGGCTTCAGCGTACTATCTACATCGCACGTGGACAATTCGTATAGGCGCTTCCCTAATACCACAGCCTTGTCTGTCACAGCCCTGTATGATAAATCTTGAAGCTCTGTCGAAAGTTACAATATGTGTATTTAGGCACAATCGCGATATATACACTAATGCTAAACTCGCAAGCCGAAACAATCGAAGATTCCATCTTGATCCCACTGTAATCAATTACTTCCCCAGGTTTCCCATTCCTTAACGAATCTTGTCAATTCAGCCCAATCCCTGCATATATGTTCCACTCCAAATCCCTCCACAGCTTTGAGAATCGGGTTCTGGATCTCGAGGGTCATATCCGGTTTGCACATCAATACCTGTCGGACTCGTTAGATCATGTCATCTCTGATACGGCTGCCTGGAACGTGCAAAAATAAAGTCCGTAGGAGAATACCTGGCGCAAATAGTCGGAGCAGTGCTTGAAATGCACGGCATGCTTCAAGATGTTTTCTTCGTCGATGATTGTGTCCCCGTTGAGGGCATTGTTAAGCTCCCAGAAGCCTTTTCGCATGCCGTCCTATTGAGATTCAGGTTGGGGTCCGGAAAGTGACAGGGTAATGGGAGAGACATACTAAGCAGTGTAACTGGTGGAAAACGGAAAAGACAGAGCGTTCAGGAGCAATGGTAGGGTGATTGAAGAAGCCGCCATGGTGGGGTATCAATGAGCGCCAGATGGCGTTGCTTGTGTTGGAGGGCTCTCCATAAGTGGCATCGTACTCAAATACTCTGGAGAAAGTTGTCACTGTCTTCCTTTCAGCTCAAGGGGCTATCAAGATATATTAATTACTGACAGTGGAGGATGTCATCAGACTCGTCAGTTGCGAAAGCAGACCAGCGACCAGCGAAGAAGCCAGAAACACACGCTACCGTGAATAATAGGATAGAAATAGCAAACTTCAAGATGAAAGCTAGCCAGCTCTTCCGGAGTCTTAAGGGTTGGAATTCTAAACCGTCTTCGCTTTCAAGAGGTGAGTACTCGTGGCTCTTCATCGACAAGCCAGGGACATCGAGCATTTCGAACAGTGTTTGGATCTCTTGAAAACTGACTATCATAATATGACAGAAAGGAAGTAGAGTGCCCGCTAGCTTAGGTCAGCACTATGTTGCTACACATGATCACGACCCAGCTGTTTGGTGTTGGCTTTGCTCCTCTCTCGTGCGAACACGTTATTGGTACTTACCCCGCACTTGCCAATGTTGTAAACCTGTATGCTTATTGTTGAATCGCATGTCGGATAGGGAATCCTTCGGTTGTGCGTATCAGTTACTTTGCAGGATTCTGCATACTTTGCCTAGTCTGATAAGACGGCCCGTACCCACTTTTTACTGTAAGTTTGTACTAAACAGGGCGATTGGCCCGATGCGGGTGCCGACAGTAAGCCAACCGCATGAACTCAAGCAGATTTTTCGAGCTAAGTGCTGATCTAAGACACCCTTCTAGCTAGTAGAGTTCTGAAAGGCACGCAAACAGGGCGAAGGAGAATTATAGTGGCATCGGTAAGGCCATGCGCTCGAGACAGCTAACGGAGACTTTCATTCGCCTCGTGACTCTCGACGTTGATGTGGGGTTCCCTCCTCGGAGTGCTACGAGTCGAATGCCCACCAAACTACAGCCGTATTATCTTGGTGTTAGTTAATTCTAGTCGGTTCCTACTTCTACAGGTCGTGGAAAATCGTATTCTTATCTTCCCCGAACCATTTTAATTCCAGACGTCAGCTCAAGTATGGTCATTAATGAAACTCAGCTTGACAAAAGGAGACGCCAAAATCGGGATTCGCAACGGCGGTTCAGTGAGCAAGCTTTCCCTGCTGACTGTAGCGAAGCTGACTGACTGAGAAGCTGTAGGAGAAAGAAATAAATCAAGGCGGTCGAACTCGTGGGGCAATCCGACCGGCAACCACGGGCAACAACTTGCAGCTCTCGACGAACTGTCAGCGTCGCTGGGATCGAATTCCAGTAGTCTGTCATCGGAGCACCCTAACACGTTTATTTCGAACGACTACCAGAGCCTGCTTTCTCCCCAAGGCTGCTCGGAGGGATATAATAACTGGTCGAGCAACAAGGGGCAGTCAAACACGCGCGGGGAGGTGCTGTACCGCCATGGACCCCCTACTAACGACTCCAATCCTTTACCATCGGGACAGATGAGCCTTCCGCCTCTCAACGAACAGTTCCCATTGCATGGTATTCCCATGAACGTGGAACACGCAAACACAGGTCGCCAGCAAGAGCAGCAGCCGCACAATATCGGAGATACACGTGCAAGCAGGAAAGATGGTATGCTCTCCCCCGTTTCGCTGCTTGATGTGGACAAACGCATCGGTTCCGAGGTTTCGAAGCCATTTCGGCCTCAAGAGTTGTTCTTTCAACACCCTGGGCAAAGGGTGAGGAGAAGGTCTGAGTCCAGAGCCGAGCAAATGATAGCGGATGTAGAGAAACTCTACGAGTTCGGCATTAGTCTGTCGCTATTTCCCGAGGATCTGTTACTCCGAAACTCATTGCGAAGGATGAAGGAGCGGTTCCAGAGCCTCGTGGTGTTGGGCGACGTTTCGTCTAGTGAGGGGGATCTGTACGACGGCGACCCCGCAGATAGAGACAGTGATGATGAGCAAGAGTACGGTGAATGAAACTGTATGAGTGTCCAGGCATCCATGCTTAGAACACCGCCTCCAGCAGTGATAGGAGCATCGAAGCTATCTGCAAGGTTACTTGGAGGTGGTTGGGCTCTGGGACGCGCAGTAGGTAAGCCTTATCTGGGCAAGCGGGGGGGTCCCGAAGCTAGCCAGGCCGAAAGAAACGAGATGCTCCTTCCAAGGGGAGCCTGCTATGGACAACATAAATGGGGACTACCTTCGTATCACGAATGAAAGGGGTTAAACTCACGTATTCTTAGGTTCTATACCACTCAAGCGTTCAGCTAAGTACTCCTTGTTTGTATATCAGCAAGCCCTGCGCGTCCTGACGAGCTTTATGAATAGAATGTGTGTGGCTCGGCTTCATCATGGTGAACGTGTTATTGCAGGTGCAAGAACGTAACGGCTTCGGCGGTTTGAAGCTCATAAAAAACCATGCGCGGATCAAGTTCACCTTTTCGACACTTCCCGACTCTGTCGACCATGTCACTGAACCCGCTTAGCAAGCGTCTCACCGTCAGTGCACGTCCTACGTACCTCTTATGAGAGCCGAACATACATGTACACTGGGCATCACGTCGCACACCTACCCGTAGATCCGCATCAGGCGACGATGTGGCGTGACCAATATCCTAGGCCCCAATGTCACGCTCACCGGTTGGCAGACCCTGCCACGGTAACGCAACGTAGGTACGCGGGCGGAGGTTAAAATGAAAGGAACCTGGCATACAGGAATAGAGCGGTGTGATGATGCGGCCGGCTAGCGTTACACGATCTCGATGAAGTTGGTAAGCTGTAGCGAAGTACCTTGTGGTTAGCGCTTGCACTCCACTGCATCGGAAAGGCGAGACCTTTTCCTGTAGCACCATGACGAGCTCCCTGCGTGGAATTCACTACGATGAAATGCAGGGGGGCTCCGCATGTTCAAAATTCTGGTGTCTGTCACCGTGCAGTGTGGGTGTAGGGCACGATCAGGTAGTCCGGAGGATAGGACAATTGGAGCCCTAGCGTGTAAAACTGTTGCAGTGAAATGCGAATGCTTCAGGTGAAACTGGGTATACGTGTTTCCTATCAAGGGTTCACCTCGATATTTGATTGGTTGCTTAGAATTGGCATGGTCCGTGACATTCACATGCTGTGCCTTGCTCCATCCTTGCTTCCACCGTACTTGCTAGGAAATCTTACTCAATAACGAGATTTGAAACCGTTACTTCGAGGGCCCCCTCGAAGTCTCCGCTCAGGACGTAGATAGTCTGAAGTGCATATGCAGCCTCGGCCGCAAAATCTTCCCCGGTCCCGCTCTCAAGCATACCGCTTAGGGCTATGCAACGCTTGTAGTAGGGTATGGCCTGTGAAGCAAGGCCTAGCCCATGGTAAACTCTACCAATATTGAACTCCGCCTCCTGCTGATGAACAGCAATCTGATCCTTCGTTCTCAAGTCGTAGTATCGCGTGATAAATGCTATGCCTTGCTGAATCTGGTACTGTCTATTCTCCGAAAGCCGTTTCAGTGCGTGCTGGAAATAAGCAACGCCGATCGACAAGTTTAAGATCGGATCCTCGGGCGTGATGGCGAACGCTCGGAAGAAGTAGTTCAGAGCTGCCGCATAAGAGCCAGTGCACATCAACAGGTGTCCGAACAGAGCGAAGAGGGCAGGATCATGACCTTTGACTTGACTGACCAGCCCGGTATTCAAGGTTTGCTGCATCCACTGTGTACGATCACGGCCTTTGAAATTGTACCACTTACGGTTCTCCGGTTCAAGCAGGGCGTAGTCAATAGTCTTGATCCACCTCATAACAACCCTCGTTGCGGCACCAGTAGCGTAGCCATCATTGACGGAGCATAGACGATTCGCAGCGCTATACAGACGAAATATCTCAGTGCCGAAAGGATAAGTCTTAAGAAGGTAGCGAATGCTGGTAGAGACTTGTTGGGAGTCATCGACGGCCAGTGCACAGGACAGGCGACAAAGCTCGATGTCGCTAGTATATCTCTGCGACTTGTAGAAAACATTAGACTGCAAGGCCACATCCAGAACGTTGAAGCATCGTTCCTCCGCCCCTTCGCGGGCAAGAAGGAGAGCGTAGCGACAAAAGACCTCAGCCCATTTGTCAAAGTGGACCCCGAAAAAGTCTTCCGGAGGGGGTTCGGGTCGCTCTTTTAACTCTACATCTGCTTCACCGTCATCTACACGGTTTGCTCCGACGGCTAGAATCATCAGAGCGGAATCCCTCCACAGATCTCCAGAACCTAAGCGCCTGAAGTAGCCACGGAATGATTGTCGGCGGTCTGACATGAAGATATCAAAAGTCGAAAACTCCTCAATGAGCTCTCTGGCTATGGATAAATATTCAGTGGAAGCAGACTGATCTCCGCTATCCGCATTGTCGCACAAATGTTGCAGTCGAGCAAAGCTAGCAACAATTTCACGGTGCTTGAGCCTAGCAGCTGCAAGCTCATCTGGATAGTTGTCCGCCAGGTTCTTCAGTTTCTTTCGGAAAACGTTGTGGTCGATCGCAGTAAGGGGAACATCTGTACCCTCCAAGGTCTTCGACTCGTCAAGCGGCATGAAAGTCTGTGGCTTCTTCTCCAAAGGCCGCTCCTTTGACCGAAAGAGGCCTTTCTTCGGTCGATCCTTCAATGGTCCAAGAGAGGGACGCTCGATGGTGTTTTCCTCCTGATCAGTATCCGCCTCATCACGCGTCGCCGCCTTTAGCTTCTTCATATACTTCTTTACGCGCGCTTTTTTTACCCCGTGATTTCCTCGAGCTTGCTTTCGCGTCTTGAAGAAATGCCTCCGCAGCTCATCGTAATGCTGAAAGCCGTTAGCCCGCAAGAGGTAGGAAGCACGGTTTTTGAAAACGATTTCTGCACGACGCATAGCCTCAACCATCAATCCCTGGTCTTCGAAGAATTTTGCCAATGTCGCCCAGTCTCTTAGGTTCGTTTCCTCCCATTCTTTCAGGATCGGTAAGATCGTCGCTGCCTTCTCCATGTCTCCCGTTTCCCGATAGCATGTATACATTCCGAGATAATTATCCAGAATTCGCGGGAGTAGGCTGTGCTTGTGGAGAGGTTCATAGAAACGTAAAGCCTCCTGATAATGACCGGTCTCGTAGAGAGCTCTCGCCACTGTGTCGAACAGATTTGTATCTTCCCATAACAGGGTTTCCTCACTGCTATCGTCCTCCGGGTAAAGCAAATTGAGATGTCGCATAGCTTCATCGAAGTTTGGTGGAATGGTGCGTAGCCTAAATAGGCCCATCTTTATGATTATCTCCAAAGGCAGGCCTTTTCCGTAGCTGCCTCGGCGTTTCTTCTTTTGTTGTACAAACTCAGCCACAGCAATGCGTCGGGGCACATCTTCGAAGTCAAACTCACGGTCATCGTCCAGCTGATCCCAGTAGGTTTCGGTGGCTCTCTTCTGGATCCACCTAGAGAGAGTCTTCAGGCGGACAAGTGCGTAGTTGTAGTCTCCCGCTTTATCCAGGAGATCGAGATATACATATAGAAAGCCGTAATCCAGTCCACTAGTGGAAGGATCATTGAGTGCGAGGAAATGAGTAATTGTGTCTTCGAAGCATTCAATGATACCAGGCAGATGTAAGCTTGTTTGTCTTTCATTGCCTGTTCCCATTTGCGCCATGGTGGACAGAACGCGCGTGTCATGCGGTCGGATCTTTAACATTTTCCGGCACAGTATGACGCAAGAAGAGTAACGCTGACGCCGGACTTCAAGCTCTAATTTCTTGTAGCGGGCATCCCAGTCGTCACTATCGAGACTGATGATTGACGTTAGACATAGCACCGAAAGCTTGTCTTTCATCCTTCTATCCATTCGAGGATACTCGATGGGGTCGATGTTCTCAATACGTTCTAGTAGCAGATACCAGAGGTACTTGTCGCGTTTTGTTGGCGCACCGCCTATCAAAGACCCGATAGAGTCTTCTTCGTTGCCCATAGCCGCATAGATCTCCGATAACAGACTATAAGCAGAGAAAATTTCCGGGTTCAGTTTTATAGCTTCCTTGGCATGTCTCATGGCGGTCTCGTAGTCTTCCTTGATATAGGCTTCGTTAGCGAGGCGTTGCAGCTCTTTGAACTCCGGCCCTGGATCTGCTACAGGACGCGGTCCTCTCTGTCCTGGGGGTCTCCCTTTAGTACCCGTCTTTCGACCCCTTCGTGCTGTAGATCGGGAGCCACCTCGTCCGTCTCCAGGGGGTCTACCACGCCGGCCTCCTCTTGTGCCTTTACTCTTGGGCCTCCCGCGTTTGGGCACGGTCTCTTCCTCAGAATTGTCTGCGTCAACAATCATGAAATCTTCGGGATTCTCCTCGAGCTCGTCTTCAGACAGAGAGAAGTCTTTGTCCTCCTCACGATCATGGGTTAGCGCCGCTTCAGCAGTGATTCGTTCCTCCTCGCTATCATCTTCCAGGCTAGAGGTCTCGTAGTCGTAGTCATAGCGCCCATTTTCGAATATATCAGGGGCGGCAACATGGTCGTTTTCATGTCCTGGGGCTGGAATGAAACCCTCATATTCGACCGGTTCCGTGAACAAAGGAGTATTCAGCGGCTCTGGGTACGGAGCGGCCGAGAAGGTTGCCTGAGCGTGCTCAAATTCTGAATTCGAGATGGGAACTCTTGGTGGACCGCTGTAGCCGTGCTGTGGGAGTAAATGATGCGCAGGGCTAGGTATATGTGGCTGCCTAGGGTAGCCTATTGATTGTGGCGTGGGTTCAGCGAAGGTACCCGCAACAGGCACGAATTGCCCAGATCTCGGCCCAGTTCGGTTTGGTGCCGGCCACTGCCCATGCGGGCCACCTCTCGAGCTCATGTTGGTGAGTTACTTGCTTTGTCGCAGCGGCCGAAAGGCAGATATCCTGGTGCGCCAGATCGCATGTCGGATTACTTTCCGAAGGGCGAAGGGTGAGGGACCAAGTTAGCGTGTTCTCCACAAAGCTAGCAGATGAAGTTCGCGCACGTGGCGCCTCAACCACAGCTCCACCAACGTCCTGCAAACGTCTGGATACCGTACGTAATTATCCATGTACAGGATATACGCGGTCAGTAACTCGCAGCAGATCCAATTAGCCTTAGTACGATCTCCCTTGAGAAGAATCCGCTTTCATTTCACCCTGAATTTTGAGCTAGTTCTCATTAATTTCCAAAGCAACGGCGTACCTATTGTACGTGAATCCGCGGTATACTGGGCTAATCAACTCTACCTAGATGAAGTCGTATACAATTACCGAGGAATCAGGTCATATACTGGGAGACCATGCTTCCGAAGCAGCACTATATGGGCTTATAATCTCTAACCATCAATCAAAGCCTTTGTTTTGTGTACCATAAACGTTACGTTTCAACCCATAGGTGAAGTTATGCACCTCTTTGCAAGGAGCGCCCACAATCAAGCAATACTTTACAAGAGGAATTTCCATCTTCTTCGAAATATGTGAATATACCGTGGTAGTAAAGCCCAGGTTTGTGATTGCTGAGATCTGGCGATGGAAATGCCCCTACTGACATGCTCCAAAATTGGGTAACTCAATGGGGATGCAGTGGCCGTGAAGCGGTCGAATACATAAGGAAAGCCGTCGTGTTGTGGTCCAGTAACCCTATAATCATACAAGTGGCCAAACAAGCAATTCGGCCAGCGCTCGATTGCCAAAATTGGTAGACCAAAGAAAACGCCGCTGCCATGCAAATGTAACACCAATACCAAGTCAAACATTGTCGTCACCACCACCCATGCCTACCATTTCGTATTCTCCTGCGCCATCTCTCCCCCTGCCCCTGCCCCTTCCTCTGCTCTCGCCAGCGTCCTCCTCGACAGCATCGGCGCCTTGGCTCGCGACGGTCTTGGAGCCAAAGTTAATGGGCCGAAGTTCTCGCCACTGGCAAGCCCACACTCCCAAGGATGTCATAAGGGTAGCACTGCATGCCTGAAGTGCCCACCAGAAGAGGTTGGTCGGGATGGCATGGGAATATAGCGAGGTGACGACGAGGTGGATGAAATGTATGGTAAGAGCAAAATCGAGGACAAGCTTGGAACGCGCGATAAGGAGGAGAATGAAGACGGCGCTGGCAACACATCAGCATGAGCAGCGAGGCGCAACGTGCGAACAGAGAACGTACCAGGTCAGGCTGTTCAACACCCAGACGAGACCGAGGGTCCAGCCGACCGTAGTGTCGCCGCGCAGGCTGCGCCAGCTGAAAAGGAGGTCTGTACTGATCTCCTTGCCGAAGACTAGGGCGGTGAAGACGATGAGCACGGCGGCGCAGGCATAGTAGGCGAGCTGGAGGAGGACGATCTGGGAGGCGATGCGCGTGGGAGAGAGGTCCGCGAGCGCGCCGGGGCGAGGCGGGCGGCGACGGCGTGGCATGAGCCCGGGCGGAGGACGCTATCGCTATCGTGCGGCGTGCATGTGTGGAGCAAAGTGCAGTGTATGTGCAATGGCACGGGGTTGTCTGACTGTGCAATGTTGGCCGTGCCTGAGCGCAACGGCGGCATCTTGGCGGCTGGCGCACCTCCGAGCTCCGAGCTCGTTTCTACCAGATACAATACACTGATACTGCGCGAAGCGACCTGACCGAATTACACCCTCAAGTCCCGTAAGTGCTGCGGCTCCACTGCATTGCCTGCCTGTACCCTTTGGGCGCGTCTTGCTAACATCAGTGCGCAGTCGCCATCCGCATCACAATGGGTTGGTTCTCGTCATCCTCCTCCGACGGCTCGGGCCCAAAGAAAACGGCCGACGGCGCATTCGTGGCCCCGACCAAATCGACGCGGCAAAAGTGCTACGAGTCGCGCGATGCTTTCTTCGAGTGTCTCGACCGGAACAACATCCTCGACAGCGTAAACTCCAAGAAGGGCAGAGACGCGGCGGCGAAAGCGTGCGGCCCGGCCGACCAGGCATTCGAGAAGAACTGCGCACATAGCTGGGTGCGGACATCGTGCCACATTGGCGGGTTCCGCCAGCTGACTTTGTGGACAGGTCGAATACTTCAAGAAGCAGCGAGTCGTCAACTACCAGAAAGAGCAGACTATAAAGAAGATCGAAGCCGAAGGCGGCGAGGTCATGCCACCTCAGTTACCCGTGGGAAGCAACAGGTAAAATGTGGCGACTGCGATGTAATCGAGGAAACTTGGACATACTGTATAATATGTGTACCGCATCAGCATCACTGTCTCTGGCCAGAGGGCAGTTGTAATAGTAACGCCGCTTCACGACCACTGCAAACACTTGCCCCGTACCATTGCGTTCCCTTGGTGTACTTGTGAATCTCGGGAAATTCGAACAGCCATAACAGGCTTGAAAGAACACAAATACAATTCGCTTTCGTGCAAGCTTTTTACTACAATTGGAGGCTCGACAAGCTGCATACGTCCACGTTCTCGGTCATGCAGTTAGTGGGCGACAGAAAGGTATACCTGGGCGCTGTACGGGGCTTCCAGATCCCCGCGGCTCGCGCGTACCAAAGTCACGCGTAAACGCGCAACTGCAATGTGAACATCGGAGATCCTCTGCCCACTTGTGCGTGACAAAGGACCCTTGCGTATCCAGAGCTATCCAAGATCCAGATCTGCCACCAGTTGCATAATGTCGTCACCAGCTTGGGTCCAAAACACGCGGGGCCGGGTTGCTCATAGATTGGCGTCGCATTGCGGCGGTTGTGGTGTTACAGCTATTGAGTACATTACAGAAGCGAATCGGGGAGCGGCGGAGGTCAACCGGACGAGTGTCTATACCAGGTATCTCCTTGCAATCAAACGTGCTTGTCGTGAACCCTCATTGTTCCATCTAGACAGCGTCATTTTCCAACAACCCATCATGCCACGTAACACGACTAACAGCCACTGCAGGCAACAGATTCCTCCGGTTGGACAGAACCTCGTCCAGACTCCAAACATGTGGAACGAAACAGGTCCCCTGCCATGCGAGTCCGATCATGTTGCTTTTTTTCAATCACACGTCCATCTGCGTCCAGATGCAAGCGGCAAGGCTAAAGCAAACATGGCTCCAAGTGGATGGCCAGGTAAAGCGTGGCGCTAAGCGAAGTGCCAGATCCGAAGGGGTGGTATCAAGTGTTGGCGATTGGCTGACCTCCAGATTCCCGCAACCCACATGCTGTACCAACGCCATCCCAGATAACCGAGATTTTAGTCCGATTCTGCCGCCTGCCCGCTCTGACATCACGCTTTAGACGGCCAGTTCGCGTTCGGGTTTCAGGACGCTGCCTAGCCCCAGCCATATTGTGTTGGAAAGATGGCCGAAGGATCGAATTCTTCCCTGAAGATGTCGACGTCTGAGACTCCAGTCTTGGCCGGTGGCCCCACCATGCTGCAGTCGATGGCGAACACCACGTCGGTGAAGACACCCCGAAACTCTTCCTCTTCGTACAGCAGGTGTCTCCACATCTTCGCGACTTCCCGTGCGGGATTTCGGAAGATTGGGCCCAGGCCGAAAGCTCCTATGACCAGATTCCTGTGGTCGCAGTACGCTGCTATGCGGAGAACCGTCCGCATCTTTTCCTTCATCAGCTCTCTCTCCTGCTCGAACGAATAGCTGCTGCCTGATTCATTGAGCCGTGGACCTCGCACAGGGGCGACTGAGATAACGGGCAGTTTCTCAATATTCTGGAAAATTGCATAGTCCATGTCCGGTCCTCCTCGAAATACGTCTGGGTGTCTTGGTCAGCCACAAGCGGTCGAAATTAGACAGATACTTACAAACTTCTGGGCAATATATCCCCCCTCTCTGTGGTATCGGATAGTGGTTCTCGTCCTTCCCCATTTGTGCGTTCCATGGCATCGTCAAAGCGTGCACAAGATTGCTCCTCCTTGCAAAGCACTCTTCAGGTGCCATCAGGCCAGATTCCCAGTCTCCCCCGGCCCGCCTTTCGTTGGCCATATTGACGACGGGTATCCGTTTGCAATTCTTGTAGGCAGGGTCTCGAATAGCACTCTGGTACCAGCCCATGGCATGAGTGACGGGGTCGCCTTCCAGGACAGCGACTCTTGTCCTGTTACGTGACCTCTTATTCGCACTAACTCTTATGACAGACGAATCTGGGTACGCGTACGAAGTTTTGGCGTTCGTCACGTAGTGTTTCCAGATGTACGGTAGCCAATTTCGTTTCGCGTCGGCTGCTATTTCAGAAGGTTTTGGTTTAGAAGGTGGCATGATGGCATTATGATAGGGAGTATAGACAACGCTGGAAGGACGAGGTAAGAGGAGAGAAAGGCAGCAATGGTCAGTGAAGGTGGTGGCTTGGATGTGAGGCAAACGTGTATGTGGAGAAGACGAGCAGCGAGCAGGCCAGTATATGATCAGCCGGGGTTCTATGCACGTGTGATGGCAGTTGACTACCCATTAGAGCTGGATGGAGCCGTCACTAGCAGGGCTTGTTTCGCCGCACATCACAAAAGCAGAAGCTGCTTGTTAGCGACTCTGCTTGCTCCGACCGTTGCCCTAGGCGCTCAAACGCATGGTGCCACCGCCTGTATTCAGCAAGGCGCTCACCACACACCGAGTTTTGACTCGTGGACACAACAAGCAACCAAGAATAGGTACAGGGTGCGGGAACGGCAGCGGGAGTGGAACAAGAGCCATTTGCAGCTCGGCAACCCCGTCCTGGTGCGTGGTTGGAAAGCACAGCCTAATAGAGGGATGGGACCTGAGGCGCGGCAAGTCTATTCGGGCGGGGCGCACGAGGCGGGCGTCGATGTGAATTCCCCTGGGTTCACAGGCGCCGATCTGCGGTGCATCTTGGCTCAGATCTCACGCGACGTGGGTAGCCCGATCGCCAACAGGCTGCATATGCTGCAGGAGACGGCGTTGCATCCGCCCAGGCGGTTCCAGAATGTAGACCTGCAGGGAAACACACAGCGGCACGCCTGCTGGCTGACGCACGGCAAAGCACGCGAGGCTGATGAACGACGTGCGCCCAGCGAGCATATCCGCCGTCTCAGCGGATGAGGCCCTTGCTCCTTTGCTTCGTCCAGCTGCTGCGGGAGCGTGGCGTTGGAACATGCACCCGTCAGCGGCGGATGGGACTCGTCTAGCTAGAGGCCCAGCCGACAAGCAAAGATGGCCCTAAAGCCCACCGGCAGGCATTTCCAGGGCGCACGGCAGCCGCTGCGACACGGCATACAGCAGAGTACATGACTTCACCGTGCCGCCCGCCTGTCTTGTCGTTTCAGGGACCGACGCTGAGGCAGCTTGCCATGGCACGATTAACGAGCGGCTCGGCTCTGCGCAAACTGGCTAGCCTGTTGTGACAGCAATGGCCCAAGCTTCCTGCTTCCTGCTTCCTCTCAGAGCTTGCCGGTTCGTGATTGATTTGTGGTGCATCGAGCTTCTCTGCGCATCGCCCGCTGGCTGCTGGATGTTTGCCTGTCAATCATTTGCGCGAGGGCGCGCCTGCCGTCTTCCGCGCAGCCTGCCCCTGGCCACGCGGGCCGCCACGCGCTGTAGCTCGACCTCGTCGTCCACTGCGCCGTCCATAGCTGCACTCTTGAAACAATCTTCGGCTTCTTCGCCGCCTCGGCCATCATCATCACCTGACCACTCGCTGACGCTCAATGGCTTCGTGCGCAGTGTGCGAAAACAAAAGCGTGTGGCTTTTGCTGCCATAGGCGATGGTTCATCTCTGAAGACGGTACAAGCCGTCCTGACACCCGAGCAGGCCGACGGGTCAGTGCTCCAGTCAAGATATCACACATCATATCCCTCGTACTAATCCACTGTCCAGCTTGTCCACGGGAGTTGCTGTAGCTGTGACCGGCCGTTGGACCCCGTCCCCTGGCGCAGAGCAGTCCTTCGAGCTTCAGGCCGATAGCGTGCGTGTCCTGGGCACCAACGACGCTACCGTAAGTATAACACGAGCTCAGAGACTTGCACATTCACAGCTGACAATGCCTTCTCTGCGCGATCCAGACATCACCCTTGCAAAAGAAATATCAAACGCCCGAATATCTTCGCACATTGCCTCATCTACGTACGCGGCTGCCCATCAATGCCCTACTTCTTAGACTGAGGTCTTTGGTTACGGCCCAAGTGACCAGCTACTTTGTGAATCACGGATTCATCCAAACACATCCGCCCATCATCACATCTTCCGACTGTGAAGGCGCTGGCGAGGTCTTCACCATAGCACCAGAAACGTCATCCAACCCTGCAAAGGGTGCCACCAAGCAGCCAACAGGGCATCAGGAGCTCTTTTTTGGCTCTCCAAAGTATCTGACCGTATCTACCCAACTCCATCTCGAGGCGCTCGCCCAGTCGGTCGGGAAGGTATGGACCTTGTCTCCCACGTTTCGGGCGGAGAAGAGCGACACAGCTCGCCACTTGAGCGAGTTCTACATGCTAGAAGCTGAAGTCGCATTTGTGGAAGACCTGACGGATGTCATGGATGTAGTAGAGGGTCTCCTGCGCAACGTCGCAACTGAACTACAAGCCTCTACAGTTGGTGACGAACTTCTCGAGGCTCGGGCCCGAGACGATAGGGAAGACGGCAATGTCGTGTCCAGCACAGTGCTTGCGCAACGGTGGCAGGGACTGATTCAAGGGCCTTGGCCACGGATCACATATCAAGATGCGTTGGAGCAGTTACGATCAGCTGTTGCGAATGGCGAGGCCCACTTTGAGTTTGCACCCGGGCACGAAGACGGGCTTCAAACAGAGCATGAACGATTTCTGGCTGAACGTCTGGGAGGGGGCGGGCCAGTTTTCGTCACAGACTATCCGCGCGAGATCAAGCCGTTCTATATGGCGCCTTCCGCCAACACGACCGCAGGCCATGATCAGGCACCCACAGTCGCTTGCTTCGATCTTCTCGTTCCCGACATTTGCGAGCTAGTGGGAGGTTCGATGCGTGAACATCGGCTGCCAGAACTTGTCAAATCAATGGAAGATCACGGGTTGCGCAGTGCATCCACGCCCGAACCAGACACCTCGGATGGTTCTTTACAATGGTACCTAGATCTGAGAAAATATGGCAGTGTGCCTCATGGTGGCTTCGGGCTTGGCTTCGACCGTCTTTTGTGCTACTTATCAGGAGTCACCAATATCAGAGACGTCGTCAGCTTCCCTCGGTGGCACAAGCGATGTGATTGCTGAAACCGAAGGTAAGGCGCAACACGAATTGTCGATGAAGCTTCGCATGTAACATTAGGGTTTCGGAAAGTTCGAGAACACACTTTCGCCGGTGTGCGATATATGTAGCATGTAAGATAGGAGCAGCCCAGCTCAGCCTCACCTCGAGATTGAGTCCTAGTGTCCGTATTGTACGATGCGCGCTTTAGAACAACAATGCATTACTAGTTCACCTGATCCCGTATGGACAGCAAGCTCATCGATGAAGTCCCCCGCAAGTGTTCAGTACGAGTATACATACTGAACGCATGGTGGCAGGTTCTCACGTGAAAGTGAACGTCAGCGGTACAGTATCAGGGCGAAGCTATACAAACACATTATCGCCTGGATCGAGCTCGGATCTTCGACTCAATCTCCGACTTGTGAGCATCATTACCTAACCGGCCTTGAACCGACTCTCGCTGTCGCACGAGGTCGTGAGGTTGACGCAGAACAACTCGAGATATATCTCATTGTTAGACAGCTCTGCTTTTGAAATGGCGCAATTGACCTGAGTTCAGGAGTTGTACAAAACCTAGCAAAGTCGGTCGTATCTGCAGAAGCGGAAGTGAGCGGAGGCACCGCGGAGATCATCTTATCAGATTTTATTGCTTGGCGGCGAATGTCTCTGATCACTGTAAATCTTGTTTTCGGCGGCTTGAGCGCGCCGGGAAGGCAGACACAGCAGAAGGTGGAGGAGGATATCAGGCGAGAAGGGCGGTAACGCCAGCGCGCAGCAATTCTGAGCAGAACCACAGTGTAGGAGATAGCAGATGAGAGAGATACATGCAGAATGCACGTGCCCTCCGAGGCTCGCACTAACGCTTCGTGTTTCTCTCGGGGAACTTTGTTCTTTACCAGTACACTACGAACGCCTCAGCGCCCATCCTCGCAAACGCCTTGCAACCTCATCGTCACGAACGAGGCGCAACGCATCATCCTCAGCCCGTATTTCGCCCAAAGCCGCAAATCTGGAATCTGCGCCGCTAGCCAGCGGTCATTTAATGGCCACCCATGGAGGACAGACAGCTGTGGAAGAAGCCGAATACGAGTACAGCTCCCGCCAGCGCCGTCGTGGCCGTGACTGACTGTGCTGCTAGCTATGAATCGTTGCCGCCCAATTTCTCGCTCTCGGCGAACATGATCGCGGGCGCGTTCGCAGGAATTGCCGTATGCTGCCGCGCTGAGATGCCACAGCGCGAGCGCTGACCGTGCGATAGGAACACTCGGTCATGTACCCAATTGACCTGTTGAAGGTGCGCCGCTTCTAACGCATGATACAACACGGCTCGAACAACGCGCTGACAATTTGCAGACGCGTATGCAGGTCGTCAACCCATCGCCCACGGCTGTGTACTCGGGCATCTCGAACGCTATGGTCACAATATCACGGGTAGAGGGATTCAGAACATTGTGGAGAGGTCTCTCCAGTGTCATTGTGGGAGCAGGTCCGTGCAGTCCAAAGAACGATATGGCATAGGGAGGCGAAACTGACGAACCCCCAAGGTCCAGCGCACGCTGTGTACTTTGCGTCCTACGAGGCGACCAAGCATGCTCTAGGCGGGAACGAGGGAGGCAGCGAGGAACACCATCCTTTCGCAGCAGGTAGGTCGCGTCGTGCGACGCAAACGGGAAAGTAGTTGAAGCAGCTTGCTGACGGAGACTAGCGGCGAGCGGTGCAGCAGCCACAATCGCCAGCGATGCGTTGATGAATCCTTTTGATGGTGAATAACCCCTTCCCTCCGCTATGGGAAAGCTTGGACTCACATCCGCAGTCATCAAGCAGCGCATGCAGCTACACGGCTCCGTCTACAAATCCGTCCCGCATTGCGCCCGCGAAGTCTTCCGTCGCGAGGGCCTAAGCGCATTTTACGTCTCCTATCCCACAACGCTATGCATGACGGTCCCTTTTACGGCATTACAGTTCATGTCATACGAGTCGCTTTCGAAAGTCATGAATCCGACTGGTCGCTACGATCCTTACACGCACTGCTTCGCTGGAGCGCTGGCGGGAGGTCTCGCTGCGGGCTTTACCACTCCATTGGACGTGATCAAGACTCTGCTTCAGACAAGGGGCAATGCGACAGACGCTGAGCTTAGAAACGTTTCGGGACTTGTGAATGCGGCAAAAATAATACATCAGAGAGACGGTTGGAAGGGCTACTTCCGAGGACTGAAACCGAGGATAATCACCACGATGCCTAGCACGGCAATTTGCTGGTACGTTGTGACGTGGAAGCGTTAAAGTGCACTGATGGCTAACGACGCAGGTCTGCATACGAGATGGCAAAGGCATTTTTCATTGCGCGCAGCGAACGAGGACCCCTTATTAAAAGGAGCGAATAGCTCCGTGACGGCGATTGAGGGTGCTCGATGGGCGCCATATCCCTTTCATATACCGACTCGGATGGAGTCTGCACATGTTGCATTTAGAAAGCGTGGGCGAGGCGTTGGTGCCACGAGGAGGTTGGCCTGCGGCGCTCATTTCGAGTATTGTATATCGGCAAAGGCACCCGCGATATAGAGGAGGACCGACCTTTGGCGGCGTCTGGGATGGATTTTGCTCCTTTGCGCGGAGTATGGGATGCCTTGTTGCGTGTATCATAGAAATCCGAGGCCCGTGATGGGCTGGGCGAGATACTTAATCGATAAGCAGAGGGGATGCGTCTCTCTGCATGCGAGCATGGCATGCGCAACATTGAGACTGGTGCTCGGGAGGTGGGAGAGTGACATGGCGCAGCGAGCATGGTGGAGCAGCTGAAGTGCCCGCGCGCGTCGCCAGTCGCATACGTCACACACGCGCCGACTGGCTGGTGGAACCCACCACCAGCGCCGACGACAGCTCCTGCGGACTGCGGCGAGCAGCCTAGCTCTCTGCCCCACCACCGTGTTGTGTCGTTTTGCGCGCTGCTTCCAGGACAAGCAATGCGCGCCAGTTCGACCCAAAAGGCCTACGACGAGGCCTTCCTCGCCTGCTCGACGGCCGTCTACTTCGAATCGCAGAGCAACGAAGCCGAAGCGCTGCGCTCGTGGCGGACCGCACTCGACCAAATCACCTACCACAATGCTCACCGCGGGCCCTCGCTGGTCCGCCCGGCATCGTCGACCGAGCAGGCCCTCGTAGAGTCGCTGCGCCAGCTCGAGCTGCAGTGCAAAGAGCGCGTGGACCTGCTCGAGACACTGAAGCGCAGCCGCCAAGAGAGCGCCGACACGCTCACCTCCCCTCCCACCGATGCGAAGGCCCCTACGCCGCCTCCACACGGCGCAGGCACGCTGCCCGTGCAAGCGGAGCCCAATGGCGCCTCCAGCTGGCTGGGCGGTGGCACCATCCCGCCCGTTGACTACAACGACCTCTCGCGGCCGCCGCCCCTGCCCAAGCGCCCGTCGCTCGCCCCCCGAAAGAGCTCCGGTACTGCATCCATGCGGACACTGACCCAGGCCGCAAGCAAATCTGCTTTGGCGGCCCCAGCGACGACTCGCCCCAGGGACTCGCGGACACCTTCCCCAGAGAAGAAGGGACGCATGTTGAGGACATTGCGGCCAGGGAGAGAGACCAAGTCGTCGTCATCTTCGAAGCTTCCGATGTCGATGAGGTCCCAGCCTCCGGATGCTGCCAAAGCAGCGACCCAGGCGTGGGGATTCAACACAAACTCTGGCAAACTAGCAAAGACATCCGGTACATCACCATACGTCTCTTCGAGCCGGCCCTCTCTAGAAACACCCAGCTCCTCGCTGGAAACAACGACTCCATCTCTATCAACTTACGGGAACGACGCAGCCCAACCGCAGCAGTCTCCGTATTCTCATTCTACAGATACCTTGGTTTCTCCAGCTTATAATCCGGCCCCGGTGAACAATCGAAATGACCCAGAGCAAGCTTTGAATTTACCACGTCTGCCTCGCAAAAGCGTACCTTCTTCCTCTGTCCCTAGACATTCATTCGATACAGGTCGCTCTCATAGCTTCCAGGCGAGTGCTCCGGTTCCAATGATGCCCTCGTATCGCAATGAGTACCCAGAGCCAACACTGAGTAACCGCGCCCTGGCTGCGTCCGCAGCCGCAAAGTTATCTTGGCCTGACAACTCTACGAAATCTGTCCCACCGAATCCTCGACCATCTCAGCAGCTAGGTCGCGACAATAATATTGACAGTCGAGCTCGACGACCACGAAAAGATCCCCCTGAACCCATCGCGGTCGAGACTGATGACAACGAAACGAAGACAAGACCACCACCACGGAGAAAAGGCAAAGCGAAAGCGAATACGGCTCGGGCAGACCTTCCTCCGACACCATCATCTGAGGTTGGGGATTCCGATGAGCCAGAGCACGACTCGGATGAATGGAAAGAAAAGTGTCGCACCATCATGAAATCTCTACCGCGCGGTGTAGATGAGGCAGCTGCTAAGCAAATCCTGAATGAGATCGTCATTCAAGGAGATGAGGTGCATTGGAGCGATGTTGCTGGGCTCGACATAGCCAAGTCCGCCTTGAAGGAAACTGTCGTTTACCCTTTCTTACGCCCTGATCTCTTCATGGGCCTACGAGAGCCTGCTCGTGGCATGCTCCTCTTCGGTCCTCCAGGTACCGGTAAGACAATGCTTGCGCGAGCTGTCGCCACAGAGTCGCATTCTACGTTCTTTGCCATTTCTGCAAGCAGCTTGACGTCCAAATTCCTGGGTGAGTCGGAGAAGCTTGTACGTGCCCTCTTTGCGCTCGCAAAGATGCTTGCACCATCCATCATTTTCATCGATGAAATCGACTCACTCTTGTCCTCCCGGTCCGGCTCTGGCGAGCATGAAGCCACGCGACGCATCAAGACGGAGTTCCTTATCCAGTGGTCTGATCTCGCGAAAGCCGCCGCGGGGAAGGAGCAGACGGACAAGGATAAAGAAAGAGGCGATGCGACACGTGTGCTCGTCCTCGCAGCGACGAATCTTCCTTGGGCCATTGACGAGGCCGCACGGAGGCGTTTTGTGCGAAGACAATATATCCCTTTGCCTGAAGGCCATGTCCGGAAAAGCCAAGTCCAGACCCTCATGAGCCATCAAAAGCATGAGCTCAGTGACGCGGATCTGGACCGCTTGGTACAGCTTACAGATGGTGAGTAGCGCGCTCATTTGCTTTCAAACATGACAAGTGCGCCGTATCATGACTAATAACGAGACAGGCTTCTCAGGCTCCGACATCACGGCGCTCGCCAAAGACGCGGCCATGGGCCCACTGCGCTCACTCGGCGAGAAACTACTGCACATGACCATGGACGAGATAAGGCCGATAGGATTCGAGGACTTTCAGGCGAGCTTGCAAACTATCAGACCAAGTGTCAGCGGGCAGGGTTTGAAAGAGTACGAGGATTGGGCAAGAGAGTTTGGGGAGAGGGGGGGGTAAAATAGAGCGGATCGGCTGTGGCTATATCTGGACACACTGGGAATGGAGTTCTCTCGAATCGTAATGAACATGTTATGGGTGCACGACATTCAGTTTCGTGTGCGCAATTAAACGCACTCATAAACCTGGAACTGCAATAACAAGCCACAGCTCTTGAGCTGTCGACATACAATGAAGGATAGGTCGGTTTTTATCTCGATTATATGCACTTTGTTATCTATCTAGCCAGTGGCCAACCTTCTGTTTGACACGAAGATTCGGGTGACAGCGCGTATATGTCGCCCAATCTCAATCTCAAATAGCCAAGACTAGAAATTCTCTGACTCGATGAAGTTCAAGCAGCTCGCTCGTTTGGCTCGGCAAGATCTGAAATCTCTTCCTATTTTTCCCGGTCCGTGAACGCTACTGCTTCGTGCAGGCAGGGCGACATCGTCAGCATGTTTTGTAGCGTCAAGATCAAGGTAGGATGTGAGACATGATAGAACCACTTGGCTTTTCGCTTCCTAGTCCTAGCTTAGTACGGACTACCTGTTTTTTTTTTTTTTTTGGTTTTTTTTTGTCGGGTGCATGGACTTATCTTGCCGCAGGCATCCACGCCTCCGCAGGCATGCATGCCATTTCTGGAAGCATAAGATAGGACACCCCTAAATACAAACTACAGCCTATAAAAAAAGTCCTATACTGCTCTGAGTTCAAAATACTGTTCGCTCTGATTTTTTGGTGGTGCAACGCGTGTATGGTAGATGCCGATTTATTTTGAAGTTATAAGTGCTGTTTCGCTTCTACAAACGCGCAACTGCTACGACGAAGGCTTGTAATTCTGGCAACAAGACACGCAAGCCTAGACACAAATTCTGTACCGAATATCAAGTATACAGTGAAATCCACAAGTGAATTAGGCCTAGACGATATACTGGGTGCGTAGAGGTAAAGAATGTTGAGCATCTAACTGTTACTGTAGGCAGATCCATCGCCTGGCGACAGGACCACCACTCGGGATTTCAACACTACATTTAAATGAAGTACCCATCGCCCTCAGTGCACGAATGGAACAAGAGGGTGCTATGGTAACAGTCTTCATCCATCATCGTGATAGGGCAAGTCTCCAGCACACCGAAAGACACGAAGAGACAGAGCTCAATCACAGGCAACCAGGAATCGGGGTTAACAATTAGTGTGATCACGACCGTGAGGTCTTTACACCAACCAAGATTCCATGAATGCTCGTCCCATTCCACGCCTAGTGAATCATGCTTTCCCACATCATGCAATGTGCTGCATTGCCAGAACACTGTGGACCCAATGACGCCTGCATGGAATGTTGCAACTTATCCAATTGCTTTCGCGTATGTTGCGACAGCGTCTAACGGAGCGAAAGGAAAGGTATCATACAACAGACATCGCCACTCAGAAGCGTCGTGGCGATAAAGAAGGAGAACGGAGGTTAGAGCGCCGCCGAGAACAGGACTTAGCGCTATCGTCGATTGCGCTGACGCCGACCCATGCGTGTCCTCTTCACACCTTCGCCCGAGTCAGGAGTTTCATACTCAGGATCGCCGCTCTACCGCAATCCGGCCTTGGTGATCTTCACGGTATGCGTGATAGGCTGCAAGATGCCCTTATTGTCCATGGCACCGAGAGCCATACCCTTACTCCAGCCCATCTTCTCGAGCATAGCACGACCCTTATTTTCAGCACCTAGCTCCGGGGCCTTCGCGCCGACGACCTCTCCGTCCTTGTATGATACTGTCGGGCGAGTCTTCGTACCCTTCTCCTTCTTCTTCTGCGGAGGGTAGCTGCTCACAGCATGCAGACGACGCGTATACTTCTTTTGTGCCAGGGTGCTGTCGAACAGATCATCGTCAAATTGGAGTGTGCGAACAGTTTTGGAAAGTACCGTATGCCGTTTGGCCCCATCGCCCTGCGATTTCGAGTTGATGCCGAACTCGCCTACGAACTGATGGATCACAGCGCGTCGATGGGCTTCCATAGCGGGTAGGGAGAGGGTCGCCATATCTGTTGCCCAGAAATCGCGAATCTCCTCCATGACATCCTCCATGACGAAACCGTCCTTGTACTTAACGCTGAGGTTTGGAGTCTTGTCTTTTCTACCCAACAGGCCTTGTTTACGGAGCTCCTCCCGCTCGGCCTTCTTAAGGCGCTTTTTACGTCGATCGGCATCCCACGACGCCTGTAGCTGTTCATTCAGATCCGGATCGTCGAGTTCAGGCGGCAGCTGACCACGGCGGCCTTTCTTCTTGATTTTCAGGGACGGACGCTCGGTGTCCATGATGTCAAATCCGTTATAAGGATCCATGCCGAGCGCATCGGCCATTGCTGAAGCGGAAGGAAACAAGTGCTCGGTACGTCGGCCTCCGCCAGCTCGCTGTTGCCGTCTCTTATTCGGGCGATCGAAGGTGGTTCGAGAGGCCCTAGAGGTCGTGCTGACTGGACCCCTGAAAAACTCGTCCGCGCCATACAGAATAAGATCACTATCATCAATACCCAATTCTTCCTGTTTTTGAAGAGCTCGCGCAAGTTGCTCGTCGTCCATATCATCCTGCTCTTCGCTCGAGTCACCATCAATATTGAACTCGGGGTCACTATCAGAGCTGCTAGACATTTGTTGCTGCTCACGAGCCAAGCGCTGGGCTTCGTACGCCTCAATGAGAAATTTGTCCGATGGCGTGGTTAGGAAGGCGACCGGCAGCCACCGAGCATCGTCTCGCGTGCATCCCTCGTAGACGACCTGGTATTGAACGCCGTGCGGCCGCGTGCGTCGACCAGTGACATGAGCAACGATGCCTTCAACGTCGTCTGAAGTGCTCAACACGTCGAGGTCGCGAGCCAGATCTGAGGTCCACCCGTCATTCTCGTCCTGTTCAAGCTGCGGCGGTATCTCGGGCTCTTCCTCAGACTCCCAATCGTTGTGGCTTCCCGCATCCAGGTCCAGCTCACGGCCTGCCGCGAAGCCAAGCATCTCGCCAGTCAGACCGAAAGCTTCGGCATTCTGTAGATAGTCGTCCAGAGCCGCATCACGAGGATCTACCTCACCTTTCACGAAAGCGTCCATGTCGGGCCGCTCGTTCGAAGGCAACCACCCGATACCTGGCTTGCTCCTGGACACCCACTCGGCGGATATGCCTTCCCAGCGAGCACGTCCACCACGGCGCCTCTCAAAGTGGGAGTCGACGACGCTGTTTGTGTCCGAATCAATGTCGGACTGACCGTGAGCTGGTAGGATATCAGATGGACCGATAGCCTCGGCAGCAATGTCAGCAGAAGCAGGTGCTATAATCGACTCCGGCTGAACTGAGGGTTTGGGCCGGTGAGCGTAGGTTTTTGTGTGTGCGTTGGGCGAGCTGTTGGTGGGTTGCGAAGTGGCGGTGGAAGGGGCAGCCGTTGTACGGAGTGAATCCGGCTGTAAGTGCGACATCATGGCACCGTGGGTGGACTGGATGGTGAGAGAAACGACGGTAGGAGCGGTATCAGCTTTTTTAGGAAGGGACGGCGACTCGTTCTGGGTGAGTGGTGTGTGCCCACGTCCTCTAAAGACAATCAGCTCTTCGGAGGACGCGCCTGAGGAGGCCGCTGACAGTGCTGGCGAAGGGCTGCGGATCGTCATCTGGGCAAGGGCAACGGTAGCGACTGGACTCTGAGGCAGAGAGGGTGACGCTGGACCGTGGGTGGAATCGACGGGAGGTGGCTTCTCTTTCACAGTGCCTTCCAGACAGCCTGCACTCACGAATGCAATGGGCATGTGACGGAGCTTCTTTGTAGAATCGAAGGCAGAAGAGCGATGGGAGCTCATATAACGCGCTTCGTCACGCAGAGAAAATGGCTGTGTCTCGGCGGACACCGCTACACAGGCCATATCAACAAAGGCAAACGGAAGGGGAAGGCGCGATGTTGGCGTACCTTCAAGAATCTGCGAGCGCGGCGTTCCGTAGTGAGAGGGTAGCTGTCGTGGCTGCGCACGGCGCGGCATGGTTTTGGGGGTCCCTTTGGGGGTCCCTTTGGCCTTTCCCTTCTTCTTTCCCATGGTAACGACCGACTATGGGGTTGTCAAGGCGAAGGTGACGATGTTAGCTGGCGCGCAGGCAAACGGGAAGAAATGTCGTGACGCAGGCACTTGGGTGGCGGCGGGACCGTATCGATTAGCGGCGACAGGGGAGGTACCGCAGCGAGCACCTAGCGTAGAGGGCAGACTTCACATTGACAATGGTTGTACTGGCTACACCATTGCAATGTAGATTGAGAAACGTAATGCAACGCAAGTTTCCGTGCGATGTTCTATCCTAGATGTGAATGGCTTGTGTGCGGCTCTGCCACAAGCGCGTTCAAGCCGCCAAACTGAGACAACCAGGGCCCTTGGCCATGGCGGGGGCGGGGCCAGGATCAGGCAGCTGATGCCAGCTGCAGCTCGCGCGTGCAACCGCCTCAACGCAACCCAGGCCATCACCAGCGCCCCGGTGCCACTCTCCTCACGTCCCACACACCGAAACAGCACCGCACCCTGCCTCATTCCCGACAAGAAGCCATGGTGCATGTTTGACCACCGGACATCTAAAGCACCCACGCACTCGCCCACCCTCTCGGACTCGACATCAACTGGCCCTGATCTGACTTCGACCTACGCTATTTGCCGCGATGAACGAGTTCGAACGTGTCGGACGGACGATACTGCGCTCTGTATACGACCCGCTCCCGACCAACAACAGCACCGATCACATATGGTGTCTGGGCCGGCGATATGATTCCAATGCCCCGGCGCCGAAGCCAGCATCTGTCTCGGGTGAAGGCACACTTCCAGCTGCTTCTCCCGCACCTCGCAACGAGCGACCCGAGCGACCCGGACTCTCCGAGGAAGACAGCTGGATACGGACCAGTGCAGACGAGTCTGGCGGCAAAGAGGCCCCAAATGGTGGAGAGGATCCGGATCAGTACGGCGGTTGGCCCCACGCCTTCCTAGATGACTTCGAGTCGAGGGCGTGGATGACATATCGGTCTGGCTTCTCACCCATCCAGAAGAGCCAGGACCGCAAGGCAACAGCGGCCATGAGCTTCAGGGTCCGGATGCAGAACTTGGCGCAAAGCGCCTTCACGTCGGACTCGGGCTTTGGCTGCATGATACGGTCTGGCCAGTGCATACTTGCGAATGCACTGATAGAACTGCGATTAGGACGAGGTATCACACTACTCTTAGCCCATGCAAGTAGCGCATACTGATGTGAATGTAGATTGGAGGCTGCAAGAGTCACAGACAAAGCAAGACGAGCGTCCCATACTCTCGCTATTCGCCGACGACCCACAGGCACCCTTCTCAATACACCGCTTTGTAGAACACGGGGCAGCAGAGTGCGGCAAATATCCCGGCGAATGGTTTGGCCCGTCAGCAACTGCGCGGTGCATCCAAGACCTTGTTAAAAAGTACCCGGAGGCAGGCTTGAAGGTGTACAACTCCGGTGACGGTGCGGATATTTATGAGGACAAACTCAAAGAAGTCGCCGTCGACGGCGACGGCAAATGGCAACCGACACTTATACTCGTAGGCACTCGGCTGGGCATTGAGAAGATCACGCCTGTGTACTGGGAAGCCCTGAAGACGTCATTGCAAATGAAGCAATCCGTAGGCATCGCTGGGTGAGTCACACATGTACTGTTCCCCGCCACAATGCTAATCTCCTGCAGTGGTCGCCCCTCTGCATCGCACTACTTTGTCGGGAACCAAGGCAACTACTTCTTTTACCTTGACCCGCACGTTACGCGCCCTCGTCTACCTTATCATGATGACCCTGCCGCATACACTGCAGAGGATATTGCCAACTGTCATACTCGCCGTCTCCGGCGCATAGAGATCCGCGAAATGGACCCGTCGATGCTGATCGCGTTCCTCATCCGCGACGAGGACGAATACGAACAGTGGAAAGAAGGCGTGGTGAGCGTACAGGGCAAGGCTATCGTTCACATCAGCGAGGCTGAGCCGCCGCCGCGCGGTCAAGAAAGGGCTGGCGCGGTGGACGAAGTGGAAAGCTTTGACGAAGACGGTTTGCAGTAGAGAGCGTCGGATACCCCAGTTTGCACAGTGTTACCACATCACGGTGTTACGAGATATGCCACGAGTATCCGATTTGTGATCGCAAGGCGGGACTAGCTTTGAGCAGACCTGCCCGGCGTTTGACTGTTTGTACTTGAATTGCATTTAGGGCTGGAGTTTGGGTAGATATATCCGCAAGCTCCGCGCCCTGTCGGCACACATGTAGAAGGTGTATTATGATTGATAATACCCTTGACAATGAACCAAATATTGCCAATCCTCTGGTCACCAAGATCAGTTCGCCACTCTGTAAGCACTTGAACCCAGCAATAATTCTCACGTCCAGCTATGCCGCGGGGATTGACGATGCTTGGCGTTTCGAACTAAATCGCCGGATACACCCAGGAACACCAACTCTTTTCGCGGGTGAGGAGTGGTGACTTTGGCCATGTGTTTGATATTGTGAATCGCCGCGAGTGCCCGCTTGTCACTTTAGGCGTACCGTTAACAAGTCGTTGGGCCGGGATTTCGAGGCCTGCCAGATCGGTACGTAGATATGCCGGGCTACGAGGCGAAGTCGAGTTATCGTCGTCGCGCTTTGCCAGAAGTATCTGTCCACCAGCGATCGCATCAGTAGCGTAGAATTGCGTACGGGGAGATGACTTTTGGAAATTGAAGAAGTCCCACCGAATAATGAAAATGGGAGTACAGGTTGTGAAGTGGAAGAATTGATTCATTCCGAGGTATACTATACACCCTCATTGGATATCGGACCCCGTAGTCAGACCATAAGATCTACGGCCTGAGAGACAAACAAACCGTCCCATGATCGCATTAAAATGACCCATGAACACCGACCCCATAACCGACTTCGTTCAAAACACTGAACGAAGAGATGAAACCCATGAAAAGAACCCAACAACCAACCAAACCCGCTTATTTGGTGGAGGAAGAGTACTTGGTGACGGCCTTAGTGCCCTCAGACACAGCGTGCTTGGCAAGCTCACCAGGCAGGATCAATCGGACGCTGCAGACTTGTTAGTGATGGGCGCATATGAAGTGGCAACCGGATTAACATACGAGGTCTGGATCTCGCGTGATGAGATGGTGGACTTCTTGTTGTAGGCGGCAAGCTTGGAAGCCTCGGTGGCGACGCGCTCGAAGATGTCGTTGACGAAAGAGTTCAAGATGGACATGGCACGGTTGGAAATACCAGTATCGGGGTGGACCTGCTTGAGGACTGCAACGCGTCAGAAAATGGTCGATCAAGTCACAGCACGCTGTTGATGCCGCGCGCAATCCAAAACGCGATCATCGCAATGGATTGCGCGCTGCGGAAGACGCGGAAAGCTCACCCTTGTAGATGTAAGAGGAGTAGGTCTCCTTCCTGCTCTTGGTGCGCTTCTTCTTGTCGCCGGAGGGAGCGGCAGTCTTCTTGCCAGCCTCCTTCTTCTCAGCGGGAGCCTTGCCAGCCGGGGCCTTGCCGCCGGTGGTGGGGGTCTTGGATGCAGCTTTGGGAGGCATTTTGAGAGTGGCGGAGATGAGAGTTGCGGTGGAAGTGGTGTATGGGTAAGAGCTGGGTATGTGTGAGATGCGGGTTGATGCGGGTGCGAGTGTCGAGATGAAGGAGAAAGGTCATCGACGGCGGGGGGACGCGCTTCTTATGGGGAGCGCGCCGCGTGTTGTGATCCAGCGGCGCCTGCGGGGCCCGTGCGTCGCCGCTGCTCTGGTGGGCGCACAAGCGAGCAGACGAGAGAGGGCAGCGCCCGCAGCGCCTGTGATCTGGGCGGCCGCGACGCGCGCTAGCGAGGCAGGCAGGTTGATCTCGCGCACCACAACACGCCGCGCCGTCCTTATAAGCTGCCGCCGCCCCCGACGTCGACCTGCCATCCATCGTCTCGACACTCACCACCCACGCCACTCACCCCACCCATCTCAGCTCCCGCACCCCAGCAACTTTCCAGTTCTACCTCATCACAAATTCTTCACAATGACTGGCGGCAAATCCGGAGGCAAGGCCAGCGGCTCCAAGTCCAGCGCCCAGTCGTAAGTACACCAGCGCGTCTTTGCATCGCGATCCATCGCGAAATACCTTGTGCGCCGTTTGGTTTCGGTTTTCAGACGCGTCTCGTTTAGATTTGACGCGTCTTTTACCTCCATCGCATGCCGTTCTGTCTTTCGTATCCGTTCAGATCGCTAACCCCACCTCAGTCGTTCTTCCAAGGCCGGTCTCGCCTTCCCGGTCGGTCGTGTTCACCGTCTCTTGCGCAAGGGCAACTACGCTCAGCGTGTCGGTGCCGGTGCCCCCGTGTACCTCGCTGCCGTCCTCGAGTACTTGGCTGCCGAAATCCTCGAGTTGGCCGGTAACGCTGCTCGCGACAACAAGAAGACCCGTATTATCCCCCGTCATCTCCAGCTCGCCATCCGCAACGATGAGGAGTTGAACAAGCTTCTCGGCCACGTCACCATCGCCCAGGGTGGTGTTCTGCCCAACATCCACCAGAGTACGTATAATCTGCGCTCCGTTATTGCGATGCATTTGCTGATTTGCTCCAGACCTCCTCCCCAAGAAGACGGCCAAGCCCGGCAAGGGCCCTTCACAGGAGCTTTAAGCGATTGTTTTCTTTGGCGCGGTCCGGTGTTTTTCATGATAATGGGGTTTGGTCTGGGTCTCGGTTCACGGCTTTTCATCACGGGGTTTAAATACCAGAGCTGTACATTATTCCCACATTGATGGGTGGTGGCTCATGAGCTTCAATTAAGGGATTACTTCATCTTTCATCTTTTCGCTTTGTGACTTCCGCACTGATGGTTCCCGCACTCCTCACCTCCAGCTCACGGCTTCTGCGCGATATCGTTGACATGATCATATCCTGTTGCCATGTGGCGGGGTTCGTGGCGCCGCTCTGATCATGGGGTTTTGGTGGGTCTTTACTAGTAGGCCCCAGCAGCAGCGAAGTCGGCTTCGTAACCCACAACAACGTTGGCACCGGCAGCAGCATCAAGTAGGCGTCCTGAGATTTGAGCGTTGCGCAATTTCGGATCCGCAATTGCAGTGTCAAATCCGCATCTTGATGTCCGGATATCGTGCATCATCGAAATCGCGACAGCGATGCAATGTGCTTGGATATAGAGATTTGGATAATCACAAAAACGGTACGCGTGAACCAGGATCGCATAGAGACCAAATGACTGCAATGGCGGTTTACATACTGGATCACGATTTGCCTGGGCAGGAACTCGCGCAAGTATGCTTTACACGTTACTGTAGACCAGATAAGACAGGGATAACATTGGAATGCTGGCATACGGTACAGCGAATAAACGTGACCAGGATTTGTGGAACTGTACATTGCTGGATTGACAGTCGACTAGTCTCCTTGTGCCGTGGTATATGTACAAATCGCCATCCACACTTGTCCGACCCCCTACAACGTCATCTTCGGAGGAGCTACCCGCCATTAGCACCAGTGGTGGACGGGAGTCGGAATACTTACGGTCCAGAATGGGTGCAGGCAGGTTGCGCTCGTACTTGGAGCCTGTGTGTGTTAGCCGGGTCCGCGGCCGTTCGGGAAGGGTCGCCGACAACTCACCTCCAGGCGCCGTGGGTGGGCGGTACGGATCCGGGTGCTTCCACTTCTCCAGGAGGTTCTCTGTCTCTTTGATCAAGTCCTGCGGGCATGTTAGCGATGCTGCCTGGCGATGAACGGCACATGCGCCGTACCCTCTGTCGGCGCGGCTCGGTGACGGTCTTGTTGGCCTCGAACAGCGAACGGATGTACATGGCCTGACCGCGCCAGAGGTACCTATGAACAGCCCAGTCAAGGGCCAGCTTGAGCGAACGGCGATAGAGCCTCCTGCGTGCTGTTAGCGGTGCTGGCGGCGCGGGATGTCGTCTGTCGCGGCGCGGCGGCAGCGGGCGGGGACGCACAGCACGGTGGTCCTGGAGCTCATGGCGGCCGCGGGCGCCTCGGTGGCAGTCTCGATGTGTGTTTGCGCGTAGGGAGCCCTGCGTCGGCGGTCGCAATGGCTGGTGGTGATGCGGTATGTGTGAATGGGCCCGCTCGACGTTGGGTGCTGGAGAGCTCGGCACCAGCCCTTGTCGACTAGCGCGGTTTCCGGCTGAGCTATGACAGAGGCTCTGCATCAAGGCCAGTTCGTCGAACTCAATCAATTCCCTCACGGCTTTTTACCGCCATCCCTTTCCTCCCACCGCATCCCATTTCCCCTCGCCAGGACCCCAGCCGTCCATCGCGAGCTCCACAATGTCTGGCCAACAGTGTCTTCGCCGTCTGGCAGCCTCCTCGCCGCTGCGACCGCAGCCGCTGCTTCGCGCGTCCTCCAAAACTATCCGCCTGTCCGCATCCCCTGCGACACGCAGCTATTCCGCCGTCTCGCGAGCGACGTCGTCCGGTCTGCTGAACAAGGTCTCAAGGTCGGTGCAGCCATTGGCATCTTCGAGCATATGCTGACCTGCTCAGACGGCCTGCCCGATCGTCATCACAGCGCGTTGCTCTTTTCCCGCAGTCGCGAAGTTATGGTGCGCATCTCCGCGCGTAGCCAAGAAACATGCACGCGGACCAGCTAACACTCATACAGCCGACACTACCGTAGTCAAGGTGCCACAGATGGCCGAGTCCATCACTGAGGGAACCCTGAAACAATGGTCAAAACGTGGGTGATGCGCGTACGGCAAAGGGAGCAATGAATTAACGAGTATCAGAGGTCGGCGACTATGTCGAGCAGGACGAGGAGATCGCGACCATCGAGACGGATAAAGTACGCTATGTCATCGTTAAGAGCCGAGGTTCAGATGCTAACTCTACCCAGATCGACGTATCCGTCAACGCCCCGGAAGCCGGTATCATCAAAGAGTTCCTCGTGAATGAGGAGGACACTGTTGAGGTCGGACAAGACCTTGTGAAGCTCGAGCTCGGCGGCGCGCCTTCGGGTGGTGCAAAGCAGGAGGCCAAGGAAGAGCCCAAGGAACCTGCGTCAAAAGAGCAGGAGACTTCGTCCCAGCCCCAGGGCCAGCAAGAGCAGCCTAAGGAGGAGAAGAAGCCCGAGCCCAAGAAGGAAGAATCGAAGCCTGAGCCAAAGCAGGAGTCCAAGCCGGCGCCTCCGCCGCAGAAGCCGACTCCGTCAAAGTCGAGCGAGTCCGAGCCGAAGCAAGCCGCGCCAGGTGCTCGCGAGGAGCGCCGCGTGAAGATGAACCGTATGCGCCTCCGCATAGCCGAGCGCTTGAAGCAATCACAGAACACGGCTGCCTCTCTCACCACCTTCAACGAGGTCGATATGTCTTCGATAATGGAGTTCCGCAAGCTCTACAAGGACGAGATCCTTAAGAAGCAGGGGGTCAAGCTTGGCTTCATGTCCGCCTTTTCGCGTGCTTGCATTCTCGCCATGAAGGAGGTCCCGGCTGTCAACGCCTCCATTGAAGGCCCAAACGGCGGTGATACCATCGTCTACCGCGATTATGTCGATATTTCTGTAGCTGTCGCTACCGAGAAGGGCTTGGTTACTCCTGTCGTCCGTAACGCCGAGTCGTTGGATATGGTTGGAATCGAGCAGGCGATCGCGGACCTCGGCAAGAAGGCAAGGGACAACAAGCTCACCATCGAAGATATGGCTGGAGGTACCTTCACCATCAGCAACGGCGGCGTCTTCGGTAGTTTGATGGGTACACCTATCATCAACTTGCCTCAGACTGCCGTGCTCGGCCTGCACGCAATCAAGGATAAGCCCGTTGCCATCAATGGCAAGGTCGAAATCCGCCCGGTAAGTCGTCTCGACACTTCTTTCAATTGCGTCCCAAGCGTTAACGTATCACCAGATGATGTATCTCGCACTTACATACGATCACCGCCTGCTCGATGGGCGAGAGGCCGTCACCTTCCTCGTGAAGATCAAGGAATTCATCGAGGACCCCAGGAAGATGTTGCTTGGTTAGATAGCGTTTGATATCATGTTTTCTTTACCTTTGTTGTGCTCTCTTACATAACCTGTGCATTGTTGGGAGAGAACGGTTGTATATGAGTTTGGTTCCACTTGGTCAGCGTTAATGCGCCGCGGGGCCTGCTGTATCGGGATCAACATGGTGTACGAGTATAGAGTATGGCAAGGGAAAAAACAATTTTTGTGGTGTTGCAAATGTGTGTATGCGCAGTGTAGTCGTTATGCTTGGCTTTTATGTAGGGCAAATCTCCTCTTAGGATGCGGTGCACTGCAGCCCTGTCATTCATGCATAGCCTCTTCATGCTTTCAAGGCTGTTCATCTTTGATTCTCTGTGAAGACTTGCACTCGCGCACCCAATCTGCTCGTGCTGTTTACTTGTCAGTATATTTCATTCGTTGCGCTCTTGGGGTAGCCGCTGCCAGCACACCCTGCCAATTATTATTTTGATCGTCATTATTTTCTTTGGATATATAAAAAAAAAGGGCTGTCTCACAGCTATCACTTAGTTAGTCATGCATATATACAGTTTGATGGATTTTGGGCTCGTGGTTGTGTTACTATCATTTTCTGTTCAATTTCACATGTCCTGCTGTAGACAAAAATTCACTTAGCCCCGGCTCGTGGACAACAAGAGAAACGAGCAACCAACCCATCTTTGCACCGAGCCAAACACCCAAACACTACCAAACTGAACCAAGGAAAGGAAAATCAGAGATGACTTTCATATATGCCAAAGGGCGTGTATATGTAAGCTGCAAAGGTGGGAGCGACGGAACGCAATGCGCTACTATCATGATCTAATGTGGCGAGTCGTACATCCACGTCCCACCATCATTACTAGTCCCATAATAGCCTCGGAGTTGGACTCAAATAGACTTGCTCAGATGCTTTGGACGATGATTTATATTTGAGTGCTTTCATGCTGTTTTCTCCAATATCGCGAAGGGTGCAATACAGGTAGTACAATGTGCATCCCAGCAAAGTGGTTATGTGGGCAGATTCGCATAACGACCGGCAGTGCACCACATTCTGTCGCCACAAGTATCGGACAGTGGATGCAATGACAATGGCTTGGTCGCTACAAGATGTTGAAACGGCTGAACCCTGGAGAGCATGATTCGCGCGCGGATTTCAAGCAACAACGTTCCTGTCTAGCCATGAACGTCATTACGTTCGTTAACATATCCTGTTAACCTGCATCACCCTAAGTCACGGATGTTGCAGTCAGCTGCCAGCCGCCTACGGTTGGGAATGTTGGATTGGTACACATGGGCTCGCATCGATCCAGGAGGTCCCTGCTGAATACCTTCAGCAACACAAGCGTTGACAGGCCAACTTACCATTGTAACGATTCTACAGCAGCAAACGTTGCAATCAACCATTGCGCATATATGGGTGTAATAAACAACATTCTCGATATATCAAGCGGCTACTGCTCACATGGAGATGCGAACACAGATCTTACATCTGAAATCAACCCCTTGACTTCGTGAAAGGTTGAAACCGGTTCCTGTGGCGCACAGGCATTGATTCTGGCGCTACCTAACGCTCTAAATGCGGTGAAACAAGATCATAAGACACATAAGGACATTCAGAAGTGGATAGAGCGCTCAAGGGATGCTAATATGGCTATAAGATGGAACACAACAGTGTCCGAACATGTACCATGAACTTCTCAAATTGGCTGACCAAAGGTCTTGTTACAACAAAGACTCGGACTAGTGCCCGACGACATTCCTCTGCAATCCATCCAAAACACCGATAATGGTCTTTTTGACTGAGTCGTCCCGAGGAAACAGTCGGGTTTGCGTAACATCTGTCTCAGCGCGCAGCGATGCGGTAGGTGCTCTAAGGACGTACAAGCAAGCCGCGAGCAGTTCAAGGTCACTCAAGATCTGTCGGCACGATAGTATCGCCTGATTATATGCATCGATAGACCCGATCGCAAGTTAAGCAAGTGTACACTTACTGATATAATCCCCACACCAATGGCGATGTAATACGGAATCATAATACGCTCCTCCTCTCTATACAAAAGGGCGTAATAGCTCTGCATGATAACGAATATGTGCCAGCTGTCCTTCCCCGCTACGGCCTGTAGCATCTGAAATTCTGATGCAGACACATGCAGCTGCAAGTAAGCCCATGCTCATCACGATGGGAAATTTAACATATAGCGCCATGTTACAAGGGATATCCACTTACCTAGACCAGGTTCGGACCTTGCAGGTATTTGTTAGGATCCAGGATGAAGATTATCTGGACCACATATGTAATTAGCAACTCGACCCGCGTCGCAAAGGCGACACAGGTCACGTAACCTTATTAGAGTAATCGGTGCGCCAAGACTACTGATCATACTAAGCAACTCGCATACTAACGTGTTCCACCACTCATTGGCGCACACCAGTCATCGGCGCACCCTACCAAAATCGCGACGCGTCTTCTATACAACGCGCCATGCCGCCCACCCAAAGCACTCAGCAATCCTAGAAGGAAGGTAGACTAGCTCTTTCAATACACGCGATTTAGAATAAATAGATTAAAAGTCGCCGTTACGCCGCAAACCTATACGGGATCCCCAAAACCTCTATCTAGAATCAAATAGTAGGTGCTCGCCTATAAGCTATTACTAACGCCCTAAAACGAAAGCTACACCCTATAGAGTGTCACGAGAGCAACGAGCAAGATGTCTGAGGTCCAGGTAGGCTAGATCAATATACTGCGTTCGATATCTATGTGTAGGTACAAGACGTTTGATAAGGAGAAAAGGTCCTCTCCCCCCTATCCAGCGTGGATCTATCTTCTTGCTTCGTCGCACGCCCTCGCCAAGGGTGGCTAGCGCCATGCTTTGACCAATCAGCTAGCAGACGGGCCACCCGTCTAATAATCTATTGGCTGGCTGCCAGCGCGCGACATCTCTAAGATATACTACTACCAGCAGTGTATCCATGCTTGTGTCAGATGTCACGTATTGTGCGAATTCTGATGAATTTTGAATAATGGGTTTGATGAAATTGATTGATCGTGTCTGTGTCGTCGCGTCGTGCGTCCTGGGAGTTGTTTATGTTCTTGTGTTCTCCCTTGCTCCCATCGGCAGGCTCCTTGTCCCACCTCGGGAGCCAGCCACCTCGCTTTGGTTACGGGAACAGGGCTTCTGTCATTTAACATACCCCCTTAGCTTAGAAGTCCTATTGCAAGCTGCGTAAACTGGTTGATTGATCCTTTAGTACAAGGCCCTCCAGCTGCTCCTACAACTCCTTAAGCTGAACTTCATTTAACGTGGCTTCTTTCCGTTTGATAAGTCCCAATTGATTAATAAAACTGGCCCATTTATTAGCTAGTAGTGACTTAGTAAATCCATCTATAATCATATTATTAGACGGCGTATATTCTACCTTAATCATCTTTTAGGTAACTTCCTATCATAGCTAGTGGCCGTATATTTCAACGTGCCGAAGCTTTATGTGGAGCTTGGCCACGTCCTTATTAACTAGCTGAATGGTCTTGTCAGATTCACACAGTGATTTGATGAATATCGGTGATCTGGAGATGAGATGGGTTGATTGTTCGGGTGTTTTTGGCTGAGGTTCTATCTAGGGCGCCCTTTCGTGTGTGGGTCTTGGCAGATAATCTATACTAGCCGTTTTCGGTCAAGTCTCGATATCCTGCCTCCGGCCTCTGCCCCAGCCATCTAATATATTGTACTATCGATTATAGTACAACACCGAGATACTCAGTATAAGCCCTCATATCTAACAGGTCTAGGTATTGTCACATTTAATTGTGATGATTAGATTACTTAGGGTTACCTAAAGCTCCTTCAGCAATCGCGTCGTAAAAATTACCTCTTTGGCCACTTAAGACA